CTCACTTGAGAATTTTGCTTCTAAACCTTATTTATAAAGTAGTTATTTTTGTAATCCAAAAGCAAATATAAAGATCTTTGAGCTTTTAAGTTTAAAATTGGATTAATTATATATAGATATGAGAGGTTTTATAAAGTTCTTTGACCCTGATAAGATCAGCGACCTGGTAAAAATTGGAAAAAGTCATATATCGAAGAGCATTAAAAAGTGTAAATAGTACAAAAAGAACTTTTATAATTCAAAAAAAGGAATTTGAAACCTTCTGGATAAAAGGATAATGGAGTAAAAATTTATTTGCACAATGACAAAGTGTAATTTTATTCAACCTTCCTTATTTGAGAAGTTGACTCTATGAATAGTATAGCTGCACGATGATGATATATATGCATTAAACAAAAGTGTTTTCCTTCTTGCGTCACATTTTAATAACATTTTCAGCGCGAAAAATATACACACGCAGTTAAATTCTATTAATTCGTTTTCGAGATATTTAAAACTTTAGGTTTTCATTGAACCACCCTCTATATTTAGAGGTAAAATGTATGATATTAAATTTATTTAATGACGATGACCCGATGAACTTTAATTAAAAGCAAAAGAACAAATTGGATTTCCTTTGAAATATTTTTTGCCTGGACGATTTAATGTTATATTATACAGGGTGGCCCATCGAAAGGCTTTGTATGTGAAAATAAAAACAGGTTGCGTTCAGGGGGACATATTTACCCATTAATTTAGGGGGGTATGTTGTGATGCACTCATATAAAAAGTTTGTTTTCAAAAATCACAAGGCTTACTTAAAACAATTACATGTTTCGTATGCAGTGGCATTTTGGTGAGGCAGAGTCAGGGTTTCGCCCTCATTTGAAGGCGAAGAAATTTTTTTAAACCAAACTTAAGAAAACTTACGTCGCAGTTCACAACCTATACTTAAAACTAAGTAAAAAACTTAGACTGTGGTGGGGAAGGAATCCTCTACTTTGTCAATGAAATATATTTTATTTATTTTAAATGTTGTTGTTGTTCAGCAAGAACCACGTGAAGGTCAACAATATCGGTACAATTTCTCACCGTAATATCCATAATGACTAAATTCACATAAATCACCAAGTTCAATTAACTAAACCCACAGAATAAACCACTTATAAGAGAATCATAAAATAGACAAACTCATAGAAAAAGAATAAACAAAATATTGCGTAAATAACCACAGATTTGTTCTTTAAACAGTTCAGAATTTTATAACCAAAACAAACCTAAAGAAGGAATCTGTATTTATTTTATTGGTTACTGTGATGGCTACAAGATGACGATAGTGTTAAAATATGTTTATTTTAGAATAGAAATATAATTTCGATTAAATCAATTTATTATAAGAAAAATAATACCATTTATTATTGAATTTTGAAAAACGTGTGAAGTATAATTTATCTAAAATTCCGCAACAGTGTTGCCACAACACCTGCTTATTTCCTTGGATGTAGGCGTGCCTGCCCCGCGTATGCTAATACGAGAGAAGGAGACAACTATTGTAATAGAAAGGCTAACGCCAATCGTGAGTCTAAATTAGTTCAGGCATGCTTCTGAGCCAATCATCAAGCTATAAATATTAGTTTAAATTGCGGTCGTTTCAAATTCAAATAATTTAAATGTTGCTGGGTATTCCACGTATAAAATCAATCAATTTTATTGACAATTTCACAATTCATGTAATCCAAATATTAAAAATTTATAGTATTTTATTGAAAGTAATTAATTTTTTAATTCTCTATGATGAGGCACTGCCTCACATGCCTCCCCTGACGGGCTGCCACTGTTCGTATGTTGTTGCGTATAGATTATTTAAATCCAATTTCTACAAAAATCGATACTTTTTATGCATTATAAATTTTTAGGCTAATGTTTGTCAATCATTTTTGTTTTAGTATTAAAATAGTACATTATCACAGGCGGAGAAAGCTTATATTATAGCCGAGCTCAGTGTTCTTTGCATGCTAAATTTTATGTCTCCATCTTATAAATAAAAAAGTTACAGGGGTGCGTCTATTCTCAGCTACATGCATCATCTTAAAGATAAATCTGGAGCGCTTTGAACTATTTTATTTTCTTCTAATGAATTCTCAGAATGCCTGAAAAATGGAACTTGCCTTAGAAAGTTGTTATTCAGCTATTTCCAGCAGTCTAAACTTGTCAAAATTTGTTTTTCTCAAATAACTTTTCTTTTCAATTGCTTCATATTGGTTGCACAATGTTCAAAAAAGTGGCATTTTATATCCTAATTAACCATGCTTAATTTTATGTGTCTATCTTTATAAGTAAAAAATTAACAGGGGTGCGCCTATTCTCAGATACACCCGGTATATATATTTTTTTGCATTAACTAATACTGTACTTATATTGGAATACTTGGGTTTGCGATATTTTGTTATAGGTAAATGTTTGAGATTATAGGTTATGTTCATGAATTTATTCTACAGTGACCTGTAATTATTACAGTTACTTACACTGGAATTGGACCTAAATGCAAAAGATGGTACCACTTTTTTCATGTATTTTTATTATGAAGTCTTATGAGGGTATAAAAGTATAAAACTAAATCAAAAAATAAACTGCCGTCGTCATTAATAATATATTATGTATCAAGTTTGATAAACGCCATTTTATACACGAATTTAATTTAGGCACGAGCGAGCTTGCAAGCGAGTGCTTAAGTTAATGAGTGTATAGAAAAGTTTATAAAACGAGGTGTATACTATACTTTTTCTACGACAAATACTTATTATTATCTTAAAATGATTTAAATCAAAAATTTGTATAGAGCGCCATCTATGAAACAACAGGGGAAACTGTCAAATGTCACATTTTTACATTTTATAAACACAATTATAAAGGTTATAAATCGAAATATATCTTGAAAATTGACAGTTTTTCACAATGAAAGTAAAGGATGTTTTATGAGGACTTTACAGTAGAGTCCGTGCCCGAATTTAAGTTATATTTTACTGCCGGCGAAATTAAAAGGTCAGTACAATGTTCATATAAACTTTTCAAATATTGGCGTTGAGAAACTATTTAATATTTTTGTATTGAGATAATAAAATAATTTTCACATTTAGTAATATTTTACAAGAAAGGAACTTTATTTTAACGATTTTATAACATTTGACAACTGTCAACTAACTTAAAACTAACTTCAGCCCGTGACTAAAAACCTGTTGCTAACTTCAGCCCCTGACTAAAGCGCCGTAAAGCCACAACTTGTCAATGTGTATTTAAAAGGTCACTTAGTGTCATGGAAACATGTACGATAAAGGGCGTTTTAAAGGTGGGAGTAGAAAAACTTATTTATATTGGCGTTGAGAAACTATTTAATACTTTTGTATTTTTGTATTGAGATAATAAAATAATTTTCACATTTAGTATTATTTTACAAGAAAGGCACTTTATTTTAACGATTGTATGACATTTGACAACTGTCAACCAAACTAAAACTAACTTTCGTGACTAAAAACCTATTGCTAACTTCAGCTCGTGACTAAAAGTCTATAAAGCCACAACTTGTCATGTCATGTCATGTCATATAAGGTGGGAGTAGAAAAAATTCTTAATCCTTCTGCAATACTTGTAATACTACAAAACATAAAAAAATTCTTATTTAATATGTACATATGCTAGAGGATATGAGGCATGCTTGTCGGAAATCAGGACAAATGATTTCCACATACCATCATTCTTGCAAGATGCCTAGTTGTATAATCGATTGTCATCTTTTCAGTTTGTGTACTCTAATCTATTTTAAACATTATTGTCCCGTATCGTAAGATGTCTTAGAATAAAAAAGACTTCTGGAGAGCAATAGTTATTTATGTCATTAGGTTAAGAAGTAAGGCTTTTTGTGCTAAGCTTAAGGTTTGAAGGCCGACGCGTAGCGGAGGCATACAATTGAGCGAAGCACAAAAAGGCACTTCTTGGCCGAATGGCATACAACATTTTATCTTCAAAGCACTTTATATAGGTCAATTTAATTCAACATCAAAGCGGCCTAACCTCACTTTTTTAGAATCTCATTTATTTATTAGCTAAAGATTACATTAAATGTACAATAATTATTATTGCTTTTAGAAGCAGTAATAGTTTGACAAATCCCTAGCTACATGATTTAAGTAGAAATGGATTTTTGCTATTACATTGAATTCAATTAATTATTTAATAAATAGGTACCTATGTATCTAACTTCAATTTGTTTGGATTTTTATTTAAGAAATAGGTAGTTTGGAATGTTTAAGCTGTGTTTAACATTTAATTTCAATGAAAACTTAAAGCAAATTAAATCTTAAAGATAATTTAAATCGTAGAAAAAGAATCGTGCGTTTTCTTGGTTGCCTAACCTTACTTTTTGTTTTATTATTCATATTTAATTTTACAATAATTTAATGAAAAATATTAAACATTAACAGTAAAACAAAAAATCGAACTAATTACTTGCCTCAAAAATTTTTTTATCGGCCTAGGCCATAACAAGGTATTTCTTTATCGAATGTTGACAACAATAAAGTTTAAATTATAGACCGCGTGGAGATAAATATTTTTGTTTTTGAATCATTGCGATGAAACAATAAATATTTGTAAAATGACATTAGTAAGAGTTGCATATTTTTGTTCCAGTTTTTTTGTGAGAATGACCCATAGAAAATAGAGAGATTTTTATTAATGTAATGGGCTTAAAATAAAAGTTGGATTTATATGAAAATGAAATTGGGTTAGATAGTTCGCGAATGGAGTTGGATAGATAGTGAGGTATGGAAATGGAAATAGAGGTAGGTATCGGGTAGTGGGAGTTGTTTGTTGATGGGGATGGATGTGGATGTGGATGGACGGGGGACATGACCACAAGAGTTGTGGGATGCGATTGTTGGAAGTGAAAAGACGCTTGCGTGATGCGTGCGAGCGAGAGTTCTTAAGCGAGCGATTGCTTTTCGGAGCTTCATTCTTCAGCCAGTCGGTTGGCAAGAACATTGGTAGATTGAAGCGAGCATCGAACATTGAGCACTGAGCTTGGTGGGGCATGTATGAAACAAGAAGAGGAGAGTAAAGAGTGGAAGAATGGAGTTAGTAGTTGAGGAGAGTAGATAGAGTAGAGTCCGTAGGATCCGGGAGAAAGGCAAAAAGCGCGCGCATTTGCAGCCCCTATCGATCCCCCGCATTCAGATCAGGCTGAGCGCTCGAAGCGAGCTGCGAACTGCGAAGCTGCGACTGGCAAGGTTGGCGAACGAGCGAGCAGGCAGGCTGGTGGACCAAAGCTGAGCGCGCTAAGAGAAAGTAGCAGTAGGCAGCAGCAGAGCCGAGCAGCATCACATTCGGCGCAGCGCAGCGCAACAAAATCACCGTAGCAAGTGGCCATTGTGCAGACCGCCGTTGCAGCGAAAGGTTGCTGCCTTATCAGATCTGCCTCGTGATATGGCCAGTGTAGTTTCGGGAGTGCACTCAACCATGCTCAGCTAGTATCGGCTAGAAGTGGCCGTTTGTTGTAAACGTGTTTAGGCCGACAAAGTCAAACACGTTCACCTAGGACTCTCGACGGCCACAGTCGAACTCCTGGGGCATGACTGCCAAGTCCGGAGGAGTCTTCATCCACGAGAAATGAACTGTCTTGGTCCAGTAAATAACTAGAATGATCCTGAGAGAATTTGCGCTGCCTCTGATGGCCACAGCCTTCCTGATAGTCGCCACACTACCAGGTAAACATTCTTCATCTTCTTTGCACCATCAACACTATTACTCTATTATCCTTCATCAATCATAAACGGCCACTTAAAATATTCATCAAGTATTAAGCGAGGCTCCTGTTTCATTACCCAACGTTCATTATTCATGCCCAAGCTGAATTTACTTCATATCATAAGTATTATTAATATTATTTATATACAATAAAACACTAAAGGTAAGTAGAAACACCAACATTGCCTTTTTTACAGCAATCATTTATTTTCATTAAATTTTGAAACAGCAAACCATTCAACTATACAATTTTTTGTTTAACATGTCCAGCACTGTTTCAGAAATATGCTGCGCAAATTAGTTTATGAATTTAAATTATTACATTATAGCAAAACTCAACTATGAAATTTGCGATTTTATCATGCACAATTATTGTTTATTATACACTGTATAAATAATGGAATATGGTACAAGTGTAAATATTATTACAAACAGTTATATATTAATTCAAATATTCGCAAAAATGGCGAATGCGCTATAGCGCATTCGCCATTTTTACAATCCAAATTAATAATAATGGATTTTGTATACAAAATCCATTATTATTAATTTTTGATTGTAAAAAAAAAATCCCTCTTGAGATAAAACTTCATTTTAACATTCAAACAATAAACATTCAAGATGAATGAATGAATGAAATTTTTGTTTACTGCAAAAGAATTGCGTACAAATAATAGTATTGTTTTTTTGTTGTCCTCTCTTGGAGTGGCTTTTTTAACGGAGATACTAATGTAATTGTATTTAATCCATTGTATTTTCAGTGGATTATAATGGATTTAGTATTGTAAAACATTAAACTAAATATTTCAATTAACAAACATGTTTAAAATTTTAAATAAAATATCGAGCCCATGAAAATATTTAATGTTAATATGATTTATGATTTGCCATGTTTAAACCGCTAAAATTCTACGATATGTTTAACAATAGCAGACTTACGTATTTAATTAAATTTGTCTTACAAACGCGAGTTTGAAAATAGTTCCACAAAACATTTATTACTTGAATGAAAATTTTTCCCATTTAAAATGTAAAAGTCGCTCAAGCTTTATCAAATTTCCACATAACGCTCGGACGGCCATTTATCTGACATTAAAGATACAAATGAAATGTCAAAAAAGAGCGCTTTTAAATTAAAAAACTTCATTGTTATCACGTTCAATTGTGAATTATTTATTTAAGTTTTATATTCACGCAGCATTAAAAATGATCGATTCAATGATTTTGGCAAGAAAAAGGAAATAAAACGTTTGCTTTGGATGTAGAAATTTCAGTGCACATCTAAGCAAAGACATTTTTTTTATTTATTTTTAAAGAGATGAAAATCCTACATACTTTCAATTTATTTGTCTATATTTCGGGAAAATGTAATTTATTTGTTTTGAAGTGTGCTTTGAAACTTTGCAAGAAAGCAAAACCGAAGTCATTCACAATGTTCCAAGAATAATTTATTTATTGTCAAAACTTAGTCTTCAAATATCTCGAAGCAAAATTTCGGTCTCAAGACTATATATAACTATAGTTTAAATATGCGGTTGTGGGGATCTTCTCGACTGTTTCGTTGCATTAAATGGCTTGAAGTAAGGCGCGTTGCGAAGGTCTAGCCTTTATTCCATTCCTCCCAATTCTGCTCCCAGAAAATATGACCACCTTATTTCGGTCGTCGCGAAGCATTATTGATTTGCCAAAATAGGTCGCAACCGTGAAATTATTTAGAACCGCTGGTTTGTGGAGCGTTGACCCTCTTTAAAATTAAATACGACACCCAATTTTAAATTGCTACACAGTGTCGCTCCATTTTTTTTACAAATAAACCCACCTTTACAAACGGGGAAAATTGCTAAACCGACACCGCACAAGCGTTATAGCGCGAACTGAGAAATAAATGATAATGATAGCTAGAACGACAAGCTAAAATAACGAAAAGCTCAACTGACAATAATTTAAAAAGGTGACAAGCTTAAATGATAAGCACCTAGAAAGACGATAAGCTTAACTTACTCTAAACTAAAATGATGACAAGCCTCGGTAACGAAAAGGTAAAATTATGACTTTCTAATATGACAACAAGCTTTTATTTCTTTCAGCTGAAATGACATGACAGCCTAGAATATTAAAAGATAAAATGATGACCTCCTAAACTAAAGACAAGCTTAACTGATTTTAAGGTTAACTGACGACAAGCTAAAATGATAACTATCCAAAATGATTAAATATTAAAAGATTACAAGCTAAAATGACAAGTTAAAATTATGACATGCCTAAAAAATTACAAGCTTAAATGACGTCAAGTTAAAATGATGACTATCTAAAATGATAAGAAGATTAAATATTGACAAGCTAAAATGACAGTTAAAATTAGGACAGGCTATAATATTAACAAGCTAAAATGATGAGTTTAAATAATAACCAGCTAAAGTATTGACTATCCAAAAATGACAACAAGCTTAAATAATGACAAGATAAAAATATGTCTATCTAAAATGATGAGAAGAATAAATATTGACAAGTTGAAATGACAACATGTTAAAATTATGCCATGCCTAAATAATGACAAGCTAAAATGATGACCACCTAGAAAGAAGACAAGCTTAACTTACTTCAAACAAAAATGATGACAAGCCTTCAATCTAAAATGACTACAAGTTAAAATTAGGACAGGCTATAATATTAACAAGCTAAAATGATGACTACCTAGAGTAACGACCAGCTTAACTGATTTTAAGCTTAAATGACGACAAGTTTAAATGATAACCAGCTAAAGTATTGACTATCAAAAAATGACAACAAGCTTAAATAATGACAAGATAAAAATATGTCTATCTAAAATGATGACAAGCCTTAATGAAGAAAAGGTAAAATTATGACTTTCTAATATTACAACAAGCTTAAATAATTTCAAGCTAAAATGACTACAAGTTAAAATCATGACAGGCTAGAATATTATCAGATAAAATAATGACCACCTAAAGTAACGACAAGCCTAACTGATTGTAAGCTTAAAGGACGACAGGGTAAAGTACACTCAGAGAAATATCATGTCATGAAAAGCATATGAAATGATATTAATTTAAATAATCGGGTAAATTTGATTCAAATAGAAAAAAATGTAGTTTTACCAACAGTTTTACAATGTTTTTAAACACTTTTAAAGTGTACTCTTTTTAAAATATATATACAAAAAGAAATCTATTTATTTCATTGCCTTTCTCAACGTTATTTTAAAAATATATGTATTATACAATTGTTATACACCTTTTAATTTAATGAGAAACACCAATGACGCCAAAACATATTTGAATCCCTTTGAATTATTAGGGATTCAAATATGTTTTGGCGTCATTGGTGTTTCCCATTAAATTAATAGGTGCATAACAATTGTATAATACATATCTTTTTGAAACAACTTTGAGAAAGGCAATGAAATAAATGGATTTCTTTTTGTATATATAATTTAAAGAGGGTACACTTTAAAAGTGTTTCAAAACATTGTAAAACTGTTGGTAAATGAATGTAAAACTAAAATTTTTTCTATTTGAATCAAATTTACCCGATTATTTAAATTAATATAATTTCATATGCTTTTCATAACTTGATATTTCTCTGAGTGTAATGACTATATTAAAACGAAAGAAGACAAGCTTAACTTACTTCAAACTAAAATGATGACAAGCCTTTAATCTAAAATGATTACAAGTTAAAATTAGGACAGGCCATAATATTAACAAGCTAAAATGATGACTACCTAGAGTAACGACCAGCTTAACTGATTTTAAGCTTAAATGACGACAAGTTTAAATGATAACCAGCTAAAGTATTGACTATCCAAAAATGACAACAAGCTTAAATAATGACAAGATAAAAATATGACTATCTAAAATGATGAAAAGAATAAATATTGACAAGTTAAAATTACAACATGTTAAAATAATGACAAGCTACAATGATGACCACTCAAAAATGATGACAAGCCTTAATGACGAAAAGGTAAAATTATGACTTTCTAATATTACAACAGGCTAGAATATTAACAGATAAAATAATGACCACCTAAAGTAACGACAAGCCTTACTGACAACAAGCTTAAATATTGACAAAATAAAATGATGACTATCTAAAATGATGCCAAGCCTTATGAAAATAATAATAAGCTAAAATAATGACAATCTAAAATGACAAAAAAAATATCTATAAAAAAAATGATGACTATCTGAAATGAAAAGAATATTTAATATTGACCAGTTAAAATGACAACAAGTTAAAATTATGACATGCCTAAATAATGACAAGCTGAAATGATGACCACCGAGAAAGAAGACAAGCTTAACTTACTTCAAACTAAAAAAATGATTACAAGCTTTAATGACAAAAAGGTAAAATTATTACTTTTAAATATGACAATCTGAAATAATTTCAAGCTAAAATGACCACAAGTTAAAAGCTTGTCATGATGCCCAGCTAAAGTAACGACAATGATAACTAGCTAAAGTAATGACTATCTAAAAATGACAATAAGCTTAAATAATGACTATCTAAAATGATGCCAAGATAAAAAATAATAATAATATCTATCTAGAATGATGACAAGCTTAAATGACGTCAAGCTAAAATGATGACAAGCTTAAATGATGACCCCCTAGAAAGACGACAAGATTAACTTACTTCAAACTAAAATGATGACCCTTAGTGACGAAAAGTTAAAATTATGACTTTTTGATGTAACAGTTTAAATAATTTTAAGCTTAAATGACTGCAAGTTAAAATCATGGAATATTAACAGATAAAATGATGACCACCTAAAGTAACGAAAAGCATTAAGCTTAAATGACGACAAGCTAAAGTAAAGACTATTGAAAAGTGACAACAATTATGACACGCTAAGATGATAAATATATATATAATGACAAGATAAAACTATTTCGGCAAGCTTTACTAACTGCAGGCTAAAATTATAATTAGCTTAAAATATGACAAAAAGCTTAAATATTGACAAGCTAAAATTATGAGAAGCTTAAATGAGCTCTTAGACGTGCCTTTACATCGAAGAAAACAATTATTTAATGGAAATTTTTCCTTCAAAGTTAAAATTCAATTTAGGGCTGAATATATAATATTAAATTTCTCGGTTAGCAACTAAATTACCTGTTTATTCATGCGTTGGACAATTGCGGTAATATTTTCCACATTAGCGTAGAAGTTGTGTTACTGTTAACGTGATTATACTTCTTTTTTTAAATCCAATACTTTAATTTTTTTTCTTTATTAATTATGTTCAAAATTCAAATACAAAGAAAATTTAATTCACTAAACATTTCTTTAACGTAAAATAAAACCCTTTTAGCTAAATACTTTTTCTTCCAAGTTTAATACGTTTAGTTCTCCACAAAGTTGAAAAGCGATTTTTAAATTTATAAAAAGCATAAATAATATGGGTAATTCAGAAAGTAATAAAGTAGATCTTTGTGCAGTAAAATATGCAAAATTAATTACAAATTTCGCAGCGGCAAGCTTTGCCTTGTAAAGTCTTGAATAATGACAAAATTAAGGTACACGTAACTTATGACATAAAATATGGGCCTAGTGTAATAAAGTAGCGTTTTGTATTATTAAACGAACTAATATTTATATACTAACTAAAAGGTGTTGTCAGTCATCCGAAGAAACGAAATTTCAAATGCTAATTTCTGAATTATAATTAATGGGTGCTTGTTTAATTTTCAGGGTCTGAGCAGGGGCCTCATGAAAAGCGGCTGCTTAATAATTTGCTTGGTCCGTATAATGTTTTGGAAAGGCCTGTAGCAAACGAATCGGAACCTTTGGAAGTTAAATTCGGCCTAACATTGCAACAAATTATTGATGTGGTAAGTCACACATTTATTTACTCCCACTTTTTCTATTTAACATGGTTTGCCCCACACCCGGCGGGGCAAAAATGTTTCGAGCTTTATTATAAAACACATATTGCGTGGCATCGTTCAAAATTGCAAGGGGATGCAGGTGTTCCATGAAAAATTAAAGTATAAAGTATTAAATTTCCTGACATTGAAAAGCTCGAAACATTTTAGAGATAAATTCTGTTTTCAAGATGAATACGCCATATGATCCTCAGTAGTTTTCTATGAGCGTTGGGTGAATTCGGTTTTAGGGGAAATAAAGATAAATTTCTGTACCATTGATTAAAAGAACGCGTTAGCAACAGCATACGTTAAAGTTTCACAACATCCTGAAAACGTAAGGGTTGTCTTTGAGCGATAAGGCCTTATAGGCTGTTATGAATCCGAGCAAAATATCGCATTATGATCCCGTATCAAGTACCAACGTATCCGTGCCTTAAAGCATTTGTTCGCTTAACCATTCACGAAATCTTGGCTGGCTACAGGGATAAATAAATTCGCTATTACTGGCAGGATACACCCTTCGGAGCTCTACAAAAGTCAACTTTTTTCGAAGGAGATTACGCCGCACATCCTCAATAGTATTATGTGTATTTTTTTGCACATTTCAAATCCGAACCGAATTCGTTAGCTTAATAAATTAAAATGTTGGGATTTGAATTGTGTAAGATGGCAGCTTTTCTAATGATTCCACGATTGTGGCTTTAAAAGCTTCCGGTCTCATATACAAATTCGATTACTATCCTTAGTTCTTTAAACATTTAACATCCACTGGACGGTAGATGTCTCGTTCACTGTGTTGCCACCGTAGCTGTGCTACCATAAGAATTTTGTTTACGACGATAATCTAAAATAATGATAAGCTAAAAAGATTACAAACTGACATTACAAGCTATAATAACATTAATCTAGACAAGATAAAATTATGATGATCTAAAATAATGATAAACTATAATGACGACAAGCTAGAAGGATTACAAGATGATAAATTAAAACGACAAGGTACGATGACAATCCAGACAAGATAATATTTTTAAGTGGTGTAAAGCTATACAGATTTTAAACTAAAATTACTACAATCTACACAAGATAAAAGAATGATAATCTAATAATAAGAAAAGATAATGACGAAAGGTTAGAAATATTACAAGATAAAATGTCGACAAGCTTAATGATGACAAAATTAAATTAAGACAAGCTATAATGACGATAATCTAGACAAAATTATATAATAAAATGATGACAAGCTAGAATGACGACAATCTAGACAACATGATATACTAAAATGTTGACTTAACTAAAAGGATTTCAAATTAAAATGGTGACATATTAAAACGACAAGCTACAATGATGACAATCCAGACAAGATAATATTTTTTTGTTATGTAAAACTAGACATATTTTAAATTAAAATTATTACAATCTACACAAGATAAAAGGATGATAATCTAAAAGGATTAAATGACGAAAGGCTAGAAATATTAAAAGATAAAATGTCGACAAGCTTAATGATGACAAATTTAAATTAAGACCAGCTTTAATGATGACAATATCGACAAAATGATATACAAAAACTTTGACTGAACTCAAAGGATTTCAAGTTAAAATGGTGACTTAAACGACAAGCTACAATGATGACAATCCAGACAAGATAATATCTTTAAGTGATGTAAAGCTAGACAGATTTCAAACTAAAATTACTACAATCTACACAATATAAAAGGATGATAATATGAAATGATTAAAAGCTATGATGACGAAAAGCTAGAAATATTACAAGCTAAAATGTCGACAAGCTTAATGATGACAAACTTAAATTAAGACAAGCTATAATTACAATAATCTAGGCAAAATGATAGACTTAAATGATGACAAGCTAATACGACGACAATCTAGACAACATGATATACTAAAATGTTGACTTAACTAAAAGGATTTCAAATTAAAATGGTGACATATTAAAACGAGAGGCTACAATGATGACAATCCAGACAATATATTTTTTTGTTATGTAAAACTAGACATATTTTAAATTAAAATTATTACAATCTACACAAGATAGAAGGATGATAATCTAGAAGGATTAAATGACGAAAGGCTAGAAATATTAAAAGATAAAATGTCGACAAGCTTAATGATGACAAATTTAAATTAAGACCAGCTTTAATGATGACAATATCGACAAAATGATATACTAAAATGTTGACTGAACTAAAAGGATTTCAAGTTAAAATGGTGACTTAAACGACAAGCTACAATGATGACAATCCAGACAAGATAATATCTTTAAGTGATGTAAAGCTAGACAGATTTCAAACTAAAATTACTACAATCTACACAAGATAAAAGGATGATAATATGAAATGATTAAAAGCTATGATGACGAAAAGCTAGAAATATTACAAGCTAAAATGTCGACAAGCTTAATGATGACAAATTTAAATTAAGACAAGCTATAATGACGATAATCTAGAAAAAGTTATAGACTTCAATGATGACAAGCTAGAATGATGACAATCTAGACAAGATGATATACTAAAATGTTGACTTAACTAAAAGGATTTCAAGATAAAATGGTAACTAAAACGACAAGGTACAATGATGACAATCCAGACAAGATAATATTGTTAAGTAATGTAAAGCTAGACTAGATTTTAACACAAGATAAAAGGATGATTAAGGTCCGGTTTATCAATATCCAGTTAAAGTTGCAGTTAGTTATCTGGTAGATAATTTCCATGGATACCATTGTTCTCAAAACGATCGATATGGAATTTAACTGTCAGATAGACTAACTGGAACTTAACCAGAGATTGATAAACAGGCCCTTAGACAAGCTAATGCCGATATAGATTATGATGATAGCAATATAGACAAGATGATAAACTTAAATAATAAAAGGCTAAAATGATCAAAAACTTAAATGACAAGCTATAATGACGACAATCTAAATAGACAAGAAGTTAAAATAAATTATAGACTAAAATAATGATAACAAAAGGCAAAAAACAGGTTAAAATGACTAAGCATAGGAAAAAAAATTGTATATGAGGACAGAAACTGTTGGAGCCACCTTCGTATATGTACGTGAGAAGGGTACTTTTGAGATACTGCCATTGTTGTTTTATAATTGTTTTCCCCTTGTACAGGACGAAAAGAATCAGATACTCACAACAAACGCGTGGTTAAATTTGGTAAGTGTCATAAGGTCCGTCGGCCTTCACGCAATGTTATAGCAGAACAAACACTAGTTGCCTGGAATATATATCAGTTAGTGTTTGTCTCTGAGCTAAATGCCTATGGAAGTATATAGCTCCTGCGGTCATCACGTCAGCACATTTTTTTCCTCAAATATTTCTTTGTTTACATCTTTCTCCACATTCTCTCCATTTCTTATTATTATTTTCTGTTCTATTGCTTAGTAATGTCTCACTGAATCACAAAAAATATTGCTTATGTGTATTTTGAATAGCCACCCCCACAAGTATCTAGGTCAAGAAGCAGTCTTTTCTCGTCCAGCACCACAAGCAAGAACGATTACAATGTTTTACTAAGCTTAATTTTCCTTTTTAATCTTTGCTAAATAATAAATGAACTTGTGTTGGTTTTCGACCAATCATCGACCAGACATTATACCATTTGACAATCCAAACAGGGTTTGTGGAGATAATTTTTGTAAAAAAAAATAATTGTGTGTATAGGATATAGGTATATATATCATCCATGCTGACGTGAAGCCTTCATAGCAGAGTCGTTTAAGTCGCAACCTATAAAAAATTAAACTTGAACGATTATGCTAATCTGCATGCTCTGTTTGTAACTAACTACCGATGTTTTCCCTTTTATTGTTTGACCTAGGACGAGAAGAATCAACTCCTAATAACAAATATTTGGCTTTCTTTGGTAAGTGAAAACCAATTAAATAACTAAACAAATGTACACACACGGCAGTGGGAATTTTTATGGTTATGTTCAGTCTGATTCAATCTTCTCCTGTTCTTAGTCTTAAGGTACCTTTATCTGGGTTCTACTAGCTCCATAAACAACTACTAAATTTTTAAACTAAATAAAAACCTGAGGTTGCTTTAAACAAGGCAATATAAAAACTAATAATAATAATAATCTGATCCAGGCTAGTAACAATCCTTATTTAGGTGCCGTTAACGACCAGTCAAATGATGCTCTCCTTTCTTTCATTTTTATGAATTTAGTCAGTTACTGTTATGCTGTGCCGTTGACGTGTTTCTAATGCAGGCCCAAGTCCCTTCGATCTCCCACGGAGTTAAATTTATCAAATTGACGCAATAAAAATCTCTCTGACTTTGATGAAACTTCCGATGAAAGTGGACACAAATACTTGAACGTTAAATTAAAGGACACAGAATTTAAATGAAACTCCTCAAGAGTAGATTTAATTCCCATCGACTTGTGAAGTATGTGGACTACCCGGAGATGATTAAACAACTCAATATACAGCCCGTTCAGAGTAAAACCGAATATAGGGAAACGTATCGGGCGTGGCCTCGCCTCCCTCCAACGCGCGTCACAGTAGCTTGTGTGATAAACGACATGATAAAAGGTCGAGCAGGTAAGACGACCTTGAAAATTAAATGATATTAATGCAAAAAATCTCATTAACATTCGCTTAGCTACTGTGTCTGTACTGGAGGGAGGCAAGGCTACGCCCGGTACGTTTCCCTATATTCTGTTTTACTCTGAACGGGCTGTATATCAAAACTGTGTTCTTTGTGGGTTAAAGTTCTTGCTGGTTCCATTTATACCATGTTTCCTCAAAACCAGAAAAGACTTGTTCGTGTGGATTTGTCAAATTTACCTTTTATAGCTAATTGTACATGCCTTATAATGCAGTATTCGTTTAAACTAGTTGTTGCAGCATCTTTCATTCAATTGTTGATGTCCCCTATGTCCAATGACCAATCACCTTTGTTTGTATTGAGTTTTTCATTTATTTTAATACAACGCTTGAGCTACCGAATTAATTATTAAAAGAACTAAAATACACCAAACTAAATAAATAAATTGCTCATATGGCATTTTCAAGCTTTTTATAACATTTTTTGTAATTAATAAATAAAGTATAAAATCGTAATATTTATTGATTTGTGCTTCTTTTGTGTTTCAATTAAATCAAGTTGTAAAATGCCATTAAAAATAAAGTATAAAAACAAAGGAATAAAATCCTAAGCAAATTAAGGCTTTATCGAATTTAAAATGCAATTAAATGTACTTATTTCTCAGGGCCAATATGTAAATTGGTCATGTTGTAACAAGTCCCTTGTTTGCTTAATGATAAACAATAATGGGCTGTTTATGATACTTTTTATGGTTTGAATGTAAGTACGAATTTTGTTATTCAAAACAATTCTTTAAAATAAATTTTGGTTCAGTTCTAAAAAAATCTGATCGAAGTGTTTTATATCAATACTTTACGTGTTCAAACCGTAGTGTATTTAAAATATAAGGTGTTCGAAAAAGTTCTCTCTATTTTGATCGATGATAGTTTGGTAAAAAAATTAGTCTTATGGTTTAAGGTTCGGGCTGTATGGTGAATCCATTAAAACTAACCAATCAAGCTTTATCAACTATCAACCATTTACGGGGAGTTCTATCTGATAAAGCAGTGTCTACCAAAACACATAGACAAGATAGACATAGACGGTAGAGGCTACCCGACACTGATGACGTCCAAACAAGACCTTAATTTCACTCATATTTAAAATAAATGCGGTATCTTGATCAAAGATATGCTGATGTCATCTATCGGTGAAATCTGCGAGAACTTTTTTGAGTACCCAATATATAAAATCAAATATGAAAAATGTTATTTAAAGGAGGATTAATTGCTTAACTAAAAGTGGTGGTTTTCATATTTTGTTAGATTCATGTGGCGTGTGGTTTTAAAGATTCTTTCCATAATGACCATCTTCCAAACTTCCAACATCATAGTCTAGAAGTTCCCTATCGATACATCTGGATCATTGCCTGTTTTTTGTTCCGGGTCATTAGATAATTTTAGTAGCGGACATTTTAAAGTAGTGTTGCCATGTTTTTATCTAGACAAGCTCAGTTTTTCAGATACCGCTGTAATTTTTCACTGTTACTTTTAAAACATTTATATTAGTGACTTTTTATGAATGCACCTTTATACACCCTCCGCTATATCGGATCGTTTATAGGCTGCCGTGTGTGTCAAATATTTTAAAACCATTATATTAACTATGCTTATTAACTAATTTAACCATACAATAGCTTTACTTTTGTTTATTTTTGTTTTATTTGTTTTAATTCTATGAACAAAAAGGCAATAGTTCATCAATTTTAAGCAATTTTCAAAGAAAACCTTCAGTTTATTTCGTATGTGCTCGACACCACACGGCTACCCGGCACTGGTGCGGACCGTTGAGCACGTCCGAAATAAAAACACAGTGACAAGGTAATAGAAGAGTACCAAAATACATTTCAGAACTACAAAAAAATGTCAAGACCAATTAAGGAATGTCAAATCATACAAGTAAACATGTAAAAACAATATATGAATAAGAATACCAATTAGGGGACATCCATTAATTACGTGATATAAAAATGGGGGGAGGGGTCTAGCAAAATCTCACCAAATCTCATGTTAAGGGAGGGGGGGATCATTAAAAATCTCACGTCAACTTTTGGGTTTAAAGAATATGTATTATAATTCAAATTTGTCAAAAACAAGAATGTCAAGTCAAATTTAGGAACATTTCAAAAACAATACTCCTTAGAAAATGCTTAAAACTGATAATTTGACCCCCTTTTTTCTATAACCCCTGTATTTTGCTCAATTTATTTGTTGTTTGCTCATTTTAAGCATGGTGGATTTATTTATTTCCCATGCTTTCGAGCATCATCATTTTAAATTTTTAAGTTTGTGGACCTTACAACTACGCCCTTAGTTACATTACAAACGTGTGATGGAAAAAAGTTTTAAAGCACATTTCATTTTGTTTGATTAAAAGAAAATTGAAATGGGTTTGTGTGGTTAAAGTGCTAACTTTGCTACCAAAGTTAGTTAACGTACTTTTGTTAATTTAATTATTGCTGTTAACGAAAGTTTCGGAATAAGGGTGTATTTGAAAATATTAACAGTTTTTGTTATAATTATATTTAAGTTTACAATCTAAGTAAAACGGATTATGCGAAAATTGATTAAGTCACCAAACCATAGCGGTAAGGCCTGTTTTATTAATAGCGAAATATTTAAGAATTTTAAAGAACATGCTTAAAAGACATACAGCATGATCCTAAGAATATTCTAACTGGCCTATAGGCAGGTTCTTAGAAGGTGCAAAGTTTTAGTGGTAAAAATTAGTCTACTCTAAACATATGCTTAGAATGTTAAGAAAGTAATTGCTATAGAAAGTTCATTTAGGAATATTCCTGTTAAGCATATTTAGTTCAGTTACCTGTATAATAGTTAAATATACTATAAACTACGTATAAAGGTATATACCTATACTAAGTACCTAATTAGTAATTATTATTAAATACTAAGTAAAAAACACAATCCAAAATATTTTTTATAGTTATTTGTCAAATTAAAACAATATTCGATAACAAAAATACTTTTACTATAGGTATTTTCTTTATTTTAAAAATAAATATTTATTAATTTGTATACCGATTTTTATTTCTGAATTAACATTTTTATGTATAATAATCCTAACTATCTTCAACTTCAATCTAATCTGACTTATCCCACAAAATTTTCCAATTTTACTTTTTATGAAATAATGTCATACAACTTATGGTTTAGAGGTGAAATTGTTAATTTAATATTTTTAAATAAATATATATTAATATGTCGTAAAATTCATTAAGGGGACGACAAATAAATCTCACTGTCATATTATGACAGTGAGGTGTATTTGTCGTCTCCTGAAGAATTTTACGAATGTAGAATACAACATATTAGAACGTGGGTATCTGACATATTTGGAAATATTCTTAAAAGCTTCCTAGAAGCTCCATAAGAACATTCCAAAAACGTATCCTTAAAATGTTCTTAGGATGCTTTTTAGGAAGGTTTTAAGAAGCTTTTAAGAATCTAATTGCATCATTAAAAGGGTATCTATTGAATGTTTTAAAAGTCCCTAAGAACATTCTTAGCTATAAGGGAAGGTTCTAAGAATATTCCATTATTCCGGGTAATATCTTCTTAGAAGATTCTTAAAATCAAATTTTGCTATCAGGGAATAGGTTATGTGCATTGCAGTGATCTGTAATTTAACACTGATTTTGAACTAAATGCGATGTATGTAATTTCAATGTATTTTCTCTATTGTTATTTTGAACTACGTTCAAATATGAAGTCTTTCTATATAAGCTTTTAAAGCTGCTTCGTGCAATTTAAAAAAGACTGCTTTTATTACATCTAATCAGCAAAATTGCGGACCATAAATCAAATTAAAAAAAGGGGATTTTGATTTATTTATACACAACCTCAAAAATGCAAAGAAATGGTCTTGACTTAATTATTTTCGCTAATTTGTTTTTTATGGTGTCTTTTATATTTTCCAGTGGCTTTCATTTTACTTTATTGTAGTACTTATTTATTTCAAACGCGATAACAGCGTAAAAAAATTAAACTTGTTTATTTTAATTTTTATTCACGTTTTGCTATCAACGTCAATTTCAATTTTGATTAACTCGTTGACATACATAACTGGAAATATAAAGCCCATTTGTTCACATTTATTTTTATTTCATTACAGTTTATTTTAGTTAAACTAAACATTTTTTAATTTACATTAAATCGTACATTTCTGTAAAAAAAATACATTAAATTTAATGCCTTAAAATTAAAATTTTAAAAATCTGACCCTTGCATGTCTGACGTCAAACCCTCCTAAATGTCCTTGATGCTTAATCAAATCGTAAAAAATCATCATGAGTCAGTTTATATGTTTTCTTTTTACGAGCGAGTTCACTTTTTAAAGCCAATGATAAAATTCAACACAAGATTTCGTATGAATTGACTGCAATGTATATATTTCGACAGCTATAACCTTTCATACATGCCTGCAAAAGCTTTAAGTTGTGCTTGCTCAATGCTTTCTAGTCTAGTCTTATGTTGTCTGTGTATATTGTGAAATAACTGGCAGCTTTGGAATGTTACCGTATTAATACCAAGGCGTAGAAGGGCCAACAACATGTTTACAAGTTTCATACAAAACTAACTTTGATTTTTGCAATTTATATCCTACAATTGTATTCTTGAACTTACAATAACTTGAACTAGGTTCAACCTGTAGGATGAACTTACAATTGTAGGTTCAACCTACAACCTACAATTGTATGATAGAAATTGCAAAAATCAAAGTTAGTTCTAGCTGAAACTTGTGAAATTTATGTTGGAGCTTAGGAAGCTACAACTGTAGGATGTAAATTGCAAAAATCAAAGTTAGTTTTGGCTGAAACTTGTAAAATTTTTGTTGGCCCTTCTACGCCTTCGTATATTAAAACATATTTCAACACCATTACTTCGTTCATCGAGAAACTCCAAAGCTTCCAAAAAGCTCCCGAGACAAAATTTGCCAAATTGGGATTTGGGAAGTTTTGCCGATGAGTATAAATCCCCCAATCATTACACGTATAACTTTAATTCAGGAATGGAATGACTACAATCTTCGATGGAACGAGTCAGACTATGGAGGCGTCAAAGATTTAAGGATAACACCAAATAAATTATGGAAACCCGATGTTCTTATGTACAACAGGTAACAAGTTTAGACACTGAATGTAAAGCATTACTCTAATATTTAATTTACAAGCTTAATTTCAAAAGCATGTATACATGTTTTGTTGCAACAATCATCTTCTACTTATCATCAAAATTATAAATTCTTTTATCATGACGTTCCATTTGAAATTTGAATAATCATCATCATCAAATGGAACCAAAACACGTAACTCACGTGACGTAAGGTCTGTTTTACCAAATTAATTTTAAAACAGACCTAATTAGAGAATTCACAAGGCTTTAATTATTCTTGCGTAAGAAATTTACGTTGCATTCATTTACAATGATGGATCATTTTATTTAAAACAACACAGTAGCAAAATAAAATGTTCATTTTCCAAAAGGTTGTTTTATAGGGTGACCAAAAAAGGTGTGAGCACTTTGTCCATTTACTATAAAACCCTGCCACTGTGAAGGTCAGGGTAGAAGTCAAATTGTAAAGCGTTTGCAATGCAATGAACCCTTGATCGGAAAACAATGTGCTTTAACCAAATGATAATAACAATAGTTCAGGTAAAATGTACGTTGCTCTTTGATAAATTCCTCCATTGCAAAAACTCTTTGAAATGCTTTACAATTTTACTCCCGTGTTGTGCCAATATTGTGAGGACTGGCCTATTACCTCGTCACCGTGCTACACAAACAGGCACCGACAGACCTCATCAGTGCCGGATAGCCGTGGTGTTTAAGGACCCTCAAAACACACCGCCGATCGCCCTATAAGGGCAACAGTGGTGAAAGGTAATCAGTCTAATCTACCGTCCAAAGGACACATGTCTGTTGCAGAACTATGCTACACAGTTCTGGCTAACCAAGCACAATTCTGCAACATACATAGTAGGCCATGTCCTTTAGACGGTAGATGGGACTGATTACCTCTCACCGCTGTCGCTGCACATGTTGCCTATATAGGGTGACCTGTGGCGTGTTTCTTCTAGGCTTACACACAACGGCTATCCGGCACTGATGAGGCTGTTTGTCGGTGCCTGTTTGTGTGGCATGCCTGTGGATAGGTAATAAGCCAGTTCTCATATGATGATAAGTTAGCCAAATGCCTTTGAATATTATGAAAAATGTAAATGAGTGCAATTTAAATTGGAAGAATGTATGGGTTAAATTGGGTGAAAGCTTGATGAGTGTGAATTGGAAAAAATGGGCGGGAAGTACAGAGACAGCTAGCCGTTGCTGTAGGCCACAGCTAATTCCGACCCTCTGGAGTCGAACAACGGGTTGATACCTTAGCCGCTCCAGTATTATGTTATTTTGTTAAATAAAATGACATAAGATTGATAATATGTTATATACTATAGTATTAAAAGAATGCATGCTTATTAAAGTTGTTTTCTTTATTTTGCGGATGGTAGCAGCTTGAAAATTCGACTTCTGCTGGGCCGGAACGTCCCTGAAAACTCTCTCACTAACAGCACTAAAATGAAACCTAAATAAAACAACACCTAAAAACAATCAAATAAAATGATGGCTTTAAAATAACTGAATAATAATAAACCGAACCGCGTCCGCTAAATAAACACCCAGTTTAAAAAAAATATAATAAACAGAAAAACTAACTAAATAAAAAGGAATGAAATGAAAATCGACATAAAACCGAGCAAAGTTTCAGCTAAGGCAAAGGTTTTGGCTTACACTAAATATAGTTAAGTGTTCCTTGCCTATAAAGCAGAAAAGCAGATAAAGATAAGAAGGCAAGGCGAGGCAGTAACGGAGATGGCTAGCTTGGTCACTGCTCAAAAAAATATAATTGTAGCTCGATGTCTGTCATTGTCATTGGTGTAAAACTAGATGTTGAGGATGTTAATTGTTGTGTCAAGTGTCTGTACTGGGGTACTGGGTACTGTACTAAAGTACTGACTGAGTACAGCAGCAGCAGTGATATTTGATGTTGCATTTTGCATGTAAATATACACGCGGCGCGATCCTTTACTTCAGTTCTGACTATCTCAGACCTAAGGTGGAACAACTGACAACTGCTCTACCTAACCTAACTTAACACTTAATAATACTAAGTCGATCAAATGTCGACACTGACTTGACCAGACGTCAGCATGAGTCAGGTTTTTAGCGGCGATTTTTAACGCTTTGTGTTGTTATGAAGTGCTGATGAGGGTTTCGACGGGACTTTCCAAACAAACGTTGTGGTCAAACATAACGGCAGCTGCTTGTACGTCCCTCCGGGTATCTTCAAGAGCACATGCAAGATAGACATTACGTGGTTCCCCTTTGATGACCAACACTGTGACATGAAGTTTGGTAGCTGGACCTATGACGGCAATCAGGTATTGCTGCTTCTTACAAGATGTTTACATGTTCTTTCTCTGTTGCCACCACATCACACGCCTCATGCGTCTCACTCACACTGCACCCGTTCGCCACAAATGACACAATATTTTGTACAAATCTTTAAGCCCAATTACGATAAATGGCTCACCGTCATCCTCACTTTCAACGATTTTACATTTTTAAAGAGATTGTCAATTCAATTTCATTCCATCGCGCCTCTTTACCTGTGACAACTTCTATTTTAATTCACTCATGATTTAGATTTTTGACTTGGTTAATGAACGGTTTCCCAACTAGAACTTTATTTAAAGGTTTATTCAAATGACGTTTTGGAGACAACCCAAAGTTCCAATCCATTTATTTTGTAAGCTGTTGAATCGTCTCAGGATAAATAAACCTCCATACAACAATAATATCAATAAAAGAGTTTTGGAGACCACCGACAGTTACATTTAATGTATTTCCAAAGTTGTTGAATCGTCTCCAACCGGAACTTTGAATCGTTTAAGGATGATTCACATATAGATTTATAGAAGAATGCGTTTTAAAGACCACCGATAAGTTTCTAATCAACTCCTCTGGACTCCAGAGCGGTTGAATTTCATTGTTCTATGGAGGTTTGTATGACCCATTCTGGAAAGATCTGGTTTAAAACGTCTTCCAAAATTTCCTTGATGGAACACACAGCTGTGGACTGTTTTTAATGTTCATGTTCTTGTTGAGATGCCTTTTAGAAGACCACCTTGCTTGATTTCGTCATCCATGTATGAATTAAAATAGAACTGGTCTCGATGATATCCACACGCTTCAGCTCACTAGCGGTAAACGTCCTCTTGAACTAGCTGCTAGAGTGGTCAAATTATCAATGTTAATTAGTTATGCTAGCGCGCCACACCACTGACCTATTGTCAAATACCACCAACGCAACGCAATGCAAAAAGCCTACTACCCACGGCAAAAAGGCTTCCGCCATTCATTAGGGAACCATGTGACTGTATCATTAGATTTACTATTTTGCATGGAGCATAATGTCATCAGTTTCTCTGCTATTGACTTTGCAAACCACCCACAGCATCCGCCACCAATAAATAACTCATTTAGATCACAAAATGTAATACATTAATTAGGCTACTAATTTTACCTCCAAACTCTAATACTATCAAAATATTTCCAATAAACCAAACGTTGACTTGCAATTTCAGCACTAATGAGATTGCTTCTAACGTTTCGTTTCATAGGCTTATTAGCACCAATCATCTCACAATACAGAGCAATTTACAAAAACTATTACATCCAACCAAATTAAATATTTTGTGGTTTACTAAAATAAAACTTTACATGTAAGAATTTCAGTTTTGCTAAAACATTTAAATAGGAGTTAAAGCCACATGTTTATATTTACCGTCTATTTAAATTGGTTTTGGCTTAATAGTACATTATGTAACAGGCGGAGAAAGCACTTATATCATAGCCGAGCTCAACTAATACTTTGAGGATAACTTTCGTGTATGTACTAGATGCTTATGGTATTACATGTTGTGCCTTACACCAAAATCACCAAATTAGCCTATTTAGCCAAAATCACCCACCACCTGTCAAACCCTTCACTTTTTTGTCCTGTCGTAAAGTTCTTAGCAGAGGGGTTGAATATTTGCTTCTGGCAGGGAGTGTAACAAGTGAGCACTTTATAATATCCAACGTACCAACCTTAAAAAAAGTCTTTGGATGGTAAATTTTCCTCGCCAAATGTAATAATTTGACCAGTTAAATTTATTTATTCACGGAATAATAAAACTCCCGACTAATATTATTATTAACTGCGAAAAATCTATTATATATTTGAATTTAACTGGATTATAGGTATTCTTCAAGAACGATCATAAATTATTATTTTACCTGTCGCATGGTTTAAAGACTTGTGCATGAATATTACAAAGTATACCTATGGATAATATCAAATATTTAATATTTCTTCCTTTTATTAAACTCGGTGTCCCAAAGGATAAAGGTTTAAGACTAATTTTTCTTTACCACTTTTTCATATTCGCAAAAGTTAGGATGAGTTTTTTAACTGTTAAAGCCGCCATTGAGGGCGCAGTATTTCTACTTTATCAAACGAGCCGTGCGTTTGTTCGAATGTAGGTATGCAACCCAGAGTACAAATCCTGCAATTTTGATTTTTTTAAATGGTAAAGAAATTTTAAGATGAATTTACCTTAACCCTTTGGACCGCCAATTTTGGGAACTTTTAATCTTTGGAAGCATGAATTTGCCTGTAAAGGGTAACAAGATTACCAGTATGCTTCGAATGCACCCCTCCCCTAAATCCATAAGAAAAGTCTGTACAATTACCTTAAACTTTCTTACTATTTGCACGTAACACTTTTCCTTTTATCATTTTTACAACATATTACTGAAGTTGTTAACTCGTATGTAATATAGATTTAGTCTGACAATTTAAATCCAAGTTTATTATGCTTTATAAGTACTCGAAAAAAATAACCATTGCTGAGCAAAACAGTAATCCACTCAATAAAGTATGTGCAGAATATTGCTCACTACTCATTGATGTGACAAAAATACCCATTGCTGTTCTCAAAGTCAAAGTAACCCGTGAGGTTTTATTAGAAATTTGACATTGACATTAACGTTGACATGAGTGGATTAGTGTTCTGCGCATCAGTTACCTACTGTTTTATTTTCTTCGTGTAGATAAACTTTCCTATGGCTGTTTATAATTATTATCGATTTTAACTTATTTGTAAGCAATTTTCAGGGCATTAAAATTTGTCTATTCCATTGAGTCTTCCAAATCTTTTCATGTTATTTCATGTTTATTTACACAGCACCACTATGATTAAAGTTACTCGCGAAAGGTAAGTAAAGGAAGGGTAATTTACATGGTCTTGTCTTTTGGATTTAAACTTTTATTACATTAACTAATCCCTTTTATTTTGTTTCAACTTGATTTTTAATTTAAAAAGCATTGAAGAAGGTGGGTTTTTTGAGATTTTTAAAAGACTTTATAGGTTTTTAGTGGTTGCATGTCACAAGCCTCATATCTGGTGTATATCCATATATTAGATACTAATGATACAAAAAAACTTCATTCTTTTTCTAAATGTATTTTTAATTTTCCGCACGCTTTTCGTGCACAAATAATACATTGTCTGCCTGTAAATTACTTTCGTGAAAGATGGAAGTTTCACATAAATATACCTGAATATTTGTGTAAGGAATTTTTAGATCGATGGCGTTTGAAAATCGGTGAGCCAAATAAAAGCTTGTTGGTTTTGCGTTATATATATTATATATATAATATACAACAAAATCATACTCATACTACATTTGACATTTTAGTGCTCTAGGGCATAGATATTAGTAGAAAACCCATTTTAAGTAAAGTACGCCTTGCATGTATCATGATAAACAAAATAAATCCTGCTAGATTTGGTCTACCTGACTTCTGACTACCGAAGAAACCACCCACAATGTTCGATTGAATTTACAATGTTATCTCCCAACTACAAGATAATGCAACTATAAAATCCAAAATATTAGTTATTCGTGTAAAGATTAAATTTTATGATTGCATTATTTTTCACCCGATTGTAAGTGACGGTAGCATAAATTCAACTTAGTTTAAACGAATGTTATATGCAAAAGTTTTGTGTAGCTTGACTTGATATTGAACAGCGAAGATGGCGGAGACTTGTCCGACTTTATAACAAATGGAGAATGGTATTTATTAGGTACGTGCTATTTTCGTCGTTTTAAAGCTGAAACTTAATTGAAGCCAATTAAGTTCTGCATGGTTCACAGGGTGCGACTTCAGAGCAGTCGATTTTTGAAGTAACAAGTTTTGTGTTATCTTGTGGATAATGTTTCTTGAAACTTGTACAGAAAATGTCCCCTATATATAGACAGCAATAAATCAGATGGGCAATGCCGTGCTCTGAGATCATTTTCTGTAGAAAGTAAGGTCGAGAATTTCAGTCCAGTGTTCTCCTGACTAAAGTAGGATTTATAGTTTCAAAGGTAGCGGTAGCGGTAGAAGGTAAGAGATGACCATAGTATGGTAGTGTTTGTTTCTTTATAATCTGTGGTGTTTCTGAACTATAACTTGCCTTAGAAACTATAAATCCAGCTTAAAGGTAGCTTCTCAAAAATGACTGGTCTTGAGCCGTAGCCTGTGTATCCAGGGTGGTATATGAGGTGTTTTGTCGTAGGAATGCCTGGAAAAAAGAATACAATTGTATACCAATGCTGCCCGGAGCCGTACGTGGATGTGACTTTCACGATTCAAATACGAAGACGCACACTTTACTACTTCTTCAACTTGATAGTTCCTTGCGTGCTGATTTCTTCGATGGCGCTGTTGGGATTTACATTGCCACCGGACTCCGGCGAAAAGCTCACATTAGGTATTTGTTGCTGCTCGTATGTCGCTTCTATGTAATAATTGCACTCATGTGTGGTTTGGGTGCCCACGCTTAACACTGACTTTGCTATTTGGTTATTCACTTGCTGAGCGCAGTGTTTATTAATTATATTAAAATGTTGTTTACTATTTAGCTGTCCACCTACACTCTGACACTGACACGCGTTATTGACACCGACACTGTACTTTTTAACTACAACAGCCACACATTGTTTCCAATTATGGAACTGGAAGATGGAGAACGATAACCGATAACAAACAATTACCTAGCAAGCCACTCCTCCTACCCGAAATCGTTTAAAAAAAATGCACGTATGATGGCGATGGAAAACTCTCGCGACGGTTTAGACTGACTAGACTTGTAGAACGTTGAAAATAGCGAATCTTCATTTCAGGTGTCACCATACTTCTTTCATTGACAGTATTTCTCAACTTAGTAGCGGAAAAGATACCGACTACGTCCGATGCAGTTCCGCTGATAGGTATGCTAGGCCTAGGCCTCCTGGGAGCATCGTGTGTTTTGAAGCCCTGTGTCCCTTGCGGACTGCTAGTTGATACTTGGAGGTCGTCTCCGCCTCCTCTGTATCCAAATAATGTGTGCAACCAACCAACTAATATAAATATACTTATTTAACCATATATATATATATTTATATATATATATGTTGTCCGATTAATTACCACCAACCGTGCACGGCGCTTTCTCCTTTTTACCTTTAGTGTACATACGGAATGGAAATGGATGTGGCTAAGGTAAGTAGTCCCCATCCGTTTCATTCCAGTGCCAACCAGGCAGACAACCATGACAAATAACAAGCACTGACGAGACTTTAGTTGGAGTATTTCGTCGAGCGTATACGGCTATGGCTTTTAAAGCTAAGGAATGAAGCCGTAATCAAGCTATGTTCTGTTGCAGGAGTGACCATCTTGCTCTCGTTGACTGTGTTCCTGAACCTCGTGGCAGAAACCTTGCCCCAAGTATCTGACGCCATTCCCTTGTTAGGTACCAAACGTTCTTTGTCTGACCTGCCTGTGCTGGCTATATCCTCAGTGCTGCCTGATGAATTTTGTGTATCATTGTGTATATGTGATTGTTGTGTTCGCGCGCGCGACTGTATTAACATTTAAATTAGCACCTGCTCCTCATTTTTTAGCAAGCAGTATCTAGATGACTTGTTTCGCTACGATGCGATCAAAGAAGAAATGTTTTTGGGCTGTAGCCGTGGCGGAAAGAAGTGCTGTTATATGGTATATGGTGTGTGGATTTTATTTTGATTTAGCGATTATTGTTGATATTATTTATGCGGACATTGTGGGGAGCCGCAAACATTTCCTCTTTGAGTCGTTCGTGGCGGTCGGGTCGGGGGGAGCCGGATACTTGGACTGGAGGGCCGTCTGCACCAAATTTTTTTTAAATATTTATTTACCTTATTTTTAATATAATCAATAGCTCGCGGTTCCGCGGTCGCGGCACAGGTTATAGGTCAGACCGCTCGCGTGACGCACTGTCTGTTGCAGGTGTGACAATCTTGTTATCACAGACTGTTTTCTCGCTGCTGGTGGCGCACGTGATAACCCAGACGTCAGACGCTGTGCCCCTGATAGGTTAGAGTCTCGGATCATCTCTTTAGTTAATTATTTTATTTGCAAACACACTGACGGGCACGGGTAAAGGGCGCGACCCCGTCTCACACCATATCAAGCAGTGAGCAGTTCAGTTCAGGTCAGAGAATTCCAGCAAGCAACGAGTAGCCGCCAGACCGCCATTTTCTTATCAAAATCAACAGATTTCTCGATCAAAACGAAATTTTGTGAGGCAGGGCTCGCGCCCTGCATGCACTCGACTGTAACAGCACTTCGCCCAGCCACAGCTACAGTACAGTACACAACTGGTCGACTAGTGCTTTTCTTACTGTGTTGGGGTGAATGGTTGGCTACTGCGACCGAGGCTAAAACAACAAATTCTTTAAATATTATTACATTTTTAATTACCAATCAATAATCAATAATGAAATCTTACTATTACTTAGCTTAAAACTAATTCCCCTTCATCCTCATCTCTATTTCACAATCACCTTTTTCATTCGATCAAATCTACCAATCTAGCGAATCCTAATGAATCCTTATAAACTTTAAAATCAAGATCCCATTAGCAAGCAGCATTCTTTAGCTCTCTGTTGCCCATTCGTAGTAGGGTTACAGGATAGGCCATGGGCCACACTGCAAAAATTTCCTGCTGATCACTCAGACTCACTATCTCAGGGTGCGCTCGCTCGCCGACTCACTCTTTTGCCGTTTCTCACCTCCAAGTATCAAATGGCTCTGTCCCACTAGGAGTATCAATCTGTATGTTTTGTTGTTGACATGTTTCATTTTCTTTTATTGTTTGTACTTTATGTCTTACTTACTTTTGTCTTTTTTAGAATGTAGCCTTTCACAACCATTGTAAGTATTGTTTCCTGATTTTTCACCAATTACGAGGTTTTAAGTTTACTCTAATTTCTCTATGCATTAACCTATTAATATCTATAAAAAAGATTATGAGAAAGTATAAAACTTAAAAGCCGCGCAAAGAGCTGTTGAAAAGTCAAGAATCAATACTTTTTGTTTGTTTATCTTCAATGACTCGTTACCTCCTCGTTAATGTAGTGGCTACTTATAATTAGCAACTCAAGAGTAAACTAAGTCGTAAACAGTTAATTACACTTTTAAAAATATACTAAACAAACAATGCCTATTTCTAACTAATTAATAAATAAATAATAAATCGAGTAATTAATTAATTAAAATGGATAATTACGGCAAACAGTACGGGGGTAGTTCATCGTTTCAACAAGCCCAACTGTATGCCCATGGGCGTATATGTACATTTCAGCAATTCAGAAGTACCTGTACTATGTACTATGTACTATGCGTTGAACTATGCCTGTGCGTTTGTGTTAAATTGTTAATGGTTTTGTCGTGCATAGATTGACGGTCGTGGAAGCCGGGCGCTATTCACCGATTGAGTGACATTGCTGCATTGGTTGGTGCCGATGCAAAACAATGACGAAATGACAGAAAACGTTCGACGTAGCGTGCTCTTAGGCAACCACGCCAGGTAATCATGCACAGCCTTAAACCACGTTTAAATCAAACTAATAATTAAAGGTCCGCGACAACTCGTCCATCAAAAACATCCAGCATGATCCTGAAATACTCCAATAAACCTCAGCAGCAAATTCTATCATCAAAAATTATTTCATCCAAATGTAACTTAAGCATGCTTAAGTTGTCTTTCAATGGCATAATTAAGTTTTCAATAAAATGAGATGGGACACACACTTTCATATTTTTAATGGTAGAATCCAGGCTCGATCTTTATTAGAGCATTTTTAAATCAGGCTGTGAAGTTCACAGAATGAACGTCCGTTTTGAAATTGAAAAAATTCTCGGCGAGTTCACTCATAACGTGCTTCTAGGTAAAAGTTTTTTATCGATGCTAAGCTTAGTTCTTACAAGCCTAATGGCTTATAAAATATTCTGAGTAATATTGATTCAGTTGAAGTGGTGTTTTACCGTAGTAAATTTAGTAGACTTTTTTCTGTTTCAAAACGGCGTTTGAGAGATTAATAAAATCGGGGACCTGCTGCATAAATCACGCACTGAAAGTCTGTCTCTAATGATTTAATTACATTGGATATGCATCGATAGTATGCTTTGCCTTTCCCTCTAATCTATTCTTTGGCTTTATCCCATCTGAAACCTGTTAAAATTAAAATAAAAATCGGATAAAAAATTAAACAAAATTTAAACAAACTCAACAGCACGCGGCAGAGTCGGGACGCGAAGCTAACATTCATCATCGACAATTCAGCTGCAACGTTATGTGCTAGTGCTGAAGTCACGACCCTGCCGCGTTGACCTCGGCCGATCACTTAGCTCTAAAAAATCATTTTTGAGAGGAGGGTACGATCTTAGTTCATTACATTAGTCAAACTAAATGTGGAGATGAAATGATATGAGTTGAATTGAATTGCCTGTGAGTGTGTGTCTAGTCATTGTAATTTATCGTTTTATAGCGGAAAATACTACGGCATTTATTAAAATTTTAAGCGCTTAGTCTTAAAACTTTTTGAGTAATGTAGTCTTTTCCGAGAATTTAATTAGGTTTCAACCTAATAACTTTGCAGGTATATTCTTGGTGCTACAACAATGTAGCGCCAATAGTATACCTTGTGATAACTGGTATGGAATGGATTTCCCCTTGATGGACAAAATGGTTAAAAACAATTTGTCATGATTGACAGATCCGTTATATATATATTTTTATAGTAGGAGTAGATTAGTTTAGAATGTTTATTTTGTTTTTGTAATATAGTGTCGATGAATAGAGAGCTAAAATCCTTCCGTTAATATGAGGGCTTTTACAGGTACCTACTTCAATTGCATCATGTTTATGGTGGCTTCCTCCGTGGTTCTTACCGTAGTGGTACTGAACTACCATCATCGCACAGCCGATATCCATGAGATGCCTAACTGGGTAAGCAAAAGCAACTTGAATGCTAGTAGGTGTGTGATATCGTGTTATTTCAGATTAAGTCGGTGTTTCTTCAATGGTTGCCGTGGATCCTGGGCATGAGCCGGCCGGGAAAGAAGATAACTCGCAAGACAATACTGATGAGCAGCCGGATGAAGGAGTTGGAGCTGAAGGAGCGATCATCGAAAAGCCTGCTGGCGAACGTGCTGGATATTGACGACGACTTCCGAAACCTGCCGGGAGGGAACAACGCCGCGATGACTACGACGAGCCTGGGCGGCGGATTTATGCGGCACCCAACGACCATAGAGGAGACCCCGATGCCGGGCGGCACCGGCACGCAGCGCGACTTGCAGCACATTTTGCGCGAACTTCAATTCATCACGAATCGCATGAAGAAGGCAGACGAAGAAGCTGAAGTGATTAGTGATTGGAAATTCGCTGCCATGGTGGTCGATCGATTTTGCCTGATCATTTTCACGATGTTCACTATCATCGCAACGGTTGCAGTGCTTCTTTCGGCACCGCATATTATTGTCCAATAGGACAGGCGCTAAGGCTGCAACCGAACCAAAAGTAGAAGACAATGCAGCCGACACAACAATACATCATTATTAGGATATTATTATACTTAAGATACAAATAAGACATAAAGAAGAGGATGAGGAAGATCAAGCCTGCCTGCTCAGCAAGTAGATAAACAGACAAGACGGGCACACTGCTATAAGTAACTATAACTATAGGAAGGAAGAAGGAAATAGATTCAAAAACATTTTCTGTGATACAAAACAACACAGCACAACAAACAGCGTATCGTGTCGGCAGTTCGGCACCGCAGCAATGTGCAAATGTGCCTTCCCTGTGGAACATTAACGAGCTGTTGAACAACTAAAAGGCAGGCACCTATGTGCACGTATTTGCTAAGCGCTGCACCGTACTTAATGTCATTGTAGTGGCTGTGGAGCGGGGGTCATGTGCACTTTTGACCCCTCTCAGCTCACATTGCATTGTATTGGCAAATGGCAATATGTTAAAATAATTATAAGATAATAAGTACGCATCGTATCGTAACTTACCAGAGATCAGATCGGACTTTGAAGTCCTAATCATCCAATCGCTATAATCACTCAACAGTACACCAGTACTTGTTAAACAGTACTTCGTGCAAGTAGCTAGTTGGTAGAGTATCATTAGTTCGAGGTACACACGTGTCTGCCTTTTGTTCGCCCATTGATAATTAATAAAAGGTGTCCACCTGAATTAAAAAGTATTGTGATGAACTTCGCAAATTAATGAATGAATTTAAATTTAATGATCAGTTAGGAGATTAAATAGTATATATATAAATAATAACCGTAACGTGGGTAATGCGCTCGTTTTGTATAATCGAGCCAGAATCGGCGCAAAATGTCGGCCTAGAAACTAAACTTACTAAAGATACGAAAATCAATCATTTTACATTCAACATCACCGACTATTCGAGATGCTGGTGCCGGTGCCGAGCCGGAGCCGGCTCTGGCATTAAGCGAGTAAATCTAACGTTCGTTTACTTCTGGACACGTTTGCTGACATTCGAAAACGCTGCATCCTGGCTTGTCGTGTGAAGGACGCTATGTGCGCGGCTTATATCTCATCATCATCATCATCATTATTGCCGAAATTATCGTCAAAATCTACTCGTACTGCTAGTTTCAGTGGTTCCTCCGTCTCTTCATCCCCATTACAAACAATAAATTCAACATCATCTGCCGTGCGCATGCCGTCCTTTTTTTATATCATATATTTATACTAATTTATATTTAAAATAAAACTTCGAATTTTTCATTACCAAAGCAACAATATACCATGTGTGGTAAAACTACCGGTTAATTATAACGATAACATTGTTTAATTGATAATAATAAATTAATTAACAAAATAGCATTTAATACGATTTTAATAAAAAAAGAAACGTTTCTTTGGGCATTTTATATAACATAGTGTCAGTCAGTCAGTCAGTCAGTCAGTCATACATATCCCTTATTTCGTGTCAGTTCTGGCACGACGGAATGTCGTCGTATGCATTTCCAAGCCAAGCCACTCTACTCTATAAGTACTAAGGCCAAATACTTCTACTACTTTGAAATAGGCTGCTTTTTCTAATTAAGTACCTCAAACTCTGACGCAACAGGAAGAGGGGCAATCGCAATTGTCCAATCTTACTTAGACTAGTATTGCAGAGATGTGTACCCGATCTTTAGAATTCAAATATAACAATTTCTATCTAATGTTCTCCCGATCCCTTGGCTTCGTTCATTTATTATTAATATTATTATTATTATAATATTAAATGCTCAACTATCAATAATATTACGTTGCATTTGCTAAATCATATATTTATATTATGTTATCCTCATGCTGGAATTACAAATGAATTATGTCGAATAAATGTATAACGTATGATTGAAAATAAATGCAGAAAAAATTTAATTACATTTTTGTTCAATTATTACTATTGACCCCCTGAAATAATTTTAATTGATTTGGCTAAAATTAACATCTTTAAAATTGATTTATAAATTTAACATTCTACCATTATCCATTAAAAACATAAACCTAATTTAACTAAGTACTCAATTTATAAATTTTTTATTAAAATGTTTAAATCCCATTAGACATCCCAATTATACACATTCATTAACATTATATTCATTTTTTTATTGAGGTGCAAGTGTAAATGTACGAAAAATAAATACTGAGAATTTGGTTTGATAATCCGCTGTTTTATTTCACCTCTCAATGTTTTTACTACAATCAAATAATTATATACCTACATAAGATGAAAAGGTAAGTAAAACCTCCCTATAAGTTTAACTTTTTGTTAAATAAAAAACTAAGTAATAAAGATATCAGTATAAAATTTCGACGCCATATTTTTGTGGTATAAATCTTGATCCTGTACAAAATTTCATCCAATTGGCTTAGTGGCTGGTTTAAATATAAAAACCTTGTAAAAGTAGAAAAAAATGCATCATTTTGTAAACTATTCGATGCATCTTTATACAACTTAAAAAGGATTTAACTTTTTGTAAACACTTTTTTTTTTAAATATATAGTATACTTTTATATAATCAGTTACCTGTTGTTTGTGCTGGTTAAACCAGTATATTTTCGCCGATACTGATTTAATTAAATTTTACAAAAAATTGTACAGAATGAATGTCATTATATGACCGGCAAAAGTATGTAACAAAATCGAAAAAAAGTATTTGAGCCCTCTGAAACTTTATTTTACATACTTTTGATATCGGATAATTATTTTGACGCTAGCGATTTTAATAACTTAAAAAATTCGTTTTTATGGCAAATATTGAGGTCGAAAATTTACATATCGACCTGGGAAAGGTTTAAATCAAACAGATAACTCCAGTTTGGATTTTTTTGGTGAAGCTGACATTTTTACAAAAAAAAACAAGCTAATGTTGATAAAAATACATAAAAAAATGGCGAAGTTATGAATTTTTTAGTGGAAGACCAAAATTCAGCTTTTTGACGATTTCTATTTTATTTTTTTTCTTTTATTCCGTAATATCTTTATTTTTTAATGAAATCCTAATTAAAGTGCATGATTGGAATTTTTTAAGTTTTTTACGTACTTTTTTCACCGAAAACATTATATAAAATTTAAATTTGACATGACTCCGCAAACGTGAATTCTTTTGTTTCTCGTGTTGGCATAGTGACATTTTATTGCTATTTTTTTTATATTTTAACAGAGTATTTTTATCATGGGTTTATTTAGTTAATAAACAATGTAAAATAAGTAAAATAAGTAGAGAGTTCGAGTGCGTAAATAACCCGGACAATCTGGGCGACGTTAGTGATGAGCACGGAGAACGTTTTCACCAGCAAATGAAGGCTATGGAGCGGCGGTATCACGGCTTCTGGGATGCAGCCATGATGAGTGATTACATTTGGTCCCTTATACGAGAAGCAGAATACGAAAACAACAAAAAACAAAAAAGGAGCCAGATTTTTTTTAAACCTATGCTTATTACAACAAAATAAAACTTTCAATATCTTCAATGTTCAATATTTATTGTTCAATAATCAATATATAATTTAATTTCAATATTTGTTCAATATTAAACTTTATAAAATGAAAAAAACGTAAAAATTCTCGAAAAAACTGAATTTTGGTCTTTCACTGAAAAATTCATAACTTTGCCATTTATCCATATAAAACCTTATATCATATTTCACAGGGTCTTAAGTGTTAATTTTACAAGAAAATTACATTCGTGACCGAAATACGTCAGTTAAATCTAATTAGTAGTTCCCAATCGAAATTCATTTGTTAAAAGACAATAAATCAAACATAATCGAAAAATTACAACATATATGATTGGCTATTTAAACAAGATTACTTTTGCCGTTTGTTAAATTTCCAAACGTGAAGTAGTATTCATCGATCAGAATTCTTCGTACTTGATCAGTAACTGGTTGTATTTTTAAATAAGACTGATTCCCTAATTCATGAGCTTTAACATTTTAATTACGGTACTAACTACAGACCATGGGATGTCTAGACGCAAAATAAATTTCGAATGAGCGGAAAAATAAATTCTGGCCATAAAACAGCAAGGTTTTTTATATTAGCATGCGTTTCTTTAATACTTTTGTTGTTGTAGTTTATGAGGCAAGATTTTCCTATGCATATTTACATTTTTACCTATTTTAAGGACCTTGTATGAAAATATATGTATCTCGGTTACCCTTGTTTATAATTCGATCATTTTTTTTTTTCATGAGGATCCGAGACGCAATTTTATTCATGCTGCATAAATGTTTGCGTTCCGTTTTCAATATTTGTTCAACTTATCAAGCTAAGAAACGTATTAAAATATTATTCAAGGACAGTAAGCGCACATAAATTTTCTTATTTTTCAAAAATTTACGTAACACTGAATAATGCAGATCAAATAGTTTCAATAGGGAACACAAAAATGTTCTCTAAAGCACTTTTAGGTATTGGAGACAAAAGTCTTATGTTTAACACCGTCCTAAGCTGAAATTAACGTTACCGAAATGACGATTTTGTGTTCAAATTTTCCTCTTTTATAGTTAATAAATTATATAGATCTGGGAATCTAAAATGGACATCAAGCTAGTAGCGCCACCAAGAGGCTGTCATATGAACTGGTGGTCTAGAATCGGCATTGTCCTTCTACTAGCAGTAAAATTGTTTTTTAATGAAAATACTTTTTTTTAATATTTATTGACTATTAAAGGGGCCGTCCATAAATCTCACGCCCAAGGGAGGAGAGTTTTTTTAAACGTTACGTCACGTTTTATATAGTCAGGTTACACATATTTTAGGAGGTAGGGAGGTTCCATAACTCGTCACATCGTCACATTCTGTAAAAAGAGAGGTGGAGGAGGTCAATTTTGAACATTTTTAGTTTTACGAGATTTTTGGACCTGCCGTATAATATTTATAATCAGTAATTGTTTGGTTCGCTCAAATTCACGCAAAAGCAAATTCGAATCCGATGCTAACTTTAGCCACATTGTTTCATCAAAACATTTAATAATGCGTGTCGTTTCTAAAAATACATGAAAAAATGTCCTTGGATATCACTTTTATTAACATTACCAAATTATGAATGGAATTGAATTTAAAAACTTTTAATTAATACATTTTTAATGAATACATTGTCAATATTGATTTTATACTATACCAGGGTCAAGCAAAAAAAACTAAATTTTTTTAGAAGATTGCAATAATAGCCTTGTTCCTACCGAGCATTTGGACTATCGAATGGACGTCAGGGACATGCGCAGTACCAAAATCGCATGCGCAATACAAACATTTTGTCACGATTTTATTGCGCATGCCCCTGACGTCCTCTTGACTGTCCAAATGCTCGACAAGACACAATTTCAAATTGTTTTTAGGTACCTAAATAAGTCTTAACATTCCGAAATTTAATTTGGCACTCTAGAATATAATATTTCAACTCCCACCTCTAAAACGTACATGTTCTCATGACACTAAGTGATCTTTTAAATACACATTGACATTCTGTGGCTTTATGGGCTTTTAGTCTCGGGCTGAAGTTAGCTATAGGTTTTTAGTCACGGGTTGAAGTTAGCTTTAAGTTAGTTGACAGTTTTCAAATGTCATACAATCGTCAAAATAAAGTGCCTTTCTTTTAAAATAATAATAAATGTGGAAATTATTTATTATCTTAATACAAAAATGCAAAATTTACAAGTTCGTCGACAGCCATTTAGTATTTGCCGATAAAATATTAATAACTGTGAAAAACGGCTTCTCTATCGGGTTTAAAACGGTTGTTGACAAGCCGGTAAAACAGATTCCTATCACCAATTTTGGTTAAATTAATAATAATGATTTATTTTTTTATAATAATATATGCCGCAGTATGCAACTCTTATAAACTTTTCTTGCAAGCTTCGCTTGTGCCTTATTATTATTTGTAACTAAAATTATGTTTATCAACTTAATACATAATATAGTAATTTGTCAACTGTTATGTTGAAACACGTGAAAAAAGTAATAAATTAAAAATGTGTGGTAATAAATTTTAATTTTTTGACCCTGTATATTCGTACTTCCAGAGTCATTTAAATAGTGAGGCCCATGTTACAAATGTACATCCATTGTAACCAAACTTGTGTAAACATTGAATGCATATCTTCGAAAATTATATAAGATGTATTTGTGTGTTAGTTTTGAAGAAAACTATGAATAATATTTATTTAAATTGATAAGAAATCGACAATGTGCCCTTATTTCTATCAAATTCAAAAGTAGTAGTGTTAGTGCAGTTTTAAGATTTGACAATGAGGTTTATACTTATAAATATATTATTTTTTTGCGTATCGCGTAATGCAAACGGTAAGTTAATAGTTAATTATTAATAATTCTAAAATGTTACTGTTACTCTTGTATGAAGCTTTAATTAGGTCTCTAGATAGAACTTTTTTATATAATTTATTTTACAGAAATAATAAAAAAGCGAGATGTGTACCTTCATTAAAAAGTATGAAACTTTCTATGGTGCTTTTATATTTAAATATTTATTTTTCATTTGGACTTCTTAAGTAAATAAAAAGAAGCCATTTAAAAGCGTACACTATGACGGAATTAAATAAAATTTATTTCAAAAAATTATGATTATTAAATCGCTTCACGACCAAATAACCTAATTAACAAAATTATGCAAATATTTTTGGCAATGAAATTTTAAACAAAAGATTTTTAATTAAATTTCTTTATTGTTTTGTAATTATATGCTTGAAATTTTCGAAGTTACTTTGCAAAACATCGCTAGACTTTTGGTTTCTACATGGTGATTTAAAAATGATGATAAAGTTTCCTAAATATTTAAATAATTTCCCCAGCAAACTAGTATTTGCCGATAAAGCATTCATAATTTCGGGTGGAACATTGTTGGCATTGGATTAAAACAGAATGGGCCGATGTTAATAAAAGAGGTTATAATAAAGTAATTTTTCTACTTCCACCCTTAAATGCTCATTATCGTACATGTTTCCATGACTTTTTAAATACACATTGACAAGCTGTGGCTTTATGGCGCTTTACTCACGGGCTGAAGTTAGCTACAGGTTTTTAGTCACGGGCTGAACGCTATAAGTTAAATCTAATTAACTGCACTACTACGGCAAAATCAAATCAAAATAAAATAATTTTCACATTTAATATTATTTTACAAGAAAGGCACTTTATTTTAACGATTGTATGACATTTGACAACTGTCAACAAACTTAAAACTAACTTCAGCCCGTGACTAAAGCGCCATAAAGCCACAACTTGTCAATGTGTATTTAAAAGGTCACTTAGTGTCATGGAAACATGTACGATATAGGGCGTTTTAAAGGTGGGAGTAGAAAAAATACTATTATTGCTTTTTAGTTTTTAAGAAACCATTAATTAAGTAAAAGTTTTAAGGCCACAAGAGAGCTTCGGTGCATGAAAATGTTTGCTAATCGATTTTCCCAAATACGGGCTATAAATTTTGTTTTCAGTTTAAATGGTGAGTATATCATGTCTAAGAGAACAAATAAAATTGGTTTGAATGAAATTAGGTGGGCTGGTTATTGAAACACAGCTTACAAGACCAGACAAAAGATATGAGGTAAAATATTTCACCTGTGTTGCCGAGGTTAAAAGGAATTTTTCCTTTAATTTAGCCTACACATGCGTACCATTCCTTTTATAAGGCTTTAACCCAGTTTGCTTGGAAAAATTTCAATTTCCCACCTAACAAAATAAAATCAAATCACACAAACTCGACAACTGATATTTAAAAAACAATTATAGGTTACTTGACTCCCTTCAGCGAATACTGCCGTTGATCTTATTAGCCTGGATTTTTTATTATTCACCATTAAAAATAAAATACCTCGCCTAAAAGGCATATACACGAACATATTTTATAAATTTTATCAACAAAAAAGCAATTTTATACTTCAATCATTATGTGAAAATATATTTTAAAATTTTTTAAACTCGGCATTGCAATTCTAGTGTCAGTTATTTCGTAATTTCCTATATTCAACGACTAAGAGAGAGACGAATGTATTGGGATTTATTGTGTAATTCCTTTGTTCATTTATCTTGCTTGTTGGCTATAGGAAATTACGGAATGTCCGACGACATATAATATTTTAAACAATGCTAAAGGATTGTATGACATTTGACTGTCACTAACTTCAGCCCGTGACTAAAAAGCCATAAAGGTCACTTAGTGGAAACATGTACGATAATGGGCGTTTTAAAGGTGGTGGTAGAAAATAGTATATTATGTATCAAGTTTGATAAACGTTTCATAGAAAAGTTTATAAACATACTTTTTCTACGACAAATACCTACTTATTATTATCTCAAAATTTTTTATAGAAGACCATCTATGAAACAATAGGGGAATCTGTGTGTCACCGTCAAATGTCACATTTTTATACAGATTATAAAGGTTATAAATCGAAATGTATTTCTTGAAAATTGACAGATTTTCACAGTGAAAAAGTAAAGAAAATGTTTTATAAGTACTTTCCAGTGGAGTCCGTGTGCGAATTTAAGTTATAGTTTAATGCCGGCGAAATTAAAAGGTCAGTACAATGTTCATATAAACTTTTCAAATATTGGCGTTGAGAAATTATTTAATACTTTTGTATTGAGATAATAAAATAATTTTCACATTTAGTATTATTTTACAAGAAAGGCAATTTATTTTAACGATTGTATGACATTTGACAACTATCAACTAACTTAAAACTAACTTCAGCCCGTTACTAAAAACCTGTTGCTAACTTCAGCCCGTAACTAAAGCGCCATAAAGCCACAACTTGTCAATGTGTATTTAAAAGGTCATGGAAACATGTACGATAAAGGGCGTTTTAAAGGTGGGAGTAGAAAAAAATATTTACATTTGTATTTTTAAAATGCGGGAGAATTGAACAATAAAATTAAATGGCGTCAATACACATAGGTATTTTGTTAAATTAAGACATCTGTATAGTCTGACACAGCCTATTTATTTATTGAAACCATCCCTAAATGTAGGTTTTAATTAATGGCCCAACATTACAGAGAGAAAATAATAAAACAGCTCAGACCTAAATTTCAATTAAAATAGGGTATTTTGGCTTCAATTTCCAGTAAGTTTCAGTTGATATTTTTCTTTGACTTTTAATTCCTTTCAGCAGAAGGAAAAGCTCTCAGAAAATTTAAGACATTTTCTAAGAAATCCATATGACATCGTTTAGCCATCAGTGAAAAATACCTGAAAGAATATGTTGAGAAACTTTCAACCAGTTATTAATTTATAATGCATAGTAGTTAACACCTCCATTCGATAAACTATATTAAACAGCAAACAGCTTTAAGTCATCAAACGCATTTTATAAGTCATTCGAATTGGAATCGTAAATAATTATTAGTAGACATATGTATACAGATGCATGGAAATTAATACATCGGAACCATGTGTGTGTTAATTAAGTTAATTTCGATTAACGATTAAATGCATGCAAAAACTTAATATAGTTACTAATTTCAAAAATATTTTGCGTGAAAGAAAAAAGATGATAAATGTATTTTTAATTGATGAAGGTTTCGTGAAAAGGAAAAAATCGCACGTTTTTTCTCCTAAACGAATAAATACCTACGTCATAGAAAGTTTAAAGTTGATAAAAAGTTGAGGCATAATATACAAAGTATTAACTTTTTAGCCAAAAGTTGCTCTTTCATCGCCTGCTGTTGATTCACGTTAAACAAATTTGTCCTTTTACAAAAACTTAATTGATGATTATTAATATTAACATTAAATATATTTGAAATATAAGCCGTTTTATTTTTTATTCCGGAAGTAATTTTATGTGTTAATCCTAGAGTGATATTTTCAATTAGATAAAAAATATCACATAGGAATTTTTTAATTAAAAACTAGATTTAATTTTTATGCCAAACTGATAAATTTTATTTATTTAATTTAAAATATTTGCTTCTTATATTTGTATTTTTTTGGTAAACATATATTTTGAGTTCGCTAAATTAAAAATATTATAGGAGAAATTTTTAAATGTATTCAAAATATCATAGGAGATATTTTTAATTCGATTTAATTTTATTTTATTAAATAAGCAGATAATTTTAATTGAATGTTATAATTTTTATTGATTGAGAGTTTGGATACCCCTGTTATTCCAAACGCCGCAAAAACCGACCCACTCCAACGACAAACTATGTAACGTTAGGGTGTCCGTTATTTACCAACTTGGTTTTTTTGTTCGCAGCGCCCCCTAAATTTTGAATTTATGACCTAAAAAAAATATAAAAAAAATATTTATATTAAACCGTGCCACAAAGACGATACATTTTCCATTTAAATAACATATAATTTTAATAAATATCTACTATGATATTTTTAATAAGCAGAATAAAAATTCTTATATGATATTTTTTATCTAATTGAAAATATCACTTTGGTGTTGACACATACAAATAATGTCTGAATAAAAAATAACATACAACTAAGTTTATTTTTGTTTCTCTGGACTGCGGCAACGTTGCAAATTTATGGCTTTGGTTGGTAAATACAGTTGTCAAGTTGGTCGCATTGATTAAAACAAACTAAGCTAGTTATAAATCTAATTGTGGTTATGTATAAATTATTGTAGGTTACATTGTGCAGTTGTCAAGTTGAGTTGTCGAAATTCGTAGTTAAAAATGCAATTAATTTGGCTTTGGTGGTGCTTGGATAAGTAAAATCATATAAAAAAGTAGTTAAATATAGGTTGCTTTACAGCCCAGAAGAGAAAGTATTCCTAGCGGATAATAATCTTCGCTTTGAGAAGAATTTATATAAAAGAAATTAAAATTTTTTGTTAACGTAAATGTTGTCCAATGGTGAATAATGTGAAAATATTGTGTGATGTAATATTTATAAAACCAAATTCGTATATATATATATATATATATATATATATATATATATAATTAACTGTACTTAAAAAAACCTAAATGTTATATGGAGATTTCTGCGTTAAAATTAACATTAATTTTGGTCAGTAAGCGTGAAACAAAGTTTCGACGAATTTAAACTCTGACTCAAATTTTCAGGAATGCGCTTGGAAACGCTAAAAAAATGCTGCACAGTCGGCGAAAATTATTCAACGTCCGGGATGGACTGCAAAACTTTTAAGCCGCCCATAGCCAACGTCGAAAAACGATATGAAGCCGCTTGTCTGAGGACGGTCGACGTTTGCTGCAAAAAAAAGCTCAAGTAATTTAAAATTTCGGCGAATCCTTTCTCATTTAAAACAAACTAATTGCTTACAGGGAGGGCCAGTGCAACTTGGGAATTACCGACGCCAAACAGGGGGCGTGCGGGGATGAGGACGGCGAACGAAAAGTAAGAGATCTGCTAAGAAATTTTTGAGTTAAAAAACACAGTATTCAAATAACATTTAACATGTATAATAAAAATAATTTTCTTTTAAGGATTGTTGCGAGGCGTGCTCAGTTGGAATATCAATGGGTAAGGCAGGTGAACCCTGCGTTGATTCTTACGGATTAGGAGAAGGATTTGTGAAATGCTGTGAAGAACCGGAAAGCATTCCCAGCACTACATCTTCTTCAACAACCACATCAACAAGCACCACAACAATTAAACCAACATCAGAAGCTGACCTTGATCCTGACAAACTTGAAAGTAAGCACAAGTACTTTGATAAACTTTCAAACTCTATTTTCACATCCTTACAGACTTGGATACGATATGCGATTCAGACGTGTGTGCCCAGCTATGCGAGGTCACTGAAAGTTCCTATAAATGCAGCTGTTATCCTAATTACGTCCTTATGGGAGACGGTGTTTCCTGCAGACCCTTGAAAAAAGCGCAGAGAAAGGGATCACGGTGCGATCTGAATAATCCTTGCGATCAAAGATGTGTGGACACGGGGACCGCCATTAAATGCGAATGTGATGATGGTTACTCTCTTGGGAGTGATCATCAGACTTGCGAAGGTCTCGGATTGTATTAAGTGAATTATTTAGTTACGTTATATTATGATGAATTTCAGATATCGATGAGTGCGCCATGAATTTGCACGATTGCCAAAAAGGAGAAGAATGCATCAACGATGTGGGAAGTTTTTCTTGCATTGCTACAGAAATCGATGAGGATCCTTTTCAAGCCTGCCCCAAAGGCTACCATTTCAGCGGTACAACGAATAAATGCGAGGATATTAACGAGTGCGAATTCGATATTGTTTGCGAGAGACCGAAAACATGCGAAAACACTATGGGCTCTTATGTTTGCAAAGGAGACGATAGAGAATTGTGTCCTTCAGGATATCATTTTAACGGGACCATAAACGATTGCTCCGACATCGATGAATGTTTAACCGACGAACACAACTGCAACAAGGATTCTCAAGTGTGTCTGAACACAAAGGGAAACTACACTTGCCAAGATAAAGCATCGAAAAAACATTGTCCACCTGGTTTTAAGAACAACGCTTCGACAGGATCTTGCGAGGATATCGACGAATGTAACGAAAGCGACGATCTATGCAAGTCTGGCGAAGTTTGTGTCAACGAGCCGGGAGGTTATAAGTGCGCTAACAAAGTCACAACCACAACTCCAAGGACCTTTTCCACCAGGTTTCCCACAAAACCGATTAAACCGGTCCCCAAAGCTTTCTGTCAAAAAGGATTTGAACATAACGGAGTCGGTTGTCATGGTAAGTTTGAAATTCATAATTCCATACTTCATTCTAACATGTTATGTTTGATTGCATTAACCTTTAAAGTTTAAACCAAGCAGTTTATAGAAATAAATGTCTCCATTATCGAGATCAACGTATATATAAAATCGTGTAAACATTGACCGTGGTGGGCCATACTCAATAAATACGATTAAAATTTAATAGTTAATGACATCACCGGATCGTGTCAGTAAACATGTACACGTAAATCTCATAGTAAACAACGTTCGTGCTGAATCTAGAGGTAAATGGTCTAAAGATCTTACTATTACGTTTCCCAATAAAAAAGGTTGTACATCCTACTAAAATTGTTTCATTTCAGATATAGACGAGTGTGAGTCAAATCCCTGCGATAGTACACAGGAATGCGTAAATCAGCCTGGAAGTTACACTTGCAATTGTAAAATTGGCTACACCAAGGACCCAGTGCTTGGCGCGGCCTGCGTTGGTAAATATTTTTGTTTTGTTTCTGAACTTACTACTGCTTCAAGAATCAGTAGTAATTTCTAAATTTATCCCCGGTTTAATGACTTTGTAGTCCTGGAAATTTATTAATAACCGCTTTTCAGACATAAACGAGTGCCTGCTGGGCAACCACGACTGTTCCTTTACTCAAAGATGCGACAACAGTCCTGGATCATACGTATGCAATAGAATTGTGGGCTGTGGCACTGGATACACCTTTAATTATGGCAGTGGATTATGCGAGGATGATGATGAGTGCGCTCTAAACCTTCATAATTGTGACCTAATGGGTCCTGGATTAATATGCAAGAATCTTTTGGGAACGTACATATGCGAGAAACCTGCAACTCCAAAACCGAAAACGACTCCAAGAAATCCTTTTTATAACTATTATACTTCAACCGCAAGATCAAATCCTACAACGACTAGACCAACAAGCAAACCAATCACAACCAGATATTATAATCCGGTTACTACAAAATCAACCCCAAGAGTCTATCCGAATTATTATACGCAAACAACTACAATCAGACAAACCACAACTCCTTTTTATTCCAGATACTATACCACTACTAGTTCTACTACAACCCCAAAACCTACCATTTACTTTGTCCCCACTACCCCTCCATGGATTTATCATAGACCGCAAAGCAACAACAACGTGTATGTACAGACGCGTTTCTACAACATCCCCGATGTGCCAAATACAGAGAAACCCATAATAATGCAAAACAGCAATTGCCTTCCGGGTTACAGGAAGAATGCCAGAGGAGTATGTGAAGGTATTCATTAAAAATATCCATTGAAACCATTTTAGCGAGCTAGTAATTTCAGATATAAATGAATGCTTGAGCAATCCATGCGAGGCCACCCAAAAGTGCATCAACATAAACGGCTCGTTCAGATGTTCGGACACTTTGATTTGCAAGGTGGGCTATGAGCCCAACGACGCTGGCAGCAAATGTGTTGGTAAGTGTTTGGCTCTTCAAAAAACCCAGCAGGGTTGAATCCCCGTTTAATCGCACCCGTGCGCCTCAAATGCAACTCATATGCAAGGCCAGATGATAAACGCACGTGTGCGCGTATCGTGACTACATTTTGCTAACAGGATTTCTTCCTTGAGTTGTCGAATCGTCTCCAGTCTTTGCCTAAATTTAGTTTCAACTTGAAGAAATCCTGGGACTTATTGCTCATGTCACACTTAATTTAGGAAAAGACAACAAATGTTACCTTAACATTTCAGACATTAATGAATGCAGCCGAGGAACTCACACATGCCACCACACTCAAATATGCAAAAACGGACAAGGTTATTATACATGCGAGTGTCCTTTGGGTTATCACATAGACAAGGCAACATTCAGCTGCGTTGATATGGACGAATGCAAACACTATAGGGTAATCAAACTTATACAGGGTGTCACCAAATAAATTGTCATCCTGTGGGGGGATGATAGTACACGCCAAAACAAGAAAGTTGTTTCTCTATCATTATTGCATTGTTGATTTCTCTGGGGCTAACTGAACAGTTTAGTGTACCAGAGCAAAGTTGACACATTAGAACAACTCCGCGAACTTTTCACTGCATCAAACAACTTATTTGGTGAGACCCTGTATAACCTTGAAAACAAAGCTTAAAATTAAATGTTTAGAATTAGGATTCAAAAGTGTTGTATAATCCTTAAATGATCTATTTTTGTGGCAGCCTTGTTTGCCGTACGCTTTGTGTGAGAACACTCCAGGATCATACCGCTGCACTTGCAAGGACGGCTTTAAGCGCGAAGGACCCGACTGTATAGACATTGACGAGTGCAAGGAAACGACAGGATTATGCTCTCAAAAATGTCTTAATCAATGGGGATCGTACCGTTGCGCTTGCAATTCAGGATTTAAACTCAATCCTGACAACAGGACGTGCAGCGACATTGACGAATGCGAAAAGTACAAGGACAAAAACATTTGCATGCACAAGTGTCAAAATATACCCGGGAGTTACGCGTGCGAATGTCCAAGCGGATATAGATTGGGAAATGACCGGAAAGTTTGTATCGGTAAGATGTTTGGCTGTTTTATTTGTTTTGAAACTTTCTATATTAATTCTTCTTTTAGATATAAACGAATGTAGCGAAAATGCATGCAATCCTCACGAGTCCTGCATTAATATTGGTGGTGGATACAAATGCTATCCGATTGAGTGCCCGCCAGGCTACCACAAGGATTCCAGTGTTAAATCGTGAGTTTACATTCTTAAAGATAAAACATATCACAAGCAGAATTTTTTCGAAATATAATTTAGCTGCGCAGTTATCATGTATATGTTACGGCTAATGTGCAAACTTGGATAGTTTATAAACTAGCCAAACTGTCAGCTATTTTAATTGAAAACATATTTTCAACTAAATTAGCGGCTAGTTTACAAAATAACCAAGGATCTTGGCTAATTTACTTGAAATTATTAGGAAAACTAAAATAGCTGGATAGTTTGTATACTATCCAATTCAGTTTGGCTAATATGAAAACCAAAATTTCTAGTAACACAAAATAGCCAAGCTTTAGCTAGTTTGTAAACTAACCAACTAATTCTCTGGCTAATTTATTAAAAAAGTGAGGTTACGGCATTGTTTTTCGTTTTGTCGGCTTAACCGGATTTGTTTTGTGCATTTTAACGTTTTTAAAATGAATCATAGGCAAAATTTTAACGCTTCCTTGTTAGAAAACTCAACAACACAACCCTACCGACCCCGCCCCATTAACTAGCCGCTAATTTAGTTGAAAATACATTTTCAATTAAAATAGGTAGCTGACAGTTTGGCTAGTTTATAAACTATCCAGCTAGTTTATAAACTATCCAAGTTTGCACATTAGCCGTGACATATATAATATAAAACCTACAACGTAACTTCAGAATAATAAAGTAATTCAGAAATCAATTATTCTTAATTATTATTTCCAACAACTCATTATAATGAGCCTGTTCAAAACATTTCATTCCTAAAATTTTGAAAATAATCGTAGCCGTATGTCAATAAACCTAACCTTACCGTTAAATGGTAATTCCAGAAAAAAAACAAAATAACATAAAGCGACGTTCTGTTATTGGTTTAATTCAATCCCCACGAATTTGAAACACCCTGTAAATGCAATGCCACAGTGTGGAATTTTACGCTTGAAAATTTGATTGTAGGATTTGCAAGCGCATCAAGAACTACTGTGACCCAAGAACGACGGAATGCCAGTTGATGCCTGAACAATATTCCTACCAGTACATCACGATTGTGTCCGACATACCGCTATTAGATGAGCCCATTCAACTGTTTCAAATAAGCGGGCCCTCTTGGAGCCAGGCGAGAGTTGATTTTTCTCTTTCGCTCCTTGATGTCGATTGTCCCCATCAAAAACGAATCGATTTGGAAAATTACTTCAAGAAAGAAGTGGAGGGCAGCATCATGAGGTTATATTTAACGCGTAGCCCCACTGGACCTCAAGAGGCCACCTTGCAAATCGACATGAAGTTATACAACGGAAACGCAATAATTGGAAATATCGTTGTTTATATCGTTGTTATTGTTTCCGAGTTTCCTTTCTAGTTTAATATGTTTTATGCTTTCTGAAACAGCTCAATAATATTAAGTTAATAACTACTATAATTAAGGACAGCCCCTTAAGGCTTAATCTGCCACTGCTTGTCTGTAGACTCATAAAAAATATTTTGTAAGTAATAATTTATATTTTTAATGCTAAATTAGCATGTATAAATAAGGGTTTTTGTAATTTCTTACCTATTAAAAGAGTTTTTAAGTAATTCTTGTTGTTTTAACACTTTTTTCTACTCTCAAGCTGTGACTTTATGGCGTTTTTGTCACAGGCTGAAGTTAGCTTGAAGTTATTTGACATTTGTCAAATGTCATACAAGTGAAATAATACCAATATGTGAAAATTACTTTTTATATATAAGTAATACTTATACTTACGTAATTTCTTAACGCCAATTTTAAAAAGTTTATGTAAACGTTTGTCGCTGGCAGTACACTAGTAGTTATTTGCCGACAAAACATTAATAATTTCGCCCCTAAAAACTTCCTCTTCAGTTTCACTGTAAAAAGCTGTTTATCAGATTTAAACGGTTGTTATAACACTATATATAGTGAATTTTCAAGGAAGAAATTTCGATTCTTACGGAAAAATTCGACAAACTAACACTGACATTTTGAAAGCCGGTAAAACAGATACCTAACACCAGGGTTACTCTAGTTCTGTATAGATGTCGCTGTACACAAATATTTAAATTAATTAGTGATTAATTATTTTTTATAATAATGTATGTCGTAGAAAAAGTATAGTATAAAACTCGTTTATAAACTTTTTTATACACGAATTTTAATAAGGCACGAGCGAAGCTTGCGAGCGAGTATTTAATAAAAATTACTAATCCTATGTATACATTGACAATTGCCTTAAGGCTAAAGTTAACAACATTGTATTATAGCTTCTTCTTCTTCTTCGATATAAGAACATCTCCGTCTTCAGAGGGATGGCATTTAGCTCAAAGCTAGCTTAAAGTTAAAATTGTGCAAAAGTGAGGTTAAAACCGTTTGACAGATGTCAGATAGGGAAAAAGTGAGGTTTATAGCCGCTTAATAGTTGTGAGATGTCAGATAAAATGTCAAATGTCAAAACTAGTAAGTATTTAGGTACATAAATTGTTACATAATATACTAATGGTATAATATGTATCAGGTTTTATAAATGTCATTTAAGCTTGAAAGCGAGTGATTAATAAAAACGAGTGTCTAGAGAAGTTTAAAACGAGTTGCATACTATACTTTATCTAGGACGAACAAAAGAAGAATTTAAAGCCAATTTTATGTTAAACATTTTTTCTTCTCTTTAGCTAATTTGAAAGCTATTTGGCCAGATGTTAAACATTTGGCATCTGTCAAATTTTAACGGATTTAACGTTAAATCCGTTAAAATTTGACAGATGCCAAATGTTTAACATCTGGCCCAATTTATAATAAAGCTGACTTCAGCCCGTGACTAAAATGCACAATAGCCACTATTGCTTACTTTAGCCCGTCACTAAAACACCATAGTCAAAGCTCGTCAATGAAGGAGTAGATAAGGTATGTTATAGTATAGTAACTTTACTATAACTCACTTTTTTCTAGGTTTTCAAACTTTCTGTAACGTAGGTCAACATGGCCGTGCTAGTTACAGAAATCTACGATTACCGGCTACTTTTGACTAGTTTTTTATTTTATAGATGTCGTGGTAAACACACATTGCCGGATCAACTTTAATTTACTCTTATAATAATTATATTTAGTTAAAAATAAGAAAAATTAAACATAAATAAATTTAAAATGGATTTTATTGTTTGTTTTTGCACAATATGGCAACGTTGCAAACATGCAAGTGTCAAAAATTATAACCGCTAAATATTTCTTTTGACAGATTGTTGTTGTTTGTGGCATTTTTTGGGAAAACATCTTATATCGAGGTGTGTTTAAATAAATAAATAAACATTGTATTTAGATATAAATAATTTTTGTCAATAAACTGCGTGTTACATAATGTATATTTGTTTTAAGCTATGGGAGGCTGCCGCTGTTCATATAAAAATTGTCAGAATTCGACAAAATCAAGTGAGAACCTGCACTTTTTTCACTACCCTGTGAGGCATAAAGAAAGATGCAAATTATGGATAGAAATGGCGAACAAACCGCAGTTTTGCGATCTCGAGGAGGATCAGTTGAGAAACAAAGTCATTTGTGAACAGCACTTTGAAGATAAGTATTTTCCTAATCCTTTGAAGAAAAGATTATTACAGGGAGCTGTGCCCTCATTGGATGGTGATAGTTTAGAACCCCCCGTGGAGATACCTTTAACAGAAGATGTACATATAATGCCGGCTAATGATGATGGTACAATATTCATGGTTAAAACTGAGAATACTTTTAAGAGAAGAAGAGCTCAAGAATGTGAATCTTATGTCTACAAGAATGGTTTAATATTACCCTCGAGAGGTAAAAGGGCTGAAATAAAGAAAGAGATAAAGATGGAGAATGATGGGGCTTTACATCGTGTCCTTGACAACAAAGAAATGCAAGTTGTTACTGGAATGACCATAAATGCAACTAAAAGAACCACAAATCCAGTATCGATAACCTCTATGAAACCCAAGAAGGTTTTGAATCGGTTATTAGAACCCATTGTGCACCCGAATTTCAGGAACCCCCAAATAATGCGAGATGAGTTGTCAATTGAAGATGACAAGCCCAACATTGAGCATGTGGAAATTCAAGACCTGCAAGAAGACATTTCAATTGTACCTGCCACACCAAAACAAAATCTGAACGGAAGTACATCAGCCAAAAAACCTGAAGCAGTACCAGTAAACAAAAACTATTTGCGCAAAATCAAGCAGCACAGCCGCGAAATCGCAACGATTAAAAAAATGCTGCAGGAAAAAACCAAACTGGACATGGGCAAAATTCTGGAGGCTCTAAAAGAGAGCGTACCTCCAACCCTATACACCATTGTTGAATTAAATATGAAATTGCAATGTGATTTAACTATGAATGACTTGCAATTTTTTGGGGACATTCATAAACACTCCCCCCAGGTGTATGATTTGTTAATCAACAAATACGACTGGAAATTACCAGACATGGAGAAATATAACTCTGAAAATAGCATGTAAATTGTATAGAATTTAAATTATTTGTCATTTGTGCTAAGTTGAAAGGTCCTATCTACAATATTTAGTAATAAAGGACAAAATATCATTTTTATTTGCCCTTTATTTATTACTTAATATTGTAAATAGAACCTTTGAGCTTAGCATGGCAGAATATTATTTTATTGTATTTTTTGATCAAGTTTTGTAATTTTGTATATTAATTGTTTATTGTATTGAAATTTTTTATTATGTACTTTTTTTTTAAGAAATTTCAAAACAAAAAACCTATTTACCTTTAAAATTGTTATAAATGTTTAGTTTTTAGTTTTAATTAAGAAAATAATTGATTTCAACATATTTATATTCAATTTTAACATTTTTTATTGGAGAATTTAAAGTGTTTTTTTATCTTATACATTCATTATTATTTTGTTAGTTTTGTAATTCGGTTTTCCCGATTACATTTATAATTATAGGGTTCAAATATCAAGTGTTGAATTGTAATTAATTTGTTTAGTATAAAAAATAATAATTGTATATAATGTAGTGTCAGAGATTCCGTTATTTCGTATAGCCAACGAGCAATGGACGATTACAATTAATTACAATACATTCGTCTCCCTCTTACTTGTTAAATATAGGAAATTACGAAATTTTCGACACTGTATATTTGTTTAAATAATAAGTAAATATCATTTTAAAGATTTTATATATTTTTTCACTGTTTTTGAAATATTTAACATTTTTATCCTCGAATTTATTTAAGAGTAGAATTGTTTTTTGGTTTTATCATTAATTAGGACTAGTTTTGCAATTGTTTAATTTGCAAAATATCAATTGTATATAAATATATAGTTTGTTTAACTAATAAATAATTCATCTACATTTTTTTTGGTTTTTCTACTTGCCTTACATAATTAAAATGGTAGAAAGTAAAAGATGTTAATTTTTTTACTATTTATTTAAGCAATGTATGTAAAATTACACAAGTATAAATGATTACAATTAGCTTGTTACGTAAACGCACAAGTATCTTACGATGTAAAAAATGGCACTTGATTTGGTATAATGGAATAGCCAGTATTGTAAAATGTATAATAAATAAAAATATAATAATCAATTATAAAATAACAAGTTATGCACATTAAAATATCTCACTAAAAATATTAAAAAAATATATCAAATTAAATGTGGAATGGTCAATGGAATTTGTACACAATATTTTATACAACCCAAAAAATTAAACAAAACAATTATTGCACCTCAACCCTAAAAGGAATGAATTTTGTTACCAATACTATAAAGTCAGACTAGCAAATAGTACAAATGATTTGGAATGTAGGGATGATGAAAATTAAATTTAAATAAAATCAATTTGTCAATTACAAAATAATACAATTTTAAATACGTTATATACATTAAGTTATTGCCGGTTGTTACCATCCATGTTTAGGTTATAGTCTAATGCCATTAAACAGGCAAAAACAGTCATAACCATTTTTGGTTTTACTTCGGTTATATCTTCGGGAAGAGCGTAGACTCTAGCACCAACTTTACGTGACATTGATATGGCGTATTTTGCATTTGCTAAATTATCCTGTAAAACATAAAAATTATAATCTCACGATGACGTTAAAATGTTGTAAGTATTACCTCCTCAGTGTTGCTACTCTTAACTAAATCATAGTTAATTGCACCAGGTTTTATAGCATCAATCAAGTCGATTACAACTTTAGCATCACCAATGGAAGAGTCCTGGAAACTCCTCAAGGAAGACTGTTTACCGGCACCACTCAATTTATTGTTAACCCACCCAACAATTTCTTTCTCAATTATAGGACTTCCCGACTCGGCCAATTGCGACAAAACCGACAGAGTGTACGCCCTCATCAGCTGCCAAACCAGAGCCAGCGTCAAAGTGACATTCCCTTCGTTGATATCCTGACCGGCGATGCCCACCAAGGAAAACTTAACCTCTTTACCCAACTGGACGGCGTAGTTGCAATTCTCAAGTTTCTCCATGAACTTCTTACGCTCGTTTGTAAACTTACGCGTCACTTTCGTCCAGTTTACAACACCCGGTTTGATGATGTCGTACAATTGGAAGACCACAAGACCGTCAGCAAGATCCGAGTACAGCCAGTTCACGTACGGGGTCACACCCATCGAATTTATCCAGTTTCTGTAAGCTGCAAGCAAATCAATCAAGAAGTCAAGGTATGTGCTATTCAATTGTTCCATTTTTTATTTATTCTAATTAGTCTAACTGAATCGGTGAGATTAGGAACAGTCCAAGTCCACTTTACAACGAAAAATTGATACATAAAAAAAAATTGACTTGTTCCACGGTGTATAAGCCCGTGACTTGTACTGTTCTTAATTTCACCGATTCAATTAATAGTATATTATGTATCAAGTTTGATAATAGTATATTAAAGAACTAATGTCATAAGACGTCAAAGGTCTTATGACATAAGTTCAAATGGTCTTATGACATAAGTTCTTTATGATATTTTATCTATTTTGCAAAAATTCTATAAACAATAGTATATTACACTACAAGGGTAGAAAGTGTGAGATTCCTGCACTGCGCGCCATGATGCCGACTTGCATCTAAACCCTCAACCCTTAACGGCTAATTAGCCAACGTTAGGCTCGCGCGGTATTTTGTAACACGAAACACTTTAAAGAAGATATAGGTACTTCAGGACTGTATTTTTGTAATGATTTTATTAAATATGATTACTAATTAATATTATTGCTTTTGTTTCCATCATTTGTTTCACTAATTTAGTTGATTTTATCCCTTAAATATATTAATATACTAATTAGTATTGCTAAAATATACTGTTAAATGAAATTTCAGCTTTATATAAGCATTTCTTTTCTTGTTGTCCTCCCAAAAATATTTCAGACAGTTCAATAAGTTTTCGGTAGTCATGTCTCACAATAGACTCTTTTAGTTATTTAGAGTAAAACCCATTAAGTTTATCAATTTCAGAGTTTACAGCCAATTCACCAGACCCTTCCGGGTAACTAGCCACTCCCTGTGAAAATATACATTTTTATCAAAGTATACTCGTAAATAAAATTATATTTTCTTACTACCTCGGCCGAAAATACGTTGTTTCTTCCCCGATTCCACGGCAGAAAGTTAACGTTTGATGCATTGGTCAAGCTATACGTATTTTCGGCCGAGGTAGTAAGAAAAATTATTTTTTTCATCATATGTAGTGCATAAATGATTTTTTACATCATTGTGGGTTGCCTATGTCGGGGCAGGCATCAATATGTTTCGATATACACATTTAATTTTTTCCCGTATTTTCGGCCGGGTAGCAAGAAAAATAGTATACACTACACGGGCAGAAAGTGTGAGATAATAACAAACACAAAATGACTTAAGATCGAAGACCTCGCGACCAACCGTGTTACAAAATACCGCGCGCCTAACGTTGGCTAACGGAGGGTTCAGATGCAAGTCGGCACAGGTTCCTGTTTATAGAATGAGCTGAAATTTTTACTGGGAGTATATAAACAAGTAATAAATATAATTAGAGGGTATGCGTAAAAAAAATAAAAATAAGGGACACCCTAAGAATCTTTAAATCATATTCCAATGTTTAAAAAAGTTTATGCGGGGAATATTCTAGGAATATCTTATGTTCTTTGGGTTCATAGCTTACTTTTTGAATTAATTCATTGAGAAAAGTTTTGGACTTCCATCGACTTGTTGCAACTGGCAGGTATCTCCAAACAAAGACAATGGAAGTCCAACACTTCAAACAAACAACTTACTTCTTTCTTCGCGTGTCTCCTCGACGGTTTCGTATTCGGCGGTGCCGTTTTGTTGCTCGAGCGCTGGGTGATTATTGAACAAATTGGCGACAAAAGCAAGATTAAGCTTGTAGTTTCCGCTGACGACATCTTGCGGCGTGACGAAAGCTCTGCATCCCAATTTGCCGGCTTGTTGCAGCATGATTTCAGCCCTGCTGATGTTGTCCCTCTCCAGAATTGCCTCGGTAGTCACGCCAGCGTCATTTGGTGCGATTTGCTTTAGTAAGTAAGTGTAAACTTCCGAATCGATGATGTCACTGGTAAAGTTGTTGACGCGTCTGTGAACTCCGGCCCTTTCTAATTGGTAATTGACCCATCTGATTAAAATAGCCTCAGGCGACAACTTGAGAAGATCATCAATCTTCTCGTCTTCGCCCAGCAAGGCTGTAAGGCCTGGACAGTGCTCCAAAGTAATTTGGTTAAACAAACCAATTCTAATGATTTGCCAGAGCAAACCTAGTACTAAGTGGGGTGTGCCTTTGGACAAGTTGTGTGCGTCTATGTTGACTACATTGCAACCTATAGCGCTGGACGAAGCCAGGGCTAGAGTTAGGTTTTCCAGCTTTTTGTACAACGTCAACTGCCCTTTGTTGATGGTTCTTTCGTCGATTGTGTCTGGGCATGAATGATTTATGATTTTGCTAAAAAATATTAGTTTGTTAGGGGTTCATCCCCAATGCCTAAAGAGCTTACCATAGAAGGATTCCATCCTTGACTTTTTCATACAGATTTTTCCCTTCGGAATCTATGGGTAACGAGCCCTTCAAATCTGGATCGTGCTGCAAATTTGAGTTGATCCAATCGGAAAAAGCGAGTTGTTCCTCAACTCGCACGGAATGTGTGGTGCCTTCGTTTGAGGCGTGGGAGGTTCCCCCTAAATGTTGGAGGTTCTCCCTTTTGGAAACAGCCGTACGGAATGTTTTCGCAACCTCTTTCGCCTTCAAATCGGACCACAACTTTTCGAATTCGGTGTACGACAGTTTGCCGTCCTTCGACTTGTCGCTTTTTTTGAATTCCTCCTCGATTTGTCGGGACTGATAGCCGGCTATTTTGATCCCGCAAACTTCCAAAGCGTCCCTGAGTTCCTTAAGGTCGATTTGTCCGTCACCATTTGTGTCGATCTACAAGAAAAACATTATTTAGTCGCTGTTTCAATTAACAGGTTTCGTTAAAGGGTAATTTATACATATAAGAAAATTGTATTTTTCACAAATTAATATATACATATACATTAGGGTGTCCCTTATTTTTATTTTTTTTACGCATACCCTCTAATTATATTTATTACGTGTTTATATACTCCCAGTAAAAATTTCAGCTCATTCTATAAACGGGAACCCGTGCCGACTTGCTTCTGAACCCTCCGTTAGCCAACGTTAGTCGCGCGGTATTTTGTAACACGGTTGGTCGCGAGGTCTTCGATCGTAAGTCATTTTGTATTTGTTATTATGTGACCCTTATATTATAAATTATTGACAAATGTTAAAATATAGCTTTATTTATGTGTATACTTTGATAAAAATGTATATTTTCACAGGGAGTGGCTAGTTACCCGGAAGGGTCTGGTGAATAGGCCGTAAACTCTAAAATTGATAAACTTAATGGGATTTACTCTAAATAAATAAAAGAGTCTATTGTGAGAGATGACTACCGAAAACTTATTGAACTGTTTGAAATATTTTTGGGTGGACACCAAGAAAAGAAATGCTTATAAAAAGCTGAAATTTCATATAACAGTATATTTTAGCAATACTAATTACTGTCTGTCCACTCTAAGTTGGCTGAACTAAGGAATTTTGTTGTTTAGATATTAAAGAATTGTCGTACTGTGTGCTTTTAAAACAGATTTTATATTATAAATAATACTAGTATATAATATGTACTAGTATTATTTATAATATAAAATCTGTTTTAAAAGCACACAGTACGACAATTCTTTAATATCTAAACTACAAAATTCCTTAGTTCCGCCAACTTAGAGTGGACAGACAGTATATTAATATATTTAAGGGATAAAATCAACTAAATTAGTGAAACAAATGATAGAAACAAAAGCAATAATATTAATTAATAATCATATTTAATAAAATCATTAGAAAAATACAGTCATGAAGTATATCTTCTTTTTAAAGTGTTTCGTGTTACAAAATACCGCGCGCCTAACGTTGGCTAACGGAGGGTTCAGATGCAAGTCGGCACGGGTTCCCGTTTATAGAATGAGCTGAAATTTTTACTGGGAGTATATAAACAAGTAATAAATATAATTAGAGGGTATGCGTAAAAAAAATAAAAATAAGGGACACCCTAATATACATATAGTATGTATAACTATAGTTTTATGAATAATTAAACAACCAAATTTTAAAATAATGTTTATAAAAACTGCTTTTTTTCTTTGAAAAGGTAGTAGCTAAGCTGTAAACACTGTAAAACGATACGGAATTTTACTATTAAAACAATTGAATTAATGAATTTGTGGTTATGTTTTTTCATGTTAATTTGAAGCGCAGCTACGAACGCCATCTATTCAAATTATCCAAAGTTGTACGAATTTTGATTTTCCGGCTGTTCTGTAATGTACCTACCTATCTTGTTATATTAAATTTAAGTTAGTTATAATTTTAAATAATATTTTATTTTATACTTTGTAAAAACAATTTAAATACTGTGTGTTTTAATAATAATCTTGTTTATTTGTTTTATTTTTCCCAAAGAACTATTTTGAAGATAATTAAAATGTGATTATTATAGACTAAACTAATAAACAAGTATACGTGACCAAACTACCCTACTACAATTGTTATACACTGTAAAAAAGCAATTGGAACGCACAACAAAATATTTATTTTTATCTTGAAAGCATTGCTTTATGTGTTGCTTGTTTCCGTTCGTTCTAATATTTTATGTAAACAAAAAATTAAAATTGGCAAAATTTCTGCGCCCAATAATTATCAGGTGTTCCTCAGTTGCCGGTAAAGAAGGGCAGATGTGTAATTTGTCCAAGGCATGCCTTTTTGCAAAAAGTAGAAGGTGTGCCAAAAACATGTGCATGAAGCACAGGAAAAATGTTTTTAAAGAAAGCTTCGATTCCATAGTAAATTCTAGTATCGAAAGTAAGTGACTTTGAGCAGGCTGGGTTTTGCCTCCCTATTAACCTTTTTTACCAAATCATAATTACTTGTAAAAGTAAACCTTATCTTCTATGCTTAGTGTTTTTTTTTAATATCAACAAAAGCTTTAAACTTTCCTTCTTATTTTTGTGAATTCTATCGACTGTATATATAATTATTATTACTATTACAGCAGTTGTCAACATTATTTTAAAATTCAATTATTTAAAAAAAAGCCAAATATGTTTTGATTTAAACGTTGAGCGACTTAAACATAATAATTTCCTCTGCCCACACAATTTCTACTTTAATTTAAGCACACGGAAACAAATATTTTCAAATTAACTTATGTTATTTAATAAGGTTTATTGTTTTTAATTTAATTTAGCCCTCATTAAAATTCCCGCAGTGCTTGAGTCAATAAACCTTTCAATAAGGCATCTAATAGATATTTAATATTAATTAGAAAATTAATATGCGTGAAAAACGATTTAATTTAACACGCTTGCATTTTTAGGTGTCTATTTACATTTAATAAACAATTTTGAAGTGGCATAAGCACAGCATAAAGATATATATGTACATATATTACCTATATTTAGTTTGGTTTAACCGCACCCATTATTTAGAATAATCCAAATCATATCTGTTATGTGTGTTATTTAATAGGAAATACTTTTTGTGTAGGTTTTCCTACCCAAACATATTTTAAATTTTAAATAAACTTAAAGGTTACCTATAATTTGTTTTGTACTTGAATATTTCTTTGAATTTCTTATCAATACATATCTCTTAGATAATTTTTTAATTAATTAATACAGCAATAAAAAATTATTAGTAATAATAATTTAAGATAACTTCAAGTTAATCGAAAAAAAAAATCCCACAATAAATTTAACGCAAACAATGAGAAAGAAAACCTATTTTTCTTATGAGAACTTTGTTCTATAATACAAGAATAGAATAAAATTAACATACATTTAAAAAACTAAGTATTGGGGTTACTATTAATTTTATTAAATATATAAAAATTTCATTAAGTACGATACAATGGTAAATTTTACAGACTACAGCGCAGCAAATTATATAAACACATAATTTAATTTACATAATTTAGCTGTAAGTATTTTTATACATAAAAAAACACAATAAAATTAGATCCTTTGTGTGTTTGTCTATGATTAAATTATTCGATTTTTAAGGAAGGTTGTCCACAAAGAACTTAACACCGTACGGTGAGTCAAATATTTATGAGTTTTGTTTAATTGTAAATAAAGACATGTGTTTTGCATTATCTGAACTCCGTGATGATATTTAAATATGCCCTTGATGGTACACTTCGTAAAATGATCTTAAACTTGTTTCTTATCGGACAACTCGAAAGAAAATATTTGTATAAAAATGGTTAGCCAAATATTGGTTGCGAAAGCTCGTGATTCATTTAAAACCATACCCAGATCAATAACGAATTCGATAAGTGAATCACCTTTAGTTTCTGAGGTGACCATTAATTTTTTCTCGAGTACCTAGGTGACGTCATTTAACGTGGAAATACTTTTGTTACACATGACGTTATTAAAAAAATCTTTTTTTCTTCAAAAACTAATTTGGGGTCACAGAGACCGGTTGTACCGTAATGCTTACCGGTTTATTTTTGGTAACATAATTTTTATTTTATCAAAATATTAGTTACACGAATTTTATAGATCCATTATCGGTTTTATTAAACATAAAACAAACTAATCTAAACGGCAATTAATCGAAATTTTCGATTGTTTGATTTTATTGAGTCGATTCAATTATGAATTATAGCTTTAGACCTTTTTTACACCTATTAATAATAAGTAATCATGACCTAAAAAATAACAACCTTAATTGTAAATTCATAAGAATTGTGCATTTGCAGGTCATATATTTATTTATTACATTATATCCTGCATATCCTTATAAGTGAAATATTTTTGCGGGATATAAATTATTTAGAAATACCTACAATTTTATTGTCAGCAAATTAAAACATTTAATACCTCATGATGATGATGATGATGATAATGCTATTTTTATAAAGTGAATGCATGTTATCTTTAATAATAAAAAAATTTATTGAAATAATACAACATTGTTTCATAATTTATTATTATTATGAGAGTAGGTACACGTACGTGGATTTTTATTAAAATAATGTTGTATTAAAAGTATACACTTTCAGTCCTTGACATCTTTAGTACAGGAAAGAATATGTTGTTATCTAAAAAAAGTTGGAGTTATCGCTAATTTATTTATTGATTGAAATTTCGCGTTATAAATAAAAATATAATGATTTTTTTTCATTTAGTTAATGTGGGTGAGTAAGATTAACATGAGTCACATAATATTCATGATTTAAATACCGCAAACAGAATCTGTCGGACAGATATTTATTTTCTATTTAAAAAATATTCCTTCGGCTGTAGTAAACACGTTGTTTGGCCGCCCAACTTGGGCGTGATGTGTCAAGGGTAATGTCAAACTCGCGATGATAAACACAAACAAAAATCGATGAAACAGGTATTTCGAATAAACGTTAGAACTTACCGTAAAAAATTTTTCGCGTACTTCTTCGCGTTCCTCGAAGGTTAATTGCGGCACATCGCCATTGGAAGCCATATTGACCGAAATACACTTTTCACCACACACTCGACGCACTAGGCGCAAAAAGGCACAATCGTAAATTTGACAATCGTAGAGCTGGGATCACAGTTTCGTTGCTTCGTTCGTCGATCTTGGTTGCTGTGTGTGCGGCGTTGCCAATAACTAACGACGCGACACGCTCACTTGCCGATACCAAACTAAACAGAAAACAGCGCTATGTTTGTTATATGCGCTCGACCGCACTTCAATATAAACGAATTGATAAATATACCCCCACAAGTTTCACTACTTTACTTACTTTAACTTCTAATGGACTACAATTAATAACCACTTACTTATATCACTCAAACAATTACTTATTTATTACCTACTTCCCCTTTCAACATTCTAGGTACTCCCTAAAATTACAAAAAATCAATACCTTAATACTAAAAAAATTCAACCAACAACAGTTTTTTCTTACTGCGCAATCCGTTACAAAACTAAGGGATTTTAATGCGCATACCATTCAATTTTACTTTATTTTGACCAAAAATCAAAGAGACCAAACTTTAAATCCATACAAAAAATATTTCATTAAATCTTCCTCAATCCGCAATTCTACGCATATTGTCACCAAAACATACATTATATAATGCATAACCCTTATTTGAACTAAATCCCGCCATATTATCATAATGCATGACAACGGGAATAATAAACTTTTTATTCACGTTGTTAGGCATCAGTGATTGGCCCATTTCAATATTCACTGGACTGAACCAATCGGGAGAAGGCGACTGAAATAATATTTAAAATTGGTAAAAAGTGGGATTAACCATTTGACAGATGTCAGATTTTATTTATTTGTTTTTGAAAATCATTTAAATATCTACTTATTGGAGTAGATAATGCATAGTATTACACTCGAGATTATGCGCATTATCTCTCGTATAATAATATACTGCTCCTATTGCATAATATTAAATTCTCTGCCTAACAACGGGAATAATGGACTCATTATTCACGTTGTTAGGCATCAGTAATAGGCCAATTTCATTATTCACTGTGATTTGAACCAATCGATTTTAAATTGGGAGAAGGCGACTATAATAACATTTAAAATTGGTAAAAAGTGAGGTTAACCATTTGACAGATGTCAGATTTTATTTATTTATTTTTGAAAATCATTTAATTATCTACTTATTGGAGTAGATAATAGTATATACTATAATATACTATAATATATATTATGTATCGACTTCAGCACGTGACTAAAATGCCCAAAAGCCAATATTGCTAACTTCAGCCCGTGACTAAAACGCCATAAAGTCACAGCTCGTCAATATAGGAGTAGAAAATAGTATATTATGTATCAAGTTTTATAAACGCCATTTTAGTTACGAGTTTTATTAGGCACGAGCAAAGCTTGCGAGCGAGTGTTTAATAAAAACGAGTGTCTAGAGAAGTTTATAAACGACGAACACAAAGAAGAATTTAAAGCCAATTTTATTTGTTAAGCATTTGACATCTGTCAAATGTCAACGCATTTAACCTCACTTTTCCCCAATTTATAATAAAGCTAACTTCAGCCCGTGACTAAAATGCCCAAAAGACATCATTGCTACTTTCAGCCCGTGACTAAAACGCCATAAAGTCACAGCTCGTCAATGTAGCAGTAGATAAATATAAATATAGAAACTATTTATTAAATTTATTTATTTTTAAAAATTTTCAACCAAAAGTCATAACCCGTAAATTAACTGCATATCGACTAAAACAAAGTATTTCCCTACAAATTCTTATTATTATGTTAAATTACGATGGGAACATAATTCTTTGGCGTACCCAAAAAAACCGCCTTGAGAAAGATTTTATCGTAATAATTGTATTTTAAGTCATGGATGTGAACTTAAACTTTTACTGAAATACATTTTGTTTGCATTTTTAACGGCCTATTTATAAATATAAAAAAGCCCTGTGGCTTTTTGCGCTGTTATAATTATATCCGTTCGCACCCCATCCGGTGGGATATTTTGAAGGGTTGAAAGTAATAATATTGATTTTAAGGGCATCTGACATTTAAATTTAAAATTGTTTTTCGTGTTTTATCATTTTAAAGTAGGCATTTATTTATTCTTAGATTACTTATAAAAGTAGAATTTCAAGATTAAATGACACAAAATCAACGTGTATGTTTAATACATAAACGATTTTTGTATCATTACCAAAAAATGCAACAATAAATAGACTAAGAATTTTATCTAATAGATTATGGATTTAGTTGTTTGTATGATACGTTTAGTAGTTACCATATAAATAATCTTAATACCAAAATAGTATTAAAAAAGTCTTTAAAACGGATGTAAAACGGGAAATGCAGTCGATAATATAATCACTTAAAAAATAAACTGCAATATAAGTATTTATATAAACTTATACTACAATGGAAGATATTTTTCAGTTAATTAATTAAATCTGCCTTTAGGATTCCAGAGTTTCGTATTTGAGTTTCATATCTGAGAATTTGTCAGATATGGAACTCAATTACAAAACTCCAAAAGAAAACCACGAAAAACTTGCATCTGCACACCAACTTGGTGTCACCAAGAAGACAAAATAAACAGATAAAATAGCACATTTAAAACAGGTAAAAGAACAACTCAAAAGTCGATATAATTTATTTTTTAAATCATTGATCAATATCCTTGTTAAAGTGAAATTGGAGTATGTTAGTCATGGAAATAATACTCTGTTATTTTCATGAAAATAATATAGTTTTAGGCAACCCAGATTACACCTAAAAATTATAAATATTATGTAATTTATGTAATATTATTATTATATATTGTTGAATAGGCAGTAAATCAAATAAATTGTGTATTACACTAAATAAAGTAATAAATCAAAATTTTATTTACAGAAACCTGTAGTATAACCTCAAAAATAAAACAACATACCTCTGTCAAAAAACCCTTAACAAACCGTTTTCCTAATTGCAAAAAAGAAAAACACAAATATTTATTAATAAATACACATTGGGTAAGTGAAAAACCAATATAATTTTTCGTGGGGCTAAAAAATATAATTTTCAGCTAATCTTATTATGGAAGACTCATTAAATACCAAAAAGCAATGCCTTGTTTTAAGTGTGATAGATTTTCTTCAAGACGAATTAGTTAAAGGCAGTTTAAACGACGAACACAAAGAATCCATTGAAGTAGCAATTCAGTGCCTTGAATCGGCTTTCGAGTTAGATAATGTTAGGGAAAAATTAGAGAATGATAAAGTTGACTTGTTATCGCTTGTAAATGTTAAACCAAAGGTGTGTTTTACTTAAGTTTGACTTTTAGAGTCCTAAATTGTTATTTTTAGGTTGAAGTTAGTGAAGAGCAAAGGGCCATAGCTGAGGAATCTAAAAACTTGGGTAATACACACATGAAAAATGCTTCCTATGTTGAGGCTGTTGAGGAGTACACTAAGTAATTGTTAAACATAGTTTTAAAAAAAAAATCTATTTAAACATTATTTTAGGGCTATCGAATTAAATCCAAACAATGCAGTTTATTTTTGTAATAGAGCTGCTGCATACAGTCGGTTAGAAAAACATTTAGAGGCCATTATTGATAGTCAGGAAGCTATTCGTTTAGACCCCACTTATGGAAAGGCCTATGGTAGACTAGGGATTGCATATTCAAACTTAAACAAATACGAGGACGCTAGAAAAGCCTATTTAACTGCCCTTAAGTATGATCCTGGTAACTCCATGTATGAGACTAATTTAAAACTTGCTGAGGAGAGGTTATATGCTAACATGGGTCAGTTAACAAAAATATTTTGTGGAGTTATTATTAATATTTTAATTTTAGAAAGTGCAGCTCCACCAGAACACAGACCTTTGGACATAGGACAATTCATTAATAACCCTAATCTTTTGAACATGGCTACACAAATGCTTAGTGATCCCAATTTTAGAGATATGTAGGATTATTAACAATATTTTTTTTGTAATTCTATTAATTTCTTATTTTTAGAATGTCTGGTATTATGAACATGGGTAATTCCGGTGAACCTGGTTTTGATGCCCTTATGCAAGTGTAAGTTTTTTGACACTTTTTTTTATAAACAATGAAAAATGACATTTTAGAGGACAAACTTTAGCTACAAGGATGCAAGAGGAAGACCCATCTTTTGTGGACAACTTTAGAAGACAAGTGAACCAGAATGCGCCAACTTCTGACACCAAACCCCCAGAAAACAACCAAAATGACAAAAAAACAGAGTAATTCAATCTAAAATTAAAATTAAGTACATAGATTTATCAAATTTGTAAGAATAATTCATTATTTTCTATTTAAAAATAAACAAGTATGGGCTAAAAGTCCATTTAATTGAATTATTTTAATATTAGGGAATATTCAGGTTAATTCAGTTGTGCTCTACAATAAAAAAAAATTTGTTTGGGTTTGTTGTTTTTTTTATTTTGGTGACTTGTTTGCTTTAGATTTCATATGTATAAGGTTTGACCCCCTAGCATTTTGTTTTTTATTTTATTATACTACTACATATTTTTTTATCAATGTTGATGTATTTAAAATTGTGTAAATAAAATTAAATCTAATTTTTGCTTTATTTTAAATTTTTACACCCTTTAACCAGATAACATTTTAGTTCGATTTACCGCACACGTGCTTTTTTTACATTGAGTGTTGCGTGATTCCTCAATGCATCAAAATTTTTGGTTTAATGCGCAGAAGCAGAAATAATATGAAAGCGCGGGATAATTTAAATGTACTTAATCAATAAAGACAATGAGCGTATTTCGACTAAATCAGTAAGCCTCACGGTGGGCTGGGCCTGGCAAAAGTCAACTTTATCTGATCAAAAAAATAATACACCAATTTAAAGAAAACACCTTAATTTGTAAGATTCCGAAAGAAAAAGTTAAAAAACATTTTATTTAAAAAAAGATACAGCTATTTAAAGTAAAGCAATACGGAAAAAAGTCAGATTTTAGATTTGAACGGAATTTTATCTGCCTTTAAGGCGCTGTAACTTCTTATAAATAACAAAAATATGATTTAAATTAAAGATGTGTGTAATACGATATTGTATGTTTTGTAAAATTATTTTCAGTACAACTAATGTTGAAAAGCGACTTTTTCATGCGAGTGTTAAAGTTGCTTACGAGTGTGCATTAACACGAGCTTGAAGAAAGCTTTTCTCCCAAGTGAAACACAATATTTGTTCTACGACCCTTTTATTTCTTATTATATTCAAATACAAAACAAAATAACCTAAAACCGTGTTTGACAGCTGTTAAAATTACTTTCATTTTTCAATTTCAATTTTTAAGGTAAAAGTTACTTAAAATCAATTTACACAATTAATTGTGTCCTAAATGATATTTAGACATACATATGGGGCATTCCATGCCAAATCGGACACCATTTAGCTTTTGTATCTTAGATTTTTTTGAAACTTTTCTATGTTGGAGTATAGGTTGAAACATATACCTATAACTTATAGGTATATGGGTTGAAAGAGGCCTCCATGATTTTTTCAAATTTTTTTCTCCAACCGTTTCGAGATCTCGATTTTTGAAAAATTCAGAGATTTTTTTTTCAAGCGCCCATATATGTTATAACTTCGCGAAAAATGATCTAAATAAAATTTTCATAAGAACATAAAATCATTGTTTTCGAACGAAAAAAATGTCTAAAAAATGTAAAAAACAGTAAATCCTGACCATAGAATTTTATTTTAGACGTTTTTTATCACAAAAATCTGAAATGTCAAAATTGAAAAATCGGAAAAAAATAGATCCCGTCGTTGTCCCACCATGATCATAGCCGAAAAAGTTGTAGAATGGTGACAGTTTGTTGAGAAAAATTTTGAGAAAAATCTATACATAGAAGCTTGCTTCAAAATATTTTTTTGGTATTTTTTACGAAAAGTATGTTCGAAAAAAATGATTTTATGTTCTTATGAAAATTTTATTTAGATCATTTTTCGCGAAGTTATGGGCGTTTGAAAAAAAATCTCTGAATTTTTAAAAAATCGAGATCTCGAAAACGGTTGGAAAAAAAAAATTGAAAAAAATCTTGGAGGCCTCTTTCAACCTCCACTCAAAAATAGAAAAGTTTCAAAATAATCCAAGATACAAAAGCTAAATGGTGTCCGATTTGGCATGGAATGCCCCATATACAAATGCAATATAAATTTTGAAACGAATGTCAAACGATGCTGTCAATTTCTTTTCACACAGACCTGTCACTTTTCACACAGAAATGTCACTTTACATTCGTGTTTTGCCTTGCCAATGAAAAGATTAATTTTCTAAGCAACGATGCCATTACGAAATGTGACTTTTACATAGTGGTCGTAGAAAAAAATGTTTACACCAAATTGCAGCCCAAAGAATACATCTTTTGACACCTAAGAAAGGTGTACTGGTTTGTATTTAAAATTGCTAAACAGTTATAGATTGCGCTCTTCTTAAAGCGGTCTTATAATCTTAACCTTAAAAAACTATGAAACTATATGAAAAAGATAGATAGATTAATTACGAAACCATTGTAGTTAGCTAAATTAATTAATAAATCGTGTTTAAGGTATAAGAAATGCAAGCAATAAATTACTCAGAAATTTAAAGTGTAATATAGGTTAATATGTACAACCAACCTAGTCTGAAAATAAATCTAGGACACAAGTGCATATAATTATAGAAATATGTAATCCCGATTGTTTGTTGGGAAGAAAATCTTTGAAATCTTGGCTGAAAGTGGATCAAATTTTTATTTTTAATATTAAATACAGACTCGCACAGTTTTATTACTGTCCCGTGTTAATAACACAATAATTGGTCATGAAACATCAAAACAAAATTAGGTTCACTATTTTTATGGCATAAATATTAATTTTAGTACAAAAATAGCAAATCTGTAAGGTGACTTTCAAGTTTATGAATGAAAATTTAGTTAAAAAAATTGTATTCTATTTTATTTAAGATTTATACATTTTATATTATTATTAAAAAAAATATAACATTAATTTTTGCTTTTTAGTATTTCTTTATCTTGTATTTAGTACACAAGTCCTTTTCGTTATACTCATACAAGCACAAAGTACTATAATTATAATAAGTTGCAAAAATGGCGAATGCGCCGGGATTAATGTTTTATTTTTTAAAACAAATCTGCTACATAAGCTGCATTTTAAATTAAAATAACTACATGTTTATTTTTACAGTATACAAATTCCAAGTGACCAAAAGAATAACGTAATAAAAACAAATTAATTACCACATATTTACGTAAAAATAACGTTAAAATTACTTCATGTCTGTTTTTTCTTTCTTAACATTTATATTTCTTTGTCTCTTTAATTTATACTTCAAAATGCTATACTTAAAGTAGGTAATAAAGTTTACCATAAAGTAAAATCAATAAATATAATTAATTATATTTAAAATTAAAACTCAAACGCTTCCTATGTTTTTGATAAAAATAACCATAATACAATACTATAATAACTGACTTCAATTGACCCCATAAAAAACCCAATGGTTTTAGGTCTAGACCTAGCAGGCCACTCTATTGGCCCTCGTCTTCATTATTTTCCCCATTGTACAATGCCCTTGCAATTTTTAGATTTTGATGTAATAATGTATTCTAATATATCTTTTCAATTAAAAAAAAATGGAATTAGTAGCCTTTGGCTCTAAGGTCTAGGAATACAATTTATAAAATACTGAAACAACAGTATACTGAAACAACGGTATACTGAAACAATTTTAATCTTTATGAACAAATTTAGCTTATAAACGAGTAAAGGGGAAAAATCTAATTAAGTGTCTGTATTTAAATTTAATATGTTTTCAATATAAAAATAGCCGCGCATTGATCTCATTTAAAACTGAAAGTGATGCTAAATATGTAGGTATATATGTATGTACATCATTTGCAAGCAAGAATAAATCACTGAGGGTTATTGTACGAAAACTACAATAAAAGTAATTTATTACTTTAGTAAAATGTCCACATGTAAGATTTACTATTACGTAATATTAATTAAAGCAAACATATTTAAGTACCTATGTATTTAATATTTTTAACTTTGGTTTCGCAGTTTTTTTTAGTGAATCACAATCTTTGGCGTTACTGACCGAACATTTGGCAACATTATTGGAACATACTTTTCAACACATAAACTGAAAAACAGTTTTTATATATACCTAAAAACTAAAAAATTATTTAAATTTCCAATAGTAAAAATAATTTATATACCTCTAAAATATGTATTTTTTACTTTTATCTATTTTTTGTTTATTATATTAAACATTTCGCTTTCTACAGTTTTTTGTTGAGTCTACATTTGCTTTATGACCTTATGACTAATGTTCGGTTTACCTTACTCAAATTTTCTTACGCAGTTTAATAATAATTATAATTATGTCTATGTTATTCTATAAAAATTCTGCTTCAAATTGATTTGATTTTCTATAAAGAGTATTTTTATTATAAAAATCGTAAAAATTATTTTGTGTCACATGTAAACCGTATAGTCAGGGGGCGTGAGCAAAGATATTTCAGTGGGACGAGAGCGCTCCTCAATTTAGCACACATACTATATTTAACCTGGACACTGTGTTACAAGTTTGCTAAAGTCTTTGGCAATACAGCTTTCGTAAATAATTTTTTCTGCCTTCACAAATCACATTTTTAAAATCAACATATTGCAATATTTTCCCTATTTTAAGCTCTTTTTCCTTACCAAAAAATAATTATACAATCAAAATTGTAGTTTTTTAAATTTTAATTTCCATTTTTTAATTAATTACACTAGTCGACAGCAACAGCAACTAAAATCAAATAAAAATTGGGCTGAAGTTAGCAACAGGGCTGAAGTTAGCTTTAAGTTAGTTGACAGTTATTAAATGTCATACACTCGTCATAATAAACTGCTCTTCTTATGAAATAATAGTAAATGTAAACATTATTTTATTATTTCAATACAACGCCAATCTTTAAAAGGTGCAAATATTTTACATATTAATTAATTAAATGTTCAAAATTTACTCCATTATTTTGAAGACAATAGTAAAGACGATTATCAAATTCTTGTCGCACTTTTTCAAAAGTTTTGGTGTGATGTTTCGTCATGCTTTAACTATACGATGTAGTAGATGTTGTAGCGACTTAGGTGGAGTAACGACTAAAGACTTAATGTATCCCCTTAAATAAAAGTCCAAGGGGATTAAATCTGGTGATCCTGGGGGCCACTCTAACGGTCCTCTTCGGCCAATCCATTTTATAAGGGTGCAATATTGTGCAATATTATTGCACAATATTGCTGAGCAATATGAGTAGAAAAAATATTGAAAGAAAACTATTCAGTTTATTTTAAAATTCTGTTTGTTTCACTGGGATCATATTTTTAAATAAACTTGTTAAAAACTTAAAAATAATACAGTCTTTAGATCAATCATTAGTTGGCTTTATTATTTTTGTTAAGAGTTATAATAAAAGTCTGACTAAATGAAAATCTCAATAATAAGTCATTTAAAAATTTACCTTCTTAATAATAAACTATGTTTGTTAAAAATGGCAAATAAATGATTGTATTAAAAAATAAAGTTTTTTAAAGATTATTCATTTTAATTTATTGCAATTGTCCTTGTTTACCACTTCTAACAAATTGTTTTTGTTGTTTAAAAAAAATAGTGATATATTTTTCTAAAATAGAAAGTGATTTACTTTGTAGCAAAGTTCATTTTAAAAATACAAAGTGATTGAGCAATGACTCAATCTTAAAAACATTTGCCTGCTAAGAATTGTTATTAGAACTATTATTAGGATGTCAATGATGACTATTGTTGTAAATTTAAATTATTAGCAATTACAATTGGCAATTAATTATAATGAGACACGTGAAACTATATATAAATTAAATTTATTTTAATTATGAATAAAACTAAAATTTAATCTTTTATAGCATACAGATAAAATATTTGGCAAAAATGTTGTTTTTTATTTGCAGCTGGGAAGATATGTGTCTATTTAAAGCTGGAATGTGTTGAAATATGAAAGTTGTATTACATAATAATTTAGTATTGAATAATTTAAAAAAAAATCGCTTCTAGAATTTTCAGTTCAGACTGCACCAAATTTTATTACAATTCTATTCGAACTGACACATGTGTTGGTTTAATTTTAAAACTAGTAAACATTGTCTGAAAAGTAAAATAAAACTTTCCTACTCTTACCAAATACTTTTAATTGATTTCAAATATAGTTGGCACTTTGCAATACAAAAATTTGAACGCAAAAGTCAAAAAATTAAAATTCGAGTTACATGATACACTAAACATGTTGTTTAAAATTTGCAAGCATTAAGTCAATGTATTTTTCATTTGGTTGCCAATTTGTGCATATTCTCGTATTTAGAACTTTACTTAATAATATATGTTTGTGTCACTTTTAAAAATAGCGTGGGCTTCATATTAATTTGCCTTATAATTTAATTTTACACAATATTTAATAATTAAAATCACCGACTATAACCTGCGTAACTATAGTTTCGATAAATATTTTTTAGAGGTGCCTACACCATACATTAGATTGATCTAAAAATAAAAATGCAGATTTGTTTATCTCATACATTCTTTCAAATATAACTAAAATAATAGCGGGATATCTTTAGATATTTATTGTAAATATTGAAAGCAATGAATTCAATGATCTTACCTTTTAAAATGAAAATAAGATTAAGTGAAATTTTTCAATATTTACAAAAATTTTTAAATTTCCTATAATTTTCAATATTTTCAAATTTTCCGGTTTTCCAAAATTAACAGTTTTCAAAAATACAAACAGTTACTAGTGAGTAATTAGTTAACACTCACTTCTAAAGTGATTGATTATTGCCTAGGCTGTAAAAATATTTTAGACCAATCGCATAAGGTTTTTTATAACATAGTCTGTAAACTGACTACTATCAGATCTCTCTAAGCTCACTTTATACTTTAAATAATTATTATTATAACTGTACGTTTCATTTATCGTTTAACTATTGAGAAAGTTGGTCATTTCCATGAGGATGAAATATTTTATTAAAGAAGTTTAAGACTGAGCCACTTTCTCAATTAAAAACGTATAGGAAATGTACACATTTTTTAATAAAGGATTAGAAAAATAAAATTATGACATGCGGCTGAAAAGTGCTTTTTTGTGCTTTGCTCACCAAAAAAAGACTTACTTTTCAGCATAATGACATAAATAACTATCCATGTTGTGGGAACTGGTCTTTTACTTCGTCACTGTGCTTTTGTTTCGGTCTTATTAGCCCTCATCAGTGCCGGATAGGGGTGGTGTTTTAGCACGCTGCCATGGCGTTATATAGGCAAACAGGTACAGCGACAGCAGTGAGATGTAATCCACCACCGTCTACCCTCCATGCGGACGTGGCCCACTACTATATTGTTAATTATTTCCGGCGCATTCGCCATTTTTGAAACTTTTGTTTTTTCTTTTGTAACATTCAAAAACTGTATTTTTTACATTTCTATTAATTCTGTGATGTCAAAATTTACGTGGTGGCTACCTACCTAATTTTATTTATGCTTTTTTTAAAAACCTTTTTTTAAAAAAGGCTCGGCCGATTTTTTGGGAAATACGAAAATATGTCATTAAAAAAACTCACTTTTCAGCCTAATGACATAAATAACTATCCATGTTGTAGGAACTGGTCTTTTACTTCGTCACTGTGCTTTTGTTTCGGTCTTATTAGCCCTCATCAGTGCCGGATAGCGGTGGTGTGTTAGCACGCTGCCATGGACTTATATAGTCAAACAAGTACAGCGACATCAGTGAGATTTAATCCACCACCGTCTACCCTCCATGCGGACGTGGCCCACTACTATATTGTTTATTATTTCTGGCGCATTCGCCATTTTTTATTTGTATTTTCTGTTTTTCTTTTGTAACATTCAAAAACTGTATTTTTTACATTTCTATTAATTCTGTGATGTCAAAATTTACGTGGTGGCTACCTACCTAATTTTATTTATTCTTTTTCTAAAAACCCTTTTTTTAAAAAGGCTCTCGGCCGATTTTTTGGGAAATACGAAGTAACATTTTTTTGTTTTATTAAAAAAAATGTCATCTTTAGTAGCTTGGATCTGCGGACGGGACACAAAAGTGTTTTTTTGTGCTTTGCTCAAACTTTGAGATCACCAAAAAAAACGCACTTTTTAGCCTAATAACATAAATAACTGGTCTTTTACTTCGTCACTGTGCTTTTGTTTCGGTCCTATTAGCCCTCATCAGTGCCGGATAGCGGTGGTGTGTTAGCACGCTGTCATGGCCTTATATAGGCAAACAAGTACAGCGACAGCAGTGAGATGTAATCCACCACCGTCTACCCTCCATGGCCCACTACTATATTGTTAATTATTTCCGGCGCATTCGCCATTTTTGAAATCTTTTTCAAAATTCAAAAACTGGATTTTTTACCTAATTATATTTATGCTCTTTTTTAAAAACATTATTTTGGAAAAAATAAATTAAATTTTTTTTTGTTTTATTTAAAAAAATCATCATGAATACAGGCGATTTTGTTTATATATTATTATATATAAAGTATATAAAAAATTAATACATTTTACGATTTGAAAAAAACATGAGCATAATATTTTATGGAAAGTTTTGACTTAAATTTAAATGAATTAGTGCGGTAGAGCAAGTCTGAATTAAAAACATTTTCGGATTAAAAAAACAAACTTGGATGTATTGATGGGTAAGATTGTTGATAGAGAGTAAGCAGCAAATGTCCAGGTAGAGACAGTGAACGAGCATAAGAGACTTCCAGAGCTTAAAGCCGGCGGCCGAGTTACTGGCGGCAAGTGTCGTCTGCGGCCGACCGCGCCGCCCTATATGGCTTGGCATGATTCTCGCCTATGTATAAGATTACATACAACTCTTTTCCTACGCTCTAAAAATACCTCGGACGTAAGTTATTTCTAGATGATTGTGTACACTGTGGTATTATTATAAGATTTTCGTAGATTCATCATAATAATAATAATAATAATAATAAGAATAATAAGCAAGAAATTCTGCGAATACGTGCAATTGCTATATGGAAAAGTTGATTAGGGGATATAAGTGGTAGAGACCAAGTGGTTGAGAAAAAAAATTGGGAGGAAAGATCGAGGTGTAGATACGTGGTCGGCGGCGTCGATTGTGACTTTTGGAGTGGGGTCTTGGTGTTTTCTGGGGGAGACGTCGTCACGCTCTGGTTTAGATTGAGAGTACACATTAAGCTGATTTAGTCAGTGCTTTAGAGGCCACAGAGCAACCTCTAGATTAGACAGACGAACGACTCGACGACGCTGTACGACGGGACGACAGCCATATACGCGAACCGTGCAAAGTGTGTGCAGTGAAGTGAAGTGAAAGAGTTTGCAAGCCTTTTCGAAAGCTTCACACAACCCCTCGCAAGAAGTAAGTTGTAGTTCTGTATCTAGTGTGTCAGTGGCAGTGCAGTGGAGGAACCCCATCGCGTTCTGGATTAATAATTGAAATAATAAGAGTAATTTGGAATTTCAGGGCAGGGTTAATGTCAACTCTATCGGTATAAATAAACTAAGAAAGCATGGGAGTGGCGGAGGATTTCGCTCCCAGCTTTACTCAAAAGCCTCAGCTTCGACAGGAAGATGACGGCAACAAACTTATATTCGAATGTCAATTACTTGCTTTACCGAAACCAGATATACAATGGTATCGAAGCAACACACTTTTATCCGAAGACAGCAGAACTGTCTTCAAAATACAATCCATAGGCACCAACAAGTTTCTTGTGGTTCTTGAACTAGACGATGTTATCGAAACAGATGCGGGCCTTTATAAGGTCAAAGCGAAGAACAAGATGGGTGAAGTTGCTGCCTCCATCAATCTCAACTTCAGCCGTAAGTACACTAAACAACCCCATGCAAATATCAAATCTATTATTATTGTTATCTTTTTCAGCTATGGATGAACCAAAGGAAAAGTAAGTACCTCAAATGCAATGTAACTTAAAACACACGGTATTGCTATTAGTAATCAGAGTTGCTAGATGAAATTTTGCCAAAACTTGCTATACACAATTACTCATCGTTTTTGGACGCGTGATACCTGCGTCACGGGTCATGTTTCCTTAACAAATAACTTTTGACTTCCATAATTCTTATAAATAATTCTTAGACAAATTGACGGTCTCGCACCAACTTTCGCTAAGAAACCGGCCATAAGACAAGAGGAAGACGGCAAAAGGCTGCTTTTCGAATGTCGAATTCAGGCAGATCCCCGTCCAGTCGTCAGTTGGTTCCACAATACCACCCCCGTAAAGGAATCGCCCCGTCATAAGGTAAGAATTCATTAATATTATGTTATCGGGTACATGGCACGAATTCTCAAAATTCATTTATTATAATACATATTCTATTTTCGTAATTAGTTTAAGTGCTTAAGTGTTGGCATCATGCGCGTTCTATTTTCGATGCCACCATATGTGACACCTGCTGTTTTTATATTTTTACGTTAAAATACAAATCGCATTATTTTATAATCATAATTCACTAAAACTTTTATTGGGCAGTGGATTTGATTCTCACGGATTCTATTTATTATTATTTAAATGGCGTTTTTCTTTCAGCATGTAACAATTTGATAAAATTTTAAGAAATAACCTTTTCGACTCATTTTTAAGTTATTATTATAAATATATTAAACTAAATATAAAAAATGCCAAGGTTATTTATTATTTCGTAATACCGTGAATGTTGCAACAATCTTTTTGGATTTTCTCCAAAATTTCAGAAAAAAATAGTACATATTACATGAAACCCACTAAAATAAATTTCAAAACATTCCTGGTCAAGTCAAGCGTTCTGGACTTATTATAGAACATATTATTAAATTAATAAATTTGATGCAGCATTTACTTTTTTTACTTAAATTTAAAAACAATGCTCAGCTTAAGCGATAACTAACTAACTAATACATTTTGGAAAATTTCAGTTGAGGATAGACAAAGATGGTCACTCGTACTTTGCAACCCTTGAAATTGAAAATGTCACGGTTGAGGATGCCGGCAAATACAAGGTTACTGCAAAGAACGAGTTGGGAGAAAGCAATGCCACAATCAGCCTTAACTTTGACAGTAAGTTTTATGTTGAGTTTTGTGTATTGTTGCTTTGTTTGTAATTGTACCGGCGCAATGGATTCAAATTACGTGGGAGTTTTTTAGGAAGCTAACACCTAATGGCAGCCAGCAATCGCAATCGCGGAACATTTTAACACAATTAACACAATAGGGCGAAAGCTTCGAACTAAGCTTGATAGCGTCATAATAAATCTTATTAATGCTAGAACGGGAAGGAAGTGTTTTCAGCCTCTAAGTTGACCCAGCAGGCAAGCACTCGATACTATTACAATGTAAAATTCCGGTTCCGTTAAATTCGTACGAAAGTCAGTCCAGCTGAAATGTAATGAACAGACAAGACTGCTACACATACTTAATGTCTAAAACACATCCAAATCGAGCCTAAAATGAGCAATTAGTTATTGACCTTTCCCCCAATAATAAGCAGCTACTAGGTACAAGTAAGTCAGCACTCGTGCACACTACAATGGACTAACCGTCGCTTAATCTCAGCTCAGCTTTTAATTTGCAGTTTTTTAACATTTCCATTTCTAATCAGTGTACATTGAATATCCGAAATCTGTTTGTGTGATTTAAAGCTTAGAATAGATAAGATTTGAGAAAAATGAATCCATGTTGCATAGCATTGCGTACCGAACAGAACCAACCGGTCCCCCTCAAGTCGTCTTCCCCATGGTTTGGTGTTGGACACCAATATGGCTGTTGCTGAAATAAATTTATTTCAGTTTGTAGGCAGAACGAACGTGAACCGGGAATTTCACGCCCCCTCACCATCAAATCAACACTTGTACTTTTTAACATTTATAACAATTCGTTTTCAAAGGCCATGTTCTTGCAAAATGTGACACTTGTGTATTTCAGAGTTGTACTACACTATTTATAGATAGATTGAATGACTAATTGATATTTCGTTTCGATATATAATTATATTGATATAAATCAGATAAATATATATATATATAATACAAATCACTTTAACACTGTTAAGCCGAGCCGTAATGATTAAAAGCTGAGCTTTTCTTTCGGTGAGCATTGTAAGTTGCGCGAGTGTTGCTGGCTGTCCTGTGTCATGATAGCCAGTTTAGGAGAGTTTCTGCACTAGGCGATGAAGCACCCGTGCCGGAGGAAGGCATCAAACCAACGTTTACTGAGCGCCCTGTCATCCGACAGACGGACGATGGCGCCCAGATCGTCTTCGAATGCCGCTGCGTCGGAGATCCCAAACCAGAAATTCAATGGTACGTATTCTAGTCGCTATTGATTTTGGCCAGCTACTTACCGACCAAGCTGGTTCTAGGTTTCATGGCAAAGAAGAGATCACGCAGAATAGCCGATATACGATTTCGATGGAAGTGGACCAGATTCTGTACTACCTGGCGCGTTTGGAGATTTCCAATGTTAAAGCGATCGATAGCGGCGAATACAGAGCAGTGGCTAGGAATAAGTACGGGGAGGGCATTGCGACCATCAACCTGAACTTCGAAAGTACCGAACGACCCAAGTAAGAGTTGCTTGATTCGATTTGCAACTGAACTGAGATGCAACTGACGCTTGTGTTCTTTCACAGAATTCCGGACGGCAAGGCGCCCCGCTTTCCCAAGAAGCCGACTATTAAGCAGGAGGGCGACGTTCTTATCATGGAATGTCTCCTGGAAGCCAATCCGGAGCCCGATATCACCTGGTTCCAGGGTGAAAAAAATATCGCTGACAGCACTCGTGTACGAATGCTTCGGAAGACAACGAGCAAAGATACTTTTTTGCTTACTTTAGAAATTGCCAATCCTACCCGCGATGATGGTGGCAACTATAGATGTAACGCGTTTAACCTATATGGCGAAAGCAACGCCAATATTGCGCTTAACTTCCAAGGTATGCTGCGTCGAAAAGCAGTAACAAACAAATGTATTCAGTATCTGTGTAATAGTAATATTAATAATCTGATCTATGTCTGTGAAACGTCTCAATTCCGTTACTCATTTCCAATTTGTTCCAGTGTCGTCCGAAACCAACTCTATCTCTTCGACCTGTGTTATGTATTGTCAATTTTTGCATGAGCATGGCCTTTTATTTCAAGCCTGTCTCTAGCACAAAAGGTAACTTATCCGTGTTACAGGTGGAGACAACGCCGCCGGTTTTGCACCCTCTTTCATCGAGAAACCTAAAATTATTCCCAATGAAAGCGGGACATTGATTACTATGAAATGCAAATGCAAAGCGAAACCGAAACCCGATGTCACGTGGTTCCGTGGAACCACTGTGGTCAAAGAATCGTCGAAAATTAAAATTAATGTCGTTGATGTCGAAGAAGATATTTACGAAATTTCTCTCGAAATAAAGGTACTTACTCCTTCTACCTGCTACTCTACTCTGCTACCATTGTCACTTTACCCAACTTCACATTTCGAATTATTTTAGGATCCGTCAGGACCCGATGGCGGCACCTACAGGTGTCATGTTAAAAACGAATTTGGCGAAAGCAACGCCAACTTAAATTTGAACATTGAAGCTGAACCCGAACCCGAAGGTGATGGACCAACGTTTGTCGAAAAACCAAGAATAACGTCCCACCAAGGAGGAAAATTGGTCGTTATGGAATGTAAAGTGCGTGCCAATCCAAAACCAACAATCATTTGGTACCGCGAAGGCAAACAAGTGACCGAAACCACCAAAACTAAAATGACATACGAGAAAGTCGAGGAAGACGTATATATCATCAAACTGGAGCTTAAAGATCCAGGAACTGAGGATTCTGGCCTCTATAAATGCAATATCAAAAATACTTTGGGAGAGCTTAATGCTAATCTCACACTTAATATTGAAATCATACCAGTTATTAAGGAAAAACCTAAGATCATTAAGATCATCAAGAAGAAGACAGTCATTATTGAATGCAAAGTTCTCAGCAAGTTTGCACCTGACTGCACTTGGTTCAAGGAAGCTAGCGCTGTCAAAGAAGATTCTAGACACACCGTTCACGTTGACCAAGTTAAAGAAGTAAGACTCAACAATACAATAAAATCTACGATAAATGTACTTAAAATTATTATTATTATTATAGGGCGAGTTTGCCATTAAACTTGAAATTAACGATGTCAGTAAGACCGACAAAGGTATGTACAAATTGGTTGCCAAAAACGAAAAGGGAGAGGCAACCTCGCAGGAAGTCGAAGTTACTGAACTTCCACCTGATGAAAAACCTAAAGGTGAAAAACCAAAACTTAGCAAGCTCACGAATGTGGTATGTTAACTTGAAGCCATCTCAAACTTTCCTTAACCATCTTTTTTTTCAGACAATAATTGAAGGACAAACCGCTGACTTTATCACATCTCTTAGAGTGACAGATAAAACGGTTGTCATTACTTGGTACAAAAACACGACAATTATTAAGGAATCCAGCGAATTTAAAATTACTTTTGATGGAACGACAACCCATTTGCGTATTTCTAAATCGCAACTATCCCACGCTGCTACGTACAAAGTCGTTGCCAAAAATGAATTTGGCGAAGACGAATCCTCAGCTGTTTTGACAGTGAAGAAAGAGGATGAAACGGTAAGTTACATTTTTATATTTAGTTATTAAATTTTATGTACGAATTGAAATTCAAAATTGTTATTATTATTAAAAAGGATAAAGATGAAACTGAGGAAGAATCTGAGGCCGAAAGTGTAGAAAGTAGCAGCGAAGAAAGTATTCAGGTACACAAAACACTTAACACGGAGTGATCTACATTACTTACACTAACACTTTCATACTTGAACATATTACAATATCTTTAAACTTCTACATTTCTTTTACTTAAACTTTTTGTCTTCAAGGGCTGCTTTTTCTCAAATTAAGAATATCTTCGACTTATGTCTACTTTCTTTATTAATCTGCCATTTTTAGAGTTTTTTTCTAAATATTTTTAAACTTTGTCCTTTCAATGGTATATTTTTTAGGAGGAGAAGGAGGAAAAGAAGGTAGAAAAGAAAGTGGAAAAGAAAGAAGAAAAGAAAGTGGAAGAAAAGAAAGTCGAGGTTAAAGCCAAACTCGATGAAAAAAAGGTAATTTTTCATAATTTCACTTTATTTTTGTATTTGTATTTCATTTTTAAACAATTATTTGTAACATTCAGAAGGAGGAAGAAAAGAAAGTCAATGATGTGGCTAAGAAAACAGTCGAAAAGAAAGAGGTTAGTAATTCTTGTAATTCCATGTATCCGTTTATTTATGTTGTATTTGTCTTTTGTGTAGGAAACCAAAACTACTGAAAAGAAAGCTGAAAGACGCACCTCAGTATCTAAGGTGAGCAAACTTGTGAGGTTAATTTATGTCAAGTAATTCTTTTATATGTTTTTAAACAGACGGAAACTAAAACCGAATCCCGTAGAAGTTCTGTTGTTAAAACTGAGGAAAAGGTATGGTATTAAAACTATAGCAAACGTGTTGGAGATGTGTATTGTTTAAATATTTTAGATTACACAGGATGGTGAATCTAAAAGCGCTAGCCGCAGATCTTCCGTTTCTAGAGAAGAAGAAACTAAATCAGAATCTAGGCGTTCTTCTCTTGTAGAAGAAAAGAAAAAGAAGGTGCTAAGTACCAAATTGGAGTCTACGCCAGAAGTGGTAAGTAGTTACATATACGCACACACAAGTCCGTTGTCACTAATCACTCCATTTATGCGATATATTAGAAATCACCAACAACTCCCACTAATAACATTGAGGATTCATTCACCAAAAAATCCACTCTTACTCCAAAAGAACCTGAGAAAAAGGTGGCGAGTAAGACAATATCAAAAACACCATCTAAGGAAACCTCACCAACACCAACTAGTAGATCAGTTTCAAAACCTGGTTCTACGGTTCCATCCAAGGAACCATCACCGACACGTTCAGTAACCAAATCATTAGATTCAAAGTCGGCCTCTAAAGAACCTACACCTGCACCTGCTAGTAGACCATGGTCTAGACCTGGTTCTACAGCAGCATCAAAAGAACCATCACCAACACGTTCAGTACCAAAAACATTAGACACAAAACCTGCGTCTAAAGAACCAACCCCGGCACCCGCCAGTAGGCCATGGTCCCGACCAGGCTCTACTGCGGCTTCCAAAGAACCTTCACCAACACGTTCAGTACCAAAAACACTAGATTCAAAACCGGTGTCCAAAGAACCCTCACCTGCACCCGCTAGCAAAGTAACTGAACCAAAAACAATTCTTAAAACACCCACTATGTCTAAGGAACCATCACCAGCGCCTACACCAAAAACGGCAAACACTTTGGCAGCCGAAAAAAGGCCTTCACTCAAAACACCTGAACTCATTGTACCCGAGGAAAAACCAAGTCCACTTAAGAAGGTACACACACAAATAATATTAAAAATAAAACAAAATCTAATGACATTACATTTTTCATGTTTCCCCTTCGTTGGTGATTGTCTTTCACAACACAGCTCGAGACCACGAAAACAACTGGAACCGGCAAAGTGGAGCTAAAGGTAAGCAATATTTTTTTTATTATTCCGTTTCTTTATGGGTTAAATTGGGTAAATTTAAAACATACTATCTAATAATAGGAAGCCACAACTGTTAAAAAAAGGATACCTCCTCCTAAGCTTGAAACAAAATCGGGTTCCTTTATGAATATTCAATTAAAACCAGTTAGTAAAGAAGCAAAACAATCCGAACAAGCAAAACTTGAGGTCGATCTAAAGGTAAAGGCAAAGCAACAAAAACTATCTCTTCGGCAAATCTATCTCTATCTTCTACTATGTCTCTATACTATATTTCCTATACGTTTCTCTCGTCTATTTGTGTATAATATATTCTCAACTGTAATTAATATCTTATACTTATGTTCTCTACTAACTACTTTCATGTCTATGTTTATAAAAACTCTATGCTTCCTATTGTCTGTGCTGCTTGTTAATCCTTTAAATAACGTTTCCTTGATTTTGTGTAGAAAACTGGAGTTGAAAAAGAAAAGGTAGCCTTGAAAAAGGGTACCAAAAAAGCTGATAAAGCTGAGCTTAATGCCTGGGAAAATATACCAGATTACGAAAGACCTGTGCTTGAAAAATACGAGGCAAATGCGCCACCGGAATATGCTGGAAGGGAGAGGACCAAATTAACCAAGGTAATAAATTTCGCCACACTAAATTACGTTACATGCATATTCTTGGCAATCTCTTGGATATATCTATTGATATAATAAATGCATTCATACTTAATTGCTTTAATAAAAACTCCCTTTGGCTTGCATTCAGTATTAGTTGGGCTTCCAGAAAGGTGTGTTCAATTTACCTATTTAATTTAGGAGGTGCCTACCATTCAGAAGCCAGAGAAGAGTCTTCCGCAAATTAAGACTCCCGAAGCTCCTAAAATCGAGGTAGTTAGGGAAAAGACACCGACTCCAGAAGTGAGGAAAAAGTCACTCGAGCCTGGATCTGGTCCAGGAAGCAGGCGTGGATCCCTTATTCCCCCAGAGGCTATGGGCCGTCGTGCCAGTTTGATAATCACTGATGAGGTAGGTGTCTTTGTTATTATGAACCAAATGTCTCTTATTTTGTTTAGCCTGTTCCCGTCCGAGGTGTACTGTCATTAAATTTGTTTTTTTCTTTACGTTTTGTTAATTTTATGTCATAGGATCATAGGAAACTAAGGCCCGGGGAGGTGCTGGACGACAAAAAGGTAACCCGCCTAAATTTCACCACTCTTGGCCTGCCATCGTCTTCGTTTTTTCATGTTTCAGCTCTTTTTACAACATCGAACTATTAACTTGATAGAGAAGTTATTTATGTTGCAAAAACTAATTAACTTGTTAACTGGCATACTTAAAGCACAGTTTTTAAATTTAGAAAAGTATGCGAAGGTATCATTGAGATGCCTAGTTAATTTTTAAAAATTTGGCACATAAACACCAACAACAACATAAATAATAAATCACCCGTAAATAGTTCTGAGTGATGTCAATACATTTTTTTCTTATGTCTTATGTCTTATGCTAAATTTTTGCATGAGGATTTATCGGCACCAGCTAGCAGCAGCCATCACCAATTGTCAATGTCGCCGGAGTATTGATACACTATTTATTTATAATTACAAAAATTAGCAATAGTAGTAGACCAATTATTTATTGAACTATTATGTTAACAGGGTGGAAAGTTACGTCCAGGGGAGGTCTTGGATCCAAAGGTGAGATTTGTGTTTGAGAACACAAAACTGACCTTGGTATAGACGTACCAAATTTAACCGATTGTTTTTCTTTTTGGTTGATTTTAATTTGCTTTTGTTTTTATTTTGTATATTATTTTTATTTTTTATTTAAAGCTAAAGGGTAAACGTCCCGGGGAATTGGAAACGTCCGATAAACAGGTTAGCGGGGTAGACAATTTTAGAAAATCTTTGATTCTATGTATGTGATTAACTTTTTTAGATTCGACGGAATAGAATAGAGTCTATAAAATTTTGTGAATTAATTACGTGTCGGTTTTCTCTACAACATGTCAATAATTTTATGTTAGAGTTTTTATTGAGTATCTAATATTATGTGATAAATCCCCCTTAAATTTTTATTAATATTTATGTTATTTTTTTTCGCCGATCGACTGAATTTAGTATATCATAGTTTTGCGTTTTTCAACTATGTTATACAGCCATTAAAACGCAAAACGATGTTCCCTTTCCAGAAAGATTCATTAAAAAGATTTTTGCACAAAAAGATTTTTGCACGATTTGACTTTTAGAATGATCATAAATTTTTCATATCCATGACACATAAAGCGTCTTTGGTAAACATGAAAGATAAACTAGTGATAAATGTAAATGAAATTTTAATTAATTGTGATTTGGAACCGATTCAAACTTAAAAGTAAAATAATTAATGACTGGGAATATTCTGATATTACTATCTTTCAGTTAAGATCGATTTTGTTGCATAGTACTATTAGTTAGTGTTGCTAGTTAATGTGTTAATAATATGAATACAACCAAAGGTTGCATAGAAGCAACAAATATTGTATTATCTTACAATTAGTGTAAATACTCGCTGAAATATTTAATAAACGCTATATTGCCACGATTAACCTGCTCTTTGCTTATTTTTTTATTAATCTATATGTTCAACACACTTCATAATATTAAAACTCAACTCACGTTGCATCACATACACATTAACGATATACGATTATCTAGCGAATAGTTTGGTAATTTTTGTAATTAATATAGCGTCGCAGACCAAGTTCAGACGTAAGGAGACCAAGTCTTGCAGACATGGAAGATTTGATCAACAAACCATCGACTCCATTGAAACCAACAGGACCTGCTGGAACTCCACCATCAATTGTTGATGTGCAGGAGAATTATTCCGCCGTTGAAGGTTTGCCCATCACTCTCACACAAAAACCACACACTGCAACAAATATTTCTTACTACAGATCAAACAGGATACATTACTGTTCAAGTAGAAGGCAACCCAGCGCCTAAATTCAAGTTCTACAAGGGTGTGACTGAACTCATCGAAGGAGGTCGCTTTAAGTTCCTCACCGATGGTGATCTTAACCTCATCACCTTGTGTATCCGCAAATGTAAGCCCAACGATGAAGGGCAGTACAAAGTGGTCGTCTCCAACATCCATGGAGAAGATTCCGCTGAAGTCATGCTTTACGTAGCTGGTAAGCACGGTTTTAGATCAATTTCAAGATTTTCTTCAAAGTCTTGCCCGATTACGGCCTAATTTGGCATGCTCATGATCATGTTATGAATTGTTCTTTTTGCTTAAGGTTCCGGAGGTGTCGACTTCAGATCCATGCTTATGAAGAGGAAGTATGCCAAGTGGGACAAGGATAAGGGAGATCCAGATTGGGGCGACTTGAAGGAGGTTGAGAAGCCTATGCCTGCACTTAAGAAAGTGGAAAAGGTCAGATTTGTTCTTAATCGTAATAAAATACCTAATACAACTAGTTATACTATCTATAAGGGTTTACTGTTTTTTGTCTCCTCAGCTACATATTTTTGTTGATTTTTTTTTGTTATTATGAAACCTATAGCGACCTATAGACATAATCAACGCTACAGGGTGGTATGAAGAAGACGAGGAAATTTTTGTTATTATTGAAGGGATAGTGGTTGCCACAGTGCCAGCATATAAAAGAGGGAACAATAATTGGAGTTGGTTAAAGGTTGGACCACTATTTTTACCCAGATATTCCCACTGTACCCCCAATCCAATTTTTTGGTAATCTGGAATAAAAACCTTTAGTCATCGCTGATTCTTTTATTTTGAAAGAACGTTATAAAGATACGTCTCCAGGATTTTTTCAGTGTAGCCAGCAGAGGAGCTATTTTTCCCAAATTGTGACGTCCTGTCTATTGTTGTTTGTATTGTGTATAGTGTAAATGAAAGTGCTTTTTGCTTTTATGTCCTGCATATAAAAAATTAGAGTACACATTCAATACTGCTTGTTATGCTTAAAAAAATTAAAAAACATATTTTATTTATAGCTAGGCACAAGTCTACCATAATATGATCCTTATTTTAAATTGAGGTCTATGCTGCAGACACACTGTTCTAAATATACGGCTGTAATATTATTTTTAGATATAAACTCGGATAAAGCTTAAAATACAGGCGACCCTAGAACTTTTTAACGATGAAATAAAAAATTATATAATGTAGCTATTTTCGTAGAGTGTTTATAATTTTACCGTGATCAAAAACTAAAAATAGATCATTATTTTTGGATTTATTTATTTTGATTATTTTGTAAAACTTTTTAATTTTCCACAGTGCTCAATTTTAAGGCGTCGTTTTTCTGCCGCTAAATTTTCATTGGCTGGGGCTATTCCTGATTGGCCTTTGCTGAAGAAAAGACAGGTTTTTTCTGTTGGCATGATCTTTTTTTGTAAATATTTTTTTTACATTTTATTTCACTCTATATGTGCTTAAGCTTTTGGGGACGCATCTCTATACAGTAGAAAACGTAGAAATCCTTCTAACCCACACTCCATCCTACCCCTAAAACCTTAATAAATAATATTAAAGTAGTATTAATTTCTTTATCTATAATTAAATCATGTCATATTCTTTTATTAATATTCAACTAACTTTATGACATGCTTTAGTAGATATTAATAAAGAATAAAAATAAACGTATGCTTAATATTTTTATTCTTCCAATGCTGTACATATTTATTGCATGGTGCCTTAGACTGTACTGCTTGTAGGAAATTTTCATAATTCAGAGACGTCCATCGCTCATAGAACTCATAGATGATTGGCCTAGGCTGATTAACCCACCAAAAAATAAGGTTGGCACTTTCATTTAAAGATTTTTATTTGAAATGAACCCAATATAACGGATTTGACACATAACAAGCATTAATGAATTGATAATTTTATATTTAGACATTAATACACTTAAACACAAAACTCTATAACGAGAGCTTTGCACTTTTTTTTATTGAGAGTGTATGAGTTGGGAATGTATGAATAATTTATCCTACAAGGGGATAAAGCTGAGTTTTAGTTTTTCTTTATAGAATCCTTCATCCCCACGGCGGCCTTCACTGGCTGAATTAATACCAGATTGGCCAACTTTGCATCACTTTTCAAGAAAGGAGGTTGGATGGACAAAACTTCATGTTTTTGTCTTGTGTGCACGCTCACCCTACACAAACCTTCCTCACTTAGACTCCTTAGAAATATAACATGACTTCTTACTCACCCTTCCTTTATAGATGTTGTCTGCATCATGGGATTTAATTTTTTTATATCTCTTGTACATATTGATGTTTATTTTGACTTTTTATATTTTTTATATCACTTTTTACCATTTTTACAGTCTTTTTATATATTTTTGCAGCACCGACTTATTGTATAATACAATTTTTTGTACATGTCCTCAATCTTTCGGTGAATTTATTTTGAACGAACTTTTTCTAATTTTAGAAACAAGAATCTTTCTTAAAACCGCTTGTTGATCAATTCGCAAAGGAAGGAAAAGACAAAAAAGTTGTATTTGAATGTTGTTTCACCAAACCAAATTGCAAGCCGAAATGGTCGTTCCGCAAAGATGTAAGCCAATGCAAACAAATAAAAAAACTCGATAACTCTTTAATTTTAATCGTAGGAACTCTTCCAAGGAGCCAAATACAAGTTTAAGAATGAAAACGACACCTATCAACTTATTATTTCTAATCCAAAAGTTGAAGATACTGGCAAGTACACCATCGAAATCGGAGGTGTTTCCAGCACTGGTTTCCTGCAAGTAGACGAGCCAGATCCATCATACACCTTCACCAAACCATTGAAGAAGAAGTACGATGGCTACACCAAACACGAAGTCGAACTTGAATGTACGGTCAGCAGTAGCTTAGCTATTGTTGGTTGGTACCATGGCGAAACAAAACTTGAAGATGGTGAAAAATATGGTATCTCCAAGGACATCAATGGAGTATGTCGCCTGACGATTAAGTCAGCTGAATTTGAAGATGCCGGAGATTACATGTGCAAACTTAACAAACAAACCGAGAAAACAGTCACAAAATTAGGCATCACCGATTACCCATACAAGTTTGTTAAGGTGCTCAAGCATCAACAACATGTTGAAAAGGAAAACATCACTTTTGTTTGCGAACTTAATGACGCCGGTGGCGATGTTAAATGGTTCAAAGGTGACCAAGAAATCAAACCCGACAAAAGATTGGTGGTTAGCAAAGATGGCAGAAAACGCAAACTTGTCATTAAAGATGCCAAAGTCACTGACGCTGGCATGTACAGGTGTACCTCTAACGCTGACCAGACCGAAGCAGAACTTGTTGTTAATTACTTGAACAGATTCAACAAGAAACTAAAGGATACAGTTGCAGTTGAAAGAGAGAAGGTTGTCCTTGAAATTGAACTTCAAGATCAAACCGCTCCAGCAGAATGGACTTTCAATGGTAAGAAAATCGAACCATCTGAGAGAATTGAAATCAAGAATCTTGGAGGAGGTAAACATCAACTTATTTTCAACAAACTGGATATGACCGATGATGGTGAGATCAAATGCGAGTCTGGAAAATTGGAATCAACTATGAAATTGTCAGTCAAAAAGGGTGAAAGTATTCCTAAGATTGACTTCCCAGATACATATGAGGCTCCTATTAGCAGGCCAGTCAATATTACAGTACCTTACAAAAGTAAGTATATTTAAGAATTAATTAAATAGTATATTAACCACAACTTTCGTATATAGTTGAAGGTACTAGACAAACACCTTTGGAAGCTAAAATTATTAAGGACGGTAAAGTACTTCCTCTTAAGGATGTTGACGTTGTCATTCAAGATGACAAAGTGGTATTCAAATTCAAAAAACCAGCAAGGGAGTTATCTGGACCGTACCAAATCAAATTGTCCAACGGTCAAGGTGAAGATGTTAAGGACGTTAACATCACAATGCAAGATGTACCTTCACCTCCACTTGATGTTGAGGTGAATGAAGTGTTCCAAACTAATTGCAAAGTATCATGGAAACCACCTACGGATGATGGTGGTGCTCCACTCCAACATTACGTTGTTGAAAGACAAGATCTTAGTCTTAAAGGTATAGTTATTATAGGGATTTAAATAAAACAACAATAACAATATTAATAATTTTATTTAGCTGGTTGGGACAATGTTGGTCAAGTAAAGGCAGGCGAGCCATGCATGCTTAAAGTTGACGGACTTGTACCTAAAAAGGAATACAAATTTAGAATCAGGGCCGTTAACAAGCTTGGACCCAGTGAAGCAGCTACGTTTGGTAAGCCAGTATTGGCTAAAGATCCATGGGGTAAGTTTTTTAAATAATTATTAACTAACGCTGTAGCAAACTTGTTATAGATGAACCAAGTAAACCAAACAACGTACAAGTGGTTGATTGGGACGTAGATCACGCTGATCTCACTTGGCTGCCGCCAGATAGCGACGGTGGTGCGCCAATTACTGGATACGTCATTGAATACAAAGAAAAGTTCGCCAAGGATTGGTCTAAAGGCATTGAAGTACCTGCAGATCAACTTAAAGGCACATGTCCCAGACTAAAGGAAAACAGCACATATGAATTCAGGGTTCGTGCTATCAACAAAGCCGGTCCAGGTGAACCGAGCGACTCCACCAAACCTATTATTGCTAAATGTAGATTCGTTAAACCATACATCATTGGTAACGATCTTATTCAGATTATTGTTAAGAAGGGACAAGTCGTTAAATATGATATTAAATACGGCGGTGAACCCGAGCCAGAAGTTCAATGGTTCCTGGGCCAAAAGGAAATAAAACAAGACATCGAAGAAAGAGTTACACTCGACAAATACGACAGAAATACTATTATTACTGTTCGTAGAGTTACCAGGGCTGACAGCGGTAAGTACCGCCTTGTCCTTACCAACAGCTCTGGTACCTGCGAAGGAGTCGGCGATGTAATCGTTCTTGACAAACCAACACCACCAAAGGCAATGAAGGTGGACGAAATCCGTGCCACTCATGTCACAATCAAGTGGCAAAAACCAGAAGATCTTGGTGGCACCGAACTTACCGGATATGTTCTTGAAAAAATGGACATGGACACTGGAAGATGGATTCCAGCCGGTGAAGTTGGCCCAGAAGACAATAACTTCACATTCAAGAACTTAACACCCAAAAAGAAGTACAAGTTTAGAGTACGCGCTAAAAACAAGGAGGGTGAATCTGAACCTCTTGAGACAACTGACGCCATTGTGGCTAAGAATCCTTACGACGAACCTGGCGCGCCAAGCAAGCCAGTCATTGACGATTATGACAACAAAAGCGTCACACTTAAATGGGAGAAACCAGAAAATGACGGTGGACGTCCTATCACTCACTACACCATTGAAATGAAGGACAAATTTTCGCCCGACTGGACTGAAGTGCTTAAAACCGAAGGTCCAGAACCCGCAGGAAAGGTAGAAGGTCTTAAAGAAAACATGATTTATCAATTCCGCGTTCGTGCACACAATAAAGCTGGACCTAGTAGTCCATCGGAACCTACCGATAACCACCTCTGCAAACACAGGAACTGTAAGAATTTATTGTTTGATTTGTTGAAAATTAATTCCTTTGTGGTTGACATTAGAATAGTTTGAAACTAATGATAATTTTTGTTTTTTTTGCAAACGTTTTTTGAAACCCCTTCTGATATAAATAATGCGATATTCCAAAGAATATCCATATATTTATTTTGGACTTGATTTCTTATAGGCGTTTGTGTACAGGTATCTTCTTGTTATGTATGTGACGTTTTTATATATGTTTCATTGTATATATTTGGAATTGTGACGTTTCTATCAAAGTATTGTACAGATATTGTATATATTAATAAAAAACAATACTAGTGAAACTTGACACAGTACTAATAGGTTGATTATTATTTTAGTGAAACCACGTATTGACAGGGAAACGTTTAAATCTGTTACAATCAAGGCCGGTCGTACACACAAATGGTCTGTTGACATTAGCGGTGAACCGCCACCGACCATCAAATGGGTATGGAGGGATAACATTCCTTTAACTAACACAGAACGCATCAACATCGAGAACGTCGACTACCACACAACATTTACGATCACAAACTGTGTGCGTAAAGACACAGGACGGTACACCTTGATTGCTGAAAACGTCAACGGTAAAGATACCGAGACTGTGGAGTTAACTGTTCTTAGTAAGCCAGGATCCCCGACTGGGCCTCTTACTGTTTCTGATGTCACTGCCACTAAAGCCAAGGTTGGCTTTAAGAAACCCGAAGACGATGGCGGAAGCCCGATTAAAGAATACGAAATTGAAAAGATGGACACTGCTACTGGTAAATGGGTACGTGTAGGACGTGTACCTGGAGACAAAATTGGTCCTGACGGTAAAGGAGAATTCGAAGTTACCGGATTGATTCCCGGTAACGAATACAAGTTCAGAGTAACAGCCGTTAACAACGAGGGCGATTCCGAACCTCTTGTATCCGAAAAGCCAGTCCTTGCTAAAGATCCATTTGGTAAAATTAATTATTTTATAAAAAACTTAAAACCTAACTATTTTGATTATCATTTTAGATGCTGCTGGTAAGCCTGGCACTCCAGAAATCACTGACTACGACAATAAGGGAGTTAACCTTAAATGGACACCGCCCAAAAGCGACGGTGGTGCGCCAATCGAAAAATATATTATCGAAAAGAAAGACAAATTTAAGCCCGACTGGGAAAAAGCTACAGAAGTACCTGGAGATCATTTGGAGGCTCGCGTAGAGGACCTAAAGGAACGCGGCGAATATCAGTTCCGTGTAATTGCTGTTAATAAAGCAGGTCCTGGTGTACCTTCCGATGCATCTCAAATGCAAATTATTAAACATAGATCACGTAAGTACAATTCACTTTGTTTTAAATTAAATGTCAATAACTTTTTTATACAGTTAAACCCAGGATTGACAGAACCAACCTTAAACCAATCACGGTTCGCGCCGGTAAACCAATTAAATACGACGTTGATGTTAGAGGTGAACCTCCACCAACTTGCACTTGGTTCCATGTTGAAACAGAAGTCAAATCTGAAGGCAACATTGAAATTATCAATGTTGATTACAATACCAAAATTACTATTAATAACTCAGTTCGTAAAAACACTGGTATTTACAAGATCAAGGCCGTTAACGAGCACGGTTTTGATGAAGCTGAAGTTGAAGTAACTGTGCTTTGTAAGTTCAATAACTTCAATGGAATAAAATATGTCCTAACAATTTATTTGTCTATTTCCAGCATCACCAAGTAAACCTAAAGGTCCACTCAAGGTTACCGATGTAACTAAAGGCGGATGCAAACTTAAATGGCAAAAACCTGAAGACGACGGTGGAAAACCTGTTACTGGTTATGTAGTTGAAAAACTGGACAAATCCACTGGCCGCTGGGTACCAGTTGGTAGAACTGGACCAAATGACACCGAAATGGACGTCAAAGGTTTACAAGAAGGTCATGAATACGATTTTAGAGTAAAAGCTGTAAATGATGAAGGAGAATCTGAACCATTGGAAAGCGAAGGCTCTATCATTGCTAAGAACCCATACGATATACCCGGTAAACCTGGTACACCAGAAATTACTGATTGGGATTCTGATCGCGTCGACCTTAAATGGACTGCACCAAAGAGTACCGGAGGTGCTCCTATTACTGGTTACGTTATTGAGAAAAAAGAGAAATTCTCCACCAGCTGGGACGAAATACTTACCACTGACAGTCCCGACTGCGACGCCCGTGTTCCTGGTCTTAAGGAAGGAAATACATACCAGTTTCGCGTTCGCGCTGTTAACAAAGCTGGTCCTGGTGAACCATCCGATGCCACTGGACAACATGTTGCTAAACCTAGACACAGTAAGAAAATATTTAAATAATTACTCAACAAATGATTCATGTTATTTTGTTTTAGTGCGTCCACTCATCAACCGTGAGAAGTTGCACACTATTAAAGTGCGTGCAGGACAAATCGTCAAATACGACGTTGATGTCAAGGGTGAACCACCACCGACTATTACCTGGAGCTTTGCTCACAAGGTATTGGAAAACGGTCCCAACACAAAAATTGAAAACGAGGACTACAATACCAAACTTACTCTCACCAATACCTCCAGAAAAGATACTGGAACTTACACCATCAGAGCCGAAAACGAATCAGGCTTTGATGAGGCTCCTGTTGAGGTTATTATTTTAGATAAACCAGGTAAACCTGAAGGACCTCTGGAGATCAGCGACGTTCACAAAGAAGGTTGCAAGGTTAAATGGAACAAACCTAAAGATGATGGTGGTCTTCCAATCACTGGATACTCTATCGAAAAACAAGATCCAACAACTGGCAGATGGGTACCAGCTGGTTTTGTCGATGCGGACAAACTTGATGCAGAAATAACAGGCTTAGAACCCAACAAGAAATATAACTTTAGAGTTAAAGCTGTCAATGAAGAAGGCGAATCAGAACCACTTGAATCAGATGGTTCCGTTCTTGCCAAAAATCCATACGACGTGTCTGCACCACCCGGTCTTCCAGAAATCGTTGACTGGGATGAACACTCTGTTAAACTTAAGTGGGACAAACCAGTACGCGATGGCGGAGCACCAATTACTGGATACGTTATTGAAGCCATGGACAAATTTGGTGGACAATTTGTTAAGGTCGCCGAAGTTGGACCACAATGCACTGGTACTGTACCGAAACTTGAAGAAGGAAATCAGTACAAGTTCCGCGTACGTGCTTTAAATAAGGCAGGCCAAAGTGAACCTTCTGAACAAACCAACTGGCATACAGCCAAGGCCAGGTTCCGTAAGTATGATATATAGTGTATAAAGTTCATATTAAAACATTTTTTTCATTTTTAGTGAAACCTTTGATTGATAGGACCAATCTTAAGCCATTAAGTATTAAGGCTGGTCTTTCTATCAGCTTAGATGTTAATGTTGCTGGTGAACCTGCACCAACTATTCAATGGTTCTGCAACGGCAAAGAATTGAAAACCGATGATATTATGCGCATAGATAATATCGATTACAACACCAAATTCTTTGTTCTACGCGCTACCAGAGAACAATCTGGTAAATACACAATCGTAGCCAAGAATGAAGTCGGTGAAGATACCGCCGATATTGAAATTTCCGTTCTTGGAAAACCATCCGCACCAAAAGGACCATTGGAAGTATCCGATGTTACTAAACACGGTTGCAAACTCAAATGGAAGAAACCAGAAGATGATGGTGGCAGTCCAGTTGATCACTATGAAATTGAAAAACTTGATCCACTTACTGGACAATGGATCCCATGTGGCAGAAGCAATGAACCAGAAGCTAATATCACTGGTCTGCAAGAAGGCAAACCTTATAAATTTAGGGTCAAAGCCGTAAACAAGGAAGGAGAATCCGAACCATTAGAAACTGAAAAATCTATTATTGCTAAAAATCCATTCGATGAACCAAGCAAACCAGGTCGTCCAGAACCCAAAAACTGGGACAAAGACTTTGTCGAACTTGCCTGGGCACCACCAAAAAGCGATGGAGGTGCTCCTATTGAAAAATATATCATTCAAATGCACGACAAAGCGGGTCGCGGATGGGTTGATGCCGCTACAGTGCCCGGTGATAAAACCAATGGCAGAGTTGATTCAGTTGACGAGGGACATGAGTACGAATTCCGTATTGTCGCTGTTAACAAGGCTGGTCCTAGTGAACCTAGTGATCCATCTAAGCCTGTCATTGCTAAACCAAGATTCTGTGAGTTAAAAAAAATTATTTCAGTATTTTATTACTAATATTTTTTCTTTGCAGTGGCACCAAAGATTGATCGAAGGAACTTGGATAAGAAAGTATTACGTACTGGTCAACTTCTTCGCCTTGAAGCTGACGTTAAGGGTGAACCAGCTCCAACTGTAACATGGACCCTTAAAGAACAAACTCTCAGAAACACCGACAGAATTAAGATTGAAAACGAAGATTACCATACTTCCTTTGTTATGCAAAAGGTACAACGCAGTGATACTGGTATGTACGTTGTTACAGCTAGAAATGACTCCGGTGTTGACACCGTGGAAGTCGAACTTCAAGTAATCAGCAAACCATCCAAACCAAAGGGTCCACTCAAAGTATCCGATGTTACCGCTGACGGGTGCAAACTTAAATGGGAAGCACCAGAAGATGATGGTGGTGAACCAATTAAAGAATACGTTGTTGAACGTATGGATGTAGAAACAGGCAGATGGGTGCCAGTTACAACAACCAAGACACCTGAAGCCGATGTTTCTGGTTTAACTGAAGGAAAAGACTACCAATTCAGAGTAAAGGCCGTTAATTCAGAAGGTGAATCCGAACCTTTGGTAACAGATGTGCCAACAACCGCCAAGAATCCTTACACTCAACCAGATAGTCCTGGAAAGCCGGAAGTTAAGGACTGGTCTAAGAACCACGCCGATCTTAAATGGGCTCCACCCAAAAATGATGGTGGTGCTCCAATCGAAAAATACATAATTGAAAAGAAAGATCCTATAACTGGAAAATGGCAAAAGGCCCTTGAAGTACCAGGAAACAAAGCTGAGGCTAGAATACCTGATTTACAAGAAGGACAACCTTATCAATTTAGGGTAAAGGCTGTTAACAAGGGTGGAGAAAGTAAACCATCACAAGCATCAGAACAAATTATTGCCAAGGATAGATTTGTTCCTCCAAAGATTGACAGAAGCAACCTTAGAGACATCACTGTCAAGGCTGGACAACATATACGCCTTGATGTTAAAGTTTCCGGTGAACCACCACCAACCAAACAATGGTACCTTAACAAAGCTCGCATTGAAGATCGCGACGATATTAACGTAGACTTGGAAGATTACAGAACAAAATTCGTAATTCCAATTGCTAAACGTGAACATACTGGTACTCTAGTACTAAAAGCTGAGAATAGCTCTGGCAAAGATGAAGCTAGCATCGAAATTAAGGTTTTGGATAAACCATCTAAACCGGAAGGTCCGCTTAGAATAAGCGATGTGCACAAGGAAGGTTGTACACTTAAATGGAAGCCACCAATTGACGACGGTGGTGTACCACTTGATTACTACCAAGTTGAAAAACTCGACACTGCCACAGGCCGCTGGGTACCAGCTGGTCGTGCCAAGGAACCAAAGATTGACCTTAACAACCTAGAACCTGGCCAAGAATACAAATTCCGTGTTTCTGCAGTTAACGCCGAAGGCGAATCAGAACCACTCGAAGCCGAACAAAGCATTATTGCTAAGAATCCATTCGATGAACCTGGTGCTCCTGGTACTCCAGAAGTTACCGATTGGGACAAGAATCATGTCGACCTAAGATGGACTCCACCAACAAATGATGGTGGATCTCCAATCACTGGTTACATTATTGAAAAAAGGGAGAAGGGATCTCCCAAATGGATTAAGGCAGGTGAAACTGGACCTTATGACACTAAAGGTACCGTTGACAACTTGGACGAAGGAGGCGAATATGAATTTAGGGTACGTGCTGTTAACTTAGCTGGCCCTGGTGAGCCAAGCCAAACCTCGAAATCTGTAATATGCAAACCAAGGAAATGTAAGTAAAACTTATTAAAAGATTTTTATAATGCTAATAATATAACATATTTTATAGTGGCACCTAAGATTGATCGCCGCAACCTTTACAATATCACCGTTAAAGAAGGTGAACCAATTTACATCGACGTCAAGGTCACTGGCGAACCTGCTCCAGATGTATCATGGTACCAAGAAGGCAAAACATTAATTCCCACTTCACATAGGCGTATTGATAACATTCCATATAACTCCAAGTTCTTCAACGACAAACCCGAAAGAAAGGACAGTGGAGTTTACAAGATTCAAGCTGTTAATAAATACGGCCAAGATAGCGCTGAAATAGAAATCACCGTTGTTTGTAAGTAACAAAAATACTAAATTATATATTTTCTATAATAAAGAAAATTTATTTTAGCTAAACCAGGACAACCAGAAGGTCCATTGGAAGTGTCCGATATCCATAAAGATGGATGCACACTTAAATGGAAGAGACCTAAGGATGATGGTGGTGAGCCAATTGAAAACTACGTTGTTGAAAAGTTCGATCCAGAAACAGGAATTTGGTTGCCAGTTGGCAAGACAAGTGGATCTATTCCAGAAATGAAAGTCGATGGTCTTACACCTGGCCACGAATACAAATTCAGAGTTAAAGCTGTTAATAAGGAGGGTGAATCTGAACCTCTTGAAACTGCTGGACTTATTACTGCCAAAGATCCATTTAGTAAGAATATTTTTTTATAATTTCAGTATATAAATGTTAATTTGTATTTATTTTATAGCCACTGCAAACAGGCCTGGCACTCCAGAACCGACCGATTGGAGCGCAAACCACGTCGACCTTAAATGGACTGAACCCATTTCAGATGGTGGTTCTCCAATTACTGGTTACATAATTGAAATGAAAGACAAATACAGCCCATTGTGGGAAAAGGCACTTGAGACAACTAGCCCGACACCTTCCGCTGCTATCCATGGTTTGATAGAAGGCAATGAATACCAATTTAGAGTAATTGCTGTAAACAAAGCTGGCCAAAGTGCACCTTCTGATGCCAGCAAATCATTCACAGCTAAACCAAGATTCTGTAAGTTTACTCATAATGTTATTTTGACGATTTATCTGACCAAATACATTTTATTACAGTGGCACCAAAGATTGATAGACGTCACTTGCACGATGTTACTTTATCTGCTGGTTCAGCATTGAAATTCGATGCTAACATCATCGGTGAACCTGCACCAACTGTAGAATGGCGTTACAATGGCGGTTCCATTAAGGACAACCGCATTCAAATCGACAATGTCGATTATAACACCAAATTGGTCATTCGTCCTGTTAAACGTGACGATTCTGGCCAATATACCGTAACTGCCACAAACAGCTCCGGCAAAGATACACACACCATCAATGTTACTGTCACTGATAAGCCCACACCACCTGAAGGACCATTGGCTGTATCTGATGTTAACAAAAATGGATGCAAACTTAAATGGAAAAGACCAAAGGATGACGGTGGCACTCCTATTGAGTACTACCAAGTCGACAAGATGGATCCAGAAACTGGGTGCTGGGTACCATGCGGAAGAGCTAATGAGCCAAGTAAGAAAATAAAAAAAATCTTAAATAATTCTTTTTTAATCTTGTTTGCTTTTTTGTAGACTTTGAAGTTACTGGTTTGACACCAGGACACGAATATAAATTCAGAGTAGCGGCTGTAAATGCTGAAGGTGAATCTAAACCACTTGAAGCTGACCAAAGCATTATTGCTAAGAATCCATTCGATGAACCTGGAGCACCAGGCCATCTTAAGGCTACCGATTGGGACAAAGACCACGTTGATTTGGCTTGGTCACCACCTAAAGAAGATGGTGGATCACCAATCACTGGTTACATCATTGAAAAGAAGGACAAATTTGGCGACTGGGAAAAGGCTCTTGAAGTTCCAGTTGATCAGCTTAAAGCTACAGTGCCTGATTTAATTGAAGGACAACCCTACCAATTCCGCGTACGTGCTGTTAATGCAGCCGGACCAGGAGATCCAAGCAATGAAACACCAACCATTATTGCCAAGTCCAGAAACACTGCTCCTAAGATTGACCGCAGCAACCTTATTGAAATCCGTATTAAGGCTGGACAACCTTTCCATTACGAATGTAAGGTAACTGGTGAACCTATGCCAACAACTAAATGGTTGTTGAAAGGAAAGGAAATTAAATCATCTGAAGGTACTAAGGTCACTCACAGTGACTACAATACCAAACTTGCAGTTCGTAATGCTTCCCGTGCTGATTCTGGAACTTACACAGTAACTGCCGAAAATGCCAATGGAAAAGACATCGCCGAAGTTGAAGTAACAGTATTAGACGTGCCCAGTCCACCAGGTGGACCACTTAAGGTATCCGATGTACACGCTAATGGATGCAAACTTAGCTGGAGACCACCAGCAGATGATGGTGGCAATCCAGTTGAATGCTACGTCGTTGAGAAAATGGACGAAGCTAGTGGTCGCTGGGTTCCAGCTGGTGAGACCATTGGACCTGAAACTAGCTTAAATGTCGATGGCCTTACACCTGGTCATAAATACAAATTTAGAGTTCGCGCTCAAAATAGACAAGGCAAATCTGAGCCACTTACCACAGCTCAAGCAATTGAAGCCAAAAATCCATTTGATGAACCTGGAAAGACAAGTGCTCCAGAAATTACAGATTACGATTCTGAATTTGTTGAACTTAAATGGGACAAACCAGAATCCGATGGCGGCTCTCCAATCACGGGATACATCATTGAGAAGAGAGACAAATACAATCCCAACTGGGAGAAATGTGCCGAAACTATCGGAGATGTACCCAAGGGAAAAGTTAAGGATCTTATTGAAGGAACACCATACGAATTCCGTATTCGTGCGGTAAACAAAGCCGGACCTGGTGAACCAAGTGATGCATCCGCGATTCATGTTGCTAGACCTAAGAACCTTCCACCTAAAATCGACAGAAACCACTTCCGTGACCTTAAAGTCAAGGCCGGAGCTACAATTGAATTTAACGTACCAATTATTGGTGAACCACCACCATCAAAGGAATGGAAACACAAGGAAGACATTCTTTTCGCCGGCGAACGTTGCAAAATCACCAATGAAGATTACAAGACTCACGTTAAGATTACTGATGCTAAACGTAGCGACAGCGGTCCTTACACTCTTACTGTTAAGAACTCCAACGGCAGAGATACCCACACTGTTAAGGTGACAGTTCTTGACATACCATCACCACCAGAAGGGCCACTTAAGACAGATAACGTAACCAAGAACTCGTTGACGCTCCAATGGAAACCACCCAAAGATGATGGTGGTTCTGAAATCACTCACTACTCTGTTGAAAAATTAGACACAGAAAATATGAGATGGGTACCAGTTGGTGACGCTATTGGTACGAATATGCGCGTTGATCATTTGTCTGAAGGTCACGACTATCAATTCCGCGTTCGTGCTTGCAACAAACAAGGAGATTCCGTACCTCTTTGCACTACCGAAGCTATTACGGCTAAGGATCCATTTACTAGACCAGATAAACCAAGCGCACCTGTACCGACCGATTGGGACAAGGATCATGTTGATCTTGAATGGACCCCACCGAAGAGAGATGGTGGTGCTCCAATCGAAAAATATATTATCGAAAAGAGACCAAGACACGGTATTTGGGAAAAGGCATGTGAAGTTCCTGGAGACAAGACTAAAGGAACTGTACCAAACTTAACCGAAGGTGAGGAATACGAATTCCGCATCATTGCCGTGAACAAAGGAGGTCCAAGTGAACCAAGTGAAGCCTCTATACCGGTTATTGCCAAGCCCAGATTCCAAGCGCCAACATTTAACAAAAACTTGCTTGAAGATATTACCGTTAAAGCTGGCCAACGCTTTGGATGGACTATTCCAATTGAGGCTTCACCAAAACCAACAGCTAAATGGAGCGTCAATGGAAAAGACATTAGCCCGAGCAATAGAGTCGATATGGCAGTTTACAACAACAAGGTATCATTCGATATATCTTCATCACTTAGATCTGATGCCGGCAGATATACTTTGACACTTACCAACGATCTTGGTAGCTTTAGTGCATCTGCTCAAGTAAATGTAATCGACAAACCGGGACCACCACAACGTCCATTGGATGTTGGATGTGTCACTAAAGAAAGCGCAAGAATAACATGGAAACCACCAGCGGACGATGGCGGTTCTCCAATTCTTCATTATATTGTAGAAAAAATGGATGTATCTCGTGGCACATGGGCTGACGCCGGTATGGCCACCATTACATCACACGATATTACCAGACTTATTCACAAAAAGGAATACTTCTTCCGCGTTAAAGCTGTTAACGCTGTTGGCGAATCCGAGCCTTTGGAAACAGCCAGAAGCATTATTGCTAAAAACGAATTTGGTAAGTTACGATCACATTCTTATTAAAAATATATTTATTGGTCGAATATTTCAGATGAACCAAGTGCACCTGGCAAACCAGCTGTCACAGACTGGGACAAAGACCACGTTGATTTGGAATGGACCGCGCCTACAAACGACGGCGGTTCTCCAATCACTGGTTACGTTATTCAAAAGAAAGAAAAAGGCAGTCCATACTGGACAAATGCAGTTCATGTACCTGCTAGAAAAACAAGTGCTACCGTACCTGATTTAACCGAAGGACAAGAATACGAATTTAGAGTAATTGCTACTAACACAGCTGGTCAGAGTGAACCTTCTGAACCATCTGACCTTGTCACCGCTAAGGCTCGCTTTTGTAAGTCAAAAAATCTTTATACCAAACACATTATTTACTTTACAATTTATTTTAGTGGCACCTAAAATTAAGACTCTTCTTAATGATATTCGCATTAAGGCTGGACTCATTCTTCACATTGATATTGATTTCATTGGCGAACCAACTCCAGAACCAACCTGGACTGTTGGCGGCAAAGACTTGGTACCTAATGATCGTACCACAGTAACATCTATTGGGTACCATACAACTATTCATACAGTTAACGCTAAACGCAGTGACAGTGGCTTGTACCATCTTTTGATCAAGAACAACTCTGGAATTGATGAAGGATCATTCCAAGTTATTGTTTTAGGTAAATGTACATTAATAACAAATTACAATTATTACAGTTAATGTATTTTATCAGATCGTCCAAACCCTCCAGAGGGACCATTGGAATACGAGGAAGTTACAGCTCAAAGTGTAACGCTTTCATGGAAACCACCCAAGGATAACGGTGGTAGTGAAATTACGTATGTATTTATAAAAGTAAGAAAGAACAGGTAAGTAGAACACATTCTTTTAGTGGATACGTCATCGAAAAGAGAGACTTAACACACGGAGGTGGCTGGGTACCTGCCGTAAACTATGTAAATCCAAAATACAACCATGCTATTGTACCAAGGTTAATTGAAGGTACGAAATATGAATTTAGAGTAATGGCTGAAAATCTGCAAGGAAGATCTGATCCACTTGATACATCTAAACCAGTGGTTGCTAAGAACCAATATGGTATACAAAATGTTGCATACTTACATTACAATTTTATTTACTACCTAATATTTTAGATGTTCCTGGCAAACCTGGTAAACCAGAACTTGTTGACAGCGACAAAGACCACATTAAGATTAAATGGTCAGCACCAATCAGTAACGGCGGGTCGCCAATTGTTGGTTACGACATCGAAAGACGTGACCGTGCCACTGGAAGATGGGTGAAACTTAACAAAGAACCCACCAAAAATCTCGAATATTACGATGACCGTGTACAGGAAGGTCACCAATACGAATACAGAGTATCTGCTGTCAATGCTGCTGGACCTGGTAAACCAAGTGACGCCTCTAATGTCTTTATTGCTAAACCAATGAAAGGTATGGGAGATAAAATATACAAACAATATTTTATTCAAATATTTTTATTATATTGCAGAAAAACCAAAATTATGGCTTGATGGCTTGATTGGACGTAAAATTAAAGTACGTGCTGGAGAACCTATTAATATTGACATTCCATTAACTGGGGCTCCAACACCTAAAGTTGAATGGCTTAAGAACAAGATCAATGTTCCTGAATCTAACAGAGTATATGTGAGTACAAAAATATTATATAAAGAATACAATCTTTAAAATTGTTTTTCTATAGAGCGAAACTACAAGCGAACATACCAGATTCCGCGTAGAAGTTTCAAATAGGGATGATTCTGGAATTTACACCGTTCGTGCCAAGAACGAATATGGCGCTGATGAAGCTGACATTGAAGTAACTGTAGTCGACAAACCTGGACCACCAAAGGGACCATTGCAATACACTGAAACAACTCAAGACACAGTATCGCTATCATGGAACCCACCTAGTGATGATGGTGGTGGCGAAATCACTGGATATATCGTCGAAGTAAGTGAATTTGGAACAGATATGTGGCGCCCATGCCCTGGATACTGTCCAAGAACATCCTTCACTGCTCGTGGATTGCAAGAAGGAAAGAAATACAACTTCCGCGTGCGCGCTGAAAACATCTATGGTGTATCTGAACCACTTGAAGGTAAACCAGTTGTTGCCAAGAGTCCATTCGATCCACCAGGCGCGCCAAGCCAACCAGATGTTACTGGTTACACTCCATCATCTTGCTCGCTTAAATGGAACCCACCAACTTCAACTGGTGGCAAGCCAATTACTGGATATATTGTTGAGAAACGCGAACGTGGAGGTGACTGGGTTAAGGTTAACAACTACCCGACACCAAACACTCAGTACACTGTACAAGACCTTAGAGAAGGAAACAAATACGAATTCCGTGTCATTGCTGTTAATGAAGCTGGACCTGGTACACCAAGCAAACCTACCGAACCAATTGTTGCTGGACACCAAAGATGTAAGTACACAATACATTCTATAATTACAATATTTTACTTACCTTTTTATTTTAGTTAAACCAAATACTCCTGAACCACCGAAGGCTGACAGAATTACCAAAGACAGTGTTACTCTTTCGTGGAGACCACCAAGAAGCGATGGAGGATCCAAACTTAAGGGATATATTCTACAGAAACGTCCGAAGGGCTCTGATGACTGGACTGACGTTAACAGTGTGCCCATCACTGATACAGTTTACACTGTTCCGAAATTGAAGGAAGGCGAAGAATACCAATTCAGACTTATTGCCGTTAACGATGTAGGCAAATCTGATCCTAGCAGACCAAGCAATCCAATCGTTATTGAAGAACAAGCAAACAAACCAAAGATGGACTTGGGAGGTGTACGTGACATTACAGTCAGAGCTGGTGAAGATTTTAGCATTCACGTACCATACGTTGGATTCCCCAAACCAACAGCATCTTGGTTTGCTAACGATAAGCTTCTTGACGAATCTGATAGCAGAATTTTCCCACAACTGGCTGATGATTACGCAAGCATCATCGTGAAGAACTCCAAACGCACTGACAGTGGTCAATACAGACTTCAATTGAAGAACCCATCAGGTTTCGATACCGCTACCATAAATGTTCGGGTACTTGATAGACCTGGAAAACCAGAAAACCTGAGAGCTGACGAATTTGCCGGTGACGCCCTTACTTTGTACTGGCAACCACCCAAGGACAACGGTGGTGCCGATATTACCAACTACATTATTGAAAAGAAGGAAGCCAAATCGAACACATGGTCCAAGGTTAGCAGTTACGTTACAGTACCATTTGTACGTATTCGCAATTTGACTCTTGGGAAAGATTATGAATTCAGAGTAATCGCTGAAAATCAATATGGCCAATCAGAACCAGCTGTAACATCAGAACCAATCCGTGCAAGACATCCATTCGATCCTCCAGGCGCTCCAGGAGTTCCAAGAGGCATTGAAACCTCTGAAGACTCTATTACGATCACCTGGGCTAAGCCACGTCACGATGGTGGATCGCCAATCACAGGCTATGTTGTTGAAAAACGTCTAATTACAGAAGATAAATGGACCAAGGCTTCACATGCCCTTGTTCCTGATACCACATTGAAATGCATTAACTTGATTGAAAATCACGAATACGAATTTAGAGTAGCCGCTCTAAATGCTGCTGGACAAGGTCCATGGAGCTCAGCGTCTGACGCCATTTGCGCTAGAGCTGCTCCACACGCTCCTAAGATTACATCAGATTTGAGCATTAGAGATATGGTGGTGATTGCCGGTGAAGAGTTTAAGATCACTGTGCCTTACACAGCTACACCTAAACCAAAGGAAACATGGTCCATCAATGGCGAAGAAGTCACATCAGGTGACAGAATCAAGATGGAAACCACCGATATTGCTTCAATTTACTTGAACAAAAAGGCTAAACGTTCAGATACCGGAAGCTACACAATCAAGCTTACTAACACCGTTGGATCAGATTCTGCTACATGCAGAGTACTTGTTGTTGACAAACCACAACCACCACAGGGTCCACTTGACATTTCTGACGTTACTCCAGATAACTGCTCATTGGCATGGAGGGCACCACTTGACGATGGTGGTTCGCCAATCACAAACTACATCGTAGAAAAATTGGACACCAACGGAATTTGGACCAAATGCAGCAGTTTTGTTCGCAATACTCATTACGATGTAATGAGCTTAGAACCCAACAGGAAATACAGCTTCAGAATCCGTGCTGAAAACCAATACGGTATCAGTGAGCCTCTGGAAAGCAGCGACCCGGTTGTTGCTAAATATCCATTCACTGTACCTGACGCACCAGGCGCACCACGCGTCACTGACTGGGATTCAAGCACTATCTATTTGTCTTGGGACAGACCAAACAATGATGGCGGCTCCAGAATTCAAGGTTACAAACTTGAATACCGCGATGTTGCTCACGATGCTCACTGGATAAGCGCTAGTGACTATCTTGTCAAGGAGACTCACTTTGATTTGTACAATATGATTACCGGTCAAGAATACGAATTCAGAGTGCGTGCTAAGAACGCTGCTGGATTTAGCAAACCATCAGCCTCTTCAAGCATATTTAAACTTAAAGGAAAATTCAATGTTCCTACACCACCACAAAATCCAAAGGTTGTCAAGGTTGGTAAAGGTTACGTCGACCTTACCTGGGAACCACCAACTAACGATGGGGGATCCCGAATCACTGGATACATTATCGAAAAGAGAGAAATCGGAAGTCCATTGTGGACTAAATGCAATGACTATAACGTATTGGACACCAACTACACGTCCCTTAACCTTACCGATGGATCTGACTACGAATTCAGAATTTACGCTATTAACTCTGCAGGCAAAAGTGACGCCAGCAACTGCACTACACCTGTTAGAATCTGCGAAGTTCTTGGAGGACAGAAACCAGAATGGATTCGTCCTCTTAACAACACAGCAGCTCCTCTTGGCAAAACCGGAACATTGGAATGCGAAGCTTACGGTAAACCAGAACCAACCTTCCGCTGGTTGAGAATGGGACGTGAAATTAATATGGGAGGCAGATTCCAAATGGAATCCAAAGGAGGTATTGCCAGGTTACACATCAATGACCTTCTTGACATCGATGATGGAGACTACACATGCGAAGCTAGCAACACTCTTGGATCTATTACCACTACTGCTAGACTTAAGATTGGAAGTAAGTACATTATTTTATTTTAAATTATTTGATGTTGACATTTAATTTTTTTAGCACCACCAAGGATCGACCGCCTTCCTGGAGACTTATACTTACCAGAGGGTGATAACACCAAGATTAAGATTTATTACACTGGTGATCAACCACTTGACGTCACTCTCAGTCGCAATGGCAGACAAATCGAAGAATCCGGACATCTTAAATTCACAGTATTCGACGATTATATCATTATCTTTATCAGAGGAATCCAAAAGGATGACGCAGGCCAATACAATCTTACTGTCAAAAATGACAGCGGAAGTGCCAGTGGAAGCTTTGATGTATTCATCACTGGTTTACCTGGACCACCAAACGGACCTTTGGACACCACCGACATTACCAAACATACATGCACACTCAGCTGGAAACCACCAAGCTACGATGGTGGCATGCGTGTAACGCACTACGTTGTTGAAAGGAAGGACGTAACTGGACAACACTGGATAACAGTGTCCAGTTCTTGCAAAGATACCACTTTCACCGTGCAAGGATTGACAGAAGGCCAAGAATACCTATTCAGAATTATGGCTGTAAATGACAACGGTATGGGACCACCACTACAAGGCGTTAATCCAATTAAGGCCAAGGCTCCATTTGATCCACCATCACCACCTGGCATACCTAAAGTCACTCAAGTTGGAGGAGACTTCGTTAATCTCGAATGGACCAAACCCGAAAACGATGGAGGCGCACGCGTACAAGGTTACTGGGTTGACAAACGCGAAGTCGGAAGCTTGGCTTGGCAACGCGTCAATATTTCTCTTTGTCTACCAACTCAAATTAACATCTCCAATCTCATTGAGGGACGTCAATACGAATTTAGAGTTTTTGCACAAAACGTTGCTGGTATTTCTGAACCATCTTCCAACTCTACTTCTGTTGTTGTTAAGGATCCACTTGCTGCAACTCCACCAGAAATTATTAAACCACTTAAGAACGCCCAATGCATTCAAAATCACAACGCCAAATTCGAATGTACCATTACTGGTGTACCAGCACCTACCATTACATGGTATAAGGGCGCTAGAGAAATTACCAATGGGTCAAGATATCATATTTACAGTGAAGGTGATGTACATCATCTCGTTATTCACGATATTTTCGGTGAAGATGCTGACGAATACGTCTGCAGAGCTGTTAACAAGGGAGGTATCAAATCTACCCGCGCGGAACTTTTGATAATGAGTAAGAACAAAAATATCTTGCTCTTTATTTTATACTAATTATTTTTTTTTTAGCTGCACCTAAACTTAACATTCCACCACGATTCCGTGATTCCGCATACTTCGATAAGGGTGAAAATGTTGTTATTAAAATTCCATTCACTGGTTTCCCAAGACCAAAGATCACATGGGTAAGGGAAGGTGAAGTTATCGAATCTGGTGGTCATTATCACGTCGAAGTTAAGGATAGACATGCTATCTTAACAATCAGAGATGCAAGCAAGTTGGACAGTGGACCTTACAGAATCACTGCTGAAAATGAACTTGGACAAGATACCGCTATTGTTAAGATTCAAATCGCTGACAGACCAGATCCGCCAAGATTCCCAGCTGTAGACAACATTGGCACAGACTCGTTGGCTGTATCATGGAAAGCACCAGTTTGGGACGGCGGTAGTAACATAACCAACTATTTGGTTGAAAGACGCGAGCATCCATTGTCCACCTGGATTAGAGTAGGAAACACTAGAATGACGTCCATGGCTGTAAGCGGGTTGACTCCAGGTCACCAATACGAATTCAGAATATATGCCGAAAATATCTACGGCCGCTCTGACGCATCAGAAGTAAGCACGCTTATTACAATGAAAGATACCGGAAAGAAGGTCGTACAAAAGAGGAAATACGAAGTTGACGAAAATGGCAAGAAGATCCGTGAATCGCACAAAGAGCCAGTTAAGGATTACGACCAATATGTATTCGACATTTACTCCAAATACGTGCCACAACCAGTTGAAATTAAAAATAGAAGCGTCTATGATGACTATGATATTCTTGAAGAAATTGGCACAGGAGCTTTCGGCGTTGTTCACCGTTGCCGCGAACGCAAGACCGGTAACATCTTCGCCGCCAAATTTATTCCAGTATCTCACGCAATGGAGAAAGAACTTATTCGTAAAGAAATTGATATCATGAACCAATTGCATCACAACAAACTTATTAACTTGCACGACGCATTTGAAGATGACGACGAAATGGTTCTAATTTACGAATTCTTATCGGGAGGTGAATTGTTCGAACGCATTACAGCTGAAGGATACCAGATGTCTGAAGCTGAAGTAATCAACTACATGAGACAGATTTGCGAAGCTATTAAGCACATGCACGAGAAGAACATTATCCATCTTGACATTAAACCAGAAAATATCATGTGCCAGACACGTAAGGGTACAAATATTAAACTTATTGACTTTGGATTAGCCACCAAATTAGATCCTAATGAAGTTGTTAAGATCTCAACTGGAACAGCCGAATTCGCTGCTCCTGAAATAGTAGAAAGAGAACCAGTCGGTTTCTATACAGACATGTGGGCTGTTGGTGTCTTAGCCTACGTGTTGTTGAGTGGTTTGTCACCATTTGCTGGAGAAAACGATATTGAAACATTGAAAAATGTTAAGGCTTGTGATTGGGACTTTGACGAGGAAGCATTTACTAATGTTTCTGAAGAAGGAAAAGACTTTATCCGTAGACTTTTACTTAAGACCAAAGACAAACGTATGACAGCTCAAGAGTGCTTGTTGCACGCTTGGCTCAGCGGAGACCACAGCTCAAGAACCAAGGAAATTGACCAATCGAAATACCTTCGAATGCGTGACAAGATTCGCTCTAAATACGAAAACTGGGATTCATATGCTCTTCCACTTGGCAGATTGTCTGAATATTCTTCACTACGTAAATTGTTGATTGAGAAATACAGGATTCACGACACATTCTTTGGTAAATAAAACAAATTATTTTATAAATCCTTGATATTTATTTGTTATATTTTTTAGATCGCAGACAAGCTGCTCCAAGATTTGTCATCAAACCACAAAGTGCATTCTGCTACGAAGGTCAAAGTGTTAAATTCTATTGCAGAGTTATTGGCTGTGCTCCACCAACTCTTAGCTGGTATCACAATAACAGTGAGCTCAGGCAGAGTGTTAAATTTATGAAGAGATATGTTGGTGACGATTACTACTTTGTCATTAACAGAGCCAAATTGCAAGACAGAGGAGAATATATCATCAGAGCCGAAAACCACTATGGATCAAGAGAGGAAGTAGTATTCCTGAATGTCCAACCATTGCCAAGAGTTGTGCCAGAATACAAACCGGAAGCGCAAGTCATTAGAAGACGTGAACCATTACCATACACCTTCTGGCAGGAAGAACAAGAATGCGCACCAAGCTTCACATTCTTGCTTAGACCTCGTGTCATGCAAGAGCGTGATACTTGCAAATTGTTGTGTTGTCTTAGCGGCAAACCATTCCCGACAGTAAAATGGTACAAGGACAAACGCGAGCTCAGCAAATACGAATACTCAATGTCTCATTCAGATGGTGTGGTGACCATGGAAATTGTTGGATGTCGCCCATCTGATTCCGGAAAATACACATGCGTCGCCACAAATCCACATGGACAAGACGAGACATCTTGCGTGGTGATCGTTGAAGGAGCATCAAGCACTGAAGAACAAACACAAATGGCACAGAAACTTTTATACTCTGGCGATAGGAAATACATCGAACAACCTATTAAGCCAGCACCGATTCCAGTAACAATTAAAAAGCCAGTTCCAGTTTCAGCTCCTGCTCCAGTATCAAATCCTGCACCACAAAGACCAACGACGTTGGCGCACTCTGGTAGCAACTTGAGTGTCGGTGAAGGTTCACCACGATCCCCAAGAAAGTACGGTAGGTTAGACTCTACCGGAAGCCCGAATAGATCTAGAAGCGCCACTAAAGAACTAGCACGTACGTATACACCATGATGAATATGTTATAATAATGTGTTAATTAATATTTGTTTGATTACATTGTAGTCCCAGCCGATGATTCGACAATGTGTGCACCAACTTTTACCAAAACACTAGCAGATTTGACAATCAATGACGGTGACAGTCTTACACTCACAGCACATGTTAAAGGTGATCCAGATCCACAAATTGTTTGGACCAAGAATGGCAAGCCATTGAGTTCATCCGAAGTAGTGGACTTGAAATACAAAAACGGTATTGCAAAATTACACATAAACGAAGTATATCCAGAAGATGAAGGCGAATACGTTTGCAAGGCAACCAATTCTATTGGCAACGCCGAAACAAAATGCAAACTTTCAGTTAAGCGTAAGTATGGTAAGATTGAAGTAGAGAGCGAGTTAGTTGATTGTGATGTTTTCAGCCATGAGTAATGCTACAAATGGCAAAAAGAAGGGATCAGAAGACAAGCCACCAAGGATAGTAAGTCACTTGCAGTCGGCGTTTGTAAAGGACGGCGAGCCTGTCACTTTATCTTGCCGTATTATCGGAGCTGACAAATTCGATGTTGTATGGCTGCACAACAACAAAGAAATCAAACCAAGCAAAGACTTCCAGTACACAAACGAAGCAAACATTTACAAATTGATCATCGCCGAGATTTTCCCTGAAGATTCGGGAGCATACACGTGCGAAGCGTTCAACGACGCCGGCGAAAGCTTTAGTAGTTGCACCTTAAACGTTATTGTGGCCGGCGAGCAACCAAAGAGCCCTGTGTTCAAAACATTCCCGGTTTCCGCCACGGTATCCGAAGGGGAATCCGCCACATTCGAAGCAGAAACAGAAGATAATCCCTTACAAATAAATTGGCTTAAGGATGGAAAAGCAATTAAGGAAACCAGCGCCAAATACAAGTTCACCGCTGACGGGAAACGTTATACCTTGGAAATCGTATCATGTGACTCGAATGATGTCGGTCAATACCAAGCCAAAGCGATTGGAAAGAAGGGAGAGACGTTCGCAGCGTTCTCCCTCAACGTTGTGCCATCAGGCGAGCTCTAAAGCTCTAGCATTGACTAATCTTTGACTCGTTGATCTAAACGCTCACAAACGATCGACTACGACTTGCTCCTAACTTGTACTTATGTATCATATGTTAATGTTTAATGTATTTATAAGTGTTTTTTATCAAGCGGCCTCTAACAACAAGTGCTCGGCATAAGGAAATTAGCTGTTCCGTCTACAGCATCCTCAACTTACCATCTACCGTGTAGACGGAACAATTGATAACTTATGCACAATCACTTTAACTTTCGTTACAATCGAATAAACGAACGCCCCTTGCCGCTCATTTATTCATTCATTTATTTTTTATTTCATTTTCATTTCGCGATTTTGGAGCAGAAATGTCGAAATTAGTTTAAAAGTATGAAAAGAGATTATTTTATTTAGTGTGAAAGTGCTTAAGCCATCTTTTCATTATGCCATCTTTGTTCACTATTTAAGTATTCGTAATGCATTATAGCTTTTGCAAAGCCGTACGAAATTGTATCATACTATGTAAAAATAAAAAATATATAATTTTTAATAAAAAAAAATTGGTTTTATTTAATAAAACAATGTTTAGAAAATGTTTAGTAAAGAAATCATGTGAAAAATATCCACATTTACATACTCTAAGGAAAGTATAGAATGGGCTGGGCACCTCAATAGAAGCCCATCTTACTATTAAGAGTAACTTTCTCCTTATTGCAATTTTCCATTTTAACATTAGTCCGATGAAAAACATTTTGTATCTCAATAACGAATAAATTTATAGTTCAATAGACATTTTGATGGGGAATTGAATGCTCTACCAAAAAGGTTTTTGATGTTTTTTTCGTAAACCTAGCCAAACGTTTTAAAGATAAACGCGCGGGATAATAATTATTAATAAGTTTTGTTTGATATAAAGTATATCCCGTATGGTCTTAGTATAACAAGGGTTTAAGAGACACCTAAATAAAAAACACACACTGAACATAATTACATTTATTGTGATTGTATGTGATCTTTATAATGTATTTTTTATCGTTTTTAAATAAAATAGAATATAACCGTACAAATAGTACTTATAAGTAGTTTATATACATCAAATGTAAATATGTGCTCAAAGAACAGTGAGGTGCACAATTGTTTTTTTACACTATATGTGAACGATTGGCTAACGAGATCATTGACTATAAAATGCTAACACCTTGTAACAAATACAACAAGGCTTTTCCAAAGTTGTACTTTCCGTTTTTGACACCCTCATCTACTTTGTTGTTATTGTTTTTATTCTTAAGATCTACACAGACTTTTTCTTGATATCCAGATAAAACAAGGCAGTAGACAAAGGGTGGTAAATACAGAAATTAAAATTTTCTTGTCATCTTGGTAATTAATGAAAAAATTATGAATATAATAACATAACAACACAGACAATTAATGAAGACAGTATACATAGGAATAACTACATTGTTTGTAGAAACCCCTTAACAATTCTAATTTATAAATTATTATAATAACACAACCTTTATATAACTTATAAATCAACCTCAGATAAAGAGAAGCTGATGATTTAATAATAATAATAATAATAATAATAATAGCTAATAATTTTAATTAATAATATATTTTTAGGTAAAAATAACATAAATAGTGAAGAATCAAATTCTAAAATATACACAACTAAATTGTTAATGGAAATTAGTATTATAATAAAAATTATCGCAGACAATACCTTATAGAGCAGTCAAATGTTTGTAAAATTTTAAAAGCATCACAGGTGCATACAGAAAAAAACATAAAACGTAAATTGCATAGGCATATCCAGTAAAAAAGCGTTTACTAAACTAAATCATTTTAGACAACATTTATTACTTAAAAAAGAAACGTTACTGTCTATAATAAATCGATTTATAAGATTTGACTGAATCAACTCAATATTATAAGCACCAAGTATATTAAAAAATATATTGCAAATAAAGTGATTTTGATAAAATAAAGAGCACCGATTCTATCAAATGAAGAAATTGCAACAATATATTAGAGGGGTCCACTTTACCTCTATTAGAATAATTAAACCAAACTATCATGATTGTACTTATGAATGTATAATATATAGATATATTTTTTCTATGTATAAAACATTGCGAATTTTATCTGTATAAAAATATTAGGCAATTTAGACAAATTTCGAATTCAACAACAGCATTATTAGTTTGATATAAAAATACCGATTTTTAATTATTTTTTTTTTGGTTAAAGAGGCAGGCATCCAATATTTTATACAGATATTTATGTCGCCATAAAACTACAATTTGCTAAAAACAACAAAAAAAGTACCATTTTGTTTTTTCACCCTGTATATTATATTCGATTTTAAAGCCTTAACACATAAATTGCACGTTTTTGTCATATATCGCCAACAAGAATTCATTTATTTATTTATTTACAAAATATACAGTAATGGCACATTTTATAATTTTCAAAAGCAACAATTTTCCATAAAAATTAACATAAAGAATATGATCAAACAGAATGGTACGTAATTTTGCGTATTAAGTTTTAGGCAGATTACATTATCCAGTACTACTAACAGACTGCGCCTAAGTTTATGATAATTGCACTACAATTCAACGATTTAACTAACATGAATATTTTTTTAAATGTATATAAGTGTATTTACGGGGTTGTGGTAATAAACTAAAAACGTTCACAATCCAGGGTTGTTTGTGGTGCTAATAGAGAGGGGAGAGTTAAGAGTAATAACCACACGCCAAAGTATAAGAATATGTATGTAAATAAATAATAATAATTTTTGTTATAAACATCTATGATCATACTAACTGTTATTTTCAGTCATTTTAACAATAATTAATGAGAAGGAAGACGACAACACGCTATTGCACATCGCTAGCTAACTATTTGAAGATACTTTGACCGGCTCGGTGGCCGGAGTCAGAGGACTGTTCTGGCTGTTGCCGCTAGAAGGCGTGTGCGCACTTTGTGCCATCATTTTTTGCCTTACCTCGCGTATCTTCAGCTGCAGGCTCGCCTTGTTCGGAAATATGTCGGCGTGCTGCGCCTGAAACGCCGTGGTGGCCTGCGCAGACGGAAACAAAGTGTGATCGCTGAACAGCTGCATCACTAGCTGCCGTTTTTGCTCCAGAGTTTTTCGGTGCCCTTTTTCGCTCTCCCTCGACGTACCAGGCGTCCTGGGCGTCCTCGGGGAACCCAGAGCGCCCTCGCCCACCTCTCCGCTCATATCTAATTAACGAAACTTAACCGTAAACAACGGAACTCCATTCGAAATGACAACTTACCTCGAACACTTTCGATGTTGAAGTCGGGCCCGAAAAACTGCGTTCCAACTACTCGGGGGTTAACCGAAGACGCGGATTTAGGCAGAGAATTCGCAATATCGGGTTTCATATCCTCGTCAATCGAATTTCGATGTGTTGCAGTTAGAGGCGGCCGCTTCTTTGAATAGTTCGACAACAAACCGCCAGGGCTCGGTATCACGTTCGGCGACTTGCACTCTTCCGGTTTGTATTGCGGCAACGACGAGAACTTTTTCTCGAAATTCACCGTCTCCAAAACCCTGCGAAAATTAAAATGTCCACTAAAACGAATTTTACAAGAACCGTATTGTACTGCTAGTTTCTGTCACCTTCAAAAGCATTTTTCCTATTGGCTGACATGGACATGTCCAGTAGTTTAACATATGAAATGTATTTAATGATTATATATATTTCGATAAAATTTCAGTACGACTTGAGTCATCATAAGATGCAGACGCGCAAGCGATCGCTTCTAAAGAGTAGGGAAGTAAAAAAGCCTATAAGTAACAGTAAATCGGTCACGATATAGTTAAGGCAATTTTAAGTGTATATAGTGCGAAATTAGAGCCCAGGGCCACTACCTGTGCAGGTAAATTAGGATACCTGTCTCCCGATGCAGTAGTGCAGTGCAGTTCAACAAATAAAGAATTTAATGTACCAGTATCCCAAAGGAACCAAAAAGAAGGTCAAGTGGACAATAGCAACAAAAGATAGGTTCAATAGCTTTAATCCGTATGATTTAACTTGCATTCTCTACTAAAAAAGTAATCTTGCATTTTCGAAGAAGTTAGGTATCTTCAACGCACCTAAACCAGGAAAACAAAACAGCAAAAAAAAAATGAAAATTGCCACAGAACGGCAAACGTAATTATTCGTAATATAAATCGGTAGAAAAGATACACAAGTGCCAAAACCAAACAAACAGCCGTGATACGCAATAGACGTGAACATAAACAAAAAGTCAAGTGCAGTCACCTATACAACAACAATTAACATGCCAACACACCACTATAAGTCTTTAATGAAATAAAGCTAAGGCACAGTGGGACAAATAATTTTTATCTACTTACTTTACTTTACAAATAATGTTCGCATACTTCGTTATAAACAAAAATACTATCGATAAATATCGGTATCCACATTGACGACTAACGAAAACTATCTATCGATGGTTCTTGACCCTAGACTGAAGAAATGGTTTCGCACAGTGGAGCAAACAATTGCGCAAACGAACAGATAGTACTTCAAGACCATCAAGGATAGGTCCAAGCAGCGAACTAACCAACCAAACCCCAAATGAATGGGGGTAGTACTAAACCCCTGATTTAGGGGGATTCCGGATTGTACTTAGTTTTAGGTCAGTCTAATGTCTCCCAAAAAGACCAAAATGTTTTTTCAATTTTGTTCGTATATTTAGGTTATTGTAAAAATGTTGACAAATGTATTTTTCTTTTAAAAATATTTACCTATCCATTCCATCTTCCTTGTTCCTCTTGAAGAAGCTTTTCTTGGTGGAGGGGGACACGAGTTCGCCCTGTTGGTTATCTTCAACACAACCAGGTGACGGTAAAATCGAGTTATTTTCCGACGATACAGACACGTTATTTGTTTGTTGACCAAATACAGCTAAAGAACAATAACATTAATAAATGTTCAAATTAAAATGAAGTGATTTTTACTAACCTGACGATTGCCTTCTTTGTAATGGGGCCTTGCCAAGTTGAGCTGGAGTGGGGGCCAGTTTGAACTCCTGACTTTCAGTTTGCTGATTGTCGGTTGCTTTAGGTGGCTCGGTTTCGTCCTTTTCGAGCTTAATTTCTTTATTATTGTCCAAGTGGAATATTAGGCCTAAAGAAATTTATAAAATGATTGAAAACTAAGGACAGACAAATTAAATAATACCTGTGTTGATTGCTGACCTGGGCGTGGTCGGTACTACTTGCTGATTCTGCGCAGTATGGTACTGCGCCTGCGACGTGATTATTTTGCTTTGAGCCTGGCTCACTATGACCGACTGGGTGACCGGTTTCGGTAGAATCTGCACGCTTCCTAGACTAACGCTGGAATCGGAGACTGGTATTTGAAATTGCGGCTGCATGTAGAGGCAGTGCAAGTCGGATGGGTTCGAGGTGACCACGACGAATTGCTGCGATCGTTCGCTTTCCGACAAACAAATCGACGGGTTTATCACCACAGTAACAGGCTGCGTGGGAAACCGATTCTGCTGAGAATCGCTCATTTGTATCACATTGTTGCTTTTAATTTGCGATTTCAAGATGAGCGTGTTGGTCTTCGTCGGTACAGTGCTGGTTTGTATTGCTGAAGTGTTGACCCACTGCGGTCCCGCGTCACTTTTAATTATCGAAGCAGTCGACCAAGTTTCGTGTGTGGTATTTACGTCGTTCGGAGTTTTCACTACTTTCGGTGAAATCGGCATGGTTTTAAACGCGCCACCGGTCGGCTGAAAGCCTGTCACGCCCGAAGGATTCACGGGGGAACAATGAAAACTGAAAGTGTTCGAAGTGGGCGCCGGACTGTAGGTTGGAGTTTCAGCCGAAGGTAACTTCGCCTTGATCGGCTTCGGCTTGCATGTGATTTCAGAGCCGCTTGGCGTCAACACAGGACTAAAATGCTGCTTGCTGAAGGGTTTTACATCGTGCGACTGCTCCATGTCGCTATGAGATTCAGAATCTGAGTCGGTCACTTTTTCCTTGCACTTCAAGTCGATCTCGTTTGTTGGGTCCTCGCAAATCACCATTTGGTCGTCATCCGATATATAACCGAAAGGGTCGCTTTCAACGATCGGTTTTGCTACTTCCGCCGGATTCAAAGGAGGCGGCGACGTACTTATCCTTGGACTTGCCGGTAAGTCCAGAGGATCGCCGCTGTCTCCTGTCGAACTCAACTTGCTTCTCCCAGAACCCGTCGAAGATTTCCTCCTGTCCTTATTACACCTGCAACACAATAAACACAATTTATGGCAATCTTCCATATTACACATTAAACCTACCATTTCCACTCGGGATGGGCTTTGAAATGGGCCTCCTTCACTTCGGAAGCCAACTCGTGATATTTCTTCTTCTCGTCGGAGCCCAGAGCGTACCACCACTCCCCCAAAATCTTCGACACCGTTCTGTTATCCTGGTTGGGATTCATTTTGTGAACGATGCCTCTGTGCCGCTTCGAGAAAATCATGAACGCGTTCATCGGCCGCCTGATTCGCTCCTTGCTTTTCGTCAGGTTGGGTTCTTTATTCGACGGAAGCGCGCTTAGAGACTGACTTCTGCGCTTGTTGTTGCCGTTACTGTCTAAGCCGGGAGTGGACGGTTCGCTTTCGAAAACGTCGTCGTCGTCTTCAGTAGGGCCCGACATCACCTCGGTCTCGGCTTCGTCGCTGGGAATGTCGATCGGAGGCGGCGCCGAAAGTGGCGGGGATAGCTCTGAAGAAGGCGGCGAAGCGGGCCCTGAGCTGGCCGTCAAAATTGGCACTAGAGTGTGCCAGGGGATGACGAAAGCGGACTGAGAGGGTTGCGAATTGGCCGGTACCTTGATGTGCGGGACAATCGTTCTTTGGTTGGTTAGTTGATTTGTTAAGGGGATAGTCGAGGATGTGGTGTGTGTTACGGCAACGTTGTTACGTTGATGATGCGGTGCTTGCATTGAGATCGCGTTGTTATGCTGCTGCACCACGTTGTTGTCGTTTTTGACGTTGTTGTGGTTGAGACTGAAGATTTGTTCGGTTTTGACGATGACTTGCTGGTTTTGCACAGCTGTGGCGGGAATCACCCGTTTGACTACCGATTGCGTGGCTGGAGGTAACACTGGGACTAACTGGGTCGGGTGGACAATGACAGGCAGACCGGTGCTTATCGAGTTGCTTTGCACCAAAGCTCCTGTGGAATGGGTGGGATTGTTGCTGACATTTACGTGGTTGGAGTTGTGGTTCGTGTTTGAAAGCACGCGGATAGTTTGAGTGGTCTGCACATGGTCGCTCTGTATGACTTGGCGCGGGAACGATTTTGCTTCTTTTAATGTGTTGTCTTCAACAATCACAATGTTGTTTTTATCGCTTGTTGCTACGCAATACACTGTACCTAGAATCATGTGTTTACATTTTAGATAGGAAAATATCAAGATACATACACCTTAAGATAGGATGGTGCGCATGTTGGGCGGGGCTTAAATACGTCACTTGATGAGTGTTTTTAAATCTTTAACGGGCTTTTTAATTATCTGCTGCTAAAATCTGCTTGTTTTTGCGATGCTGTTGGATGTTAACTTGCTCTATTTTTAGTTTAACTTGTTGTTTTTGTGTTCGGTAAGGTTATAATTACTTTTCAGTGTTCAAATTATTGTTATTGCGTTGTGTTAACCTGTTCTGTTTGTTTATTATTGTTTTTGTGTTGCGTTTACTTGTTTTGTTTGTGTTTTAGTTTGTGTCATGCCATTTGCATTTATTAAAATGCGGTTTGGCATATTTGGATGCAATTCGGACAGCCAGTCCAAGAAAAACCCTTTAAATAAAAACATTAAATTTAATCGATTCCCGAAAAAGTTTGATTTGTGAAAACAGTGTTTAAATACCACAAAAAGAATAGACAATATTAAAGTTAAGACCGCTTCTGTTTCCTATAAACATTTTCTGGACAGTGACTTAAGTTTAATTTAAAACACCAACGCTTAAACTACAGCCCTAAATGTTATCAAGGACTGAAAGCATCTATTATCCATATTATAACACTTTCTTCAATATTAAGTTTAATGAAAACGCACTAACTACAGATATTTCTCTATTTTCTTTGATAATATTAGTATTATTCGTGTATTCTCACGGCAACTACTCATCAAGTGGCCCTGGGAAAATATGAAGAGAAAAAAACACACCTTCATTATATTGAGTATTATCATTTTCTAAAGACTGGTTTGGGCTTGTTAACGCTTGCTGTAAAATAACACCTTGATCATTGTTGGTGCTCCATTGCATTGGGCTCGGCGAAACCCTGATCACACTTGTAGTTGAACTTTGGACAGGCCTAACCAATTCAGGCCTAAAAATATTATGTTAAAAAAAAATTATAAAAAATATTTTCGAAAATAGTTCACCTAATAACTGGTTGATATGGTGGATTATAGCCTGTGGAACCCGGCGAATTTCTTTTCTGCATGTGAGAAGAAATAGGCATAAAAACGTTCTGTCTCGAACCTATTGTTAAAGGAGACTGAATTGCATTATTAGGAGATGAACCCTGGTCGTTCGGCGAGAATGCTGGAGTCGATCTAGAGCTACCTAGCGAAACTATTCAACACATTAGATTAATATGTTACATTCCCGGACAACATTCGTGATATTCATACGAACATCATGTCGTGATTTTCACAAATTTTATTCATACTGATATCATACGGAAGTCACTGCGTGATAAATGAAAATCATACGAACGTCACGTCGTGATTTTCACAAATTTTATTCATACGGACATCATCCGGATGTCACTGCGTGAGAAATGAAAATCATGTCGTGATTTTTTATGCCATCACTGTTTGCGATTGACCGATGGCACAAAAAATCATGTCGTGATTTTTTATGCCATCGGTGTTTGGATATTCATTTTTGCGACACATTCGTACATTGAAAGAAAAAGTATGTTAACAATTGAATCAACAGTTTAACAGGGTAGGTTTTAAATTCGCAGTTCGCAGGCCTCATACGCATGCGCAAATTTTGCAAATATCACACCGTGAGTTCTACATGATATCACTGTGATGAAGCATGTGTATGCACTCAGGATATCACAGCGTGATAAAAAAATCACGTTGTGATATCATCATGATTCCACCAGGAAATCCCGATTGTTGTCCGGGTTTATTAATCAACAAAAAATATATACCTAACATATTTGCCGCATCAGTTTCCTCCTGATCAAATCTACCGGTTATTCTCCTATCTCCGCAACCCGGAGAGGTCTCCGAGTCTCTGGATGTATCTTCCCCTTCTCCTTTACTGTTGGAGCGCGGGTTTGGTCCCGTGCGCAGCACATTACCTTTCAAATTCAAGTGTCGCGAGCAGTAGCCTCTCCTCTGGCTCTCCTTTTTACACCCGGCCGAACACAAACGCCGCCATTGTTTCCCGTTGAACTTCTTACTAATACCATTGGGGGTCGTTATGATGTCTCCCTTTTTGTATTTGTGCGGCGTTGCCGCCTGGCTGCGCGGTGTTGCCGGCTGCGATCTCGGCGTAATACTGCTACAAGAACTACCTCTGCTATGCATACTACTCCTCTTACTACTTCCTGATAATTTGGCATCGATCTCGGAACTAAATGTAATATCTTGTCGTAGTTCGTCCTCGCTCTCTCCGAATTCATCGTAAACCCTTCCGTTGGGCACTGGGGTACACACAGAAACCGGCGTAGTTGTTATTTGAGTGGGCGAGGGTCCGTGCCTGTAATAATCTGCGTTTTGCGATAGCATTTCCATTTGGGGCTCAATGTTGGCCAGCTCGTCCCACCACGGGGGCCTTAACAGTCTTAAATCCGATCTTTTCACCGTTATCTCGTCCCCGCGCGGAATTAAAGCTACAGTAAATCTAACAGGTTGCCCCTCTAATATACTACATACTACTCCTTCAATAAACATGCTCTGATTATGCCGCACACACACTCTAGTTGCTGTGCTTATTTGGTTTACCGATGGAGCTGCATCTCCTATCACATTGCACCAATCTTTGTCAAATACGTTCGAAAAATACACGCATTTCGACTCTTTACCGTCCAGTTCCACCATAATCTAAATGAAAATAAATAAAAATTTTATAAACCGCGTTTCACTTGAATACACATTCAATAAACAATATTATTATCTTAAGTTTATGCAAAAAAAACGTTGATAACAAGTTGTATCTTTATTAGCGTAATTTTAGCACTAAGAGGAAACCAATATTCATGAAATTATTCACTGTCTAATAATAAGATATGAAGGAAAAAAGTTACTTACATTGCTGTTGGTGGCCTTTCTGATGACACCAGGGTAGTAACAGTCACCTTGGCGAGCAAGCACTCGATGATCACACCACTCACTTAAATCGCAAAGGTTTTGCCTTTGATTTTGCTTGTAATTTACTTCATCCTGCATTAACCTTTGGGGGCACGAATAGTCCACAGCTGTAGATTGTGGTGGAGCTGAAGTAATACTTTGCACAACTGATACAGGAATGCATACTGCCGCTGTAGCAGGTAGATTTGTTGTGGTGATGGTGTTCTCTTCCAGTTCGGAAGGATCAAATTTTCGTTTTTTTGGCAGCTTACGCACCACCATATCCATCTTTTATGGGTTTTATGTGTTGTCTTTAAGTTGTTGTCTATGAATACGTCCTAAATGGTTTATTCTTGTTTTCTTTGAGATGTGTCATTTTAGAAAATTTTAGAGATGTATTGGTTAATATTGCTCATTTTAGCCTATGCTTTGAGAGTCATATGGATATACTTCTCCTGGACTTGCATTCGTCCACAATGAGTAATAAATAAATACTACTTATGAATGGAATGTTATTATAGTAGATGATAGTAAATAAACATTTTGATGTCACAAGGAAACTGACGAACGTGCCTTTAATCCATTAAATATGTCCATCTGATACCGGGATTTTGTGCACAAGGTGGATGTTTTCCTTTTCTATTACCTAACTTTTAATTCAATCGAATCACAACATTATTTTACTAACACCCACAGAACTAGCAAAGGCGAACGCAGACATCACAGAACCCCTTACCTCACTTGCCCCGTAACACCGTACATGCGTAGTAAACATATAACAAGTAAGATACGACCGAAAGCCTGACTCACAAGTTCAAATTTCTGCTATGCTGCTGCTGCTGGCTCGTCGCCTGTCCCGCTCTCCTCTATCATCCTCTCGCTCGCACCCTCTATTTACTGCCTTTCCCCCGTCCGTGGACCCAAGCATCTCTTTTCTTTCTCGACTCAACTCAACCTGACTTCGATAGATGATAAAAAGGACACTCAAACAAAAACCAAACAACCAACTGAACTCGACAAAACGTAAACATATTCAAGGAAGTGCTTCAAACCTATTTTCTTCAAGCGCCAAGGACCAAATCGTCTTTTTATAATTATGTTATCTCTTCATCCTCATTCGCCAACGCAACAAACTCTTTTCTTTGTCTATTTTTAATATCCTAAATAGCCTTTGTTTATCAGCCTACTCGCTTTTTACCAAAGATAAACCTTTTTACATATAGACGTATTTTAAGACGATAAACTAAACACAACCAAAGTCAATTTAAGGCCTTTTTAAATCAAATCGTCAAAACTTTAAAAATTTGCCGCATAAATATTAACTTTAAACCGAAGGATTTTAACCTTTAATCGATATATTATTTAAAAATAGGCATCATTTATATTTTTACGATTCACAAATCCCATCTTTTTCAGTAAAAAAATATCTGCATTGTACCAAGAAACGTCAATTAAAAGTTTTAATGACAGCCCTTAAAAATCAAAACGTCAAATTCAAATTTGCCGCCTAAATCTATTTATACATCAAAACAAAGAATTTTTAACCTTTAATCAATATAGGTATTACTTGAAAAATGTTGTTACTTTTGAATTTTTGCCATTTAAAAATCTCTAATACGTGGATATGTATCGAAGATTTAAGTGGATAGTACTTAAATTTAAATTTAAAAAATGCAGAGTCGACTCTATCGATATTTGCTGACTATGCAAAAATTATTTATGTAATTTAAAACGCCGATGGCAATTAATCAATCATTATTTGTTATTAACTTGATACTTTTGTTTATTAAAAGGTAACGATATTTTCTTATTTTTCCTGTGGGTAATGATTTATTAATTTAAAAATAGACAAAACCATTTCTTGGTTTTTAATTTTTCTGCGGTTGCGGTCCTGTTTTTATGAGTCAGAGCCGCCAACATAACACGCAAACTCTAATAAATGTCAAAATTCTGTCAGAATCAGAGAATGTATGTGTAGATAAGTTGAACGTTTTTATTTTAGATTATAATTGTTAGTGCGGTGAAAAAGTAAAAAAATATCAAAAATATGGCCAATCTAGACGATAATCCTTTCGGCGAACCGACAATTGACAACCCCTTTGCGGTAAGAATAAACCTGCCAACTGTCAATAAATATTATGCATAATTTTCATGTATAACGTATTAACATTGATATGTGTGTATAATTGGGGTATCTATTATGTGTTTAAATGATTTTTAGGACCCCTCTGTCCAACAAGTTGCTAGAAATACTAGTGCGCAAATTAAAGTTGATGATTATAATCCATTCGATAATCAGCAAGCCCCAAAACAGGTATGTGCATGCATGTAAAAGCCTGTACCTACATCCAAAATATTTTTTCCATTACTAGGACACTCTTTTTATCTTATTTTTTTTTATGAAGCTCTTATCAAAACATGAGATAGTAATTAATTAATTTGCATTTTAAGTAGGTAAATAACTTGCTAATATGTCACCCCACATTTTAATTTTAAAATTAATAAACAAAGCCCTTAACGAATGTTATTGTGTTTATGCATGATTTTGCTTGTTTTGGTACACTATTAAACAGGTCATTTAGAACCTATATAGATATTTATGTACATTTTTTGAGATATTACATTAAAATGGCATTATTATTTAACATATTAAATTACAAAATACCAACAGAGTAAACAAAAACTGCCTACCTATATCTTAAAAACTGTAAGGCTTTTTTATATACAGGGTGTTTAAAAATAAAGGCAAAAAAAACACTGAAAGACAAAAACATATGCATGCCTCTGACTTTTATTTTAGATAAATGCATTTATCATTATTACATTATGTTATTAAAATATGTTGCATTTATTTAGTATACAGGGTGTCCTGAAATTTACAAACATTTTTTGACAAGTATTTTATAAGTTATTAAGCATTTATGTAAGTTCAATAACCTTGGCAGATAATCTAAAATATTGCACTTTGCTCCACACTCAATTTGAGTGACTCAAAAGGTCCTTCTCTTATTTTCCGAAATTATACAATATATGTAAGGCCCCTAGAAGCAAAGGGGTACAACTTGTACCCTACATGTACATTTTGTTTATTTTTGATATAATTATGACTAATGAATCATGTTCAAGATTAAAACCCTCTTGTAATTTGAAATCAAAATTGTTTGTTTTATGACTTTGTTTTTCAAGCTTAGAATTCAGTTATATCCCTTGGTTAACTAGTACAATGTACCTTTTACTAGCGAATATATCCATCCGAATTTTGCAGGAAACTTAGTCGCATAAATTCGAATATTTCAAATATAATTTGAAATAAAAAAATAAAATTATTATTAAATGTTTTAATTTTAATTTATTTATGTCATTAGGTCAAGAAGTAGCAAAGCACAAAAAGACTTATTTCTTGGCCGAATGGGATACAACATTTTATCTTTAAGGCACAATTTTATTTGTTAAATAATTCATAAAACGTACAATTATTAAAAGTAGAAAGTAATGTTAGATAGATATGATAAAAGTCAAAATTTTGTGTTGCTCCAAAGTAGAAAATAATGATTTTTTACAGCCTAGGCTGATATTTTGGGGCGGAGCATTGTAGGTAAATTGTTGTGAAAACCTTACAGAATATACCTAATTAAACAAATCTTTTTATTAAGGTTTTTTAAGTAGCTCAGGTGGGCTTGAAGGGCCTGAGCACAATTCCGCGCGCTTGGTCGAGAACCACATCTTTAAAAAGCGTTTATTGGACATGTTAATTTCTTTACTCACCCTTTGCTAAAAGGTTCTAAATTATCCCGTAAATTGTCACTCTGTAAATAAATAAATAAATAAAAAAAATTATGTAGATGGCATATAACCAGCCAAGCAGTGGTCCTGCAATTATGCAACCCACACAGGAGCCCCCATCATACACTAAAAGTGCCCAACAGACTGCAAATCCTTCAATTAACACTGAAGAATTACAGGTACCTATAATTTTTGTTTTTTGAAATCATAATGATAATGATAAATTATTATAGAGGCGCCAGGAGGAGTTGGAGAGGAAAGAACAAGAGCTGGCAAGAAGGGAGGAAGAAATGAGACAGTCGACCTATAATGTCAGGCGTAACAATTGGCCCCCATTGCCGGAACAATGTTGTTTTCAACCTTGCTTTTATCAGGACATCCAGGTGGATATACCGTTGGAATTCCAGAAAATTGTACGCCATTTATACTATCTCTGGATATGTGAGTCACCTTTATAATTAACAATTAATGTTATCAATTAATACTAATCAATTTTCAGTCCACAGTGCTTTAATGCTGTTAAACATTATCGGAGGTATTTTCATGAGAAATTTCACTATCATCGGACTGGGCGTTTTGTACACGCTATTATTCACCCCCTTTTCTTATTTGTGTTGGTTCCGTCCCGCTTACAAGGCATTCCGCTCCGATTCATCCTTCAACTTTATGGTTTTCTTCTTCATCTTCTTTTTCCAATTTGTGATCACCACCTTTCAAGCGGTCGGCATCCCTGGATCAGGAACCATGTAAGAACAAAAGTTTTATTTGTCGGGCAAATCTAAATGGTCGAAAATTCTTTTTTTCAGTGGAATTTTTACCGCAATCGGTACCTTCGATAATACAGCATGGAGTATATTCGTGGGTATAATCGCCATAATCATAGCTTTAGGTTTCGTATTTGCAGCTGCAGCTGACTTGTTCCTCATATCAAAGGTAAGTGTTTTTATGAACTTTTGGTTAAGTTGAGTTAACGTTTTTGAATTTAAATTAGATTCACCGTATGTACCGCAGTACAGGGGCGAGTTTCTCAAAAGCACAGCAAGAATTCACGAGCGAATTTTTGCGTAACCAACACGTGCGTAACGCAGCTGGCAATGTTGCCGCAGCTGCCGTATCGTCTCAGTTGAACAACCAGAATGCAAATAATACGCGTTACTAGCTAAACTCAACGATTTAATCTCTTTTCAGTATTTCTCTTTGTCATTTTGTTACATTTTTTTTCGAAGTATTTGTACTTTATTCACACCAAAGGTTCCATCCTATGAAATATTATCAGAGTTGTTGTTAATGATTGTAAATTACTGAGAAATTGTGTACATTATCATCAATTTACTGTTAAATGTAAAATTGTATATTGCAGAGATATGTAACATCGACTAGTGTTAAATTGTGTACATAAATAAAAAAATAAAAGGGTTATGGATCAGTCATTAAACCTTTATAAGACTTTAAAACTATGTATGTATGTATGTATTGACAAATTATCTAATGTGTAAGAAACAAATTAATCTAAATATTGTCAATTTTCCTATGGGCTTATTAATTTTTCGCTTTTTCAAATGCATAAATTTTTATTAACTGTTAAATAGGAATTAAACAGGCCTGATCATATGTAATATAATTTCTTTTCTTAGATGCATAGATATGTCTGTTATTATATATTGTTATGCAATACATAAAAAGTATTGCAAAAACCCATCATTCTATAAGTTACACTAAATTATAATATTATATTTATCTTTTATATTATTTTTGTTGTGATATCACAACTTATTTTAATTTGTGAAATATTAAATAAAACACTAAAATAATTTAAGAATTTCACTTACCTCTACAACCCAACTTAGGAACTATACAAAGGGCAATAAACTAAAAATGTCTTTAAGACTTTTATTGAAAACATAAAATATTGTGTTAATATGCTAAAATGTTTTAAACGTATTTTGAACTTTTATCGAGTATAGTAACCTAAATAAAATATCGTATTTTGTGACACAGCCAAAATTGAATTTTGAACTTTTTTTACTACATGGTATAAATAAATATTGAGTTTTGTAATACTAATTATTTTTAAAACACAGCCAAAATCGAATTTTGAACTTTTATTGAGGTAGTCCGTAAAAATAGCATTTCAACTGTTTTACGTAAGTAAGTTAATGGAATATTGTTTTTGTAACAGCCTTAAGGATCATATCGTTACATAAAACTAATAAAAAACACAGTCAAAATCGAATTTTGAACTTTGGTGCATAGGATAAGTAAATGTTGCGTTTTTAACACAGTATTTAAGTAACCCTGGTTTACACCACTTACAACTACAAAATATTTAAAACACAGCCGCATTTTGAACGTATTTGAACATAGTACTATTTATAAATAATATATTGTGCTTTGTAACACAGCCTTTACATAACTACATATAATACTAAAAGGTTTTAAAAACACAGCCAGTAAACACTGCAACTTAACCTAATTATTGTCTTTTGAACCATTTGACGTGCGCAGATGCTAAAAAAGAAACGCTGCGCATGCACTCTAGTTTCCATTGGGAGCTCCAGGGTTTGAGCCATAATAAGCATACCCATTATTTTGTTGGTAGGAGGCAGCTAGAGCCCTTATATACTCTTCGTTGGTTTGCTGGGGGAACTGTGTCGGTGCCCGCCCAACGTTATTATCAACGACATAGTTATTATTATTCTGATAATAACCATTATTCTGCTCTTTCTTTGGCCTGCCCTTTTTTTTCTGTGCCGGTTGCGGAATCAAAAACTGCTCGTTCAAATAAGGGTTGTAGTAGGCGTGCGGTGGATGCGGGGTTGCCATATTTCTCTCGCGTAAATGAACAAACTCCACGGCCCTGGTGTAATTTTGCTCCATCGTCTGTAATGGTATGTTTACCACGCTGATACCGTGACAATGTTCGCATCTGTGCACAAAGGAGCCACGCAGCGGTTCTGGAATCATTTGAGCGTTGCTCATGGCTCGTACTTGCTCGATTTTGCGGAAATTTTCGTAAGCCGACATCAACTGCTGATTTTGTTGGTAGTAACTTTGATCATGGTTGTTTGCATAGCCTTCTGGATTTTGATTTGTAGCTGCAGCTTGGTATGCAGTTGCAACAGGAGGGTGATTTGAAGCCGGCGGCTCACGAGTAATAGTTGAAGGTGCACGAGATTGATGTTGAAATGGCAAGTGGGCCGGAGCTGGTGTGATCATTTGGTGGTGGATAGTTAGATTTTGCGGTTGGCTTGGACCAGCCAAACTTTGCATAGCAACCGAGCCGGACATTGGAGTAGGAGGGGGGGCACTACGTTGTTGGACGGAATAATTTTCATATTGCATATACATATTCTGCGGTGCTTCAGTGAGATTTCGTATTCTTATTAAATTTGGTAGGCCATTATTTGCTCTTACCTCATCGGATGCTCTAACAATAGTGTGGTTTTGTGCCAAATCCAACTTTCTTCTTTTTGGATTACCATTACCGTTCGAATGAAAGTTCAAAAATTCCATGCAGGAGCGTTTGACAGGGTCGACATGTTCAGCACGATCATTTTTCTGCAAGTCTGAAATTACAAGCGTGTGTTTTAAATGACGTCTGATTATACGCTAAAGTATCGGGTTTTCGCAACGCGCGCGCCATCTGGTGGACTTCGAATGCATTGCGTGAATTTAAGAATTGTCAACAATAAATTTAAAGCACCGATTATACACCTTTTTTAAATAAATAGGTAGTTTTTTCACAAAAGAGAGGAAGGCAGAAGTCTTACTCGACAAATTTTGTTCAATTGCACAGCAAAATCGCGCAAATTTTTAGTACTCGATTTCGATTAATTATTCCTTATATCATTGATTAAGAAACTCAACGCTTAAATGCTTATATAGTTACGTTAGTGTGTGTATTTTATCAAAGGGATCATGGTGAATTATTGTGTTTTTAATTGTAAATAAAATTCAAGAACTAAATCGTTGCATTTTCATGTTTTGCCAAAGGATCCAATTCGGTAAGTACATTTGTTGGTGCAGAATTAACTAATGATAACTTTACCTAATATAATTTATATTTATAAACTTATAAGTTTGGACATTTTAAGAAATTAGTAAAAAATAATTTTTGCACAAACATAACCTTAAAATCAATCATTTTTTTATTTGAGTTGTCTAAAAAACGCCGACAACTGCATATTTAACAACAAAATATACCTACGAATTCATGGCAACACAATATAATGGTATTTTACCGTTAAGTGGAGACTTTAAAGAATTCTTAATCAACGCTTTTAATAATGCTAAATGCTGTTTAAATTTAGACGACTTATTTGTTTGACGATTTTTACTGAATTGAAATGTTTACACTTTTCACGTTATTCAATACTAAAATACTTCCGTATCATTTTACCTTATGTAGTGGGGGGTTTAAAATATATGATACCATAGACATAGTAATACGTCCACGTATGATACAAATTCTCAACTAAATAAAATGTACGTTAAATCAAATTTTTCTAAATCATTAAGCGTGCATACATTTCTGTAGTTGGGCTTTATAAAAAGCAAATGTGGCATAATAAGCATATTATATAAAAGCCACTAAAAATCTCGTTAACAAAATGGAAAAAAAAACAATCCAAAACAATTGGCATACAACAGAAAACAAACATTTTGTGTGTATTATTGTTAAATGCTTTTTTCATACAATTTATTAAAAAGTATGTATTGTACTTCCCAAATAGGGACAAAAATATGGTATTTTTTTTTAACCGGCAATGACGTCACGCATGCGCTTCAACGATTTTCACTTAAAAATGATTTGTGTATGTTTTTACAAAAGATATTCCATCACCACATACTGGTATGTGGAGAATATCTTTTGTAAAAACAAAAATATAGCAAAAAACCAAAAAATTTTGCGAATTGAAAAAAAAGTTTAAGGAAAATTAGTCTTGGAGTTTCAATATTAATTTACCTTTACCCTTTGGGCCGCCGATCTTGGGACACCCTGTATATGAAAGAATTGAAAAGAATTTTCCAATGACAATTGAAAAATAAAATACCTATAAATTTGCAAGTAATACGGAACGCAGTTTTTTAGAATTTTTGACAAATGGTAAGAAAAAGCTTTAAAACAATACAGAGTTTGTAAAAGGAAGTAAAAAAGCATAGACATGAAGCAAAAAATGCAACACCCTGTATATTACTATTATTTTCAAATATTTATATAAAGAAAAGTTGCATTAATGCAACAATTGTTTGTAAACAAAATTTAAAGATATATTAAAAAAGTTAAAAGTTTTAAATACTTTTCAACAAACTATTTAAAATGTTACTTACTCCTCTCATACTCCCCCATATATTTCCTTTCTGCCTGTTCCATTTGTTGCAAATTTACATAATCTTCATAAGTAAATCTCTTTGCATCTCGCAAAGTCTGGCGCATGTTTTGATCATCCACAGCCATATCCAGCATTTCAATGCATGAGCGACTTAATCCACGGTATTCCATTGCTTCGGTTTTTGGAACTTCGTCCTCCTGTCTTGAAGTCGACGGTGCGATCTTACTAATCTTCTGATAGATCTTACTAATTATTGCCGCCTTTTTTTTGGTCACCTGATTTTTCTTCAGCTGTTTACCCTTGGATTTTTTCCTGGGCTTTGGAGGAACTGTCTCCACTGGAGGTGCAGAATTTTCATTGACACAATCAGACTCTCTCGAGTTATTTACGTATTCCCACGTATCTAAAACCGTCGGAACAGAGTAGACGTCTTCAGGATCTATTTGCACTGTCAAAGGTGCTTCCAGTTCTTCTTCTGCATTTTCTTTCTCCACATCTATCCTTTCGGCGGTTAAAGTCTCTATATAAAATGACGGTTTGTATTGCTTGTAGAATAAATCCAAAAGTTTTAAATATTCCTCAACGTTTTCTAATTTTTGCCCTAATATATTTGGCAATAAATGTCCTGAAAATTTGTATTATTAATCATTTATTTATATTATAAAATACGCGCGTATTAAATATTCTAAGCATGATATTACATATTGTTTATTAATTGTTATCAAAGGTATTTCATAAATAAAGTGCCTAATGGGTATAAAATTTAGCCCCTTTTAAAAAATGTATTTATTAAATATGTATTAAATATAATACATATTAAAGTTGTCAAAGAACGGCAAAAATCAGCGAAGAATGAGGAAAAAAGTTTATAACTCACCAACTTCTTGAGGGATTTGTACAAACGTAGGTGCTTGAGAGGTGCTCGGTCCAGGATCCGAATGATAATCTTCATCAATCACTAATAATTGTTCATTGTCACTTGAATATTGTGCCATAATGTTTAAATCAGAAGCGCTCACTAACAAATGATATTTGATTGGTAGTATTAGCGCGTGTTGATGACAAATACTACCTACCTTATCATTGCACACACGGCAAATTTCAGCTATGAAGAATCATTAAGTAACATCGGAATGAAATTAATAGCTCCACAATTCACATGGGGATTGCGAATAGCTCTATGATAATTCACGTGTTAAAGCAAGGGTAGAACGCTTTAGCCAAGTGCGCAACTAATCACCAAAGGTTTCCTAACTTCAGTTTAATCTTTGAATAAACTTTAAAAAAACATTAGAAATATTCCCCAACGCCAAAACAAAACACAAAGTGCTTAAAGTACTTTTCGTACATCGTTGGCGAAAGTACTTTGTGTTTTGTTTTAGGAAATATTTCTAATATTTGTTTAACATATCACCAAAGTTGTCCTTTTTCAAGTATTTGAGTAAACTTGACAAAATTATTATAGTTTTTATTTAATAACATTGTGTGTGTTTTTATTTAAACGCATTGTGCGGGGTTGCCGAGATACAGGGGTTTATGACAGTTGTTTTTCTTTTAATTTTAAAACCAATGAAGGCTTTGTCAATTTTAATCGCTGGATAATGATAATGATTTATCATAAAGTAAAAAGTTAGAACCTTTATTCTTCAATTAAAATTGACCACTTTTTTGGGCGTTAAGATTTCTCAACTTAGCTAGGAAGACAATCTTTTTAAAGCTCATCATCATATAAAGTTATCGTTTAATCCTGAAACTTTTGAAAAATGAGAAATAAAAAAGTTGATTTAGATACAAGTGTTTATTAAATAATTGGCAGTAAGTGATACCATAATTACCAACTTATCATTTACAATTTATAACATACACTCTATTCCTAGTCTTATTCACATTCATTTAGAATCCTGAGGTATCTATCTAAGTTAAAAATAATAATTTTGATCGTAATTAGCAATCAGGTTGATTTACAAAGCAACAAATTAAAAATCAGTCAAATTCTTGTCCTAACTTTGGTTCAATAAATTTAATTCAATTCGATTCCATAAATAAACAATAAATTAATGCAATTAATTGGAGAAAATAATTGAGAATATGACATAAGATGTGTATAAAAACATAACAAAACTGAAAAATTAAAGAGGTGAAAATAATAAAATTTTACAAACAAAACTGTAAAAATCTTAACATAGTAGCTAGCTAAAAAAATAGACTATAATAATAATAATAATAATGACAACAATTATTCAAAAAAAACTGGGTAATCAAATTAAAATGTTATAACAAAAAAGAATATAAATTATAAGCACAAAAATATCACCAAATAAACAGTTGTAAACGTGCATCCATTCTTGGGAGAATTAATTTTGTATTTAAAGACAAGAAAATAATTAAAAATTCTGAAATGTGATAATGACTACGTTTATTTAATTTGGGCAGTATAAATGTTGCACTTACAATGAATTCAATGAGAAATTACAATGAAACAATAATTGATACCAATGATGAATTTGGTAAAATACGGTAGGGATTTAATTAATTAATTTACCTAACATTTCTTAGGTCATATACTAAATATACACTAACTTGTACTTGAATTTCAATTATTAAAATTTATTTACATTTTAAAATTGTTGGTTTATAAATAAAAATATACATATTTACTATACAATCAATTAATAAATTAAATGCCTAATATTTAACATACAAGCATGAGATGACAGTTAGGCAGTGTTTATATTGAATACAATTGTTTATACCCTCTATACGATTTAATTAAATAAGTTAATTATGCCAATTAAATTAAAACATGTACAATTATTTGAACACATATATCTGCAGTCAAGTTTTTATGTACATTTCACTCTTTAAAGTTGTATTTTTCATTTTTCAGAGAGCCACTACAATTATTTAATTATCAATTACATACAATTTGGTGGCAAGTTATTGCCCTATAAAATTACTCACCAAACTATTGTAAAATATACCTTGGCAAGTAATGATTGATTAATTTAACTATTTAGAATATAACATCGTTGTATCGAATCCTACGACTGCCGTGAAAAGTACAACTTTAAAAAAATTAATTTAAGACGAAATGATTGCTTTGTGAAATTCCATTCAAATGGTGTCGATTATTTCAGTCAGTTTTTCCAGGAATAAGGATCATGCGACCTGCCCCAGTCCTCGGACGATATCAGCTGGGAATGAATGCCGCCAGCTTGATCCTTATTCCAATCCCAATCTTTACCTTTCGGCCGGAACTTGTCTTTCGCAGCGTCCGCCTCGTCCCTCCACTGCTCGCGGTAATAGAACTTCTTCTTGAAGTGCTGCGCGTCGGCCGGCGGCTTCTTCTTGTCCTCCGAGTAGCGCTGGTACTTGAGCAGCGCCGGGTTCAGCCGCTGCGGGCTCTTCTCCCCGTAGCCCAGCGCCGGCGACGTGGGCGACGGCGTGCGCGGCGGCCCGCCCGCCTCTTCGACGCAACCGTCGCCTGCGGGCGGCGGCGAGTGCGCCATCGGCATCTTGAACAGCGTCGGCTTGGCGTTCGGGTTCAGCTTGATGGCCGGCTTCGCGGGCGACAGCGGCGGCCCGGCGGACGCCGCCGCGTTCGGGGCGCCCGCTGCGGTCGGCTCGCCGTGACCGATGCCCGAGTCCGGCGACGTGTTGCAGCTGTCGTTGCCTTCCGTCGAGCGTCGCCTTTTGTCCAGCTCTGTAGAAGCAAAAGCAACAAGTCTATCAAATCCCGAACTGATTCTATCCTGCCATTTTGACTCCTCACCTTCCTCGACTTCCACCGACTCGGCATCTAAGGAAAATAACAAACTCATGTAGCCCAACTCACCTCACATCAAACCGCATTTCATTTGTTTCGTAATAACAGGGCTCCCACGGTTAAATTACAAATTTTATTTAGGAATTTAGGAGGTTTTTTGGACAATTTTAGGAGAAAAAAGTATGCAAATGAATTTATTCAATTAAATAAAAACAACTCTACACTATACTTAAAAAAGAAGAAAAAAATAAGTAATTCTTTTTAACAAAAATATAGAGATGGGAATCGGAAAGTTTCCATTTTAAGGAAACTTTCCTTGTTTTTTTCATTTAAATGTCAATTGTTTAACCGCTGATTTTCGTTAAGCCCATGATACAAGGCCAAGAAACTTTGAATAAGAATTTAATGTGTGTTAATTTAAAGCAGAAGAAGAAGTATAAATAATGTAAGTTATGTTACATAACTTATGTTCTGTGTTACATAACCTCAATGAAGCCGGATTATTCAGCATCATCACAAAAAACTTTTTTAAAAAAAGGTACACAAAATAAAAACAATAAACAAAGTAAAAATCATTCTTACATTTTTGTTGTTTATTTATAGGCATAGCACAATGCCAAGAGAAAAATCTAGTGTTTGGAATTATTACAAAATAGTGCAAAAAAACGAAAATTTTTTCAGTCAGAACTGCAATACTATTTTTAGTATCTTTTATAAAAGTATACTTTTCAATATTCCTATATAATAGTTACTTTGTCCATTTTAATTTTTTACGTAATATCTAGGATTTACTAGCAGTGAATTTCTAATAGTAAACATTTTATTTTTATTTTGTAGGTTTCAGCTGAAATACTAGTATACAGTAGGAATATTCCAAAGTAAAAGATACTAAAAATAGTATTTCAGTTACATTCTTATAAACATTTTTTTTTATTTTTTTTCTTAATAAAATTTGACAAAACGTTAATGTGTTATATATTTTTGCAAATCCCTGGCATAAAAAAAATATTTTCGCAATAAAAAATTTTTTTTTGAAACTTTCGGAAAATTTCGGGAAATTTCGATGGAAATTTTCCGGGAATTTTCGTCAAATGGGAATTTTCCCATCTCTACAAAAATATAAATAAATATCACTTCTTTTGTACAAATATGTTATATTGACTAGTTTTTTAGCCAAATCGCTCGACGAGTTTTTTGTTTAATAAAATGAAAAGTGAGGTAAAATTAATACTTTTGTATATATCTACAAGTAGAAATTTTACCACACTTTTAATTTTATTTAAAAAAAAAGGGTCGATAGATATGGCTAAAAAAGTAGGCCAAAGTTTAATGATGTTATATTTTTATATTTTGAAAAAAAAAATTTAACAGTTTAGTAAATAACTAACAATAATTGTAATGTTATTGTTACTAAAAAATCTCATAATAGAAAAAATATAAAGTGCATGATACAGCAAAACATTCTTTAGATTGTTTACTATTTTAGCTATCATTTAAAAGAAAATTAAAAATCCTTTTGGTACACGATATATTTTTGTCGAAAATTAACGAAATATGGCTAAAAATGACAATTTTGTAGAAGTCTAGAAGCTACTCCATGGATTTTGTTTTATGGTATATTTTGTTGTTTTTTAAGAAAAATGTAGGTTGTGATACCTATATCATTTTAAAAAGAATTTAATAAACTAGAACCCAAAATTATATATTTTATAGATTACTTTGTAAAAAAGAAATTTTTTAGCACAACTACCTTAATTAAACGCAGTCAAGTTGGCCTACTTATATTTAATTTTTAGGAGTTTTAGGAGATTGATGGCAATTTTAGGAGTTTTTAAGATTTAAGCCAAATTTTAGGAATTTTATGAATTTTAGGAGGTGTGGAAGCCCTGTAATAATAATAATAATAATAATAATAATAATAATGCCTAACTTGAAAAATCAAAACTGAATGCGCAACCAATACCGGTCATGTGTATCAAAATATATCAAATTTAGCACAAAAATTAATCAAAACTAGTATACCACCACCAAAAATAATTAAAAACAAAATAAAGGAAATTAGCTTGGCAAAATTAAGATAAAATAGCGCAAAGCTACTTACCACCTTTCTATATTCAGCCATCTAAATCTAGTATGGTAGGGGGTATTATGCATGCGCTATTTTGTGCGCGTGTGATTTTGCATGCCTGAATGTGCTGCCTCCTATTCAACGCAAACAAAACTACAGTAAATATAGGAACTTTTTTTCAACACCAAAATATCGCGTTGACAAAACTTCAAAAAGTTTTCACGCGAATAAGGTCTGCTTTTTTTTGCTTAATTTTGATCTCTCTACGTCTACATCTAAAATTTTTGAAAATCTTTCCTAACTAATCTAAAAATCAGAAGTTTGCTACATTAGTATCAATATAAATAGTTAATCAATTATATATAAACAACAAGCGGTTAGTCAAACATTTTACTAGAAAGCATTTAAATTAGATATAAAAAGCCAAAAGTTTTACTTATTTACTACGCCCCAATATTTATGTAATAATCAATATGCGGCAGTACAGTAGACACTTTATCAATTGCATAATTCCTCAGACTCAAGTAAGGTGGTATTTTATTAAAATAATTTTATTAAAACCCATCACCAAACAAATTATTTTAAATTCATTTTTTTACACTGTACAACACTAAAGAAAGAGTGGCATTATGGAACGTGTTTAGTTTATGAAAGCAGGACAGGTGTCCTGAATTTTTCCGGACATCCTGGATTTTTGCCTTTGCTGATAAATTTGTTCAATTCAATTCTCGGACATGCGCCTATTAGAATATTCGAACAAACTTTGCACAGTGGCATAATTAAAAAATTTGCACAGTACTTCAAACTTAAGAAACTGTGAGAAAAATTCGCACAGTAGTATAAATAGGTATAAGAAATTGTGGGACATTTTTTAAATTTCCAAAATGTTTAATTGGGTAATTAAAAATATGGTCGCGTTTTTACTATTGCGCATGTCCATGACGTCCATTTTACATTTACAAAACCGGTAACTCTAGAACCTTTATTTTCGGTTTTTTTCTTAGTTTCTTTTTGCAAAAATTTAAAAAAATTATTTTGTTTCTTTAAAAAAATGTGTAAAATTTGTTTTTGCAAAAAAATATTTGTGCACGGGCTATAAATTTATCAATTATACACTCTAGCACAAGAATTGTTACGGGTTCCTGCTGTGTTAATAGCAATTGTAAATGTTGTATAATAATAATTATAAATAAAATAACTTTATTGGAAAAAGAAAGATATCAAATGTATACATAATACTAGGCAACACTGTAATTAATAAACCCCCACTACAAAATACCCTACCGACTGCGCCATGAAGTGAATAATACCAGAGTAGACTGATTTATTCAAATGACTAGCATTGACTGACATTTGTAGTGGAGATTTATTAATTACAGTGTTGCCTAGAATTATGTATACATGTGACACCTGCAACACAAGTAAGTAAGCGTAAGATCTAACATTAAAGAAAAAATTTAGGGGAACAATTATTTGTGAGAACCAAAAGTATTTTTGGAGAAAAAGGAGAATAAAAGCTGAAAGTTCAGTTTTTCATTATTATATAACTTATTTTACTTATGTATTTTACAGTTTTTCAATCACAAGATCAGAAGAAAAAGATTAAAGGAGCCAGCCGATCGAGAATAATGGTAAAGAAATAGATAACTACATACCAAAATTTATCATTTTATAATTTAAGTAGGTACTTATTTATACCTAGTAAAGAATTTGGAACCGTATCTGAACCCGAACCGAAATTTGTCGTTTCTCTCGAACAGGAAAATACCTATAGTAAATTTAAAAGTAAACTACGTACACGTCATCAATAAAACAAAAATTTTACGCATTGGTACCAACACTAAATGACTAAATCGAAGTCTGCAATTGAATATTTGAATGCATTTTAAACATCTTCAGTTGGCAACAATTGCGATGTTGTCATGTTTACATTCAAATTTTTCATATTTAAATGACACATAAAAAAGAATTTGACGTTTTAGAATTTCGAAGCTGTCAGTTGTGTTTTTGAATATTTCGTTTAATTCGTGTATTATTTCGTTTATTTTGTTTGTTGTTTGTGTTATTTTATATCGTTTAAGTTTTCATTGCCGTTTTTGTGTTTGTTATATATCGTTTTTTTGTGTTTCCTAAATTTGCCGAAGCATCTGTGATTTAAATAGTCGCGCTATTTTGAGGCAGAACGGGATAATAATGGACCTTTGTTACCTTTAACAGCTGTTAGAGAGGTAAATAGGATTATTATTAATTATATATTAGAATATTTAACAGAATATATGTTGGATACATAAAATAAGAATATATATACCAGAGACTGACTTTAGATGGCAACATTTCTGAGTTTTATAGCTGAAAATGTCTTTAAAAATGGCTGAAACATACTTTTGGCGGTGCATCATATAGGTTATAATAACTCTGACTTTTGACATTTTGGTATTATTTATGTAAACGCCATCTATCGCCCTGTAGTTGCACTACCACTTTCACTTGATGCAATGATTTTAGCACCACATTGACAACCGTGCTCGATCATCTGATTGATGACGTGTACGTCGTTTCCCTTTGAATTTACTATATATAATGATTATCAATAAAATAAAAACAATTGTCCAAAAGAAGTTTCACTTCATCCATAATCATATTAACAGCATTGAAATTTGCATATTATTTTTTAAAATGGAAAAATTAAATGAGTTTTCATATTAGCAGCCGGCTTCCCCAGAATGTTGTACAGTGTATTTTCAGTAGGTAAAAAGACGTGCAATAATGATTAAAAAAAGCTCACCTTCTTCGTTGCACTTTCTGTGCCGGCCTTGTTCCTGTATCTCGTCGACCAAAGGTGTCGAAGTGTTGGAATGAGGATCGGACGGCACATCGCCGACATAAGCCGGCCTGCCGTCCACAATATAGGAGCCCCTTTTCGCCGGATTCCTCGACGCGGCTTGTATCAGCGGCGAGTCCCTTTTGTAGTGGCAATCGTTGCCGAGCTCGGTCTTGATGGAGTTCTGGTCTTGGTACGCGTAGCCGGGCCTGGTGCGATCGTAAGCGTCGGCTTCCTCTTTGATTTGCGGGCCGAGGACGCGCGCCTGCAGACTGGCCGCCAGGCCTTCGGCCACGAAGTTGTTGCGCGATTCGGCCTCGATTACCGGAGGTTTGACGTCGCTGAAGTAGGATTCGTGGTAGGGTTTGATGTCGGCTCGCGGAAGAGGCGTGTACTGATCGTAGTTGGAGTTGACCGATGCGGCTCTCGATTGCGGGTAGAGTATGGTGGTTCTCGGCGAGTACTGCTGACGCGGCGAGGGTTGAGATTGAGGTACATAGTGAGCGCTATGGTTATTCACTTTGCCGTGCGAATGCATGTAGGCTAGACCTTCGAGATTTTCGGTGGACGAGGGTCGCGATATCGGGCTGTATACTTGCCTAGCAGCGGGTTCAGTTTTGCCGTTTTCGGCGCTGGCCGGCGCGTGCTCGTTCGGTACTTTCACGTTCACCCTTTCCGGTCGAGGCGGAAGATTCGCGTTGACAACGGATCTGGACGATAGTGTGGCAGTGCCTTGTATGTCGCTCATATCGACGGCGGCGTTGATTATCGATTGATTGGATATTTCAAGTGTCCTTTCGATTTCCCCAGACATGAGGTCGCCTATAGTCCTGGTCGCGACCATATTGTCGTTTGGGTTATACGGAAGATGTTGGGAGGCTAGTTTTTCTTGCGACAGATGTCTTCTCAAGGCCAACTTGGCGGGAGACACTTGCGTGTAGTCGGGCTGCTCCGATGAAAACGGGCGCGGTATCTGAGGGGAGACTTTCGGCACGTCTTCCCTGTAGTTTTCCATCATCCCGGCCAGGCCTTCTTGATGCAAATACCTGCTGTCTTCCGTGTTTTGCTTGACGACCGTCTCGCATCTCGGCGGAAATTTCGCTTGATCCGGCGCTTTACTGCTGCCGCTGTACTTGTGGCTTTTTATTTTCTCCTCTTGCTTGGGAATATAGTTGGTGGGATAATATTGGCCGGGAGGATTTGTAGGGTATTGCTGTGGGGATTGAGGTACGGGAGGGGGTTGAGGCTGAGGCTTACTCCTTGTTTGCTGGTCTTCGTTTAACACTGACGTGATTATGCTTTTGAGGCGGTCCTCGAAGTTTGCGATTCTCGGCGCTTCTTGCGAGGCCGGTCTCGGTGTTGGGTTATTGGCTTGCGGGTAATGGTTTGTTTTCTGTCTTTTCGAAATAGGCATAGGGGCCGGCATGTTATTCCTAATTAGGCTTTTAACATTCTGCTGGCTTGTTGATTTGTTGTTTGTAGATATGTGTGGTATTTTGTTTGATATTGCGGCAGATTGCTTGCTTGCTTCTATTTTTCTTCCAGTTTCCAGTATTTTTTGGGCTAGGATTTCTGGATTTTGTTCTTCAATTTTCGCTATGTCCGGCACGTCCGGCCAATCCTGCGAACGAGCGCGGTGTTCTCTGGACTTCCTGGATACTTTGGCGGGCGCTTGTTGATGTCTAGCCGCCAACACCGCCGCCTGCTTTCTCTCTTCCCCACTTTTTTCCAAACCAACCACCTCGCCCTCCAACTTGGACACCTGACTTTGCAATTTTTTCCTGTGAGCCAAAGTCTGCGATATTTCTCTTAGAATGTACTCTTGCGCGACGCTTGGTGATAACTCGTGCACCGCCTCAGGACTGACATATTTATCTAATATTTCTTGTTGCCTTTGCATTGCCAGCGATTCCTTTTCCGACTCCAAATTCGCCACCTGTCCCTGCAACTTACTGGCCTTCGCCTGCAACTCTTTATGACGACAAACGATTTCCTTAGCTTTAGCCAACAAGTCTACAGGGGAAGTGGCATTAATGCCCAGCTCGCTCATTCTAGCCTTCAACAAGGCCACACTGTCGTCAATCAAAACCTTAATCTGTTTCTCCAACTGAGCCGCTCGATTTTTCAACTTCTTATTCCTATCTTTCTCCTCTTCAATCTGACTTTCGATCGTATGCTTGTAATGCGGATGCTTCATCTGGTTTATCATCTGCATATATTGCACTCTGAACATGTCAAGCAACACTTGCAATCCATACGGGGTCTCGGATGGCGCTTCGGGAATATCCAACTCGTTATGCGTTATTACCTCGGAACTGAGCGCGGTCAATTGTTGATCCACTGTACCCGGAGCGGGCGGTAACTTTTTACCAGCTGCTTGCGGCGAGGTGCTCAGCAAAGTCTGACTGTGCAACAAATCCAAACCGTTGATTTTGATCTGCTTCTTGGGCTTCGCCTTCTTGACTCTGCCTCGACGCGCTTTCGGAGCCGCCTTCTGCGCCTGCTGCTTCTCTTGCTGCGCTTGCGCGGCGGTTTTGTTGCTCCTTCTGCGCAGCTTCTTCGGCTGCCGTTTCGACTTCGGCGCGTCGTCGTCGGACTGACTGCTTTTGCCTTTGTTGGAGCAGTAATCCGACCAAGCTTTCCTCGTGGTCGGACCGTAGGTGCTGTCTTCTTGGTCGTCATAGTCGGATACTGACGACGAGTCGTCTATTATTTGCTTCTTGCCTCGGTCGCGGGAACTTCTGCTCGCATCATCATCCTGTAAAAAATAATTAGCCATTAATATCACTATTTTGTTTGCCTATAACTAGAGATGTAAAAAACGGTTTTTTTCAGATGTAAAAAAAACATGAAAAAAATGGTTTTTTTGTTTTTTTTTCAATACCGCTACAATAAAGCATATTCTGTCAATAAATAACATCAATCTTAAAAAATGGAGTAATTTTTCAAAATGAAATTTTGAGTAAAATGTATATTAATAATAAAGTGAAATGTGGGATATATTACATTTTTCATTATTGAAAATTTTGACCGAGACTAAAAAATCTGATTTCTTATTATTTGCTAGTTTGCCAATAGCACTGAAAAAAATTATTACATTTAAATGTAAAGTTACAAGATTATTATTACCACATAAATTCCTCATTTTTACGACAAATTGTAAAATTACCTTTATTTTCGTCTAATTTTTATATATTTCAAGTAAATAAACATTTTTGTTTGTAAAATTACTAATGTTATGTATTAATTATTGATACAACAAGTAAACTTAACGAACTAAATGTAAAAAATACAATTATAACTTCTTACTGCATTATTTCAAATGTAAATATACTTTATTAGTCTTAATATTACAGGTTTAAATGTTTTTTTACATTCGGAGTGTAGTAAAAATCGCAAAATTACATTTCATATGTAACCGGAGAAGAAGCCTATTGGCTGGGAATCGGCATGTTAATGTTATCATGTAAAAATACATTTCATATAAAAAACATATTACATTAAAAATTTTATTTTACATAAAAAATATAAATGAGTTACACGTCAATTATGCTATTACATTTTGCATGTAAAATAATAATGAAATGGAATATTTCAGTTATCAACAAGGCATCAAAATAACCAATCTCCATTACCGGAAATTTACATGATTTTTTTTTCAGTGAGGATAAAAAAAAATTCAAATTTTTTGCGATTTTTCGGATAGCTGTATCTTCGTTAAAAATGGTCGTATTGGAGCCGTAAAAAAAGCAATTTGAAGCTTGAAGTTCCTAGTTTTGAGATTTTAGATGAAAAATGTGCAACGCTCAATCCTAACTAATATCGTAATAAAAAAATTCGAAATTTGTTTGCCTTTTTTTTGGTCAATGGAATGTTCTGACTTAACCTTTAATGAATAAATGTTCTACAAGAATTTGCTATTTTGAAAAAAAATTCCATACTCTACATGAATTTGAAAAATCATGAAAAAAAGTGCTTTTGGTAGCTTTTTCAAAAATCAAGCGCTGAATCAAAAATATTATAGGTAGATACTTTTTTTAGGACCAAATCAAAACAAACGCGGCCCTTATTGGTCAATTCGGTTGTAATGGCGCTAGACTGTATTTACATTTACTAAATGTCATTTAATGGCTAATTTTAGTCCATGAACTGGACTGGAAACATAAAAAATAGGCAAATGAGAAAAACCTAAAATATGAAAAAAAAAAAACATTTGAAAAAAACAATGAAAAAAAACGTTTTTTTTGCAGTCGCATCTCTACCTATAACAACATTTACCTTGGTTGGTTTCTTCAATCTTTGGAAGTACCGCTCAAGCTTCGTCCTGTCGATAATATGCAAATAATACGAAACTGGTTTCCCTGTCCAAGATACAGAGCCCAGTAGAGGTGACATTTCGCTCACGTGCATGATAGTGCCGATATCGCTCAAATTTCTGTCGGTTATGCGAAAATTTAGAGGGCAAAAACTTTTCGACGAAACGATCCTAGCGCCGTCTTTCAAATCGGCGAACCTCTCCTTCAATTGGTGGTCGACTGAAGGTCCGAAAGCGAAATTATTGACGAAAACAATGGTCGCCTGGTTGATGCGTTCTCTGTGTTCTTCCGTGAGAAAATCTCCGCGCATCAGCTTATACTCGCCGTACTTTTTGCCATACCATTTCATCCATGTGCGGAAATTCTTGTTCATACTGTCGGCGTAACGGCTTGGCACGTCAGCGCGTTCGATGCCAAGGCAAATTTTGCACGGTGTTGCCGCGGCCATTTGGAGGACAACCTGGCCCACCCCCGAACCAAGGTCAATGAAAACATCATCCTTGGTTATTTCGATTTGGTCGATCATCTGACAAACCAGCTCGTAGGAAGTTTCACCATATACTTCGGGAGAAAACGGTTCATACTGATTCAGTTTATCTGGATCAGTTACGGCAGCGTTGTAGGTTTGTTGTAAAATATGGCGCAAGAGACCTCTTGATGGATATTTATTAAGTCTTTGCTCAGGCAGTGAGGTTCCTTTCTCCTAAAAAAAATGACAAATTCAATATACACATAATCGCATATTATTAAAGGTTTACTAACCAGCGCGACTACACCATCTATAGCTCTGTTGAATCTATCACATAATGACTTCATACTGTCAAAGCTTCTTGTGTCATAGTCGCAGAGTATGTTGTTCTCCAACGGCAGTTTTAATTCGGGAAGGTCTTCACAAACCCATCTTAAAAATACAGTTAATTTTTTCTTTTGGACTTTGCTACATTAGCTAGTATTTTTCTAAATTTATTGTTATTTTTTACTTTGACTTTGTTATCTAATATATTTTACTTTTTTAACGATATATTTGCTGTAAATTATGTTATTTTTTAGTAATTGTGTTTTTTTCGGTGCCTTAAGGTTCTTTTTATTAATGTATTTTGTATACTTGATGGTATTGTGACAATGAATAACCAGTAAATTTTATTAAAGTATATTTTAATATTTTGACAAATGAGGACCTCGGAGGAAAATAATGTTCAGTAACTAGGTACAAGATTAAAATATAGCATAAAACATTTATTCTCAAAAACATAAATTTCCCCTGAAGTCTTAAATTCATTGACAAATATCCTGACACATTGTAATAACATAACCACATTTGGTTTTCACTAATTCTTCTTCTTCACAATCTGGCCTAGAGCCTTAAAGGTCTTGTAAATATGTCATTTTAACCAGCAACAATTGTCAAAAGTACATAACCCCCAAATTTAGACCTGTCAATGTCCAAATAAAAAACAAACTTTATTCACTACTTTGTTTAAAGCATACCTTATAGTTTCCACTATTTCAATCGCTCCATCATGCTTATCCTAAAAATGTATCCATTTTTAATAAAAATTTAGTACTCACATTAAAAAACTTCCTTTATTATTCAATTTATACAATTTATTAATATCATGAAATAAAACAAAAATAAAAATAATTAACACATAAATTATATAAAAAATTATTAAAACAATGACAAAACGTATAAAAACAATTAAGCACGTGCTACAAATTAGCAGAATACAAAAATAATGTTATCCTTTTAAATAATTTATTCATAAGCATAATATGAGTTCAATAAATTATGCAATTTACAAAGAAACAAACTATAAATGCATTATTTCGTGTGAATGAGTTTATAAATAGATATTAAAATGAAGTTTTTAATGGTAGGTACCCAATAATAAAGTTATTTTTAAACAAATCCCCCAAGAGTTGCTTAATAAATTGGCCCCACAGGTAGTAAACAACGCTTTGAGTGCGATTTTGGGTGCGAATTAAACGAATTTGGTGTTTTACGATTAAATATCTGTGTGTTGAAGTACCGTTCAATGTTAAATTCAGCGCCCCAAATAAAAACAAACTTATTTTCAATAACAAAGCAAAGGGATGCCCGATTGACTGTGCGGCAAATAAATCGTAAAATTCGTTCAAAATCGCATCAAACACGTTGATAAAGTGTAGTAAAAGCATAAAATTGTTATCTTACGTTTCCTCGGCCTGAGGTTAACGGCCAAGTGTATAACATTGGTTCTGCACCCGCGGGAGAATGCAATTTTAATTCCATCGCACTCGATCACTTTTATTGAACTAAAGGACATTTAACACTATAAATAAACACCATTTGAACTAATTAAGCCACTTTAAACACTCATTTTTGTATATTTTATATGGATTTCACATAGCAAAAACACGCCATCGTCGAGCGTATAACTTGCGCGCGCAACCAATAATGCAGTTCTACCACCCTGAAATTCTTCATTATTTAATCAGTTTTGACAACGTATCGAACAAGTTTATTGTAGTGCTCGTTGGACCCCAGAACATCAATACTTACTTCCTCACGTAGGCCGTGCTTTTCCCTTTTCTACGCCTATTGACAAATATTTTAAACCTTTTTATCCCATCTAATTTTTTCACCCGAAAAATCACCCCTTTTAAACCTATACGTCACGTACGCATCAACCGACCTTCCATCTTATTGCCCCCAATTTAATTACCCTTCGTATTTTTATTATCCATGCTTTAAATAAAATTTTACGCAAAGTGGACAAAACATTCTCTATTATTTAGCGCACATGACAGGTGTATAGACAGGTGGTTAAAAAGCTATACAGGACGTGTTTTTTGAAAATTGCGACGATCCTTTCTATTTTCTATTTTCATAGAAAATTAAGTCGCAACTTTAATAACTTTACCGTTCCTATTTTTATTATGCAAAGAAACACTATTAAATGTTTTTTTTATTAAATAAAACACTTGTTACGTAAAGTGAACATAAAATTCTCTATTAAAAATTATTAAACGTACGAACATGACATGTGCATAGATAGACAGGTGGTTTAAAAATTATGCTGGTGTGTATAGGTACGCGATTTTTTCTCCACAGATGCAAGTCACCGGTGCACTTCATGCACAAATTCTAGGACATAATTACAACAAATTGTTATAATAATAGAACCAAGGTCTTATCTAAATAAAAACGTATTTCCCTGACAAATATAGTACGCAAACCATTTTCCTGGTTTTCCTGCTAATTACGTCACCGAAAAAATCAAATACACGTCAACAAAAAGATTATTCATAAATAAATGAATTTCCTTTTAAACATTTTAAATTTAAATAAACAAACGTCTTTGCCAAGCTTATCCAAATCTCCTACATAAAGAGACAGAAACATGGCAACCCCGTGCTGCTCTTTTGTTTGCAACGTGTGACAGAGCTGTCAAAATGAATCTAACCTCAAAACTCCAACTCAAATTTAATTGTATCATATGTTATAATGTTTTCTGCGATAGTTTACATAAATAGAATAGCAGAGATTACCTAGAATGAACATATTAGTTATAGTTATATCTGTTTTGTTATCTGTGATATGCGTTCTGTTAGCTTTACTACAACACTACTACTTCATTAATAGAATAACACGTAAGTCTTCAATACGCTATGAAGTTCCTGTGTTCGAGGACTTGATACCGTCTGCAAATGAAAAAAAAATCGCCGTGTCGTACCCGCTGCAAAAAATGACATATGATGAAGAAGTATTCGATGATGATGCTGTCCTCAGTGGCCTATCGGCTGCATTACTGCCTGGACCAAACGTGAAGGAAACAAAGTCTAATTTCATAGGAAGTGAGAAACTAACAGGATCTGAGAGCGAGGTTTATAACACTCTACAAGCTGCCATAGCATTTAAATTATCAGGGAAAAGCCTTAAAGCAATGAAATTGTTTGAGCATGCAGCTGCTATAGCCCCCAAGAATGCTGATGTGCTTAATAGATATGGGGAATTCCTTGAGCAAAATCAAAGGGATATTGTCACAGCAGATGAGTTGTACTTTAAGGTTTTATTTATACTTACAAAATGGTTAATGTGTTTGTACGATGATATTTTTTGTAGGCTTTAACATATTCCCCTGATCATCAAGCAGCTTTAATGAATAGAAAAAGAACAGCTGAGGTTGTAGAAGGATTGGATTTTGATTTACTGAAAAAAATTGATGCCAAAAACGACTTTTTGAAAAATAGGTTTAAACTGGACTCCTTTGAGGCAGTTAAAAAGCAAGCTTACTACTTACATATATACCATACAGTATGTATTTTTTAAAGTATTGTAATGTTTATTAATTAATTAGTTATAGGTTGGTATAGAGGGAAATACCATGACAGTTCAACAATTACGTTACCTACTGCAAACTGGACAAGTTGTGAATGGGAAAAGTATTATTGAGCATAACGAGATTTTGGGGCTGGAAAAGGCAATGCAGTATATAAAATTATTGGTCAAGTCAAGCTATATAGGGATCAGGGAAATATTGGGTATACATAGACGCGTCATGGGGCATGTAGACCCTCTGAAATCTGGAATGTTTCGTGATGAAAAAGTTTTTGTTGGAAGTCACATCCCTCCAAGCCATGACTTGGTCCCCTCCCTGATGGAGAGCTACTGTGATTGGCTGAACTCCGAAGAAGCTCAAAGTATGCATCCAGTCCGTTATGCAGCTTTAGCTCACTACAAGTTGGTCGATATCCATCCATTTACAGATGGAAATGGACGCACTAGCAGACTTATAATGAATTTGATTCTACTCAAAGCTGGTTATCCACCTGTGATGATTCTCAAGGAGCAAAGGGAAAAATATTATGACGCGCTTAAAACGGCTAATTTGGGCGATGTTAGGCCTTTTGTAAGATTTGTCGCACAATGTACATTACAGATACTGGATATGTATATCTATGGCACAAGATTATTATCCATTGACGGTATTTCGGATGATGAACACCAAATTATAAACTATTGATACCAAAATTATTTATTCCTTCCATTAAATAAAACTACAAAATATTAGAATTTTAATTTTAAAACCTCGACTTTTGTCAATTTTTTTTTTTAAATATAGTATATTATGTATCAGGTTTTATAAACGCCATTTTAGTTACGGGCTTGCATACTATACTTTATCTAAGACAAACACAAAGAATTTAAAGCCAATTTTATTTCCCCAATTTATAATATAGCTAACTTCAGCCCGTGACTAAAATACTCAAAAGCCACTTTTGCTAACTTTATCCCGTGACTAAAACGCCATGAAGTCGCATCTCGTCAATGTAGGAGTGGATAATAGTATATTATGTATTAAGTTTGCCATTTTAGTTGGTTAACTAATTAGTTTTCGTAGACACGAGCGAGTGCTTAATAAAAACGAGTGTCTCGAGAAGTTTGCATACTATACTTTATCTACGACGAACAAAAAGAAGAATTTAAAGCCCATTTTATTTTTAAACATTTGACATCAGTCAACGAATTTAACCTCACTTTTTCCCAATTAATAATAAAGCCAACTTCAGCCCGTGAGTAAAATGCCCAAGAGCCACTGTTGCTAACTTCAGCCCGTGACTAATAGATTATTATGTATTTAGTTTTATATACGCCATTTTAGTTACGGTCTTAGGGCATTATACGCGTGTTTAAAATAGAGGTCTTGTAGTACCTATATCATTTTACGTTTTGCGCATGCGCAATTAAGATTTTGCTTTCAGATCTCAGAATAATAAAACTATAACATTAACAAAAACATTTTATTAAACACACTAAAACAACAAAAAGTTCTACTAAATTAAATTTTCCTAACGGGCTTTTTCTTTTTCAAGTTGTTAATACTTTGGACGATTTGATCGATTTCAGCGTTATCATAGTTATCCACAGTTTTTTTGTTAATAGTCGGCATGTAGTTGCTTAAATGTTCCAAATTAAAATTGAATTTGTCCTTAACAATGGGGGCAACTAATTCTATATTATATAACACAGTTATAATGCCAATGAAAATCAACAGAGTCCATACGGAGGTTTGTTTTATATGCTGGTCATTACCACCGGTTTTCACGGCGAAGGTAAGCTCCAAATATTGGAAGGATGAGTTTGTGTTGAAGTATCCAATGGGGGAAATAGTTTTTACATCACCTGGTAGTGTGGATTCGAGATGAGCTGTATAAGGCTTATCATCAGAGGGCAGAGAAGGGAGGTGTATAAGGACTCCAGGGTTATTATCTTTGGTTATTTTTACTGTTGATGTATCGATTTTGGTGTTAAGAATCACAGTGGACGATTCTCTGGCGACCTTAAGCCTTAAGGATTTGTAATGCTCAATATTTTGGGCGAGTACTTTTATCATTACATCAGTATAAGAAACTGGTCTGAAAACGATGATTTTCAAATCCTTTACATCTTCTTTGACGTTCTAAAATTCAATATCATAAAGTATATATATAAAACAAAGTAAAAGTATTTTTACCTCAATATGTATGAAGTTAGGTACAGATCTATCAACCAAATTTTTTCCAACCGCGTTCTGCTTAATTTGTATGTCGTATGAACAATAAGGCTGCAAACCTCTTATTCTGAATGACCCTGTAGATTCTGATATGGTTTCTTCGGAAAAGTGGGAGCAGTTACCAGTGCCAGCTGCTATAACAACCATATTTTCCTCAGGTTCTCCATTAAGGGACATAATTTGTCCAAATGTGCTGTATGCTACACGTTTTCCACTACAAAAAAAATATTAACAATGATTTTAAGTGAAACCTGAAATTTACTAACATTAATTTAACACTGACAGATTCTCCCTCTTTAACCTTAATCATTTTCGACAAAGGATCAAATTTGTACTCTTTCATCATGGGCCTCAAAAAGTAGTCGCTGGGACTTAAAGAATGGAAGGTAATTCTTCCATTGTCATTGGTCTGTAGGTTACTCCTGTAACTCTCTCCTCCAGATAGCGATAGAAGCGCCCCCTGTAGCGGAATATTATCAGCTTCATCCAAAACATCAACAATAATCTCAGCCAGTTTGTGGGCTTTGAAGTTGCCATTATTATCGGGTCCTAATAAAATGTAGCTCTCCTTTTTGGCAGATATCGTGTATTCATTAGAATCGTCCAGAGCCGGGAATTTATAACTGCCATCTTCGGCTGTTTCAACTGTTAAAGTTTCAGTTACATCGCTCTCTACCGTTATTATAACCCCGGATAAAGCTGGTTGCACTTTTCCTTTAAATACTCTTCCCTTAATAGCACTGAACTTTTTGCCTAAATTTTTGCAGTCGTCGTGTCCAGGTACTGATAGTACAGGGGGGTTAAAGTAGAGAATATCTGATTTTGGTACAATCATGGCCTCATCTGAAGGTCCCAATAGTAAAGTAATTTCGTATTTACCCTTACTATATGCTAAAGTCTGTGTTGTTGTTTGTTCTCCAATTTTAACAGTCGCTAGTATGTTTCCATGGTTTTCAACCGAGTCTATATCCAGGGAAACCTTATGTTTTTTCGCCGTGATTACTATTTCAATCATATCTTTATCAGTATTGAAAACATATGAAGTTTTATCAAATATGTGACAGCTATCAGGAACAAAGTGGTACTCCCCAGGATTTTCGACGCAGAATTCGTTGTTACCGACATTCAAATTCAAGGACAACATCCTATTATCCTTGGTGTTTTTATAGTTAATTTTAGTCCCATGGGAAACCACAAAATTAACCAAATAACCCGTCTGTACAAAAGCTGGTATTTCAACTTGGGCGCTATTTACGAAAATACTTTGCTTGCTAGTCACCCAGCACAATTTTTTCGAGTGCAGAACCACGTCGTAATGCCCGGGAAAAATGTGATTGGCCACGTACGAATTACCGGAAACTTTTAAGTCGATCTTATCGGATTCGTCAGTTTGAGATTTTAATGTCACAGTCAAGTCTTCACAATCTTTAGGTCTTATGCATCTTACTGTGCCGCTTACTGTGGCCTTTAGTTGAGAGAAAACCACCTCAGGGATGTCTTCAGAAGATACAACAATTGTTTGCTTGATGGGGAAGAACCTAAAATAACAAAATATACATTAGCAAGGATATTTTTGATTTAAAACTTCTGTGTCTATAGGCAACTAACATAACATGCGAGTATGTTTCTTGCATATATCAGTCTACCTATAAAACTACATTTGGTCAAAATCACAACCCACACAACAAGGTCTGTTCTTTAGCAGTTCGCGCAGACTGAAAATTACCAAATACTTGCCGCCATATTGTTTGTTTACGTCTCAAGCGTGTAGATTTTGATTAGATTAAATTTTATGCTTTATTGTATTTGATTTTGTGCCTTATTTGCCTTAATACTTATAAACGTTGTTAGGTATTTGAACCAGTTATTTAGTTGTTTATTTGTGTTTTGACTGTACTTGTGTGGGTTGTAGTCAAAATCATATCTTACTGTAATCCTTTTTGTTGGTCGGCATTATTTACATTGACTTCAACTTCGTATTTTCCAGATGGCAAAAATTCACAGAATTTTCCAGTCTGATCAGTGCTGGTTTGTATGACAGAACTTCCAATTTTACTGAATTTAATTGTTTGAATTTCGTCTGACAATACTTTTCCACACACCCTGTATGATGATGGAATTATGTTTGGTAATTTGTCCAAATTAGGGTTTATGTTTAGAGTTTTTTCAGCAAATATGAAACCGTCCGATTCGGCTCTGAGTTTGTATGTATTTGCTTGTATATTTTCGAGTTTGTAGTAACCATTTTTGTCAGTTCTCGCAACTTCCCTATTGTTTAGAAGTACCCTTGCATTTACTATAGGTTTCTGATTTTCAGATTTATACACAAAACCATTTATTGAAAAACCACTGACCTGAAACATTTTTTTAGATAAAATAATTAAAATTTTAAATATTTACTTCAAAGTTCTCTTTTAATTCCAAACTCTCATGATTAATGTTAAATTCGATTGATTTTGGTTGAAAGAATATATTTTTTTCCCCCACATATGGCACAACAGAGTATTTACCATTTGGCAGTACAGGAAATACAAATTCCCCATTACCATTTGTCTTAACGTGGCAAATTTGTTTTTCTTTGCTTTCTAAACCTTGCAGTTTATCCTTTAAACAACCCTCAGCATATTGGCTGGATGTCTATAATAAAAAAACTAGTAACAAAAGAAAAAAACAGTATTTTAATAAATACCCCTGCTTTTTCCAGCAAAACAATTACAGTGTTTTTCATGGGATCTCCATTACTAAAAACTTTCCCTTTAACATCATATCCTTGCACTACAAGTGATCCACTAGCCAACTCAGTGTTTCCTTCAGTAACTTTTACTTTTATGGATTTTTTCAGTATTTTCCACCTAATAACTAGATTATAAAATATCCTAATAAAATTTTAAAAAATACTTACTTGTTATGTGATATAGACACAGTATATGTTCCTGGATATACAGGAGTAAAAGAAAAGTGTCCACTTTTATCAGAATTTGTAACCCTTTTTTCTGTACTTGATATCAACTCAACTTGTACCCCACTAGGTCCCATATTATCCAAATTCATCCCCAAACTTTCAACCTGAATAAAAACACAATAAAATCACAAAAAAACAATAAATGTTACATACCTTTCCAGCAATACCAAAACCTTTAAATTCAAAGTTGATATCCCTTCCTTGCGAACACAAATCATTTTTCCCATCGACTTTTAAATCGATTTTTGGCGGCGTAAAGCTCCAACCTCGTGGAGGTTCCAACTAAAATAACCTCATTTAATAAATGATTTAATTAAAATAAATTAAATTATCTAACCTCCAGAGTGTATTCTCCTTTTTCATATAAAGGCACAAAATAATAACCATTATTCGGCGCACAATTAGTCTTGTCCTTCAAAATACCTTGCTTCGTAAGCCTAAAAGCAAACAAACTTAATGCAGGAACAAAAAACATTTTTTTTCACTTACAACTTCACAACCACTTTGGAAAAATCGATTTGTACGTGGCTTTTTAGAAAACCGCCGCATCCCAACACTTCATCGCCACTAACCCCATAAATTATAAATAGAAGCGACAATATTTTAATACATATATTTAACATTATTAATAAAAAATTCTTAAAACTATTACACGTATAAATACCTAACCTCACTTATTTGACAACTGTCACTCTGACGTCTACACATCGTAGAGGTTGGCTCGACTCACATCCGTAGGCGTGGACCTTAAATACTTTATAGTAATAAAAAATAATCCAAGATCGTTATTTTAAATATATAAAATGTGTATTAATAATAGTTTATTTGTAAAATAGACATAATTTTTTCGGTATAATATAGGCAACATTTTAACACATATCTGTTAAAAGTAAATTATACTTGGTTATAAGTATTTTAATATAGTTATGTAAGTAAGTTATACGTATAAAAAATATGTATTTTAATTTTGAAGTAAATTTGCTGGTTTAATTAATTAATTTGTAACGCTCCCACCTCTCTATTTTATGACAGTAATTTGCTTTTATAATCTGTGGTAGTTTGACATGACAGATATTGACTGTAGATGTCGCTTTATTGTAATTATCTAGGTGTTTAGGGCCGAGTTTTGGTTTTAGGTTTTTCGAAGTAAATTTGTAATTAAAAATCCGCAAAAATGGCTAAAATGGCATTTCAGCACCAGGCCGGAACGGCAATGGAGTGTTTGAGCGTAAGTAATTAATATATTCGTGTTATTATTGAGTATGATATCATAAAATGAGTCACTTAAGGGTATATCATTCTTTTAGATTCCTATTACCTTACATAAAGAAATAGATGGGGATACTATGAGGTGCGGGTTTAAAATAGGAGGAGGAATAGACCAAGATTACCACAAAAGTCCTCAGGGATACACAGATAATGTACTTAAAAATTACACAAAAATATAATCGAAACTAATTAGTTTTTTGATAATTAATAGGGCATTTATGTGACAGAGGTTCATGAGTCCAGTCCGGCGTCTAGAAGCGGTTTAAGGGTGCACGACAAGATTTTACAATGCAATGGGTATGATTTTACAATGGTGACGCATAAAAAAGCTGTAAGTTATATAAAGAAACACCCCGTATTAAATCTGCTTGTTGCAAGGAAAGGTGTTACCTCCACTTAAAGTGTGTTTATGCATTTTAAATAGCTTGATATCATTCCACCAGTTACCATCGTTCATGTGTATATATATATAAGTGTAGTGTTTAGATATAATATATATATTTATGTTTTTTATATTGAATATATGTATACTTGTTACATTTGTTACATCAGTATGTTTGACCAGACGGGCGATTATTTTATTAATTTATTTTGACACCAATATGGTTTTAACTAGTTAAGTTTCATAGGAAATGCATGATGATTATTGTGATTATTTACTATAGTATACTATTAAATAAAACAACAATTTTTACTTAAATCGTTTTATTGTTAAACCGCCTAAATAACAAAAAAATAATAAATTACAAAGAATTATTTCAATTAGTAAGGCCAATACTGGATTAATTTTTTGACTGGATTTTTTTTCATAAAAAACATTAGTTTAATCAGTCAAAGGGAATCAAAACAATTCCAAAATAAATAAAAATCAGGGCTTTTTTAGGAGAATGGTTTCGAAATCGAGTGTTTAATATTTGTTAATAAATTTTAAAGTGTTTTGACATCCATTAATAGGTCATTCTAAAATACGTTTTGACCAAGAAGACTAAATTATCAGGAGTAGTAGGCAGATGCGCAGTCTTTACCGCGCATAACTGTCATCCAATGCTTGCTGGTTAATTTATAATATCGACGCATAATTTAAATTATATAATACAGACACAGATTGTGCGCAAGAGCATTTTGCGCATAGGTTGCTATAGAGTTTGGCGTGTGCAGAAAAAACAATATATAAGTAAAATTTAGTAAAATTTTTCATATATGGGGCAAAATTTGCCAAGTGTACCAGGTGAAAAAAATTTTGTCACCGATTTTATTTAAACTTTACTTATTTGTTGTTCTTATAACGAAGAATCATAGCATAAAATTTTTTTGCTCTAGGATTGTTCATTCAAGAGTTATGGATTATTGAAATTTATCGATTTTTTACTTTTTTGTGAAATCGCTTTTTATTTAAAAATTCATAACTTCTGTTCATCTCTTTATTAAATATTTCAATTTAACCACCTTAAATGATTTTTTCCGTACTTTTCAATGGGCTATACCGTTTTTACAACAAAAAAAAATTGCAATTTTTTTTTGAAATTTTGCAAAATTTTGCATTTTTTGAGACAATGTGTATTTTTTAATTTTTTTTTAAATAGCATAAAATCGAAGTTTATTATGTTACCTTTGAATAAAAAAAAAAATTAGAGTGGGCCCGACATGTAGAAGGGAAGTTTTTCATATTTGAATGCCGCACGGTCTAGCCATCGAATAGCTACTACACTGCCGTATGCGTTTATACCTAGTAGATGCGAGTAAACGAATACAAAATGATAATTTAAAATGTAAAATTATGTTTGAGTAGTCAATAATGTATTTTAAATATTTACACTGCCGCACGATATAGTTTTTTTTAATGTGTATTAGTCCTTTGGAGGGGACTTTAAGCCCGCGGTCCGTTCCTACACCTAACCCGTACAAGCCATTCAGTTGGCTTATGGGACTTCTTAAGAAGAAAGGGTGGAACTAAAAGAGCACTTTTTTATATAAACTGTATTTTTTTGCACAAATTGTTTAAGCATGGGTCTACATAGATTTCGCAAGGAGGGTCGATGATATTAAATAAAAAAATTATTGTTATAACCGTAACGGCTTGCCTATAAGCTGAATAGGCGCCATTCAGCTTATAGGCAAACCGTTACGGTTATAACAATAATTTTTTTATTTAATATCATCGATCCTCCTTGCGAAATCTATGTAGACCCATGCTTAAAAAATTTGTGCAAAAAAATACAATTAAAAAAGTATATCGTGCGGCAGTGTAAATATTTAAAATACATCATTGACTGCTCAAACATAATTTTACATTTTAAATTATCATTTTGTATTCGTTTACTCGCATCTACTAGGTATAAACGCATACGGCAGTGTAGTAGCTATTCGATGGCTAGACCCGCACGCATTCAAATATGAAAAACGTCCCTTCTACATGTCGGGCCCACTCTAAATTTTTTTTTATTCAAAGGTAATGTAATAAACTTCGATTTTATGCTATTTTAAAAAAAAATAAAAAATACACATTGCCTCAAAAAATGCAAAATTTTGCAAAATTTCAAAAAAAAATTGCAATTTTTTTTTGTTGCAAAAACGGTATAGCCCATTGAAAAGTACGGAAAAAATCATTTAAGGTGATTAAACTGAAATATTTAATAAAGCGATGAACAGAAGTTATGAATTTTTAAATAAAAAGCGATTTCACCAAAAAGTAATAAATCGATAAATTTCAATAATCCATAACTCTTGAATGAACAATCCTAGAGCAAAAAAATTTTATGCTATGATTCTTCGTTATAAGAACAACAAATAAGTAAAGTTTAAACAAAATCGTTGACAAACATTTTTTCACCTGGTACACTTGGCAAATTTTGCCCCATATAGGTATATATATATATTTTAAAATGCCTATAAGTTTTATATAAGTTGATAGGTACCATGCAAAGTTCGATATAAACATTTTTTAGTTTGAATAGTCTCCGAGCGATAAAAATACGTGTGCAAATGATGATTATTTCAACTCGAATACTTTATTAATGAAGCACACGTGTATAGTACTATACACAAACAAAAATCATGAACAAGTAGCGCCATCGCTTGGCGACTTTTCAAATTAAAAAAATTTTATATCGAACTTTGCAGAGTGCTAAATTCAATATATATATATATATATTTTCTAATCGTATCAACTTATGTAAAACTTGTTTTTTAAAATATATATATATATGCAAAGGTTGTAGTAAATTTTACTTATATATTGTTTTTCTGCAAAACCTTCTATATATCGAACCTAGCAAAAGTTTAGTCTTCTTGGTTTTATAAAATTATATAAAAATTACTGAAGAATAACTAAACTTGTTTTTTTCGATAATTGCCTGTTTTAAAAGTTAAAAAAATCCTAAAACCTGTAAAAGAATAAAATGTTGTCACAAACAAGAAAAAGCCTCGATGGTAATAACAAAAACTTTATTAATCCAAATTCCTTCCAATCCAATCGATAAAGTTGGTAACTCTGGTGTAAACCCCCGGATATCCGGCCTCGGCGCACTTGAATCCGTACGACACGACGCCGATTTGATAAAAATCGTTGTGGTCCGATTGACTTTTGCCGTACATTAAGGGGCCGCCTGAATCGCCCTGGCAGGCGTCTTTGCCGCCCGTTGCATATCCAGCGCAAATTATTCTGTCGTCTATTATCGATTTGTTCTCGTACGCCGTTTTGCACTTGTTATTGTCGATGATGGGAAGAGCGGCGAGTTGCAACACCGAGCTGGACGGACCCCCTGCATTAAAAGAACACCCTGTAGATTGTATGTTGAAATTTACGACATTTTTAAGTTTAGTGATGTCGTATACCATATTTTATTAGGTATGTTCTTACCGAGCATTTGGACAAAAACGCATGCGCAATACGAAAATATGATTGCGATTTTACTATTGCGCATGTCCCTGACGTCTATTTGACAGTCCCATTGCTCGGTGGAAACGACCCTAATATGATTGGATTTTAAATATAAAAGTAGTTATTATAGGCCAAAAATATTATTTAATTATTATTAAATGTATTTTATAAAAAGATCATTTTCAAAAAGTGAGGGAAAAACTGTTTGACAGATGGGCCATTTCAAGCATGCGTAAAACTGTTTTTATAAAAAAAATGATAGGTAATTTATAAGCATCAAAATTGTCAAAAATATTCTTAAGAATTCTTTTATTAGGTTATAAATTAAATAAAAACCGCAAGAAATATTTTATAGAAGTAGAGATAATTTTACTAATTGACAGGTGTGGACGGGACAAGATTTATAAATCTTTTTTTTTCCCGTCCACACCTCTAAATTATTAAAATTATATCTAATTTTATAAAATATTTTTTGCGTTTTTTTTTTATTTAATGTAAAAGAAGAATATTTTTGACAATTTTGATGCCAAAATATTATACACTGCCCGTCAAAATTAAAGCATAATAAGTAAAAGAATTCTAACTCAAAAACCCCTTTCCCAATCTTTATAAAATTTTGTATAAAAATACTTTAACTTATATCTCAGTTTTCTTTTTCAAGGTTTTTTCGAAAAAATATCCTTAAAGCCCTTTTATTTAATATTAAAAAAACGCTCCAAAAAAAAATTTTATAGGGAATTTTTTTTAAGTAAATAAAAAATATGCTGTTAAAGACCGTATTTTTGATAGTATACCCTGATAATTTTGTACAAATCAAACGAACAGTAACGAAGATACAGCGCTTCAAAGTCGATAAAAATGACCACTTTTTAGCAAAATAATCAAAAAGGGGTAATTTTTACCGACTTTGAAGCGCTGTATCTTCGTTACTGTTCGTTTGATTTGTACAAAATTTTCAGGGTTTACTAACAAAAATACGGTCTTTAACAGCATATTTTTCATTTACTAAATAAATTCCCTATAAAAGTTTTTTTTCGAGCGTTTTTTTAATATTAAATAAAAATTTAAAAATATTTTCTCAAAAAACCCTCGAACACGTAAACTGAGATATAAGTTGATGTATTCTTATACAAAATTTCATAAAGATTGGTAAAGGGGTTTTAGAGTTAGAATTTTTTTACTTATTATACGTTAATTTTGACGGGCAGTGTATAATATAATTTTTTTTATAAATACAGTTTTGTGATTTGTCCCGTCCGCATACTTGAAATGGCCCAGATGCCAGATTCTAAAAAAGTGAGGTTAAAATCACTTGACAGTTGTCAAAATGTCAAATTAAATTGGCTTTAAATTCTCATTGTGTTCGTAGTAAGCAGTTCGTTTTATATACAACGAAAACAGATGTAAATGGTAAATTTTTTCCTAAGTGGAAGTCTAAGTACTTACTATAAAAAATTGTAACATTTTTTTAAAAGTTTTGTTTAATAAACGTCAGTGCATTCGGCCAATAAGCGTCAATCTTCATTTCTAGAAAATTTTTATAAGCTTCCGATATAAAAAATGCGGAACCAGATGCCTAAGCCAATGTGAAAAAATTTGCGGAGCTTTCAGCAGAAGCAGTATAGTTTAAATACTGTAGGTATACAAAATTGATTTTCTTTAGCATGAAAACAAAAAATATGATAAATTATAAAACATGTGAAAAATATTATTAAATTTAAATTTAGCGATGCTTTTAAACACGGAAAATATTGTTTACGATTATTATTTTTATGAATATTACTTATTTATATTTTAATAACCAATTTAGGTAGGTAGGTACTTAAAATTTAAATAAATTATACTTACTAAAATAAATTGCCCCCCACCCAGCAACATATCCATCATATTTCAAAAACGTATTTGATCTTTGCGGTTCATCCACAGGCAAGCAAATTGGTGTGACAGTGGCTAAAAATAATTATATAAGAAAAAACATTTTTATAATTATTATTATTATTATTAAATCTTACGATTATTTACAGGTCTGGCCAGCTTCAAAATAGCAATATCGTTTGTGAATGTAACCGGGCTATAATTTTCGTGTATTTTGGCTCTAACCAATGCAATATTTTCCGGGCTTGCCCCGTCAGTCTCCGAGTACAAATCCAAATCTCCAACACGGGCCATATACAAATCTTTTCTGTTGTGAACGCAATGACCAGCCGTTAAAATGTGTTGGTTCGTTATAAGCGTACCCCCGCAAAGCCATTTCGGCATATTCGGGTTGTTTTGGTTCCTGTAACCTAGCGCTACTATCCATGGAAATTCACCTGAAAAGGTCGAAATTGCAAAAATGGCGGATGCGCCGGGGTGACACATTTAAATGACCCAAATGATTAATGCTATTTATAATTTAATGACAATAAATAATCATGTTTATAGTCGATAATATTATCACCTAATATAGCTGGTATGCCTCCAACGACTTTAGGGAAAGGAACATTGCTGAATCCACAATTTGGGGGTCTCAAAATATTGCTGTTTTGATTTGTGTTGGTATTGGTATTTGTGTTGGTATTGGTATTTTCGTTATCATCTAAATCATTATTTGTCGTTCTTTGGGCTTGCTGAGGACAACAAACCATAGGTATGTTTCCTTGAAAACCGCATGTCGATCTTCTCAAGTAACTTCTCACATCTGGGTTATTACTTTGATTTAACAGCAAGTTAAGCAATATTTGACAGCTTTTTATGTTTTTACATGTACCGGCTGTATTGTCGGGCGTATCACAGGATCTTCCTTCTAAAATTATAATTTATCTCTTTATTTTAAATGAATTAAAAATAAAAGGTCTTGACAAACACATTTACACAACTAATTGTTAGGTCTTAGAATTGTGACTCACAATGTCAATACAGAATATTTATTAGTATTTAACCTTAATAGTCACCAATTTGATACAAAAACAATAATACAATAATGTGCTGGCCAAATATATTTAAATTAAGCTAGAGGTTTTTGATCAGAATTAAGAAGAACAATAAAATAAATCTTCGGAATCAAAATTTATATTGACTTCTTAATATAAATCCTGTTTTTAACAAAATAAAATCGTTCTTAGTCAAAATTGGACAATTTTGAAAATCCAAAGTGCATTAACATGAACAATTTTTGTCCGATTTTAATGAAATTTACAAAATTTTGTAGTTTCATCTGTCTTCCAATCTACAGATTTTTTTAAAAATGACCATAAATATAAATATTTTGTTTTAAGGGCCATTTTGCAAAATTTTTATGAGTAGATCTGACAGAAGTCGAATTTTTGTATTCTTCCAAAGTAGTAAATAATGAATTTACTACCTTTGAATATACAGGGTAACTTGAAACTATGAAATATCTCAGTTAGTGTGCATTTTACGAAAAAATGTTTAAAATAAAAATTAAATGATTAGAGGGGGGAAATCAATCAGTACTCTCCTCCTTATAGGGGGAACAGGGGGTAACTTTAAAATTTCCAATGGAACACCCTATTTTTTATTGCAGATTCGGATCAATCGACTATAAATAAATAGATTTTGTGAAAAACGTTTTTTCATATTTGTAATAGATGGCGCTGTAATAAATAAAAAATCAATTTCGTTCGATTTTTCTTCTTATACGATTCTGCAATAATTTTTCTATAAAAATATCACTTTTTTTGTTAATAATTATATTATTAAATTAAATCTGATTTTTTTAGTACACACGATTTTTTAACTAATATTTAAGTTTCCTCTGGTATAAGTTTTATACATTATTTCATTCGGTGATAATTATCAATTGCGCACCATGGTCACTTTTTACCTGCCAGCATTAAATCCTTTAATTTAAAGGATTATTGCACTATTTTTTAATAAAATACCTCATTTAAGGTTAAAAGAACATTATTTTGTCAATTAATTAATTTAATCCCAATTTAATTAATTATTTAATCAATTTAGTTCGAAGATTAATTTGCCAACAAAAAGACCTCCTTTCGTTAAGCAGTTATTCATAATGGATTTTTTTAACAGTGGAAGAAAAAATAGAAATGATTGTGATTTATGGAGAAGCAGACAGGAATCTTGATGATGCTGTTAATATCTACGCTCAGCGTTTTCCGGATAAAATTCGATCACGTACTTCATTTCACCGTACAGTCAAGCAGTTTACTACAAACGGGAGTGATCAACCGAAAAAAAGAATCCGTCGAGCGACAGTCACAGGTGGAAATAATGAAATTAATGTATTAGCAGCAACGGCCGCTAATCCTCGTGCAAGCACACGAGAATTATCTAGAGATTTGGGAATATCCCAGAGCAGACTCATAGGTATAATTTTTTAATATTTTTATCAGATTTTCATTTGTTTTCAAGCTATAACATCATTACAAAATGTATAAATGTGCTTCTTGCCACCCACCCTGTATATAAAAGTCTACAATTTAAATACGTAAATTAAAGTTTGATACCATAAATAATTGTAAAAATCTTTGACAAAAATATTAACACAACTTAGGTCTATTTATTATTGTGATTCACAATGCTAATACACAATATTAAGTAGGTAACCTTAATTTTTTTCTGTATAAAAACAATGATAAAATATTCCCGTATTAAAAAAATAATATGTACATATTATTGATTTAATTACCCCAGTGGGAATTTACAATCATTTTTGTATAATACATCTATTTTTATTTATTTATTTATTTTCCAATTATGCCAATTATCATAAGTCTATAGACATTATAATGTTAAAAACTTGTTTGCTAAATCCTGCTACAAAAAAGATACTGTTAATATTTTTTTGTAACTAACGTAATAATTAAATATTGTTTATTAACACTATAAATGCAAATTGTGAGAGAAGAGTCTCGAATAATTTTTAATATAATACAAAAACGCAATACATTGGTTAGTTGAGTTACTTAATAATATATAATTAATGCAATAAAACTTACCTTGCGCTAAAGAATAATTAAAAAATATCACTAGTGTCACAGAAACTACAATATACTTGTACAAAACCATCCTTCACCATATAATATAAAATTTGTTTATTTACAAAAAAATTAATTCACAGAATATTAACGGCTTGGATTAAAGTCAACAACTGAGATTGGATCGGGATTGATAGCAGGTTTCATCACCGATTTCTGTGACGCTACACTGGCTACTACTACTGCCATGGCCACACATAGAAGGTCGACTTATTCGAAGACAATAAGTTCAAAATTGCATGAACAAATATCCTGTACACGGGGAATTCTTAAAATTCAAACCTATGACCTTTTTCAATCGCAAAATTTCAGTCCTTCATAGTTTCCTGGAATATTATGTTTTAATAAAATTGACCAATTTTCCAAAAGACTGCCCAAATTGTCGTAATTTTATTTATTCTCAATTAAATTCGCAATTATTTAATCATCACACTTTTCGTAAACATAAAAACACATCAATTAAATAACTTGTTTTCGAACACACCTCGTATATTTTCAAAACTGGCGAATGCGCCGGGATTAATATTCAAGTCACCTCGTATCTGTCAAAATTGCTGAGATTACCGCTTATGCAACCATCAACACACATGTTTATGTTTTCGATATTGAGAAATTCGCTGTTAAATCTAAAGAAATATTTTTTATTAGGTTTACGATGTTGATAATAAAGTTATTTTCGTATTGCAACGCAGAAATGCATGTTTTTCGGTTTAAAATAGATAAATATACTCATCAACATTTATATTGCCATATAATTCTGAATGGTCGCATAAAGTTTATAAATGTATACCTACCTGGGGGTGTGTCTTGTCTATAAAAAATGATAAATCAATCAGACCACGGCATCTAGAGTGCCGTAATCTGATTGCTTTCTATAGGGATCATTTTCCATAGAAATATATCCTTTTTCTATGATAGAAAGTGGCAAATATTATAAAGTCCACAATTATTTATTAAATTTAGAACTTGGCGTGATGCAATATAAATCACAGAACAAACCATTTCAATGGTATAAATCATATCATATCTCTGATATAAATCATAGAAAAAGTATATAAAATATATATATACCTATATAAATGTTGACGAGTGTATTTGACGTTGCTTATGCGCAAGCGTGGTTTTCAACGCATGCTTACTTTCGTTTTCATTGATGTTTTGCAACAGCTTCGGCCTTATGATACAATTAATTAATATGGGGACAAATTTGTTGAGAAAAAATGTGCTATGAATAACCCCGCCACCGACGAAATTGTCAATTACTTATCAACAAAGTTCAACAAGATATTTTGCGATCGCGATTTTGTTTGTTGTGTTGCAGAGGATTTTCAGTTCATATTAAACAACAAAAATAAATGCTGGTGAGTGTTTGGTTCGTAATTATTTTGCGCATGTGGAAGTGCACTCTTCAGCATGCGGAAAAAGGAATTTAAAATGCAAGGAGAAAGTTACATTGTGACCTCACTGTTATGTAAATCTTTAGATTTTACTTTCATTTACTTTCAGTGTACTGCTCTTCCCCATTCTAGGACCAATCTATCAGAAGGCGGTACGCTATCAAGCCAAAATTTTTGATTTAGCTGTTTTTGGCGTTAACAGTGGTAAACACAAATCCATTGCGGTATGCCACAAACATTACCTTGTGTAAGAGAACACCACTTAATTATGTACAAACAATATTTAATAGGTAATAATTGTTTTAGGAAGAAGGTAGTTGAGGAAGTAATGGAAGAAACTTGCAGCATAAATTCAAGACGGAAGAGACCTGAAAGACAGTTATATGTGCCACCCGCTCAAAGAGGATCAAGACTACCAAGAGAAGCAAAGGATGAATCACCCCCAAAATCAAAATCAAAACTTAAAAAATCCAAATCAGAAGAAATCATTAAATTTGAAAGAATAATACCCTTGAAGTGTCTACTGTACTTGATAGGAACCAAACCAGTTTTTATCAACTGGAAATACCATACATTTTTACACAGTGACTGTGTATTCTATGGACTACACAAAGTGAAACAAAATAAATGGACTATTCCAATATACCAAAAAGAATATAAAGAAATATTTTTGGACATACTACACAACAACACATTAGTGTGGCAACCTACTATAGGAATTGCTAATTCTTATCACAACCCATGTGCCAATAGTTTAACATATCCTATTATTAATATACACCCAGAAAGTATTGAAGAAACCACTATTTTTGATAGAACACCTATTTGGGCTCACAGTTATGATACAAATTGTTTAGAAGATTATATTGAGTGTTGTTTTTACAAAGTGCTGTGTAATGCTAACAAAATAAGTGATCAACATTTATTAGATTTATCGGTTTTTAAACTACCCCATTTTATGATTATTAGAGATAAAACTGATGAATATATGTTTACTTGCAAAGAGGATCACAACATAGACAAATGTGTAAGTATTATTTTAGTTTAATTTCTATACATACCTTTTTTCATTAAAAAATGTAATTTTTTATATATTTTGACGTTTTAAAAACGTCATTCTGTTACCAACATGATAAAAACACAATGCCAACTTAATTGTAATTAATTAATGTGTCAGAATCCAAGCAGGTAAATTGTAACTTACTATTATTATTCTTTGTTATTATTTCAAAACAATATAACTTTAAAACATTGTGGGAATACAAATTAATTTAATAATTTGACATCTAACATAATTTTTAAAACGTCATTTTAAGAAAAATATGTTATACCAACTGCTTTTCAAATAAGTATAAAATAAACACTAATAAGTATAAAATAAACACTATAGTCTATTTAATTAACAATTTAAATCATAGAAAGCTAGATCATTGTAGTAATGGTAAAATTATTGTTTAAACAAATAACCTTTATAGGATTTTAATAACATGTATATTTCTAATGGTTACATATCAAACCAGTTTTTTATTTCATGGTTTTATTTAATTTAATGTAAATTCAATATTATGTAAAAAGCTTGGCTTGGAAATTTTATAATATAATAGCTTTTATTATAAAATTTCTTTGGGTGAAAGTGATCTATCTACAATTGAATTATTTTTTTCAATTTTAAATTTACTTTTTATTTCGAATTTTTTAGAAATTTATATTGTATGTACCTAACTAGTTACTACTCAGTAAGTAGTGGGTACTTAAGTAATTACTTATGTAATAAATTTCATTGTTTATTTTATGTAACTCACATATCTATGTAATGTAATAATTCATAATAATTGTGACTTTCACCTGCACTTTGGTAAATGTGTACTCATTATGCAATTTTTTATTTGTAATTGTGTCAACTAAATTTGTTTTTAAAAATTGGTCTCATTAACTTGACCTTACCAAGGTTTTTTAATGCTGATTAAATATTTATTTTTTTAGTATGAATTGAAGAGAATTGAATTTTTAAAAAGTAAAACTAACGACACAAAAAACAATAATATTGAAACTACTAGAGTTTTGGAAATAAGTAAGGTAAAAAATAACGATATGATTAAAAACGATATAAATTCGAATAGAGAGAAAATGTTAAAGAAAAAAGACGAACATGATCAAGAAAAGGAAATTATGAGGAAAACCAAAGAAAATATTAACAGAAAATCTAAACCTATTATTAAATATGTTGGAGACAGTAACGATACTCTTAAAATAGGAAAAGATGATGAAAATGTTAACAACTGGGAGGATTTATTTGATGACAAAGGGCAGCTGCAAGACGAATTATTTACTGAAGTAATGAATCTCCTAGTAAAAACATAAAGAAAAAATAAAAAACATATTTTTTAGATAGTACAAAAAGTCGGAAATGACGTTACTATAGTTAAGGCAACTGAGGATTACTCCGCGTACACAACAAAACCAATCGAAGAGTTTGAGCATGTCGTCGAATTGTTCAACTTCCCGCCAACGCTGGAAACGCACGATATAATTCAAATTTTTAGCGATATTAACAGCGACGCCATGTACATTAAATGGGTGGACGATACGCATGCGCTTTTAGTCTTAGGCTCGTTAAGTCAAGGTAAACATATCTTTTGTTTTAGGCAACCCCCAGGGACTGACAAAACGACAGACTGACTTTTGGACGCACCATCGTTTATTATTATTTGTATGTATTTTTTTTTTCGTCAATTTTTAGCTCAAAGGGCCGTCGAAGTCGATAACCCGCTTATTAAAGCTAGGCCAATGTCTGCCGCTAGCGGAGCTTCGCTAAGTGTAGCTTACAAATCCGATCTTAAGCCGGCTATGAAAAGACCGCAGACTAATTTACAAACAGCCAGAAGACTTATTACAACGCATTTGGGAGCCAAGACTCGTGTTTCTAAAGAACAATCGGCCAAAGAAAGAGAGGACCTCAAAACTGCTAGAGGTACAAAAAAAACAATTTTTCATTGACAATATAGGACCTGTTTATTATATGGAACCCCAATCCTATAATAAAACTATTTGCATTGACCAAAACTATTTGGAGCATTACTTATGTCTTGTTTTATTTAATCAGCATGTTTTCCAATGATTTGAATTAAACTCTTTTCAAAAGACAATAAATTATTAGGTTTGTTCCTACCGAGCATTTGTACTGTCAAATGACGTTCATTTGACAGTCGCAATTCTTCGTAGGATTCTTTTATACATTTTAATAAAGAATTATTTCTTTACAGAGATGAAGCGTTTGGCGAAAAAAAACGAAAAAGACGCTTGGGATGGTTTTTGCAAGTAAATTAATGGTTTTAGAAACTATAATGTGCCTTATTATTTTTTAACGTAATTTTTTTTAGTTACCATTAACTTTAATTATTTTATAAAATTCTATATATACACGTTTTTTAATATTTATTCAATGCTAAGGATATAAAATTGACAAGATCTGTTTTAAGAAATCATTTATTTATTGAATTGAATTGACAATATTATACCTACTTTAATTTTAATTTTTTAAAGCAGATTTTTGATTAATTGATTTTTTATTATTTTTTGTGATATTTATTTGTTATACATACAGGACAAGTATCCTTTTATGTGTATACTACATGGTGCACCCTGTATAATTACTTTATACATATATTTTTTTGACTATACATGCTCAGGATACCTTGTATAATTAAATTTGTTTACAAATATAATTGTATTTTACTTTATACACTTGTTTTACTTAAAAAACCTACAAATGTACCTATAAAATACCTACCACCGTTTTTTCACTGGAAAAGATACAGACAAGTAAATTCACCAAAAATGAAAATACGGTGTACAGTGGCGGACACCGAATTTTGAACGACTATTATCCCATGACATCAAAATGTAAACTTCCTTTATAGACATTTAACCTTACTTCCAGTTATCATCATTCTTGTCATTTTGACAGCGAAAGCAAAAATGGTCAATATTATACAGATTATACATATTATGCTATTTACAGATTTATACATGGACCACCAAATTATGACGTACAAAATTCCGTGTCCGTCACTGTACCTATAATTTCATAAAAAGAACTAAAATCAATCAAAATTTAAAAGCCATTTTGGTGACCTTGAATTTCGGCCATAAATAAATCAATACATTCTGACATAACTTAAAAAAGTGAGGTTATTGCCGAAAAATCTGACAGTTTCAAAAAACCGATATTCCGGCTGACCACTTCCATTCCCCAGTGCATGACGAACCGTAATTTACATAAAAATTAAATCCGAAGTACTCGTTTGAAATAACCACAAGGACAAGGTCGTTTGAAAGTATTCTGTTAAAGATTCTAAAGAGAAATCGTATTGGGCATGCTGCTTTTATATTATTAGTTCGATTTTAAACGTGCAACGTCGAAAATGTCGCAAATGGGTCGTGTTATTGTTTACGGTGGCAGAGGGGCTTTGGGGGCCAAATGCGTGTCCCATTTTAAGGCAAACAACTATGTGAGTGGAATAATTATCATAAAAACTATAATTATGTTAAAAAACGTATTTTTTAGTGGGTTGGGTCAATTGATTTGGGGGAGAACACAGAGGCTGACTTAAACATCATCGTCAACAAAGATCAACCTTTAACTCAACAGGTGAGTTAAAATATTGATTGATGAAACTGTTAATACATAAATCATTAATTAATACAGGAAACAACTATTCTTGACTCGGTTAAAACCGCATTAGATGGTTCAAAACTCGACGGAATTTTTTGTGTCGCTGGTGGATGGGCTGGCGGTAACGCCGCAAAGGATTTGGTGAAGAATTCTGAATTAATGTGGAACCAATCAGTATGCAGCTCACTGATTTCAGCTTCCATTGCTGCACACCATCTTAAAGAAGGAGGTGTTTTGCAATTAACTGGTGCAAAGGCGGCTTTGGAGGGTACACCTGGTATGATTGGTTATGGGGTTGCCAAAAGTGCTGTGCACCACCTGACCAAGTCCCTTGCCATGAAAGATGGAGGACTTCCCAACAATTCGACCGTTTTGGCTATTTTGCCGATTACTTTGGATACACCAATGAATAGAAAGTGGATGGCAAATGCTGATTTCACAACTTGGACTCCCTTGGAATATGTCGCAGAGTAAGATGGTTGGGTGAAACGTTAATCAAAAAAATTCAATGTTTTTTATAGGTTGTTCTTAAAATGGGCTTCAGGTAAAGACAAGCCCACTTCTGGAAGTCTCTTGCAATTGGTGACAAAGAAAAGCCAAACGGATGTAATCCCAGCTTAAATCTAATTAAAATGATGGAAAGTGGACCAAATAGAAATTGTTGTATTAATTATTATTTTTTATTATGATTTTTGTATAATAAATGTTTAGCAGACTAATATATGTTTTATTTATATACTATAGTATAGGGTTGGGTAATAAAACTAACTAAATCATTATAAAATATTTATTTTATACATAAAGATTTAAATATGTAAAAAAAAGTTAAATTAACCTGATTGTTAAACTAACGACTTGATTTAAGTGTGTGAAGTTAAAATGAACAATAATGTATAATGATCATTTATTTATAGAAAAATATTTTCCGTTAAATCACATTACGAATTTTTATTGCGTATTTTTATTATTTATAAAAACGAGGCGTTTGTTTAGTAATATTGGAAAAAGCATATTGTTCATTTAATTTAGTTTCAAATAACTTGAACAATCAGGATATTTATTGCTCTAGTATAGCACTATATACAGGTGATTGATTATAATTAATTAAGAACAAAATATTCACACACACTTTCCATATAAATTTATAAAGTATTCTATTTGTATTTTGTATATAATATAAAATATCATAATAGATTTTCGATTTTCATTCATCTAAATAAGCTAGTCACACGCGAATTATTTTACAACTAATAGATAATTTAAAGAACATTAAGTTTAAGTACAATTAAGTAGTGTTGTTAAAAAAGGAGATTCAATTTTAAATGATAAAATATTGCATAATATCCTTAGAGAATAGAACACATACAGTACCAATGCCATTAAATTGTAGAATTTAAAAAACATCTAATATTAAAATGAATATATTCATTCATTCATTTTCCAAAGAGTGATAATCACTCTTTGGAAAAAAAATATTAAAATTAAATAGACTGGTAGTGAAAAAATCTATTTAAAACCTTTTTTAAAAATTGGTGTCTCCATTTGCTATATTCTCTAAGATAACACCATTAAAAAAATCATCGTTGACTTATAAATAAAAATCTACAATTTTTACAAATACCTCATGAATATTTACACTACTGATAGTATGTTCCAGCGGAATTTTTTAAAATTATATGCACTTATTTAAATATATGTCAATAAATAACCAAACAATAAACTAATTGAAACTATTATTATTGAAATGAATTTAGCAAAACAAAAGTTGGCAGTTATTAATTATGAAACACCTAAGTCTTGCTAAACTTTACATAATCAGTCTTGCTATACTTAAAATATATACATATGTATATCACTTGGCTAAGCTATAGTTATTATTATTTATTTGAGATCGAACAAAATATATACAAAGTTGCCAGAGTAAAGCATTTTGTGCCATATAATAAAGTTTCCAATGTTAGATGCTTTATAGTATATTTTGCAACAAGTTTTATAAACGCCAGTCTTTAGTATAATTAAATTCGGGCGAGCTTGCGAATAAACGAGGACTTAAAGAATCTAAAGCCAATTTTATTTGACACTTTTAAGTGTCAAGCAGTTTTAACCTAACTTAATCCCAATCTGACATCTGGTTTCAACCTCACTTTTTTCCAATTTTTGTCACGAATTTTAATTAGGCACGAGCGAAGCTTGCGAGCGAGTGTTTAATAAAATAATTGTCTAGAAAAGTTTATAAACGAGATGCATACTATACTTTTTCTTCTACAAATATTATTTTAAACAATAATACCTGCTTTTAAAATTTCAGTGTCAGTTTGTCAATTTTTTCTGCAAAAATCAAAATTTTTTTCCTTAAAAATGGACTTATGTTTAAGTTTTTAGCTTATCTCACAGACACCATCGCCAAATTTTTTTTCTTCAAATATTTCTCATCAAAAAAAATATTTTCCCACTTTATTGATAAATATATAATGAATATAAATTATTTAACTGTATGAAAATGTTTAACTCTGGCAACGCTGATAATATAATTAATTGACTGAGTGAATTTTGCGCATGTGGTGCGCTTATTTTGATTCGAGCGCCATCCCTTAGAAATTAGAATTAACAGTAAAATAAATTAAATAATTAGTTTATCGTCATTGAACCAGCTTCTATATACAATATGTAATTAATTGACATATATTTAAATCCTATAAGGAATTATCACATATGAAATATTTAAGGAAAAATCATAAATGCCACATATCTTAAACAAGGATTAATTTACATTTCATAAAATTTGTACTTTACGTTAAATAGGTGTCAATTTTTTGCCATTCTTTAATTTTACTTTTTAAAATGTGCAATATGTTTCAATGCTGCTTAAAAAGTTAGATGAATATCACAAAATTATTGATTCTGTCAAAACACAGATTAAAAAGTGAATATTAAAAAATTTAAATATAAAATAATAATAAAATAAATCAACAAATTCAAGAACAATGAAAGATATGTAAGAAATTATAAAATGAAACAAATAACAATTATATATCGATTCTGGGCCGATATTGTAAAGTTAATGGCGGATTCTGAAATCGCCATCTAGTGACATAAACAAATTTCAATGTATGATCCTTCCCTAATAACTCGTCATTGCATAATATATCAATCTGAAAAAATTAACAAAAATATATCCACCGTTATATTCCCAAATGATGTGCTAAAATTTTTATTAACTGAAAATAGCTTTTAAACTATGAACAATTTTATAATAATATAATAACAACAAAACTATTATTATTGTTGTTCTAAATAAAGCTAGCACATCAATTATTATGCATTATATGTCAAAGAAAATTAATACTTACATCTCTATATTTCTCCATGCCATTGAGAACCTTCTTGGCTACAAACTTTTTCAAATGCAAAATTGTTGCCTGAGCTGAACACCGAATAAAACGTCTTTTGAGGGTTTTCAAGTTTGAACTTATGCATTCTAAACAAACATTAACTTGCTCATCTTGCCTATGATAGTCTGACTCAGCGTGAACATCAGCTGCTGGTTTTTCATCATCGATTTCTCCTGGATTCGGGGGTATGTCTTTTGGACAAGGTAGCCCCCTTTGTCTATAGAAATCCCTCTCCCTGTTTATCTCATCTAAAATGTTTTATTATTTTGTAACTCTATATGCTTCTAGTTAGGTTTTTTTGTTATACAATTGATGTATTTTCTTATTGTAAATTTTGGGTGAGTGTACTTACTTCTCTGTAGGTCTGGAACTAATTTGTAAACTATATCTTGCATAGTCCTGTCGAAACTTATGTATTGTAATGGATGGGACTGATGTATGACAATTGTGCATGTTGGGCAAGTATTGTTTTCTTCTAGGTGTTTGACTAAGCAACTCTTGCAAACTAAAACGTCAAAAATAATTCATGAACTAACTTGAACACCGAAATTTCACTGTAATACTTACAAGTGTGCAGACATTCTGTCACCGTGGTGGCGTCAATTAAGTACCCTCTACATATTTTACACGTTATATGACTGTTTAGTGCTCTTAACTTTATTTTCCTTTCCATTATCATAATTTACAAAAAAACATAACTATAGAAAATTAATTCTAACCCTAATTGACACACACAAACAAAAATTGTCAACGGGACTATGCGCGCATGCCTACCAAACACCGTATCCAACGTTGCCGGATTCGAATTATAGAAGATTATCTGCAACTTTCAGCAAACAAAATACCAAAATACATTATTTTAGCAATATAAAAATATATAGATTTAAAATAAACTTCTTGTGCTCTGTGCTTTACATTAAAACATAGATTTTTGACTAAGAACTTATAAAAAGTATTATTAATCAAATTTTTATTTCATGATATTTTTGCTTAACCTGGCAACAATGGGCTTAGTCTATTCATTTGACCAAAGACTACGGCTCTTTCATTTAAAGTAAAAAATCATAAAATCTGCTTATTTTATAGGTAATCTATGATCTGCTTTGACAAACTACCTACATACTTTTGACGATTCTTTTAAAATTAAAATGAAAATTAAATTCCAGAGTCTTTGTCTCAATTATAATATTTAAAAGTGTTATTTTTTTTACCCATTATTCATATTAAATATTTATTTATTTGTGCAATAATAGGTACAACTACAAATTAATTAAAAAAGAAAATTGAAAAGTATCGCAAACTAAATGTTGCAAAACCGGTGGTCTATTTGCAGTTAATTATTTTGTTTTATTTAATAAAAACTTCTGTTTTGTTTATTTTGCGCAATTTAATAATAAATAATAATAAAAATTAGATTATGCAACCCATATTACCGATTTCTTCTTGGTGGCAACCCTGTAATATTCAAATTCTTGAGTCATGGCTGCTGTCATTCTATTTAAAAATGTGGTGAGGTTATGTTGAAATGTTAAACAAGATCAATTAAATTTCTACCAACAAAACTCAAATGAAATAATGTCGCTTTTCAAAAGTGATTCGCAAGTTCTGTTGACCTGCGTTGATGTAAACGAAACTAACATGGACGAAGAATTGTATACGACAAATTTTTTGGAAAAAACAAAAGACTTTGACGATTGGATGAAAAAAGCTGGTGTTGACTGTTTTTTCACGAAAAACAACTTCGGGAAATTGACTTCCCAAGACTCCACAAGCAAACATTCAAATAATAAAAACGATATTGAGTATGAATGTGCATCTAAAATGCAAAGTAAGAAACAAGCAAAGGATATGAAAAAACCGAATATTTTGCGGTCGCATAACACGAAAATTGATAGAAATATGAATGCTTTACAAGATAACATTAGGAGATCATTTAAATGTGATATACTAAGTATTAACGAAGCTAAAAATGTCTTTATGACTTTTACTTCGAATGTCTGCTATTTAATTATTAAAGATTCTGATGATCAGCAGATTTTTGCCCCACAAAAAATACAAGTAAGTTCAATAGATAGATGTATTTACCACAAAAACAACATTAAAAGAAAGAATTATGATAAGATAATGGTAATAAAATGTTTTAGGTCAACAACTCTTCAGTGATGGTGGAAGATGGGCAGTCGACAACAAAACAAGAAATAACATCAGTAAAAAAGGTGGATATAGCAAAAAGCCATGTGGATGTGACCCTTCCGCAAATTTTGACAAATGTTGGTGCAAAATTTTGCTTGTGTCCTCTGCTAGAGTGTCAGGAGGGATTTCACGACGTTTCTACTGCTAGAATACACGCCCTTAGGCACATGGGGGTGAAACCTTATCAGTGCAACATTCCCAATTGTTCATGGAAATTTTATACTCTATTTAAGCTGCAACGGCATCAAGAGACGCATTCAAGAACAAAAAGCTTTGTTTGTAGCCATAAAAATTGCGACAGGTCATTCACAACCGCTTACAACTTGAAGCATCATGAAAAGGCCCACATTAAACCCTTATCTTTAGACTGTCCTGTCGATGGTTGTGAGGAGAGGTTTCAAAACGAGAAAGATCGCAGAACGCACTATAAAACCCATAATGCCAAGGAGGCCCCATTCAAATGCACTGAAGCAGGCTGCGAAAAGTCGTTTTTCACGCACACCGCCCTCCTCACGCACATGCGCAGTCACAACCACAAAGATTCCGAGCTGAATTGCAATTTTCCCAACTGCGGAAGATCGTTCAACACTCCCTATAGGCTAAAAGAACATTTAAGGACCCATACAGGCCAAAAACCTTATGTATGCGAATATAAGGATTGCACATGGAGGTTTATGACGGCAAGCAAGTTAAGGAGGCATCAGTGTACACATACTAAAGACAGGAAGTTTCATTGTACGATTGGGAGCTGCACAAAATCGTTCATACGGTCCGAGCATTTACGGGAGCATACTTTGACTCATATAGGTCAAAAAACATTTGATTGTGAAGGTAAATCAACTCTATAAAAAATGATATCTATGGAAAACAATAAACCAATCAGGGCACGGCATTCTCAATCGCACTTGGTGTGCTGTGGAGAATGGCGAGCTTTGATTGGTTTATTGCTTTCTTTCTGATGTAATCTTATTGTTTCTTAACTAATACTGAACTTCTTTTTTAGCTTGCAACATTTCTATTGTTGGTAAATCCAACATTTGCACGCACAGAAAAAAATATCATCCAGAGATAACAATAGAAATGCCTTCCACGTCAAAAACAGCTGATGCTTCCGTATTTTTAAGTTTCACTACTAATTGTAAATCCGATAAAACCCCTCAACAGGATGTTTTACTGGAACAGGCTATACAAAGTTTGGATGTTGTAAATACCAACTCAGATTTGTCTATTTTGGGTTCTTCCTGTTTGTTGCCAGAAGATTTGCTCGAGAGCGACGTTAATTTTTCAACTGTTAATTTAAGGGATCTTGACTAATTTTTTTTTTTTGATTATTTATGGGTATTTTTTTTTCAGTGTCTGCTGAGTAGGACGATAAATCCCGTACCATTCCCTTCACTTTCCTGTACTAATTTTCAAAAAATCCCAGCAAATATGGCAGTTATTTATTTAAGGTTTGTGCAACAATTAAATTTGAATTCGAATTGCTAAAATTTAGGGGCGATTCCAGTGATATAAATGAAATTAATTTTCTCTTAATTATTGTATTCCCGTAAACGTGAAATTTCCTAGCAGTAGACAACCTGATATATTTTTTGGCTTGCAAAGCTTACTAATTGCTTTAATATTTATGGCTAGGCGTTATGATTGATATTGGCGTTTTTGTGATAATAAAAGTTGAACTTGTTGACATTTTTTCATTTACCCTGTGATTGAGGTGGGTGAAATAAAAAATATTTCTAGATAAATAATAGATTTAATTGAGCTATATTATTTATTACATTTTAAAAATTACTAATTTGTTTGTAAAGCAAAAATCAAATGATAATTCAGTAAGAAGGAACATAAAAATTAAAATATATATACATTGATAGTCTAATAATTTGTATTGCATTATATATATTTTTTAAAATTTGCAGTAATCTAAATATACACTGGACAATGCAAAATGCTTACGAAACGTTGTTTTAGCGATAAAAAAATGCACATTACCCATATAAATTAGGACTAGTTTCTTCAAAATTCAAAATATGTTGTTTTAATGATTTGAATTGTGTGCATTTTTTTCGGCCAAAAAATTACAATAAACAGTGAAAAAAGCTTAATCTATTTTCACGATTATCGGAAAAATAAATATACTGGGCAATGAAAGTCTATATCTAAAAAAGTTAGTTGAATTATGAGATAGGAGTTTTGTTTATTTTTTAGTTAATAAATAAACTTGGCCTTATTGACTTGTTTGTTCTAAATATATATAAATATAAATTACTTCATAAAGTAACTCTAAAATTAATAATTAACCAAGTTTACGTATTGACTATGATGTAAAAGAGGTTGAAAAGACTAGAAACCGTCATGCCTCGCTATGTATCGTTAATGGACGATTTCCGTCTCCTACCTACCCTGTACATAAAAAATAATAGTAACGCTCACTTAAATTTAAATGCAGCAACAATATTTTACAATATAAACAATGAAATTATTACAATATATTTATTTTTTATAAATTTATTTACAAAATGTATTGAGGTTCCCTTCTGGTCCAAAAATGAATAAACACATGGAGCATTTTTAATGTTCAGAGCACTTCACTTATTTTTTTTTTTAATTATTTAGCACCACACAAACAACATTGGCATCATCCTAACAATTTTTTAGAGAAATTTAGGCTATTCAAAATATTGGAATGTATTTTATTATTATGTTTGGATGGTCAGTTAAAATTTAATTTCAACTGTAACAGGTTTGAGTGGCGTGGATACAGAGTCAATTGTTTGGTTTTCAGGCATAAAAATAATAATTAATGTCTAAGGCATAACGGAAAATATTGGCGTTAAAATGGCTAAAATGCGCCAATTGACACTGTATCTGTGATTTGGGCGACCCTGACGGTTTTAGGTTACAAATTTTCAAGGTCATGTTTGTCAATTTAAATTCAATGTCACAATGTGCGTTTGTATGAATATGGCATAAAACTCGACCCTAAACATTTTCAACGATAAAACTATGGTATTGCAATCGGGCAGTGTACAAATCAGGTTGCATAGTTTATACAGGGTGATTGAATATTGGTTGTGTACAGCGGTCACCCTTAATGTAAACAAAATGAAAGAATAATGGCCAATCGGGCAGCAGTCACGTAGTAAAAGTTTGCACCTGTGATTGACCGGGGTGCTATAATTTGTGGTTGCTCGTCAGCCATGTCAGTCCTTCGTAGAGCCCGTCGCCGGTGGTCGCGCACGCCGGCTGGACGTACCAGTTGCGGTCCCTGATGCGGGTCAAGCCCAATTTTTCCTGAATCTCGTGCGGCTTCATCGCTTCCGGCAAATCCTGCTTGTTGGCGAATATGAGTATTATTGCGTCCCGCATTTCCCTATCGTTGATAATCCTGTGCAGCTCCTGGCGCGCCTCGTCAATTCGGTCTCGGTCTGCGCAGTCCACGACGAAAATCAGACCCTGCGTTCCCGTGTAGTAATGGCGCCACAGCGGCCGGATTTTGTCCTGCCCTCCCACGTCCCACACGTTGAACTTCACGTTTTTGTACGTCACCGTCTCCACATTGAATCCCACAGTCGGTATTGTTGTCACTGATTGGCCTAGTTTTAATTTATACAGTATAGTGGTCTTTCCAGCAGCATCCAAACCCAACATCAAAATCCTCATCTCCTTGTTACCGAATATTTTCGACAATAACTTCCCCATCTTTCTGGAGCTCTTCCACCCTTATAAGAGCACTTATCTAAAACACAAAAAACAACTTTTACAAATCTTATCTCAATTATTTTATCACTTACTAGCTAATATTATTATTTTATGACCATGGCTTTTAATTGTTTTCTGATTATAATCAAATCTTTTTTATTTCAATTATTTACTACCCAACCATTTTAATATTGAATTTAATCCTATCTCAACAAAATTTAACATTCAATTCTGACCTTTTTAATTCATACAAGGTTTATGGCAATATTTTTCACAAAAGTTGATAAAATGTAATATTTTAAAGGTACACTAAGAAAAAAAGGATGGTTCCGACTCAAATTTAGAGACGTAGCGATTATAACGGTAAAATTTATATCATAAAAAAGGAATTTTTCCACCTCGCGCACGTACAAATTCAGGTTCAGACAGTAATTTATGACGTCGCACAAAACCAAAGTTTACCAGTGTTTTTCTCAGTGTATATACTGATATTTATTACTTAAACTGGTGGTATGATGTATGAATTATATTACAAAAAAACTGCCAGATTTAGCGCGTAATTTTCACAAAGTGGATTTATTATAATAATAAAAACCGTAAATATATGTATAGTATACTGCGTTAACATTTAATATATATTTTTTGCGGTTTTAGTTATTTTACAAATTTTGTTTAATGTAACCAGCAGTGGTTGATAACAGAAAATTGTATTTCTACCCAAGTCATAAGTGAATAAAGGTTTTATATCCCATTTTTATTATAATAAATAATATTATTGGAGTTGTAATTTAAAATTTTTTTAAAGTTAATTAAGGGTTAATGACAAGTAACAAAAGTTTTTATTTAATAATAATTTTTAAATAACAATTTCAAAGTTTTCTGTCCTAAAAATGTGTTGTTTTTGATTTTTGACAAAAATATTTATTATGGTTTTTGCCCCAGACTTTCGACCTTCTTGATTTTAACCCTTATATGTGAAGCAATCTATTGAAAAAATAAATAATTATTAATACCGACATTTTTAAATAAATTAATAAAAAATCTTTTTTTTAAAACATAATAACAATAATAATTCTAGTAAAGTATTTTATATAGGTGCATTGTAAATATATTTAAATTTGCTTGGTTTAAATACCTAAGATAATTTTGTTTTTAAAATGTATGATACCCATTTGCATCAAAAATATTAAAAATGACCTTGAACTATGGATAGTAAAATTAGACATATTTAAAAGATAAACTAAAATAAATACAAAGAAATGTTGTGCAAATTTTGGTACACAGATTTGTTTATAATTTCATCAATTCACAATCTAAAATATAAACATACATGTTTTTATTGGCTGGCTAGTGGCTATAAAACCGGATTTCTAAATTTATTGTTGGCTAAAATTCTAACCATAAGAAACTAAAGATATTTCGGGAAAAAATAACCTGTTTGAATTTTCCCGGAATTAAACAATTAAGTAATTATTTATGATTATTGTTTTTAGGGTGAAATGGTTCAGGTTTAAAAACCAATTTAATATTAATATAAAATTAATGTTCTGTGCAGGTATTAAAAGAAAAGGTTAAGTAAAAAAAAGTTTTGAAAGGGCTTTTTGAGTACTTTCCAAAACTTTATTTTTTTTGCTTAACCTTTGCTTTTGATAACTACACCGTAATATTAATATTAATTTTACTTCATTATGTTTAAACCTCCAATTACACCATATATATAGTATTACTAGAATTATTAACTTACATGTTTCTATTATCACAAACACCTACATATAACATACACAGTGATTTATAGGGTCCCTATGATAGGAAATTAAATTCCACAATTTTGGGGTAGTAATGCTTAGAACATTGTAGGATAAACACATTGAACACAGCACTAAAGCGAAGATATATCATTAGTTTTTCAATTTTCCGTTATTTTAGCGTAGATAAGCTCCTTTACAGCATGACATGATTTGACAGCACGAAATAGGCGTGTTAGTTTCAAGATATGGCGGTTATGACTCATTTGCCAAATTTCCTATAGTCATTTTCGAAAACCAGGCACATAAACTTGTCTATTCCATACTTTGTTCGCAACTAATTTACCTACCATAAAACATTGACGGTATTTACAAAATCCACAACACACAACACCTCTCTGACATTCCGCGCTCCATATTGCAAAGAGACACGGAAATGCCCGATCGAGCAGGATTTAAATTCCGAGTGGCTGCGTTGCCGGACTGCACAGCCTAACCGCTTAAGCGACGTTGCCAAAACTTTTTCTTCGATCTTCATGGGGGAAATTGTTTTTTTAGGGTGGAGAATATTACTGCTTTCTTTTTGTTTGCGATAATAATTAAATAAAGTATCTTAATATGTTTTTTTTAATTTAAAATTTAAAAAGGGGAAACATTTTTTTTAACTAGATTATGGAATTTTTTCTAATGGGGTTGGGACATAATGTCGAAATTCAGTGAGAAAATTCTTCTATTATAAAGATTAGACACAAAAAAACCATGGTATGTATAATAATCAAGTTTTCCAAATCGATGTGGCTCCCGTCCCGAGGCGGGACTTAAGTTCAGTCCCGATTGACGTCACACACTGTAAATCGGTTTTTATTCCCCGAGATTTTATAATTTGTTTCAAGCTCGATGGCTTAGATGGTAGGGCGGTCGCTTGGCATGCGAGAGGTACCGGGTTCGATCCCACTAGAAGTCAAACTTTTTTTATTTTTTTTTAATTTATAAATTTGTTGTTTCTTTGTTAAAAAGTGTTTTATTTTTATCGTAACATAAATTTGCCCATTTTAGTTGGGTTTTTTGCTCAATGGGGCGGGGGGGGGGCCAATGGGGCGGGGTCGGTTGGGTTGTGTTGTTGAGTTTGGGTTGGTTTGGTTTTATGACGTAACTAAAGTGCCCTTAACATGTATACAGGTACAATTTATTAAATAATAACATAACAAATCTTAAAATTATGACGTCAATCGGGACTGAACTTAAGTCCCGCCTCGGGACGGGAGCCACAGCGTTTCCAAATGGAGGGGCTGTCCATAATTCTCATGATTTGTCTCGCCCGAGGGGGAAGGGTTTTTTAAAATGTCAATACAATTGCTTATATGTTCCCTTTTTTCAGATCGTGCACAAAAAAGAACGCGAAAAAAAATTTGTGGGGTTCGATAATTCGAATTATTATCACAAGACTCTTCGGGGGTAGGGGAAGACATTCTGTCACTAGAGAGGGGGAGGGGGTTAATTTTGAACAATTCTAGCGTCACGAGATTTATGGACAGCCCCTGTGCAAAAATAAAAAAATCGTACGAAAGCAAATTGTTTGACAGTTATAATCTTTTACTTAAGTAACAATTGTTACCATTAACAGCGTATTTTATTATAAAGTTCATAACATTATTTTTAATTTTAATTTGCACCTCTAGTAGGTATGTACTTTTCCTCGATTTTTAAAAGATTTAAATAGGTACTTTACTAGTATATTAGGTATCAAGTTTTATAAATACCATTTAGTTACGAGTTTTATTAGGCACGAGCAAAGCTTGCAAATGGTTAATAAAAAATAGTGCCTAGATAAGTTTATAAAACGAGTTGCATACTATACTTTATCTACGACGAACACAAAGAAGAATTTAAAGCCAATTTTATTTGTTAATTTTTTGACATATTTTTATAAAACCTAATAATTTAAATTTTATTTAGTTGACAATATTGTATCATACGTGGACGTATTATTATGTCTATGGTATCATAAATCCCCCACTTATGAACTAAGTATGCGCACAAGGTATTATGATAGGGCTAGTCAACAAATTTCCCCTCAAAATAGGAAACAAGGTCATCTAAACAAAATATAGCAAATAAGCAGTATATAGTACATATATGTATAGGTAGAAAGTAGTTCCATCTATCGCATTTAACTCGAAAACAGTGTAGGTAACTGTAAAATTACAGGTCACTGTAGAATAAATTCATCTACATAACCTTCAATGTCAAACGTCTACATATGACAAAATGTCGCAAACTCAAGAATTCCAATGTATAAGTACAAAATTATTAAACGTTTAAAAAATACTCAAAGCCCAATTAAGCGAAGCAAAAGACACTTATCAGCAGAATGGCATAGGTACAATTTTTTTATATTTAAGGCACAATTTTATTTGTTAAACGATTTATAAAACGAACAATAATAACAATAATTATTAAACGTCGAAAGTTGGGTAGATTTTCATAACAACTTTGGTGTGACAAATTTAATTTTTTTAAACTTACATTTAATTCTAAAAGTTAACAAAACCCATTTGTCGCATAAGTATTTGATTGGCTAAACAATGGAAAATTAATTAGGTATAATAATACATTTTTCCCTTCAAAAATAATTTATAGAACAAATTGTATGTTTTATTGGAAACAGACTGTTTAAATTTACTTTTTAAAAACAATAAAACTTAAATATTAATAATAAATTTTGCTAAGGGACAGGAAAGACTGATTATGAAATTTAAATAGATTTGAGATTTTCCAGCTATTTTTTAAAAACATCTGATCCTTTTAAACAATTGACATTGCATTCTTCACTGACGCTGTTTGGGTAGCACCACAAAGAGACAGCAAGTGATGTTTTAAAAAGTTAAGCTTAAAAAATAATGACTAAAATACCATTGATTACAATGATAATGTTAATTTACAGCAAAATTTACTGGGGAAAAGGACATAATCAACTTTAAGAAATTATTATTTTATCACCTCTTTAAAATAAAATATAGTGAACAAGTTATTTTTTTAAATTAAACCAAAAATATTATCCAGAAAGTCAACTTCATTGTACCTAATTATAAAGTTTTTAGTTTTGTCAATAATTTATATTATGGTTGTTGAAACAAACTTTCAAAATATTTTAGCCGTAAAATTTACCATTTGTTTACTTTTTGAAGATTTCTTGATAAACGTATTTTTAGCTATTTAAATAGCTATTCTGGATGTATGAAAAAAAAAACTGGTGTTTTGTAAATTTTACCTTGTCGCGTGTAGGCGATAGTAAAAGAATTCGGTGTTTTGATGTTGCATGTGGGCGTTTAAAAGAATTGTCCGAGCAATTGATGTTTTGTTATCAAAACTTTAAGAGATAGAGAGATTGCAGTGGGTGTTCCAAAAAAAAAACAAACAAAAAAACGAAAAGTGCAAAACAATTTGAGAATAAATGCGTATCGGATTTGAATTAGTAAAAATATTAATAAGGCTCACAAACAGATTCATTAAAGGCTACAGCTATAGCTTTGGCTAATGCGATGGAAAAGAGAAGGAAAATCGTAATCGTAAGTAATGTAATTTGGAGAATTTACATTGAAACATAATGCTGTGGGTGGTCTTCGGTCGGTTGAAGTCGCCGGAACTCGCCGCGAACGGAGAGAGTGCCGAACGAAGACAGAAACGGCTAAACTCAAACGTAGTGCTGTCTTTTCGAGCACACCATTCTGTGCACTGTACCACTCCATAGTACCACGTACATTCCCAACAATAATATTGTGTCATTTCGTGTGATAAACATTGCTGTTTGCGTGCAAAGGGTGTGCAGTTTGTGTTCTACTGTTATGTGTTTGATGAGATAGGATATGTTGCTGGCTGATGGTGTTTCGATGCAGTTCGTTTAGGGGTTAGGGGGTTTGAGATGGGTGGTTTTCGGTTTAGAACATTGCAGTGCGTTCGGTGATGAACGAAATAGAGAATGTGTTGTGTTGTCGTTAAATTGGTGGTTAAATAGTTTCCACCATGGCTTCGGAGGCGAATGAAAATTTGGAGAGAGATAGGCACGAATCCGACTTATACACAAGACCTGGCTGGGTCGATGCTGATATCGCTTTAGGACAACTAGACCAGGTAATGTCATATGTTACAACAATAACAAAACGATCTTTGTCTTAAGACAGAGACAACGACTGCCTCTTCTTTACGCACTTTAACTTGTTTTATTTTGATTTTCGGCAATCAGGTGTGATATGATGGTTTGTGCCAGACCTGATTCAAGTCTGGTGGGCAAATTATTTGATGCAGTATTACTAGCCTTGGCCGGGACCACCGGCCAAGTCGCGTGTGTGGTCCTAGCTTAGCGGCAGCGGCTCACCCCGCATCTTCTTTTCTCTCTTTCGATGTCTCTCTCACTCGCCTCTTCCTATTCTACCGCATTTACATCCAAATTCCCATCATTCTACCTCTCGCTTGCTCCCTCATGCATGCATCATACTTATATAATCATTCATAACCACTACCAAACTTAATTGATTAATATATTTTCGTTAATTCCTGTAAAACTATACACGAGGTACAAGATTATCAAAAAATATATTACCTTTCCCTAGTTACCTGTCCAAACGACCAGACAGACAGATCCTTACTTTTAAGTCAACATTATTTTATTATTATAGCGCAAAATAGAAGTAAAAAAGGGTTCAAGCAAACTTTAAATTTAAAGGAATGTGGAAATAACGTAAACTTCAATTAATTAATTCTACAATACTAAAACGTAAATGAAACCGATTTATCCCATTAATGTGAATAAAAATTATTTTATTTTATTTCAAAAAAATACAAACCAATCACAATTGTTTGACTGAAAAAAACGCCACTTGGGTGCGCTAAAATTAAAGTGATTTTGACGACATTCCTTGCGAGTTTTTGCGATAATTTTCGTCTAACGGAATGTCAAAATAAAAAACAATTCGTGCGAGATTTTTGAACAGCTGCCGTATTTCTAGTAGGTATAAAAATTTCAGTGATTTGTAAACAGGTAGTTTTTCCTAGAAGGGCTCTTGAATAATTTTTCATGAATTACAAATGCAATAAAATCGCTTTACTTAATTAGCGTGAAGAACAATATTATTACCCTTTGCCCTATGCTTCTGCAGAATGACTCTTTTTTAAGATGTAGCAAAAGTTTTTTGCACCCTGATAATCGCTGTACAACAATATTACTTTAATACCGATGTCTGCGGTACTGTAAAAGATTGTGGTGTAAAAATCACTTTTTTATTGTTGATGAATTACTTTTGGATCACCCTGTAAGCGTTTTATGGTGTTTGCCAACGCTTGTGCGGTAAATTGTTTCTAGGACCTTCCAGGAAGGTCGAAAAAAAAAGGCTGGATAATACAATTAAAGGGCATCGAAATTTATAAAGAAATTTTCGACTTTTGACAAATGACAAGATGAAGCTGTACCAGCTCTTTGAATATGTTAGGATATTTTTTAATAGAGACGTTAAAGAATGGGCAATTTAAAAAATATCGGTTTCTTTTTGACCACTTGCCGCTACCATATTTCAAACCACTTGGAATGTTCACAAATTTTAACCAGAGATTATTTAGATATTAGAACGCTTTCTTATTTTAATGTCTTAACTTATTTATCCTCCAGGTAGGTAGGTGCTAAATTTTTATTACAAATGCAAAAAAACTGTTTTTATTTTATTATAATATATAAATATACCTATGTAAAACAGCTTTAGTTAATATATTTTTATTTGGATACAAAATTAACAAAAAATATTTAAAATTGTACGTTATGTACAGTTATAATTAATATTAATTAATTAATACAAACAATGGCTATAAAACATCCATTATTAATAATAATATTATCCAATTATACAAATTATAGATATCAATACTAATTTAAAAAATAAACATGTTTTATCTTCTTAACATTTTTTGTAAATATTTATTTACTTAAATCTTCGGATTTTCGGGGATGTTTTTTTCTCCTCACGTCTCGAATTTTGATTGGTGGATCGGTTTAGAATCGTTTGCTTTGTGGGGCCTATATCCGTATGCCTGCCTCTGGCTGCTTGGGTGGTCCCCCCGTTCTGACGTCATCCGGCCATATGGGTGGTCTGACAAATAAAATGCACGTTCAAGACAGCGTTGCCACCAATACAAATCTAAACCTACAATCTAGAACCTTTACATACCATTTTATTACATATTTATATGCGGGGGCAAGTCAATTCGGTTTTACGCACTTTTAAACAATTACCCACAAAACAAAATTTTATTTTATCGGTTTTGCCATTCTCTTGAACAATAAAATAAAATATTGTTTAGTTTGATTTTAAGAGAATTGTTTTATGTTTAAAGGTTTTTATAAAAACACCTTTTAGTTCAATGAAAAAAAAATCATCAGGGATTTGCACATTCAACATAATTAATAATTTACTGTTAATTGTAACTAGGTAATATTTTTAAAAGTATATTAACTTAATAATAACCCGGCGCCAGAGAAATCTTCAGACTCGAATTATTCCCCCTCTTAAAAACCGAACCGCTATTTACGAAAAATGAAAATACGGTATGGATGACCGCTTACTTTTCCTTAGAAAAACGCGAACGAAGTTAGTGTTGGATAAAGACATAATGTAATTTTCCATTTTGGACATCGTTATTATTAAATAAATTGGACCGTTTGTTTCTGGTTGTTATAGGGTAAAGCAAACGGCGACAGAGGGATACTATGGGTCCGTGGTCGCATTCAAAGGCAACTCCATTCCCTGGGCGGTATATTAGACCGGCACGCCGGGAAGTTCCTTTTCGTTAGCGTGCTAGCGATAGCAACATTTTCCGTCGGCTTGAAAAGCATGACTTTTCATTCGGACATCGAGCTTCTTTGGGCCGAACCGTCGACCAATCAGGAAGCATCTCCGCCGGAAATGCTGTCCACGCATCAAATGGTCGTACAGACCGGCGTTGATCAAGATGTCGACTTGCTTCATCCGCATGGGTTGCTGGAACACCTGGCTCTCATACAAAAAGCTACTCAGGTAAGGGAATATATGTTAAAAAAAAGTATTTAAAAGTCGATTAAAAAATAATCTTTATGCATAAAAATGAATGATTTAATGTTGCAGGTAACTGTCACAATGTTCGATATCACGTGGCGTCTTAAGGATTTTTGTCAATCGCCTAGCATTCCGAACATTGATGTCCAATATATCGAAACGATATTCGAAAAAATGATGCCCTGTTCTATTGTTACCCCTTTGGACTGCTTCTGGGAAGGTTCAAAATTACTTGGACCTCATTTTCCAGTACATATACCGTAAGTGGTTTTTTTATAATCCCAGACCACCCAACGCGCCTAATAAATCAACTTTATCTTTAGCGAATCATCCAAATTAAAAATTAACCGCAATACATTTCTTTTAACAGATTTATTAATCACCCGACCATTCATTAAACATTTATTTTCTTATTTAACGTTTTAACAAGCTTTGTTTTCTTTATCAATTACTTACGCAATTGTTTATCTACTTAAAGAAAAAAACAGGAGTTCCACTCTTACCTCATAACATAGTTCAAACTAAATAAAACATAAAATATATGTGTTATGGAAATAGAAAATCGCAAAGCAAAGTCATTTTTTAAGATAGAAATTTTGTAATACACTCAAAGGCAAAATAATCGATCCACACAAATTTTCGATGAATTTCAATCTCAAATAACTTTTTTATTCGTTTTCGGATTTAAACAAATATTAAAGAATATTGTAGATACATTAATGGAGAATCGCTCACATTTTAAAAATTACTAAAAAATACACGTACGTTTATAATATACAGGTTTAAACAAAAAGATGTTTTTTACCTTAAGTTTAAGACACTCTGTATAGTGGCAAAACCGTATATTGTTCTAAATTGTGTTTTAATTATCAAGTCACATCTATTTTTAACAGTTTTGTTTTTGGTTCACCTTGATATATTTATTTTTGTGAAAAATATGGTTTTTAAAAAAAAAACTTTGCAATTTTCAATATTTTCCTGTATAAAGAACTAACGTTGCTATGGTCCATCCATAGCCTATGGAGGATGACAGTGACAGTTTTGTTGAATCATCCTATACTTGGACATGTCATATACAGCTTTCAAAAGCTATCAAATTGTTTTTTGTAAATTAATGTGTTAATTTTGAGGTGTCTTCTCACTTTTAAAAATGTCTCCGACTGATGTTGCCCTTTGTACTTTACTTATTGTGACGTTTAAAACACTTGCCACGTAATACTGTGACCGTCCATCCTGGATTAAATTAATGGCTCTGGCAACATCAGTCGGAGACATATCCATTTTTTAAAGTAAGAAGACACCTCAAAATTTAAACATTAATTTGCAAAAAACAATTTGTATGACATGTCAAAGTATGGGATGATTCAACAAAACTGTCAAAGTCATTCTCCATAGCCTATGGATGGACCATAGCAACCTTAGTTCTTCATACAGAAAAATATTGGAAATTGCAATGTTTATTTAAAAAATCCATATTTTCCACAAAAATAAATATATCGAGGTGAACCAAAAACAAAACTGTTAAGAATAGATGTGACTTGATAAATAAAACTTAATTTAGAACAATATACGATTTTGCCACTCTACAGAGTGTCTTAAACTTATGGTAAAAAACATATTTTTGTTTAAACCTGTATATTATAAACGTACGTCTATTTTTTAGTAATTTTTTAAAATGTTAGCGATTGCCATTAATTTATCCACAATATTCTTTAATATTCGTTTAAATCCGACATCAAATAAAAAAGTTATTTGCGATTGAAATTCATCGAAAATTTGTGTGGATCGATTATTTTGCCTGTGAGTGTAGTTATAATATTTTATTTTTTTATCAAATTTTCTTATTTAAATTTTAAAAACTCCAAATTTATAACAAAATGAACGTTCTTCGACAGATTTTTATCCGGGAAAGAGGTAAAATGGACAAACTTAAATCCTGAAGAGCTCCTAAACAGCATAAAGAAAAAAGAGCCGGTGTTCGACTACCATTCCCTGGAAGATTACTTGAAACGGGCCGGCATAACGACGGGTTTCCAGGAGAAACCTTGTCTGGATCCAAGGGATCCAGACTGTCCTAACACCGCTCCGAATTTCAACCAATCGCAGACAATGGACATTGGTGCGGAATTAACGAGCGGTTGTTACGGTTTCGCGGCCAAGTACATGCATTGGCCTGAGGATTTAATTGTTGGAGGCGTTATGAAAAACAAATCTGGTCATATAAAGCAAGCCAAAGCTTTGCAAACCGTGGTGCAGCTTATGGGCGAGCATGAATTTTACGAGTACTGGTCTGGGCACTATAAGGTCCACCATGCTGGTTGGAACCAGGATAAAGCTACCACGGTTCTAAATGCTTGGCAAAAGAAGTTCGCCCAGGTAATTTTCTGCTAGAGTTAAGGTTTCATCAGTAATACTAAGGTCTCGTTTTATCTTCTAGGAAGTGGAACGCCTGTCCAAAACCAAGAAGACTTCTTCATATATCTTCAGTACATTTTCAACGGCCAACCTAAATATGATACTGAAAGAGCACTCAAAGACTGATTTAATTAAGCTTGGAATAGTATTAGGAGTAGTCGCAGTATACAGCTGGATAGCACAGTCCGGTATTGCAGTATTCGGCGTTATAGTATTAGCTAGCTCTGCCACGGCTGCTTTAGGCGTTTGCAGCCTAATCGGCCTTCCGATGAACCTGCTGAGCACACAAGTATTACCGTTCATCACTGTAGGTTTAGCGATGAGAGAGATGTTCTTGCTTCTATCGACGCAGCAAGAGCGAAATTTGACGCCTTCGGAAGTTCTGCAGAGGTGCGGCCCCAGTATTATATCGGCTGCATTGATCAATTCGGCTGCGTTTGCAGCTGCAGCAGTGCTCCCAGTGCCCGCACTAAGGGTGTTTTGTCTGCAGTGTGGCATTTTGGTCACCTTCCATTCAGCTGCGTTGATCATTGTGTTTTCATCGCTTTTGGCTTTGAAACAGAGGTGCTACAAGGCGGACGTGCCTTGTTTCAGATCGGAAATCAAGCCTAAACAAACCCCAGTGACAAACAACAATGTAGACCCGGTAAGTTATTATCTAATTATCATGTGCTTTACCTTAAAATACCTTCTTCAAGTAACGATATTGGAATAATTCAGAATTTTTAAGGGAAAAAGTAGCAAATTCGGAAACGTAGAAGAGACATTGGACAATTTTTAGATTTTTTTGCCTGGGTTTCTTAAAAAGTTTCAGTGTTGACTTTTGATAACGCAAAGAGATAAATATGTGACTTTAAACCGTAAGATGGGTTTGCTAAGAATTTTTGAAAATTTTCGGTCATCTGTCCAAAGTCACCCCACATTCGGGGAGATTTGGACACTATAAAAATATTATAAATTTAAGAATTTTTTTGAAAAAATCAGTGCAAAACTTATACAATACTAAATTGCGACAAATCAAAATGAAAGTAAATCATGTTATGGAATCGAACTCGGGTATTAAAATCCACCAAGGCTTCATCTTTCTTTAAATTTGATTGTGCATCCTCGGTTTTTGCAATATTCTGCTAACGTAGTGCCGGGACGATGTTTTGACAATAGACAAAAAAATGTTTATAATTTCAAAATATTGCAACGGAATAAAGTAAGGATATAACAAAAGTTCAATGCTTTAACATGTAGTCCCAAGCCGCATTTTTGGTTCCAAAAACCATTACCAAAGTGGTGATAACTTTAAATTAGTTAAGTATACTTAACAGCTACTTTAATTTTTACTTAAAGTAATTCTAACTTTTAAATAGCAATATTTTGTAACAGAAACTTCATTCTTTCCTTAAATGGTTACTATAAAGTAATAAACATTTAAGTAAAACTTGGTTGCCCCCAAGAAGACTTTGCAACTTTAAAAAAGGTGTTATAAGTAAAAAAAACTTTCAAGTAAATTTAATTTGTAGCAGTTACTTTCGGTTGCTACATAAAGATTACATTATAATTATTTTTACTTTGTAGTCCCTTTGCAAGTTAAAATCTCGAAACTGGAACATGAGAAAAAAACTACAAAGTTAATAACTTAAAAGTTATTATTTTAGTATTTGGAAGGTTTATGGTACTAACCAAAACTACCGTAAAGTAAATTAAGGTGAAAAAAAAACTACTTCAAAGGAAAATGCTTCTTATCGGCCATTTTTTACTGTACAGTACCACGTGGTAATGTAAATAATAAATTATTTTAATTGTTTGTAAATGGTTTTAATAAATAGTAATTTTGTTGGTAATAGACGCTATTAATAATTAAATAAAAAATTAATAATAAATATTAAGATTTTTTTATTTATAAACATTATTAAATAAATAATTTGTTTATACTTAAATATTGATAAAGCGCATTTATTTCACAAAAACTAAATTCATAAGTTCAACAGTAAAATTTAAAGAGATTTACCTGCCTAATTAAATATTATATTATTAGTCTGGAAGTTATAAACTACCAGTACATATTTAATAAACGACGACATTGAAAAGCCAAGTCCGTAGTAGTTCCATTTAAAAAAGGAGGGATAGTATAATCTAATATAAGTTTGACAAAGACAGTTAATACAGAAGAAAAAACAAATAAATAAAAGTAATTATAACGCTCTAGCAACGATATTAAAACGTTCTAGTAACGTAGCAGCTACGTTCCAAATAGTAGCAGGGTTTATAGCTAGTGACATATTTGTTACCTTTTTGGAACTCAATAATTGTTCCCCACTTTAGTCGTAACTTAGTAATAAAAGAGTAATATAAAGAGACTGGCGACTGTCGCAAAACACTTCAATAGTCCCATATACGTAACAAATACTTAAATTGTTGCTTGGGGTAACTTTAAATTATTTATCTACAACGGTCTGGGCAGAAAAGATTACAAGGGGAATGTAAAATATTACATAAAAAAACTCGAAAATAAACTTTTCCACTTACCTCTACAGCCAAACTCAAACTTAAGTTGTATTCCGAAATTATTTTTTGATAGGAACCAAGATTTTGGTTCCTCTGAAATCTGTCAATTGTCAAAAAAACTTGGTCGTTTGGTTACTGAAAAAGCGACCGCACATATTTAACGGTAACAATTTGGTTGCTGTCACTTTTTTAACTAAAATTAGGTTATGTGCCGCAAACAAATAAATAAATCCCGCCAATTGATATTTAATATTTAATAGCACAGACAGTGTTTGTCTGTGTTTAATAGGTAATTGGACAACCATGGAGGAAGGGTGTAGATTATAAGTTAAAATGTATGAATTTATATTATTACATTAAATATTTGGTTTTGTAGGAAGTTGTTTTCATTACAGTAAAAGTTATATAATATATTAAAACCATTGACAATTTTGATTATAATCCCTTGGCCTTGGAATAATTGCTATAAATATATAAATTTAATTTATTACGCATTGTTTAGTATTTTGTACCTAAATGAAAATTATTATACATAGTTTAGTATTTTTTACCTAAACGTCTCCTATCAGGAACCTCTTCATCTTCACTGGAAATATCGTCCCAGTTGATAAAAAAAAGATTGTTGCTGGATTTATTTTAAAAATATTGTGTATAAAAAAACACCCAAACTATAGAAAAAGTTTGGTTAGAATAACCGACAGCTGACCGCTTTTTGACAGCATTCCAAAATTACTTCGTTTCAACCGCTAACCGACCAAAATCGTGGTATCGGTCATAATTTCGGAACATAACTTTATTTCACTACCACTATTTGATACCTTACCAACTTGACGATAGTACTACCAACCTGAAATGTTTTGTGGAACCGCGAAATTTGCGAGTGTCCGTTGTGTCCCAGTGTCCAGACCAGTGTTGCCAGAACTTATTTTCAAATAGTACTAGTTTTCAGTTAAAAAAGTACCAGATTTAAAAAAAAAGTACCATATTTTCAGAACTCAAAAATAAAGTTTTAGGTAAGGAGGGGTGAACAATTTTTTTAATTCATTTAATATAAATTAAAACATTTATTTTTTATAGTATTAAAAATTATTTAATATTAAAATCCTATTAAAAATATTAAATATAAATTATAAATAGTATAATTACCTCTCCATAATAAATATTCCCCTATTAATATTATATAATAATTATATGCACTTAATAATTATATACACTTTTTTCAAAATACAGAAAGTTTCTATCAGAATTTTTAATGACAAGTGACAATCATGCGCAACAACTCTCTTTAGTTGGTTGGTTTAGTAGGTTTCGCCACAAGGTGGGTGTCGCCATCTATTATCATTCCGCCCAATGTTTCTAAATGTGTATTTATAGTTGCGTGTATCCGTTTGAAATTTATAATAATTTTAATTAAGTAGGGTAAAAAATTGTTATTTTATTTTTAGGCCCATATATCAAAAAGTACTAGATTTTGATCCAAGGGTACTAGGGTATAGAATGTATTAAAAAAGTACTAGATCTAGTACAATTGTACTAGACTGGCAACACTGGTCCAGACCCTCCCCGCTCTCCCCTATTTTGACTATTGCGTATTTATTGTGATTTGTTTGTTTTCAGGAGCACGGGAGGAATCTCCTGAAAGGCGACATGGACTGCAAGAAAAAGACTAATATATTTTGGCTGATCAACAGGTACTTAACGCTTCTGCTGCTGAAGCCGTTCGTTAAGGTTTTACTCTGTTTGACGTACGTGGTGCTGATAATATTTTGCGTTTTCAACGGTTCGAAACTGGGTTTCGATGTGAGAATTTCGACGTTTTTGCCCAAAAATACTCAGGAATACAAATACCTCGAGGCGCAGAATAAGTTTTTCGGTTTCTACAATTTTTACTTGGTTACGACCGAGTTGGAATATCCATTCAATCAACCTTTGTTGTATGAATATCATTCATCTTTGACAAATATTCCACATGTATTGAAGGATTCCAACGGAGGACTTGATATGAACGACTTCTGGCTGTCAAATTTCCGCGAATTTTTAACCGACTTGCAATATGAGTTCGATAAAAGTCGGAATACGTTCAGTTTGAACAACGAAAAATGGTTTTCAAACGCGACCGAAAAGGCTGTATTAGCTTTTAAATTATTGGCGCAAACTGGAGCCGTTGAATCTCCCGTGGATAAAAGCCAAATTTTTAATAAAAGACTGGTTACTAATAATATTATAGATCCTAAGGCCTTCTACAATTACTTGTCAGCTTGGAACAGTAATGATCAAATTTCGTATACGAGCTCGCAGGCCAATTTGGTACCGAAACCGTTTCAATATTACAGTAGTAAATCGGACTACGATTTGAAAATACCCAAGTCGCAGCCGCTGGTTTACGCGCAAATGCCTTTCTACCTCAAAAACCTCAAGAACACACAGGACATCATCGACACCTTGCGGCAAATAAAGGACATATCGGATGAATTTAACAACCGGGGCCTCAAAAACTATCCTGTTGGCCTAATTTTCGCCTACTTTAACCAATTTTTACTGCTGGACCGTTTACTGGCAGCCCAATTTCTATTGACCATGGTCGCCGCAGCATTGGTTGCTTCAATATTGGTGCAGTGGACGAAGCTGTGGTGTCCGTTATTCAGCACTTTGACAAGCATGTTACTCATGTGCCTTATCGATATAAACGCTCTAAGTGGAACCATTGGAGCTTTACATTTTATTATAATCAGCAGAAATATACTGCTTGTAATGACGAGCTTTTTGAGCGCTATTGGAAATAGAGAGAGGCGATTAAGGATGTCATTGGAAGTTAGCTCTGAGGCAATTATTAAAGGAGACATTGGACTGTTGGTTTGCACGTCGGTTTTAGTCACCTCGCAATTCGAGTTTATAGAGAAACACCTGTTTATGTCCATTATTATATCGGTTGGGGGTTCTTTACTGAACTCCTTGATATTCTTCCCGCTACTGCTTGCCATAGTGGGCCCGAAAGCAGAACTGCAACCCTTGGAACATACAGATCGTATATCCACTCCGCCGCCTCCAATTTTACCTCACCAAACCGTGATGGGAGAACGTAGTTCACGGAGCAGCACCAACTCCAGTTACTCGAAGCCTACGAAACGTGCAAACTCCCATTCGAAGGCCACTAGGGAGCCTAGTTTGACGACAATAACGGAAGAGAGTTGCAATCAGAGTATCGTGGTCGAGCCGCAGGTGACAGTGGAGTACAGCAGTCCGGAATCGAGTTCAAGCGGCGGTCAGTACACCACCAAAGTGACCGCAACGGCGAATATCAAAGTGGAGCTGGTCGCGCCAGTTTACAGGTCCAGCAAGTGCGGCAAAAGTCATTCGAGATCTTCCAAATGTAGTGGCGGCAGTAGACGTAACAGTGGTGCTAGTGCGAGTCAGAGAAGCGCGAGTGCTAGCGTGCACCAGCAGCACCAGTGCCGTTGCTGTAAGCAGCAGCAGGATTCGACGACTGACAGTAGTGATAGCAGTTTAGAGACAGACACTGTTGAGGCTACGAGCTAGCACTTTTCGACTTTTCATGCAGTGCTATGAACACTTAATTATTATACCATGTCCCTTTGCCCCTCCCTTTTTTTATTTACTAATGATGTTGTTACCATGTAAGGATCATTACAATCCATGTAAAATATTATGTTTGTTTATATTGCATATATGTATACCATTCACTTATTTATTAAAAGACCATGTAAGATAGTATAGTGTATAATTTTAAAATTATATGTCAACGGTATTATTTATATTATTTTTAAGCAAAAAAATATTTTGACAATTAACAGACTTATTATTTCAAAACCCCACAACATATAATAATTTTGATTTATTTCTCCCTGTGTACAAGCTAATCTACAAATTATAATTCCTATCTACATTGGACGTTATTCGTAAATTTTTTCTATTATATCGGAATATTTCTCTTCCACTATCCGCCTCTTCACCTTCATCGTTGGCCCTAAAACAACACACAAACAAAAATAGCCAAAAAACATTAAAAAAAACACGAACCTAATTCACCGGTTGGTATTGAGAAGTCGGCAGGCAAAATGGACAATTTCTGGATACGTTGAGCATTGGAAACAGCTTGATGGTTAACCTTGTCGATGCTCTCCTTCAGGGCATTCAATAATCTTGCATCAGGACCGGCTTCAAGAACTTCAGTAACCGTTTTGGCTGGACAGCCTAGAGTGTTTAACCAATCTCTTACCGAAGGCAATAACGTGTCCAAAGGTTTGCCGCTCTCAGGCTCTACGTCTGTTTTGAACGTCAGTAAAATAGAAAGGAATTTTCTTTTATCGCCAACCAGAAAGGCATTGCTGACGTGGGGTAACTCAGATTTAACCATTTGTTCGATAGGCACCGGCGGGATGTTTTCTCCACCGGCAGTAATGAGGAGTTCTTTAAGCCTTCCGGTTATATAAACGAAACCTTTTTCGTCTATTCTGCCCAGATCGCCTGTGTGCAACCATCCCTCATCGTCTAAAGTTTCATCGGTCTTCACCCTTTCATTCAAATAACCCATAAATACATGTCTGCCGTACATGCACAACTCTCCTGAGCCATCCTGATCGGGATTTTGACACTTTGACTTCATACCAGGTATAGCCTTACCGATCGTTTCTAGATTGACATCGTTCTCAACGCAAAGCGTATGACCACCGCTGGCTTCAGACATGCCGAAACATTCGTATATGGGAATATCGATAGAGAGGAAGTATTTTTTCACTTCGGTCGACAGAGGAGCTGCGGCCGAACAGTGATAAGTACACCTGCTAAGTCCCAGTGCTTGTTTAATTTTCTTAAATATTACAGACGAAGCTACGTAGTAACCCCAGCTACTAGTTTTATTGCCATTCATTCTCTCCAAGTGGTAATGCAACGCTTGGCTTTTAGCCCATGTAGCTATAGTTTTTTTCAAGTAACCACTTCTGGCGCCAATCTCCTGCATTTTTTCGTAAATCTTCTCCCATACTCGCGGTACAGCCAGGAATTTCGTCGGTTGCACTTCTTGCAACGTTGTCACAAGACTACCCTTCAAGGCGTTTTTGTCGGCAAAGTACACAGTCGCGGCTATCGTCATTGTCGTATAAATGTCCACTACTTGAGCCGCCACGTGGCTTAAAGGCAAAAAACTCACGATGTGTTCGTTACCCCGATCCATAATCAGTCTTTCGGAAATTGCTAGAGCGTCCCAAGTCAAATTGTCGTGGCTCAACATGGCTGCTTTCGGATTTCCAATTGTTCCAGACTAAAAGGAGTTTTAAATGAAAAGATACAATTTCAAATAACCTGCTCTATTTGAAATTATGTCACATGACGAGGTTATTTTTCTTCACAAAACCCGTTACGCCATCTGGAAGGGAGAAAAGATATTTTGAAGGGGAAGAGTGGAAACTTCAATAACTGGCCTTATACCTCGTCACCCTGCTTTTGTTTCGAGTGTACTCCACACTCTGTGCTACTTCACCAACAGGCACCGACATATTTGTATCTCATCAGTGCCGGGAAATCATGTGGTGTGGAGCACACATCGAAACACACTGCTACGCTATAAAGCAATACGATACAGCGACAGCTGTGAGTTTGCAAAACTCTGCTACGCTATAAAGCAATACGATACAGCGACAGCTGTGAGTTTGCAAAACTCTGCATACACGGTTATAGTGGGAGTAAAAATTATACTCCACTACGTGACTATGCGGGTAAGCTGAAAACATTTGTAAACACTGAAAAAAATAACCTCGTCGTGTTAAGCAATACTAAATCTTCAGAAAAGTGGAGGCTGGTTTTTGGTTTAATAGGTCGACCTATTAAACTGATCAGTACCTAATACTTACTGTATATACAAGGGTACAACACTCGTTCACCCCAATAGATTTAAGGATGTCATCCAACGCTTTATCATCCTGTTCTTCCCCGATTCGCATAACATCTTTCCACTGTAACACAAAGGATTGTAGGTCGTGTTTGTTACACATTTTAGGTAGGTACTTACGCTTAGTACTCCTTTGGCAGTCGGTGTGTCACAGTATTGTATAATAGCTTTTAACTTTGGAAGTCTAGACTTAATAGAAATTATTTTCTCGACTTGTTTCTCATCCTCGCAAACAATAATGTTAGCGTTGCTGGAGTCCGCGCAATGGTAGCAGGCTTCGCTCGAGTTTGTCGTATAAATGCCGGCGGCTATACCCCTGTAAAAATTTTGTATCAATATTAATTATTTGAAAAATTAATTATTTTGTTACCCTGCAAAAATGGCTGCCAAATCCGAGACAAACCATTCTACGCTGTTAAATCCTAATATACACACGGAATGTTTCTTTTCCAGTCCCAAATGAATAAACGCTTTTGCACAAGTTCGTACCAGTTTAAGGTACTCACTAAAAATGTAAAAGAAACATTGTAAGAACAAAGTCTTAATAAGACTGGAAGAGGTATTTACTTGTAAGTATAATAGTGCCATTTGCCATCTTCTTTGTAAGCTAGTGCATTTGTGTCACCGTATTGTTGAGCAGTTTTTATAAGAAGTCCAGGAACGGAAATGGGTGGAGTGCACTCGATGGCTTTTCCATTTTCCGGTATCCTTAATCTTACTCTACCGGTATGTTCTATGGTTGTGTAGTCATCTGCGTCCAAAATTTGGTCTGGCCCTGTCAATAGAATACATCACACTGTTAAAATTTACTAAGAATGTCAAATTAGGCAAAAAGCACATTTGGAGCGCGCGGATTTGTGCTCAGGCCTTGGCATTTAATGTTAAAAAAAGCCCGGGTAAATGTAATGCATAGATCGGGTGCGAAATATCCCGACTATAAGACGTCTCAACCTCATATCTCGAGAACTATTAGTCCTACGTAAAATAAATTTAAAAAATCTGTGTTTCGCGACCTTTGACCTTCGATATTTTGCAGCGCCGCCTCTTGGGACTTTTGAGAGATAATATTTCTAGTATACATACTATATATAGGTACTCAATAAACAAATTTCCGACGAAAAAACTTCACCAGGATTTTTTTCCGAAGTAAAACCCTATTTTGACTGGGCTGTGATAATAATGTAAAAAAACTCGTTTTATAAGGCAATTATGTGCCTACAAAAGTAATAGTGGTATAAGTCTTTATTGATGCTGTATGCACCCTTAATGATGCGGTATGCACCCTTAAGAGAATTATCTACATTTTAACCGTTGATTTAATTGTGCGGGGAGAAGACCTTGGCCCCTTTCATAATCCATGATGGATATGGATACAATCTGTATCAAAATTTTTTTCAAATAATTAGTAAGGTATATTTACGAATAATAAATATTTGTATACCTAAATAACTTTTTCCTGACCAAAATTTTTAAATCTTATTAATAGCCTATTAATAGTAGATATCGGTCTTTTGGCCACTTAGAAATTGAAAAAAGGCTCCTAAAAAGGCACAACAAAAATGTTTATCCATGGCTTGTGATTGTGATTTTAGCAAAATATCAATGAATTTTTAATGTTTTTTTGGTTTATCTTATTTTGTTAAATTATGTCGTTTACTATTTTGTAGCGTGCATTTAAAAAAATCGACTAAGCAAGGTTTAGGGACTTTAGTATTTTTTTAGTCGAAAATTATACTAACAATTTTTCCAAAATATTTTTTGCACTAATAATATTTAACGGCTCCTAAAAATTGACGGTGGGCAATTTGCATAGAATGCGGTCTCTACTTATTAATATAAAGTAGGTTTGCTGTTTAGAGTTGGTTAATGGGATTATTTATACAATTTGGAAATTTAACTACCCATATAATAAAACTAAAACACTTTACTTAAACACGTAAATTTCCAATTTCTGACAGTGCTGTGCATTTGTATTACTATTATTTCAATAAAAGCGTATTTTCTTTTGTTATTTGTTGAATAAATATTTTTGTAGAATATACCTAATTTCCAGAAATGAAAATATTTTTTTAATTAAAAATTTTCCTATAAAAATATTTGCATGAAAGATGTTTTATTAATTTCGTATTTCCTAGAAATGAAACATTTCAAATTTTAGTTCTTTCATAAACTTTGATTAAAATTCCCTCTCAGAAACAATTTTGCACTAAATTAAAATCAAATTCAACGCTTGTTTATACATCAATTTAGTTGCATAGTAAAATATTTTTGTTGATAAAATTTATATCGCGTCAGGTTTTTTTGTTTATTAATTACCTAATAATGAATTAAATAATTTTCTATGTTTCCACGACATTAAAAAACAATTAAAAATCTTAAAAATTGGCCTTTTTTATTTTATTATTGCGTAATGTGTTCGTCAAAGTAGCTAGGTAAATTTGGAATAAATTAATTACACAAATTATTACTTTTATCAATGACAAGTATAAATAAATTAATAAATAGTTGTTTTGGTAATAAACATTTTTTCTTACCATCTGCATTTTTTTTCCTTTCCACATTATTATTGTTGTAAAACATTTAAAAAATTAATCACATAAAATTTCCCGTAGAATTCACCTGTTTCAAATTATTAACTGTAACACGTAAAAAATTTTGATTTTACTTTCCTGGCACTCATTAATATTAACAATGACTTTTAATGCGAATAACTAGCATACGACTGATATACTGAACAACTACAGGTACACCGATTGCGTACTGGAATGAACAAACTTTTCTTAATTTGGATTCACTTTGCCGACATATAGGGTGATGTCAAAAACTGGGTATCTAGCTCACTGGTACACTTCTTTCTTTAATGCTCGCTCGCTTGCTACGCTAAACGACTTATGAAATGTACCGTACCAAGCAAGAGTAACACATCAACTTAGAGTTTTTGGGTTTTTTCCACTTCTATAGAAGACTATTTTGGATGTGGGAAACATTTTTATGGTAGTTTTGGAGACAGTTAAGTCTGAAACGAAAGTTACATATGTATAGATATCTATGTATGTTGCGTATGTTGTTTAAATTAATTTAGTTTAATCGACTTGGTTGACGATTTTCATGTTGAGTAGGTAACATGAATTCTTAACCAAGTCGATATTAGAAAAAAAAAGACAGTGCCTCCGCTTCCAGCAACGGTGCCGCAAAATAAGCAAATGGCTGCCGGTACTGGCAATATAAAATTTGCCCGAGAGTTTTCATAAAACATAGAGACCGGACTTTTAGGCACAAAAAGTTGAAAAGGTAAAAAGGCAAAATAGGCACAAAAATAACAAAAATGGCAGTATACAACAATGCTTTTAACACTACATAAACAATTTAAATTTATAAATAAAAAACTATTTTAACAAAATATCAACGCATTGTTGGTTTATTTTTTTGACATTTTTTTTGTTAAAATATGTCGTTTATCCGAATATTTTTGTAAGAGAAAAAAAAACGACAATATTAAAAATATGAATAAATATTCAGAAAAAGATGACATTTTATATAAAAAGAGGTATAAAGAATACAGGTTGTAAAACAAAAAAAATAAATATGCATACTTTTAATTAACATCCCAAGGTCACTTTTTATTTAAATTGACGCAACACTTCTTAATTTTACGTTTTAATATAAATTCATAAATAGTTTTTTTTACAACCGTATATCGAGGTCTCAACTAATTTTCCCAATAAATTTGGTTGTAAAATTTTACTTCTATTTACTTACATAAATACCTACGCTTGATGTCAAAATACAAAATATTTACTTTTAAAATACCTACCTTTATTTTGTTAGTTTTTAAAAGACAACAAATTTGTTAACCCTTAAGTACGCCCCTGGTAAAGCTAAAGAACCCATTAGAAATTACTTAAAAGTACATCTTAAAGAAACGTGTTTTTTAGTTTTTTGAACTATTTAATTATTTTTACTTTTAAGTCTTAAAATGTAGTTAGGTAGTATTCTGCTCGAGAAACCCTCGTCATGGGTAGCTTGTGACGAAATAGCTGACTCGCCATCTTGGGGCGGCCGCCATATTGGATTTAGTATGACGTCACTCACCTTATCATTTTATACTCGTCAAACCCTTTTATTTGATACCCAAGTTAAAGAGTTTGTGAAGAAATTGGTAATCCGTCATCTTGGGGCGACATATTGGATTTATTATGACGTCACTCGCCTTTTGTATAACGTGCATTGTCATCCAGTTCTGAGCTACGTTTAAAGTCTCTAGCTTGGTTTAAAGTCGATTCCAAAATAAACTAAATAATCAATTTTTAAGCTATCAGTATGATCATATTTTGTTTCTTAGTTTGGAAAAGAATTTTTAAAATAATTTATGGAAAATCTGTGGGAAAAAATACTTTAGCCCAAGTGTTATTTTTTATAGATTCTTTCAATAATTCGTTTTTGAACTCGACCAACATATTATATCTTATATAAGAGGATCATGTTGATGGCCTAAAAATTTATTATTACAGTATATTTTTTATTAAAGTCTCAAAAAACAATTATTTTTAATACTTTTGAAAATTGTCATTTTAAATTTTGTGCTGCCAACTTAAGAAACACAAAATATGACAGTTTAAAACCTTAATTTTGCCATTATTATACAACAAAATAACAATGAATGTTATTACTTATTTACTTGTAATGTTGCTTTTAGTTTTTATTGATACTTTAATTAGTATTAAAGTATTAATTTGTTAATTAAAATACAACGTTTTATTTTTACTACAAATTTGCTGTTACGGCCTAATGTTATTAATTTACCTAACTCTTCAAATACCTACTAGGTACCTTAAGTATAATATTATTAATCTAAACCGGCTTTTAAGATAAAACTAAAAATAGAATATTTTAGAACCCACAAAACTTGATTATTTTAATTCTCGATATTAAAAAACATAATTTTAAACGTTAAAAATACTTTTTAAAACATTATTTAGTCAAAAAAACTATGGGCTTTATTATTTATATTTTTGACATTTTTAAATACATGAGCATTAAAAAATTATCACATTGTCATATTCTGCCTTAATTTATTTCCTAGATAAATACAAAATGCAAATATATACCCTTATATGCAAATTTGTAACTATGTTTCTTTGTTTGAGTAAATTAAAATTAAAATGTGCGATAAATGCAAATAATAAATGTTGATAAAGCGTCATTTTAATCGGCATGTTAAATTAGGAATGTTTATATTATTTTTGAGATTATGAAATTTTCGACGTAGGACAAGGGGGAGATTTCAAAGTCAATGAAAAATAAGAGTTTTTGACTCACCATTATTTTCAGATATATCTCCATTCATGTTAATCCTGAAATATTAAAAAAGTACATGTGCGTAAAATAACACTGTTTGCGAGAGAACAATTGACTACTAATAATTTAAGTGCAAAATGTAATTTTATAAATAATTAGGTACATACAAATTTAAATGGTTTGAACTTTAACCAATAAAATTTCGTGGGATACCTAATTGGTAAAAAATAAATAAAATTGTGAAAGATGATTTTGTTAACTTACCTATTATTATTTTTTATAGGAACGTTATATTCATTTGAGTTACCAAAACAGACTCACTTATCTCTTGAATTCTGTGGCAAAAGTCTACTTATCAGCTTCTAATATGTATTAACAAATCAAAGGACACAAAAGGTTGTTCTAAATATCCAAATAATGTTTATTTATTTTCTTAACTTAAGTTAAGTTCACTTCACTCAAATAGTTCCAAGTTAAATTAAACTAAACAACCGATTCTCGATGGATTTTTCGATGAAACCTTGGAATTATAAATAAAAATATACATGTGCACAGCACCTATCACCTGATTTAGCCGAAATGTTGGGTTTCTTAACACGATCGAAAATACCGTTTCTTTCGTGGTTCCTACTTAAAACTAGTATTTTATTTATATTTGCGCTGCAGTATACCTACCTATACCATCTCAACCTAACCGAAAGGTGCGCCATACATCCACACATACACTGACCTCCACCGTCTTTAAACCACTCAACACTCAAAATATTCTCTCGAAAAAGTACCCGGAATTTTTGAGGTTACACTCCTTTTGGCGGGTTGTTTAGACGGCGACGGAAGTGACGTCACAGCTAGCGACAGCAAAAAGTTAACAACACGTGGTTATATTTAAAAGTGATTTCTAATATTTGAGGTTATATTTATATTTAGTCTCAAGCGTAACGAGTCAGATGTGTAGATGTGCGTGTAACTCAAATAAAATTGGTCAATTGAAAACTGCCCTTACATTTAATTTATTGAAAACCGGGTTATTGAAATCTGCACATTAAAATTTATGTTTTGGATATTTAAAAAATGGCAGGACAAATCGGCACAGTAGGATAAATTTTAAAAATGGTAGGAAAAAATCGCAGTGGCATAAATTTTAAAAATAATAGGACAAATTCGCACAGTACCATAAATTTAAAAATGATATGACAAATTCGCACAGTGGGATAAAATTAAAAAATGGTAGGACAAATTCGCCTTTTTAAAAATGATACAATTAAAGTACTATCTTTAATTTACGTACAGTGGCGTTCTAAAAATTTTGAACGCGATGATTGTCCATGTAAAAATCTGTAAATATCAAAGATACAATATTGACCATTTTTGCTTTCGCTGTCAAAATGACAAGACTAGTGATAACGGGAAGTAAGGTTAGTTATCCATAAATAAACAATCTTTAATTTAAGGCTCTAAAAAAATAATTTAATAAGTATTTTATTTAACTCAGTATACATGATATTTATTTAGTGTTATCTGCATTAATTTAAGTCAAATAACATGTATTATTTGAGTAACATAATTGTTAGACTGGTGTACATACATATATTATGTACGTATGCATGTACTATAGTACTATAGTACATTATTAAATTAAATAAGTAACTAAACAATTTTTTTTTAATTTTAGATGCTATCATTTTTTCTCACGAGTTACTTTTATAAAAAGTGCATAACCTTTTTTATATGCTGTTTGTATGCGCTAAAAATAATTTTCTCTAGGGTGCATGGCGTCATTGTGAAATGAATCTATTTTTATCCTAAAACATCTTAAAATAGAAAACTTCTGAATAAACCAAACTTATTTATTATTATTTAATATTTAAAATATCTATCTATGTATATGTACAAATTTTACAGTGTTTCTTAATTTCGTGTTATATTTCAAGTTAAATACTAAAAACCAGTCTTAAATAAGTGTTTCAACATGAATATGTTACTTTTACTAGGTATGCCAGTTTTATTTTTATTTTTCCGAGGTACAATAATTACTTATTGGGAACATTAACCGAATTAAAGTAATTAAAAATGTTTCGTAAATGCGTTATTAAAATTAAAATACTTTACCTATAGGGAAAATAGATACATAGTAGGTAAGTATGTATAAATTACAATAATTATTAAAAGTGAACAATATGAAAAAGCCTTGATAAGATAAATTAAATAGTTATACTGTTTACGTGTTTAAATTAAGGAATGTAATTATTAAAAAATAATACAAGAACGGCAATTAACTCGACCGAACTTTAAACTTATCGTATGTTTAATTTCAATGTGCTTTTGGAGGGAAATAACAACATAAACTATTTAGCGAAAAAAAGCAGTTCACTGATCTGTTCTACTTACCTTTTGCTTATTATTTCTTTATAACCAAAGTTTTTTAATTTAGTGGAGACATAACGTATTTTCAGTGCCAAGTGCAACCGAACGCCTTGAAAGAGTGGGGATATGTTGCAGCGGTGACGGCACCGTTCAGGCATCATTTGGGTATTGCATTTGTAAGCGAAATAATACTCGAATAGTTGATAACATTAATAAAGACAATGTAATGATAAAATAGTTTATTGGCAAATATTATATCTATAATTATAACACATAAATAAACACAACATAAATTTGTAATAATTACTTATATATTTATCTAAGAAGAAATTTGAATTTTTGGAACATACAATGAATACGTAATATAAATAAATAAATTTTGTTTTATTTAAATATATAGTTTTAAAATAGCATCACTTATTTACAAATACTTTTTTTTTTAATTTATTAGATTTTAAATTATATATTATATGCATATTAAATATTGACTGATTTTCAAAAAATATTAGTTACAATTATGATTTGTGAGGCGGTTGAATATCCATGGTGACGCATACCCAGCTCGCTATATCTACATTTGTTGATTCTGCATTCCTTATCCAATTATGATTCTATAATAAATAGTTATTTATGTCATTAGCCCAAGAAGTAAGAATGTGCCAAGCTCAAAGTGTAAAGCACAAAAAACGTACAATTATTAAAAATTGAGGTTAGATTGACTTGAAAGAAGTCGATTTTTTTATTGGTCCAAACGTGGTAAATAATGAGTCTCTAGCCTAATATAGTAGTTAAAATCAGTCAGTTAAGTGTCGAGTGTAATTAGGCACGAGCGAAGCTGGCGAGTATTTGGTAAAAACGAGTGTCTAGAGAAGTTTATAAACGAGTTGCATACTAAACTTTTTCTACGAGAAATATTGTTTTTAAAAATAATAAACTAAAAAATTTGTATAGAGCGACACCTATATAAAAAAAGAGTAATCAAAATTGGTGTTGGGAATCTGTTTTAACGGCTTTACCTTAAAAATGCAATAACAACCTTTTAAATCCGATATTTAATTAGTTTTTACAGTAAAAAAGAAGAGGATGTTTTTATGGGTACTCCTATTATTTTACAAGAAAGACTCTTTATTTTGACGATTGTTTGACATTTGACAACTTGAGAAGTTAAGATTTCTCCCAAATGAAGATGTTTAGGTAACTCTCCACAAAATAAGAATCAATGAGAAATGTAACAAAATTAATTTGCACGGGGAGTTACGTTCATCCATTTATAATTTTGTGAGAAGGTCGACCTCTGATTGAGGAACTAATAAATTTAAAAATTATTTTATTGATTTATTGACTTCTGCACCATGGAGCCCACACAAGGTGTTCTGTTGATTGTTTGATTTGTACCTACCGAAACGCTACCAAAACAGCAGAGTCAGTCAGAACGTATCAGCGCCGCTGGTGGTGAAAAAAAAAGACCTTATTTTTGCAATTTAGTTTTGTTTGGTCAATTTTCGATATTAAGTTCGGACCCCTTGTGTAGGCTTCATGGTTATGATAGATAAAAAGAAACCTTTGAATTTTTATTCAAAGTAAGAAACGCTTTGAGACGCGACTTGTTTCCACTAGACAAGGTCAGTTTCCTTTGATCTTAACGATTCCGGTTTTGTTTTTGTTGTTTTTTACTTTGTGGTGGAGCAAAAATGTGTAAACAAAACTGTTGAGAAATAAAATCTGTGGCTGAACTTACCATGAGTGTTTTGAGGTCGGCCCTTTCTTCAGGATTCTTTCTCAAACATCTGTCGACGAAATCTTTAAAATCGTCGGTGAAGGCATTTGCTGGTAGTTTAGGAGGGGGTTCGTTAACGATGTAGTCTAAGAGTTCGAAAATGGCCATCGGTCTTGGTTGCGCTTTTGTATGATCGGCATAGGAATCCTGAGAGTTGTCCTGACGCCCAAATATTGCTTCGAGGGTTTTTTGGTCGGGCGTCGGAATGGGGTACATACCGATGGCCATTTCAACTAAAGACAAGCCCAATGACCAGATATCACTTTGGACTGAGTAGTGAGTCCCTTGCAACCTTTCAGGCTGAAAGTAATATACATGGTGTCACGAAAATAAGTGCCATCGCAGAAACAAAAGCAGAGCAATGTTGCCAGATGTAAAAAATTTACGCCATATAAGAATTTGTTATGCAAACCATTATTTATTAAAATAATTAATTGGAAATATTTATGTTTAGTTTTAACAATAATTTTTCATTTTATAGTTATACATTTTATTGTAATACAAGTTTACCGTTTTTCTGAAATCATTAATAGTTTTGTTTCTACCAAGCATTTGGAGTGTTAAATGGACGTCAGGGACATGCGCAATACGACAATATTGTGTCATTTTACTACTGCGCATGTGCAAATGCTCTGTAGGCACAGACCTATAATAATTCTTGACTTATCTAGTGAATAGATAAAGAAAAGATGCGACTCACCGACATGTAACTTCTAGTTCCAACAAAAGAATTGGCCATGGAATCAATGAGTTGTCCAGACACGCCAAAATCACAAATTTTTATTTCTCCACTACTATTTACCAAAATATTGCTGGGCTTCACGTCCCTGTGCATTATTGCGTGCTTATCTCTTAAGTAACTTAATCCTTTTAACACAGCCGAAGTTATTTTACCCAAAATATTTTCGGGGATTCTCCCCGCTTTTTTCAAAATTAAATCCAGCGACCCTGCGTCCATGTACTCCATGCAAATACTGATTTCGCCGTCGCTGTAGAAGGCCCCGTAGAAGCCTACTATGTGGGCAAAGTTGCATTCATGCAGAACTTTTAATTCTCTAATGATTTGCTTTTTTATTGGCGGTTTTACTTCTAAATGAATCAACTTTCGTGCCATCACTAGACCGCTGGATTTGTGTAGAACTTTTGTTACAACACCTCCATTTCCTGAGCCCAGTTCACCCAGCTTTTCAAAGTCATCATCGCTCAGATCTCCTCCGATTTTCTCTTTCTGACACAAAAACCACTCGATTCGTTTGCGCTGGGTGTCATCCATATCTAGTTCCTCTAGACGAGCTGTTAAATTATCAATGCTGTTACCACGGTTTAAGGCAGGCCTGAAAGAAAAATCAAAATAAACAAAAGGTAGGGTTAGGAATTTGTTTAAGGACTTACTTGGAGTTTTGTTCCTGATAATTTGGATTTGTTGGGGTTACGGTCGGCGTTTGATCTATAGATCCTGGTGGCAGAGTTAGGTTTAGCTTATTTTTCGACATTTTATTCATCTTGGCTATTTACACGAGTCAAATTTTACATAACTAAAGACACCGAAATTTGTGCAAATAAAATTCCTTGCTCGTTAGTCAAGTCAGTCTTTCTTTTCTTGTGTGCTTTTTTCTTGTTGCCAATTTCAACCGGTGGTTGGCAGCCAAATGTCACAAGTATCTACTCTCTATTTCTTGTCTTCACGTACAATTTAATCAAAAGGAAAACGTTTAAAACAATACAAACTATTGCTTCTTGGTTTCTTATTCATCTAGGTACATGATTATACAGTTTAACATCTATAAACATCGGAACGCGAACGAAATAACACACTTTACAAAATAATCAATGATCCCACCCACAAGATTTGGGCTGGAATAAAGGCAACCATCACCACGTTGTAAATTACAACTTGTAATGCTTAAGAAAACATCATAGGCAACACACTCGTAGGTTTTAAGCATTTCTAGTTGCCTATCAAAGCAGCAGTGCCGGATCATACGCTATGACAAAGATTAAACGAGTCGTATAGATTCAAAACCCGCCAAATCCATTTATTGAAAGTAAAGGACAGTAGATATGTTTGCAATACATATTAATTATGTTGTTATGGAAACATGTCTTCTGTCCTTTACTTTCAATAAATGGATTTGGCGGGTTTTGAATCTATACGACTCAAACATACTTTAATATATTTAATCTTTGGCTATGGGATAGATGCACAAATCTTGAAAAATTTTAAAGATTTTTTTAATCATTAGCCATTTTTATAATTGATTTTGATCCAGAATTTTGTTTTGGATCGTATTATATTTTTGTGTTGCCTTTTTGGGAAATTAGATCAAAGATATGACAACCCTGTAAATGAAAATTGGTTTGTTCGCAAGACCTTCACTTACTACGCTAGAGTACACTTAGTTTTTTTTTGCGTAAATACCATGAAAGGTAATTATTCAATGTATTTTCGCGTTTGAAGTGCGTTTTACAATCATAGCTATGACGTCAACATTAATAAACCGTAAAACCATCTCGCCGAGCTAGTTATTCAGTCTGACTTCTTTCATTATTAATTACACGAGTACAATAAAACTGCATTTAAACTGTGTGTAAACTGACATTTGTATATTCAATATATAATTTAAACTTTACCACTTAAGTGATCGTGGTTTATATTAGGTTCATTCCAAAAAAGAATATAACCTAAAACCCACAATTGTATTGTGCTAAAAGCTAAGTAAAGCGCATATAGGTATATCTATTTCAATAAAGTATGGCAGGTTTTTTTAAATAATTACTTGTATGATTCTTCGGATGACGAGTATTTAGATTTTATTGGGGACATTGCTACTAGAAATAAATATAACCCAGGTTTGTTGAGTTTATAAATATATATAAAAGTATATATATACACATTGATAATAAATTCTTCCATTCCTGCATACAAATGACAAAAATTAGATGTATTAACATTAAAAATTAATAAAATCACCTTGTATAGCAGTCATTTTTAAATAATATGTCCACTTTAACAGAAAAAAAACTTACAATATTACAAACGTTAATAAATAAACAAAAAGATGAGGTTATGTGCCCCTTCTACGCATGCGTCTAATTTTATTATCAACAGTTCTTGCTCTCGAGCAAGAATTGTTTGAACCGTAATTTTACTGTTCGTAACTCTGGTTGGAACGACGAACTGACAGTAATTGCCAGTTCTAAACTAGTAATTTTAGTTGGTTGGAACGACATTTTACAAACGCGCATGTGTATCAGTAATATTACTGGAAATTACTGCTGGTTGGAATGAACCTATTTATTTGTGCCTTCATTCAGTGCACACTATTAATTTTCTGCAAAGACAATTGTGTGATATGACAACCCTGTTTGTCATTTGGAATTCATTCAATTTTGTCTATGAATCTGTAAAAAAGCAATCTATGAATATTTATTAAGCATACAGGGTGTTTTTTATTTATTTCCTTATTTATACAATAATCTAAATTAAGCAACTTTTTATGTAAACCTAAATTATTTAAAATAATGTATTTTTGGTAATAATAATAATGTTTAAAGTGAATTATTTGATAAACTTTAATTTGTATAAATTTTTTAGATGTAGCAACTGTGCTATGTATGGAACGCCGTTTTACTATTTATTATACATTTATACCAATGTTTCATTTAAATGATAGATGAAAAAGAAAGAAATTCGATAATAGAAATGAAATGCATTTTGTTGACCCAAGTATCATTTTAATGCTAACTTGAAATTTCTTTCCTATTTTTCTTATATATGCATGCGGTGAAACAATTTCAATGACAATTGTAATAAACTTGTATTTGAATTTAAAAGACACTCAAATTTTTAAGACATGTAAGATATCTAAGGAATCATTTAAAACAAAGTTAAATTTTTCATACACATGAATTTAAATAACTTGTGAATTTATCAAGTACATAAGCAGCTTGGTATCATTTAAATGGTTCTTGCATTTTACTTTCATTTGAATTTAAATAGCACTTTAATTTTTATATAAGTTGGAAATAACAGATAAAAAAATATATATTTTTTCATTTTTATTTAAATGGAATCTGCATTTAACTAAAAGTTTAATTTAAATGACATTTGAATTCAAACGACACTTGAATTAAATTGACACTTGAATTCAAACGACACTTGAATTCAAACATCACTTGAATTTAAACGACACTTGCATTTAAATGGTACTTGAATTTAAATGACCCAGATGTCTATTTCTTTGACCTAAGCAGCTGCCATCTATCGACAGATAGTTGAAATAGTTGATTTTACAGCGCCATCTATGGTTACAACAATGCATTCAAACAAAATGTCGGTCTATGCGCCTGTTTGTATTTATCTACATGGTTTACCATAGAGTATAGTCATTGTTTTTAAAAACAATGGTATAGTGTGTAAGGATCCTGTAGTATATAAACTTTTAAATTCGAATTTGGCGCTATTTTAACCAAAGAAAATTTAAATAATCCACTAAAAATAATATTATAGTTTTAAGATATTTTATGTTTTAAAAACCCTATTGAGTTTTAAAGTTTCACTTCTTTGTATCTCAACGTAGAAATATTATGAAGACTGTTTATATTACACATTCTTGCTTAAGTGGCCGAGATGTTTAAAAGCTAGATCATAGATTAATAACCTAGATAATAAGCTAGATTAGGAAATAGAATACACACAGAGGGTTTTTGCTCGCCGTTCGAGATACTCCTGTTAAACAGTTTGTGAAATATATTATAATATAGCTATAGTTTTTGTGATTGTTACCGATTTTCTGCTATAATTATTAGGTATGTACTCTTTTTTTTAATTGTAAATTTGCTAGTAATGATAAACAACTTCTCGTTTTGTGTTTTCTTAATATAATTTTGCTTAAAATTTTAACATCATTATTTGATTTGCATCTTGGTCTATGACGTTTATCATTGCTAGTTTATTGGGTCTTAATTATTTTAATATGTGTAAATAACGAGTGATTTTTGGTAATAATTTTTTATTGTATCACTATTTCATTATTTTGGTTAATATCTTGGGATCGCGCATACACTGAGTTTCAATCTTTATGTTGTCGCATTTACCGTGGTATATGCATATACACTGAATTAATTACATTTACCTTAAATATTAATATTTTGTATTGTTTTTATTTTGAGTTACACTGGCCTTGATTTTGTTGTTTCCTTTTGTATAACTTTAATTTAACTGAAATGTATTTTATGGTTTATGAAACTCAGTGTATCATCTCGGTATTAAGGTATTTATTTATTTTAAATCTTTGCGTTTGTACTCAGGCTAAAGCTTTTAACAATTATATTATTATTATCATATTGGTATTACTTGGGTAAGGTTTATAAAATGCTATTATTATTATTGCTATTATTATTATTATTATTACATAATTTGATATTACCATTAGGTAATATCATGGTAAGGTAATAGTACCGATTAGCATCTTGATAGATTCGGATTGGAGACTTAGGGTTAAACCTGCTTACCTAAGCGCTTTAATTTGAATACTTGATAATGACTTTTGGGTGCTATATTTTGTTCTTATAATATTTATTTTATACAGCGCGACACTTTCATGTGGTTTGAGTTTTAGGCTATGTTTATGTGTTTTTGTAATGACGCTCTCCTATTTGCCATTTATTGTATTTATTTACATTTTTCCCCCTTTTATTTTATTGCTAATTGTTGATTTTATTTGTGTCTGTATTTGTATTTGTGTTTTGTTGGAAAAGCGTTTTTACTTGAACATATAAGCATGGGTAATATAAAGGCATTAGGTGAAAGGTGGTGTCGTTATGTTACTTACCTTTAATTTCTGTGTGCAGGCCGTGTTTGTATGCTTTTACAATACTATTGTCTTGTGCTGGACATTGATTTTGTGAGAGGATTTAAAATGCGTAAGTGGTATAAAGGCACTAAGTGAGAGCAGTGTCGTTATATCTCTTCCACAGATGGTTTGCTTAACATTTTTCCATAGTGTGGTTATTAGCTACGGGTAATATCTGCATTATATCAATAATTTCCCGCGTTCCTATCCTATTTAGCATTCGAATTCTCTCTATATGAAAGTTGTAGTTGCTGTTCGTTTATTATTATTATTATTATTTTATAAAATCGTATCATCGTACAATAGTTCGAAGATGCGTGGTAAGGTAATCAAATAGTACAAATCTTTGTCATGAAATGACAATCTCTAAGAATGACTTTACCTGAGTACAAAATGTTTTGAATATTGATAAAAAACTCCCAAATTATATGAAATATGTTTATCTGCTTTTTATGTTATTTTATTCACTTATTATTTATACTGTATTCTTGTGATTGTGACCCATATGACTATGTTTGCTTTTGTAATTTATTTTTTTTTATTTGAACTGTGTAAGTCGACAGGGTTTTTATGGTCCCTTTTCCCTGTGCTTTGACTCAACGGGCCACCCCTTTGTCTTTGCTTAAATTAAATCAGGGGTTTTCAAATTAAATACTTGTGTTTCATTAAACCTGACCAATTTCAAAATAACGTTATTATCAATGTACTTAAATACACAACGTAGAGTCCTAATTTTTATAAAGTAAGTAAATTAACTAGACGATCACGAATATGCCAAAATAAGTATTTCAGTATACTTAAAGAATCGGGTTACGAAAATACGTAGTGGACCTTACAAGTGTACGAATCCCCCACATTTTTTCCGCTGGATTTAAGTTTTATTTATTACTTAACGATAAAGAGTTTTGTGCGGTTACTATATAAGGATTAAAGACTTAGATTAAGATCATGTATCATGAATTAAGATCATGTGTGATTCTTTTTTGGTGTGACTGATCTTCTTGTTTTTGCAAGTTAGCGAAAAAGATGCCGCTAATTTCCCCCTAAACTGCAATTTGAAAATGTTTCAACTACCTGTCGATAGATGGCAGCTGCTTAGGTCAAAGAAATAGACATCTGGGTCATTTAAATTCAAGTTGCATTTAAATTCAAGTTCCATTTAAATGCAAGTGTCGTTAAAATTCAAGTGACGTTTTAATTCAAGTGTCGTTTGAATTCAAGTGTCAATTTAATTCAAATGTCGTTTGAATTCAAATGTCATTTAAATTTAACTTTTAGTTAAATGCAGATTCCATTGAAATGAAAATGAAAAAATATATATATTTTATATATGTTAAATCCAACTATTGTAAAAATTAAAGTGCCATTTAAATTTAAATGAAAGTAAAATGCAAGTTTCATTCGAATGATACACAAGCTGCTTATCTACCAGATAAATTCAGATGTCATTTAAACTCATGTGTAAGAAAAATTCAATTATGTTTTAAATGATTCGCTAGATCTCTACATGTCCAAAAAAATCGATTATCATTTAAATCTAAATACAAAAAAATAATTTGTTGTTGAAATGTGAACTTTTCTTACTATTTTAAAAATTTAATGTAATTTGGACTGACCCAACATTCATTTAAATGTTATATAGGGGCCAATATTCATTTAGAATAAACTATGTTTGAAATACAACTGCATAAGTTTATTTTTCATTAAAATTATGTTTAACTTTATTTGTCGTTATAAATGCACTGGAAAGAATAATCCAACTATCATATAAATACAACCATAACTTTAAAACTATAAGTTAAATTCATTTGTTTGTTTCTATGTATCATTTAAATTGTTTCCAGCTCATATTAATCAGATGTAGGTCATTTTTATGACTTAAATTTACATTGGAGACTTCATAAGAGTAGGTATGATAAATTCAACTTTCGTCGAAATCCGTCTACTAATTCTTAAGTTTCATTTAAAAGACACTTGAGTCAACGAAATTCATTTTATTTCTATTATCGAATTTCTTTCTTTTTCATCTATCATTTAAATGAAACATTGGTATAAATGTATAATAAATAGTAAAACGGCGTTCCATAGCTATGCACGATAATCCATTAAAAATTGTGCTTAGCAATAAAAATCAGTTGGTTTTTAACGATAAGAAATAAAATTTGCACGTTTCGCGTAAAATATATACAAGCGCGCAAAATATTAATTGCGCATATTTATAAAATGAATAACGTGTAAGCAGTGTTGCCATTTGCGGGTTATTTATTTGAAAATCGGGTATTTTCCAAATTTCGATCCAAATACTAACTAAAGAAATTTGTAGTAAATAATATTGCAGGTATATTTACTAAATATGCATAATTATTTTATTATATTACATTTTTATTGGCTTATATAAAAATTTTTAATTAATTTAATTCATTTTTCATACAGGGCGAACGCGCTAGTAAATTTAAAGTATAAGTAGCTTTTTTACTCTTGCGGGTGAGATCGGGTATTTTGTAATTTTTGGTCGGTAACTTCATCACATTTATCTGGCAACAGTGCGTGTAAGTCGGTTTGACAACGTCGTAGCACATTCTCACAAGTTAGCGCGTTTGATGGCACCAAAACATTGCGAATTTCGATTTTTTTTAAGAAGTAAATACGTATATGGCGTGTTTTTTGTTGTTGTAAAAAGTTGTGCGTAGTTTTTGTGAAAAATGTCGGAAAATTTGGATATGGAAATGGATGAATCTCCCGTGCAAGTGCCCCCAGAGGTGTCCCTCAACGAAAACGTCTCTGTTGAATGCAACGAAGAGACAATCAAGAACTTACTAATGCATGTGGCTAACAATGAATATGATCCTTCCACAGAATCCGAACAAGTATGGTTTTAACCCACTTATAACCTCAAAATATTACATATCCTTACTGTTTTAGAGCTACAACTACCTTAAACACTCAATTGAGCTGCTTAAACTCGATTATCAACTCATGCTTTTGAATAACAAACATGGAAATTTGTGTCCAAGTTATCCGAGCCATTTGCCCATATTCCAACACGATCTTAACTCTGTTACCAATGAGACTATATCGGAGAATGTTTTTGATGCAGATTATCTATACCAATTAATTTTAAAGGCCAACAAAGCTCGGTAAATTATTCATTAAATATAGTAATATTATTATATTATATAATGTTGCTTTGATATAATTTTATGTTGAGTAATCCAAAACACTTTTAAAATGAATAGATAAAAATGTTGCATATGCAATTAATAGTATTTTCTAACTGATAATAGTTTAAATTAAAACATAATTAATATTTATTAGTGCATTTTTAAGTAATTTAAAAATTATAATAAAAGAAATTAATCCAAGGCAATCGTAAATATTTTAACAAATTTAAAGAAACATTTTTATGTAAATTAGTAGAAATTGCAGAAAAAATAATACTTATGGGTATTAATATTAATATATAATTTATTATTTTATTATGTTTTATTTAATTATGTTGGTAGTCAATGTAGTATTTTTAAATATTTAAATCATTTTAAATCAAATTTTAAACAAGTTTAAAAAGTCTAAAAGTATAATATACAGTTCATTTTTTTTATCTGGACTGTTTTTTTGTTAGGTTGGTGGCTTATGCCAGTTTGACTTAGTATTTTTAGTATTTAAAAATGGTACTTCTGCTAAAGAATTTAATTAAATACTTTGACACTGTCAAATTGACAATAATATTTATTATTATTACTTGTCAATTATAAATAAAAAGATAATTATGCCAAAAATAATAGCAACGAATTTGAATGTAAAAGCCCTTTTGAGGGCAAAACTTCATTTTGATGAAATTATGCCAAATGCCACAATGGAAGAAAAAGTACATTGCCTTATGGACATTTTTGGACTAAAAAAGTAACGAATTTGGTTTTATAAATATTACCTACATCACATATTATTTTCACATTATTCACCATTGGACAACATTTATGTTCACAAAAAATTTTAATTTCTTTCTATATAAATTCTTTTCAAAGCGAAGATTATTATCCGCTGGGAATACTTTCTCTTCTGGGCCGTAAAGCAACCTATATTTAACTACTTTTTATATATAATTTTACTCATCCAAGCACCACCAAAGCCAAATTAATTGCATTTTTAACTATAAATTTCGACAACTCAACTTGACAACTGCACAATGTAACTTAAAATAATTTATACATAACCACAACTAGCTTAGTTTGTTTTAATCAATGCGACCAACTTGACAACTGTATTTACCAACCAAAACCCTAAATTTGTAACGTTGCCGCAGATAAAAAAAATGAACTTTAGCATAGCAATTATTATATGTATTTATGCATATACCTATAACCTATAGGTATATGTATTTATGTAATTTTTTTAGGTAAATACCATAAAATATGGTATATATATCTAATTATTAGATTCTAAGTGCCCGTAAGTGGAAGTGTCACAGAGCTTCAGTCTCTATCGTACTTATGCGCATGCCCGAGTATTAAATTGAACGAATCGCAGAACTGCTATTAGTTTAATTAAATTCTCGCAATTCTAGCTATATCGATGGTTATTTGACACAACATCGTAAGCGACAAAAGAGAGATTTTTTTTGTGTGGGAGCTTTATTTTTAAAGTTATGTATCTAAAAACTAGTGAGGCATTATGTTATTAATGTAGAATTCAGATATTTAAGTTAGATCGAATCCAATCTAAAATTTTTATTCAATTTTGTGGCATACGATATTTTATAAAAACACCTTTAGGAAAATGTAAAATTAGTCTTGTCGCTTAAGTTACATCTACGTTACTTTATGGGATATAGATTTGATGATTACTTTTGTCAAAACATCGTTAGCGACATTTATTTTTTTATACTTTTATTATTAAATAAAAAAAATTACAAAAAAATTAATTTATAAAATATCACCAACGATATTTTGCCAAACAATGTTTGAAAATGAAAGTCTACATTATTATTTCTTCGTCTAAGGCCTTTTATCTCATTCTGTGTAGGTATACCAGAGATACGACACTGACTCAAACTTTCTTCCAAACGATCAATCAAACTGAGCAAAAGTTACTGTTTTAACGGACCCGTTAAGTTAGCAAAAGATAGATCAAGACCCCGGTTAGCTTTCTTTAAAAAAAAGAACGATTTTTATTTACAAATCAGTATCTAACCCATGCATGGTACCATGATCTAACTGTTATAAATTTGAGTCAAGTTATTTGACGCTAAAACAACATACAATTACTACAAAAAAACACTTTTAACCCGTAACTGGTGAAAACCCCAAACCCCACCCATTCTAAGAATCTTTACCACGTATTAAATCATGGTACGAGGCTCGCTACCCCCTGTAGAGTTTTCATTTGGGGTTTGTTATGTAAAAAAGTGACCTCACCAGTTACGGGTTAACGAACCGCACTAGGTAACAACAATTATAATTAGGGTAACTATTAAAATGCAATGAAATAAAGTAATTATAAGCTTTTGATCAAATAAAATATTATTTTAAAACTTGGTAGCAATCACCACGATGCAGGTATACTCACGAATAAACTGTTTAGAGCGGGAATAACGCCTTGATAGATCAAGGCGGGAGCAAAATATTATCGTAAGCGACACAATGTCAAATCGCAAACGCCATGTTTCTTACGCTTATTTGTCGGGAACATATAGGCGCTTACGTTCTAAATCGGTAACAAATTAAAAAGAAGAGACGCTTACAATAATTAAAATATTCAAACTGACCAATATTAGATTCCAAAATTGGGATAACTATTATGTAAACATGTGCAGCTTATCGTAACTGACACTTTGATAAAATAAAAAGTAATTCAACAAAATTGTCGCTTACGATGTATTGTCAAATAACCATCGATATTGATAAAATCGAACTATTTCGCTGGAATGACGAATCGATAATATTGGGAATCTCTGTTTAATTTTAAAACTCTCCACGCGCCCCCCGTAAATATTTATTCGTTTTCAGTTGCCGCAAACGCTTCGTCGTTCCAGCCATTCTCTACAAAAACAAATACGTGTGTCGTTCGGCAACGTTATCGTGCGGTTGCGAGGTGTACGGTCGCAAAGGGATCGATTATCTGGTGAACATTGTGACGGGCGGCGGTCCTTCTGCCCCTTCGTCATCCTCTTCGCTGTGCACATCGATGTGCTGCGATAACGAGCATCAGCGCCCCCAAGCTAACGCGGCGGACTCGCTCGAAACTAAACAACCGGAAGAGGAGGAGAGAAGGTTCTGGGAGTACCACCAATTGCTCCGGCATTCGGATATCAAGTTGCTGAAGAAGTTTTCAGTGGGTAGTATCGTCGATCTGATGGTCGAAAATAGGAAGACCACTTTGGGAATAAGGTACGAAGAATTACTTCACTAACTCTCCTGTAAAAATCCTCCTTTTTGTTAGCGTCACGTCTTCGGAAAAAGTGGACAAGGAGAAGCGCTACCTCGATTTCAACCTGATCTCTCTGCCGTACCCGGGTTGCGAGCATTTTCAAAAATTTCAAGCCAACAATTACGAAGCCGAAGGCCTCAAATTCGATTGGGATCCTTCGGTGTGCGATGCCAAAATAAACGTACCTGAAGTTCCATCTTTGGAGAACTTGAAAATAAATTGGGACAACTTCAAGGAGTGGGAGTTGGTGACCCTCACTCAAAATTATCTCAGATACATGCTCAAATATTTACAGGTAACACGACTTTGTAAAACGGTTCCGGTCTACAGTCCGCGCGTTATAACTTGGCGTTATAACGCCAAGGGGTTATTTAAATTAAAAAATACATTAGGAAAAACTAAACAGCTGGAAAATCGAAAAAATCGAAATTCGTACAACTTTGAATTCATTTAAATAGATGGCGTTCGTAGTTGCGCTTCAAATTAAATAACTATTAAACTCGGAAATGGCTTAACCAAAAAATATTTTTTTGTTTTGTTCGCCTTAATACAGGGATGATTGAAATATAAAAAATACATTAGGGAAAACCGAAAGGAACAGCAAGAAAATCAAAATTCGTACAACTTTGGATTAATTTGAATAGATGGCGTTCGTAGCTGCGCTTCAAATTAAATGAAAAAACATAACCACGAATTCATTTATTCAATTGTTTTAGCGAGAAATTAGTTTAAATAGTAAAGTTCTCAATTGTTTAAATTAGTTTAAATAGTAAAGTTTTCAAGGTAAGTTTGACAGATTTAAGCGACTCTGAAAACAATTCCGTGTCGTTTTACAGTGTTCAATGAATGGAGTTGAAAGGTTTGATAATCGCTTATAAAGAATTTTAGGTGGAACGAAGTTCACCGGGTCATCCAGTTAAATATATATATTTAGGTTTAATATTGTAGATTTTTTATCCCGGTATGAATAAAACATTCAAAAAGTAATTAATTAATATTCCTCTAAAAAACTGTCCTAATCGCTATCATCTGAATATAGATTAATTAAAAATGGTTCCCGGTGAATATATCTTTTATCCAATCCTCTTGCGATATTTCAGCAAATTCTTCTTCCGCAATTTTTTTTTCATCTTCCAATTTAAAAATTACATATCTCCGAGCCACATTGTTCTTAACTGTTGCCGAAATTACGTCAACTGAGCATAGGGCGTTCTCGCCAAGTTATAACGCGCGGACTGTAAATAACATTTGATTGTTTCTTGAAAAAGGAGAACTTTGGTGATATGTTGAACAAATATTAGAAATATTATATGTTGGGGAATATTTCTAATATTTATTTATTGTCTGATTAATTAGGACAACTCATGCGGAATGTTGGTGCACTGCATCAGCGGTTGGGATCGAACTCCGCTGTTCATTTCATTGATGCGGCTCAGTCTCTGGGCCGACGGTTTGGTCCATCAACATTTGGACGAGTATCAAATTTTGTACCTTTGCATCGCCTACGATTGGTTCGCATTTTCGCACAAGTTCAAGCAACGCGTCGATCGTAACGAGGAGATTTTCTTTTTCTGCTTCTACATGCTCAAGTATATACAAGACGACGATTTTAGTATTTCTCAGGCGAGGTAAGCAGTTTTCTTTCGTATTGTCTCGCATGTTGCAGATTTTTGATTTTTTTTCGTTTAGGCATAAGTTGAAAAAGCCAGAAGGACGACCTCTAGTCGAGAGAATCGACAGTCAGACTGATATTATGTTTGATGGGGAATATTTCGGAAACAGCAATAGCAGCCAGGATTTTCAGAATAATTTCAACTATGAGGAAAATAATGGGTATGTTACCAAATTTTGTTTACAGAGTTACCCGCATAACACAAACATATATTTAAAATCTATATATATATATAAACGAATCGCCGTGCGTTAGTCCTGCAAAAACTCTATTTAAATATATTTTTTTTTCGTCCTATGAGCGGTTCTTGGCGAACTTGGAATAAACCTTATGTCAACATTTTATTTAAATAAAGGGAAAAAATCTAAAACTGGAAAACGTACCGAAAACCATCAACGAGGTACTTGCGAACTTTTTTTAATTCGATATAAGTACTGAATTCGGTACAAACGTACTGACGCTGGCAACACTGCGCACAGATCATACGAAAATGATACGGCAAGCAAACAAATTCAATCCCTACCACAGTGGGCGGGGTTTGGCACTTGTTTTATTTAAGTGTATCTATATAATCTGTATAATCGCAACTAAAGTTCAACTTATACTTTACCTTTTTTATTAACTAGGTACCGTAAAAAATATTAATTTTACTTCAATTTTTAAATTTTAACTATGAAGCTATTAACTATTTCAAATTTTGTTCTGAAATTTTATTATATTTTACTTTTTATTTTATTGATATATTTTTAAAAAAGAATTCCGGTATCCAAGCCTCTTGATTGGGACATTTAAAACATTAACATATTTGTCATATAAATAATTACATTACAACATTTATACCAATCCCTGATAGCAAAATTTGATTTTAAGAATCTTTTAAGAAGATATGACCCGAAATAATGAAATATTCTTAGAACCTTCCCTTATTGCTAAGAATGTTCTTAGGGACTTTTAAAACATTCAATACATACCCTTTTAATGATGCAATTAGATTCTTAAAAGCTTCTTAAAACCTTCCAAGAACATTTTAATAATACGTTTTTGGAATGTTCTTAGAAGGTTTCTTATGGAGCTTCTAGGAAGCTTTTGAGAATATTTCCAAATATGTCAGATACCCACGTTCTAATATGTTGTATTCTACATTCGTAAAATTCTTAAGGAGGCGACAAATACGCCTCACTGTCATAATATGACGTCCCCTTAAAAAATGTTGCGACATATTAATATATATTTATTTAAAAATATTAAATAAACAATTTGACCTCTAAACCATAAGTTGTATGACATGATTTCATAAAAAGTAAAATTGGAAAATTTTGTGGGATAAGTCGGATTAGATTGAAGTTGAAGATAGTTAGGATTATTACCTATAATATATTATATTTTGGATTGTATTTTTTACTTAGTATTTAATACTAACTACTAATTAGGTACTAAAGTATAGGTATATACCTTTATGAACTTTCTATAGCAATTACTTTCTTAACATTCTAAGCATATGTTTAGAGTAGACTAATTTTTACCACTAAAACTTTGGTCCTTCTAAGAACCTGCCTATAGGCCAGTAAGAATATTCTTGGGATCATGCTATATGTCTTTTAAGCATGTTCTTTAGAAAAAAAATATAGCATGATCCTAAGAATATTCTCACTGGAAGGTTTAAAAAACATTCTTAGAATAAAGTGTGCTATCGGGGATGAATTATTTAGGAGAAAACCACTATACATTATAAGGAATACTCTAGTGTGAGTTATAAAATTTTGTAAAAATGTATTTTGTTCAAAACTTTTCACACTTTGACCTTAGATATCTGTTGGATGGATATGTTTACAAAAAAACTATAAATAACTTTATTTTTGAATAAAATGAAAAAAAAGGCTTCAGGTCAATTATTAAGGTCACAAATTAGTTTTGACCAGAAAAGTAGCATTCCAACGGCCTGACAACATTTTTAAAACATCGTATTATGTGGGTAGCTGACTTGGCATATTTCCAGAAACCCTCAATCGGCATTCACGAATTTGGACATCCAAGATAACACTAGCAACTCGGCCTCGCCTCAGCCGCCAAAACGTACGTCGCCGGTTCAAGTCCCGAAAGCGAAACGCACCGAAACCGCTAGCAGCATCAACAGCAACGGAAGCAGCAGCAACGGCTGGCAAATCGTCACCGGAACCGGAAGCCTTCAAGGTTCCAACTCGCAGGAGGACCGCTGGTTCGACCCGCCCTCCCCCTCGCCCACATGCACTCCGCCATGGTAAAAAACTTTTCTTAATTATTCATTATTCGTATTGTCTACATTTTGTCTTTCCTTCATCAGTCGCAGCGAGAGGCTCGGTAAAGTACGCGAAATTTTCTACAAGTGCTACCACAACACAATCGGTAAAAACACTGTGGATTACACCGAGAATCGCTCTTTCGTTCCAGGAATCCTCAGGAATTTATACTCAGGAGGTCAATCTCAATAAGACTGATTATATTTATATTCAATAAACCCGCAATGTTTTTTCCAAGCCTTTATGTGCCAAAAAATAAACACGGCCGAAAGAACCAGTGTGGTTTTTTATAGTCAATCGTTTTTAGTTTAGTGTACATTTTTGTTAAATTTTTGTTGCACGGTTAAACCTTTAATTCTGCCAAAGTGTATCTCAAGCGGCGCACCTTTAAGATTCATAAAACTGTTACTGCCATATGAAATGACTATTTTTCTATTATCAGCAAGTTTTATAATATGTCAAAATACTACTAATTGGATTTTAATATTAGTGGTTGGTTTTTACTACAGTATTTTTAACATTTTTTTTTGGTCGACTTGCTAAATTTATAGTGCAATATTAAGCAATAAACGGACATATTTATTTATGGTTAAAATTATCTATATCCTGGATTTTAATAAATAACAATTTTTAAAATCCTTGATAAGGGTAAGTGATAATAACCTTAAAAGGTTCATGCTTTAAATCCTTGTGATTTTTTAAAATAGCGTTATAGTATTTTTATATTGTTTTGTTGATTTCTGCAAATAACTTAATAATTCCAAATCGCAAATTTTTCAGCATTTAATTCGTACTTTAAACAGATCTAATTAAATCTGAGGTTATTTTTTTAAATGTGTTTTGATTTAGATTTTAATTGTTATATGTTAAAATTGATACGAGTTAAATAAATTCTATATTTCTATAACGTTTTTTATTCCCTTAATTATTTCCTTTTTACTTTGACAATATAAAAAATCCAGCAGTGAAATCTTAAAAAATTAACCAGTCACAAATCAGTGGCTTGTCATATTTATTTTGTTAATCACCATATAATCATAATATTATAAATTAAAATAAAATAATATGAGATTAAATATGATGCTTCACAAACAAAAACTAGGGTAAAATGACAAAAAGAAATATTTTATTGATGTTAAAAATATAGAATGGGAGATAAATTTGCACCTCTAAAAACAATGATACTTACCTTAAAATGCTAGGCCATTGATTGTATCATTAAAATAAATGCCTAATCTTAAAAAATCCTAATTTAAATTGTAGGTTGGTAATGCTGTAAAAATGTAACATTTGGGTCACGTAGTCAAAATTGGCGGGAAATTCAATTGCGTTTGTAAATCCTTGTCAAATTAAAACAAAAATTCAATAAAACACGGTTTTATTTAGCGGTTCTATATATAAATCCATTGATTGTATTTATTTGTATAGGTATAATACAGTTACTATAGTGCAAGTTGGTGTATTCAGTACATGTGTCTGTTATTGTTTATTTGTTTTTATATAAAAATCACATGAATTAAGGTTTGTATTAATATTTATTTACAAAAATATGGATTAAAACAGACACATTACAGATCAAAATTTATTTTTTGTAAACAATGTGTGTGTAATGAAAATAAAAAACCTAAGAAAACATATATCTTGATATGTTTTGAAAAATTAATTAAGACCCAAATATTAATAATCTTATATTAATTAATAAAACTTAACAACAAAAATTATAACTTGCATGCAAACCAAAACAAAAAAAAATACAGATCAAAACATACAATCCGTTTTTTATTTTTTAACATTATTTTATTCCCCCAACTTTTCACACCTTTTTTAATTTAGTTAAACCAGTGATGATTAAAATAATGTGATAAAATTATAGCCTTATGCTAAATTATTATTAAGGATATCTGTGAAAAATAGCGGGAAATCTATTGAGGTATTTTTGAATTTTAAATTTCATGAAAAAAATAAAAGCAGACTTAAATTCTACGAAAATATTTTGTCATTAAATGTAGAAAGCTTTAGCACCAAGGGATAACATATTTTTCTTGAATCGATCTGTCAATTTGGGATTGTAAAAATGCAAATGAATGCATGAATATAAGCCGAAAATATCTCGAAAGATTTACCAAAAAATATGAATTTATCGGTAGGTATTTAGCAAGGACAAAATTGAAAAATATTTCATAGGTGAATCTATTTTAAGGTCCACATTCGACGAATGAATGTGGACTTTAAAAAAGTGAGACACATATAAATGTCATTTCCAGCGAGTACAAACTGCGAATGCGTCCAATTAGTCTGGAGATGAGTAAAACTCAATATGTTGGCACGAGCCACTTAAGTAAATGATTTTTTATTAAACCTGATGAAATTAAAAAAAAAGTGGCTAAGTAATGCACGGACAGATTATAAAGTATTATTAATTTATTTAATTTTTAACATCTGATGCTATATAAAATGTACAGTCAGTCAAAATAAAGTACAGTCAATAATTCTACAGAAAAAATTTGGTAAATATAGTACTACATAATAGTATGTAGTCAAACTTGTTAAAATGCATACACAGTAAGAAAAAATTAATAAATGGTGGAAATTATTAAAATAAACATAATTTTAGTAATTTTATTAATAATTAAATTTATTGGATGACACATATGAGCAGCCATTTAAAAACCTTTAACAATGCAGCTTAGCACTGACTAGTAAAACCATATCCCCAAAAATGTTTGGGTTCACAGTCTACATGGAAATACATAGATGTTAAAAAACCAGCTAGAGGGATTTCTAGAAAAAAATCGTTCTCGGCTTGGCTAAACAAAAAAAAATTTCATACCAATGCGACAAAATGTGAAAACTAAGACGAACTTTCGTCGCATCGGTAAAAAAGTTCCAACGATGTCACTGTTTCTGCCGAACATATTGTCCCAAACAAACCTACGGCTGACCCCCCCTCCAATATTCCTCACTGGTTAACCAAGCGACGGAAAATCACGTTCGTCGTCGACCTTGGGGGCTTTGCGATCACTTTTATCATTGTCCGCCTAAAAAGACATTTTTGAATAAATATTTGTTTGGCAATATGTATATTTTTTAAATTTCAATTTTATCGTAAAAATGTTTTCTCGTCCTAAATCACTTTTGTGCTTCAAAAATTAATTTTTGTTGGAAGACATCGACTTAATTACAAAATAAACAATTTAATAATTTACTTACAATTACAAAAGATAATAAGCAACCACAGCTGCTTATCAAATAAATACTTTTGCCTAAAGATGCGGTCTCTATAAATAATTATTTTTAGATTTAATACTATGTACTCAGAATTTATGACAACATGGCGCATGGTAAATAATTATGTTAAGATTATCTTAATTTTAGTAAATATAGGAAAATGTCAATTTTAATATCTTTATATTTATAAAAAATATAATTTAAATCAGAGATGAGATTTTTTTAATGCATTAAGGTTTCAATACACATTATTAAAATATTTTTTTAATGAAAATTAAGTTAATTACTCATTACATTTTTTCTAATAACTAATGTATTTTTTTTTACATTACTCATTTTTAATCTGTAATGAGTATTTTGAAATTTTCAATTACATTTTTTTATGTTACTGTTATGTTACTGTCAATATTGTTACTCATTTTTTTAATTTTTAATGAGAAATGAATGATTTTCGAATTACTCATTTTTAGTGGGCAAGGAAGAATACAAACAGTTTAAAAATTAAAATTTTAAAACTCAAAAATCGCATGCTTTGAATAATTTTGATACACGAAAATTTGAAGAAATAAAAATTTCAATTCGGACCATTAAAGAAATTAGCAGCAAAAAAACAAAAAACGCGATTGTTTTGAAAATTTAATATCTTTTGAATGAGTTATCAAAAATATATCTTTTACTAGAAAGGGATTTTTAATGGGTACTTAAAAATATCGAAAATCAACATTTTTCAAACAGTCAGACTTGGTGTAAAATGCCCCATATAAAAATTTTTTTCAGTGATGGGTAATGTCTTTTCATTACACATTTTCTTTAATGTGTAATGTACAGTCTCTTATTACTCATTTTTTAATGAATAATGTATTAAAACTACATTACCATTAATGGGTTACATGCATATGAGCTCTTAACGGTTTTTGGTGATTTTTTTTTGGTATATAATAATAATTATTATTAAAACAAAGTATAAAGTATCAAATAGGGTATGTTTCGAAGTATTTGTGAAAAAATTTTTATGCGAGAATATGCAAAATTATGGAACGCCTTTTTTTCAAGCGTTTGCGGTGAGCATAAAACAGATCTTAATGAAAAAAAAAACATATTAGTGAACGAAGGGTTTTGCAAAAAAAATGTTTACGCAAATCTCAAGGGTACAAAAATTGAGTTTTCCTGCAGAAAAAAATAGAAATGAAATGAAAATCCGTGTTCACAAAGGAGCTATTGTAATTAGGTACAACACTGTTTTGAGAAATCGTGCTCACGGCAACAGCACTTTTAAGTTCATTTACTTTGCCTTTAAATGTTCGTGTACATATTTTTAAAAGGATATGTTGTAAGAATATTTAATAAAAAAATAGATTCTTTGACCCAGCTCAAATGTATGTAACCCCGTCAAAAAAAGTGACGATTGCATTATTTTTTACATTAACATTTTTGCAACTCTGAATAGTTCATCAAATGTTTCAAGAATATTTAATATAATCGATTAATTGATGAAATAATAGTATATTATGTATCAAGTTTTATAAACACCATTTTATGCACGAGTTTTATTAGGCACGAGCGAGTGTTTAATAAAAACGAGTGTCTAGAGAAGTTTATAAAACGAGTTGCATACTATACTTTATCTACGACGAACAGAAATAAGAATTAAAAGTGAGGTTAAATTTGTTAAATGTCAAATTTTATGAAATAATAAAATTTGACATTTAACCTCACTTTTTCGTTATTTGTAATAAAGCTAACTTCAGCCCGTGACTAAAATGCCCAGAAGCTTGCGAGCGAGTGTTTAATAAAAACGAGTGTCTGGAGAAGTTTATAAAACGAGTTGCATACTATACTTTAACTACGACGAACAGAAATAAGAATTAAAAGTGAGGTTAAATTTGTTAAATGTCAAATTTTATGAAATAATAAAATTTGACATTTAACAAATTTAACCTCACTTTTTCGTTATTTGTAATAAAGCTAACTTCAGCCCGTGACTAAAATGCCCAGAAGCTTGCGAGCAAGTGTTTAATAAAAACGAGTGTCTAGAGAAGTTTATAAAACGAGTTGCATACTATACTTTATCTACGACGAACAGAAATAAGAATTAAAAGTGAGGTTAAATTTGTTAAATGTCAAATTTTATGGAATAATAAAATTTGACATTTAACAAATTTAACCTCACTTTTTCGTTATTTATAATAAAGCTAACTTCAGCCCGTGACTAAAATGCCCAAAAGCCACTGTTATTAACTTCAGCCCATGACTAAAATGCCATAAAGTCACAACTTGTCAATGTAGGAGTAGATAAAATTTTTAAATACACAAACAGTTTGAATATTCATTTAATATTATTTAATAATCAAGTTTTGGATTAATCAGTACTTTTTATAAAAAAAAAACCCGGACAACATTCGTGATATTCATACGAACATCATGTCGTGATTTTCACAAATTTTATTCATACTGATATCATACGGAAATTGCAGCGTGATAAATGAAAATCATACGAACGTCACGTCGTGATTTTCACAAATTTTATTCATACGGACATCATGCGGATGTCACTGCGTGAGAAATGAAAATCATGTCGTGATTTTTTATGCCATCGCTGTTTGCGATTGACCGATGGCACAAAAAATCATGTCGTGATTTTTTATGCCAACGGTGTTTGGATAATCATTTTTGCTAAGAGAAAAATTATGTTGAATCAACAGTTTTTGCGGTTAAATACATTTAATATTTTCTTGGATTTAAATTAACTATATATAGTTAATTTAAATCCAAGAAAATATTGAATGTATTTAACCACAAAAACTGTTGATTCAATATATATGTATGTGGGTATACTTTTTCTCTGCTAATGTGGCGCAAAAATAAATATCCAAACACCGATGGCATAAAAAATCACGACATGATTTTTTATGCCATCGGTGTTTGGATATTCATTTTTGCGAAACATTTGTACATTGAAAGAAAAAGTATGTTAACAATTGAATCAACAGTTTCAACATTTTCTTGGATTTAAATAAACTATATATAAGTTAATTTAAATCCAAGAAAATATTCGCAAATATCACACCGTGAGTTCTACATGATATCACTGTGATGAAGCATGTGTATGCACTCAGGATATCACAGCGGGATAAAAAAAAACACGATTGAAAAGAAGGAGTTATACGTACTTGTTCGTGATAACGTCTCTCTGGCCTGGGTTCCGGGGCGGCGTCCGGTCTGCCGCCGCGTTCCGGGCGCTCGGCGCGTTCTGGGCGCTCGGCGCGTTCGCCGCCGGCCCTCTGGGCGCCGCCGCCGCCGCGGTTGGCGCCTCTGGCCCCGCGGTTGCCGCCTCTGCCGCGACCGCCCGGTCCGCCGGGACGCCTGTTGTCGTTGAATTGAATGTCAATGTCCAGCACGTGCTTCTGCCGGCCGACGCGTTGCGGGTACTCGGCGGTCGCGTCGTACTCCTCGTCCTCGGAATCGTCCTGTTCGTTCTCCTTTTTCCTTAGCTCGTACATTTTCTTCCATTGAGACGGGTCCTCGCCTTCTCCGGCTTTGCGAATGTTGTAGGTCGGCTTTGAACGGCCAGCGCGCTGGGCCTTCCATTCGTCCAGGGTCAGTTCCTTGGGCTCCTCCTCCATCGGAGGGGCGCTCTCCACATCGCCGCTTGTCTCCTCGCCGGCTTTCACCTCCTTGTCGGTCTCCTTCGGCTCCACCTTCTCGACTTCGCCCCAGCTTTGATCGTTCTCGTTGTTGTTAGGCCTGTCAGCTTCCCTGTTGACAAAATAATATAATAATAATCGCCATTTTTTAGTTTTTAGTTAGCACTTACTCGATAACGTCCTTGTGAGATCCCCAGTTATGCGAACCGCCTCCTTCCCGCTTGTCGACCGGTTTAACTCCTCTGTAACCATGGCTGCATTCAGTATTGGTGTCAATGACAGGACAACGTTAATCAAATAACAATAATAATAAAAAGGCATTCGTCTATTCTACTCTTAGGATTATCGGAAGCAAACACTTACGTTTTATCAGATCCGCTTTGCCTGTCAAACTCCCTTTTGCCTCGCTTGTCATCGAAAGTACGCCTCGGGCCTCTGGGGCCGCCAGGTTTGTTTCCTAACGCGCGTCCGTCCCTCCTGTCGCCTCTCTGCTCGCCGCGGTTGCCTTTTTCCAAGTTGTCGGAAAATTCGCGCCTGGGCGGCCTATCTTCGCGATCCCTTCAACAAATTACCACCACATGCATTTTATCTATCCCCATTCAACGTATTTTAAGCTATTTCAAATATGATTCACCTTGATGTAAGATAACAAGAATTACCTAAACACTTAAACTATTTGCATAATAATACAATACCAAGTCCCATTATTTTAAATATTATCTCCATGACTATTCTGGCCACACACTTATTTTTAAAACTGAATTAAAACAACATCCATGTTATTCCTACAAAGTATAAACCTTCAAAAGGCAACGTGACATTTTTTTTACTAGGTATTGCTTCTTTAAATAATAGAAAAAAAAGATGTTTTGGGTATAGCTTCCCCATTCTAAGGCTTTCAATGATTATTATGTTTCCAAACTTGAAGAGGTGGCTTCAGGAAAAAAAGACATTAAAGAGTTGGACAGAGTACCCTTGAAACACATCTTGCATGCAAACTCATTGGAATTTTTGTGCAAATACTGTCAATATATTTACACAAAATGTCACATTATTGACATATTCATTATTTTACTTCATTAATTGTACATATAGGTCATATGCATGCATGGTCACCTCATCCTTGCGGTGGTTCTCGCCAACGCGCGCGGAATTGTGCTCTGGCCCGCCTGAGCTACTTATAAACCCTTAATAAAACAAAATGTTTAAAATAAAGAATATTCCGCATGGTCTGGTGGTTACCCACAAAGATCGGGTTCAAAAGAATTTTTAAAATAAATTTGAAAAAAAGATATGTCAGCTGTGTTTCAAGGGTATTATGCAAAGGGTGAAGAAATGTTGACAGATTAAATCAAAAGATATGTGTGTAGTGTTTAAAAAACGTGTTTTTTAAGGTTAACATAGGTTAACAATAAAAATCCAGTTAAGATTGCAAGACCATGAACCTATTTTACCAAATAAACAACATTTCGCAATAAAAAATAACATTGTAGTACAAGATAAAATAATAAATAAAACTTTTTAGAATGATAAATGTATAGTATAACTGTAATAATTAATTAAAAATAAATCAATTAACAGAAATTATTGACCTGACACCGAAGTAAATAAAAAGGCCTGCCAGATAGGTAATTATGAATGTTGATATTTTTTAATTAATAAAAACCTTGTAAACAGCAATAAATAAAGCAGTTGATTGAGCACATGTTAGCAGAGTATAACTTTCCCAATATAGATATGGAAAATAATGTACATATTTAGATCTATGGCAGATGGAAAAACGTGAAATATAAATAACTTACCGGTTTTCAGATGGTCCGTTGTAAGGTCTGTCTTCACGATTTCTTCGGTTATTTCTATCCTCGCGGTTTTCATTATTATTGTTAAACTTGTTAAAAGTACGTTCAGGTTTTCCGTCAGCGTTAGATCTAGGATGGGCAGTTTTCGAATCTAAAAGCGCATTAATAAAATAAATCGCATCCTAAGCGTAAACAGTATTAAGTAATAAGGATAGCTTTAAATATATCACATGTGCGCATACCGTTTATAGAATGGCGGACTATGTTTTAACAGAAAACACATACCTTTATTTTCTTGAACCTTATGACTTGTCTCCTTAATGGGTTTTTTCTGAGCAATGGTCGTCTTCGGCTTTACGGGTGGTACAACTTTTTCCTTGTTTTCCTTTTCGGCCCCTTTGGTCTTCTTCTTAAGGTCTTTTTCTTGCTCTTTTAACGAAAGAGTTTCGAGAGGATCCGACTCATCGTCCAAAAAAAGAGCGTACCTATTGGCAACGCCAATTCCGTAGGAATTTTCCATGATGGTTTACTACGGTAAAAGTCTTCGCAACTTTAAGATGTTGGAAGATTTGTTTATGGCTAACTCAGCCTTCTCTTATTCACGCACTCATTCAACGCAATATGGCCGGTGCACGAGGAATCGCCCGCGCACACTTTATGCGCAACACACAATGCGCAGGCCATAAACCGTATCTCCCGCAATCATTGGACGAATCTCAATCTGCCGGTATTTTACCAATCGCAACGCCGCTCCGGCCGACACAAGAAACGCGCCCAATTTAAATCCACCAATCGACCGCATCGCTTCAGCGTCTAATGCGGAAAATTACGTATGCTTCCCCATTAATTTATACATTTTTTATTTTATTTTGAATTTAACGATAGGAGGTTAATCATTTAAAATTTAAACCCGTATTATTTATTAAACGGTAGATCAAAGTATATTGATTGCAAGCGAGTGTTTAATAAAAACGATAGTCTATAAAACGAGTTGTATCTAGGACAAACAAAAAGAAGAATTCATAGCCAATTTTATTTGTTAAACATTTGACATCTGACAACTGACAGACATTGATTTTTTTCAATTTATAATAAAGCCAACTTGTTAGTTAATTTTTAAAGGAGAAATTTTGGTTTTTAAAGAAAAATTTGACAAACTGACACTGACATTTTGAAAGTCGAACAGTTTCCAAACACAAATTATGTTCACTATTTCTGCATAGATATCGCTGTATACAAATATTTTGATTGATTTTTATTACTATTATTATTATTGACTTTGGCATTGACATTGGCAACAGCGTGTTTCAGACTTTTTAGCGACGCGTCGCTATCAGAGATATCTCTGGTCGCTATGTCACTTGATTTTGACGGGCTGAAGTTAGTTGCAGTTGTCAAATGTTATACAACCCACAATCCACACAATCCACACATTGTGATACAACCGTCAAAACCAACTGACTATAGAAACTTTCTATTAGAAAGTGAGTCTCAACCTTTATAATCTGTGGCGAGTCTGACAGATTTTATTAATTTTTGTTTGTTGTAAAGAGTCTGGTAGGTATGCAACTTGTGACTAAAATGCCGTTTATCAAACTTATTTCATAATATACAATTTTATATTTTTGCTGTTTATTTTTACTTGTTTTTTTTGTCCTGTAATAGTTACCAATTATTGTAAGTAATAGTTTTCTAATGATCAAATAAATTTTTTATTATTTCTATATTTTGCTTACCTGCTTCTTTTGTTTTTTTTTACTAATAATTACAAATTTGTAATGGGGATAAAGAGGAAAAATAAAAGATGTAACATACTGATGATTTTTTATTTGTATAACGTTATATAATCATATAACCAAATAAGGCATAAATGAAAAGAGATACCTATTTCCTGTTCAAAATATTATGTACTAAAAACGGACTTGTTAAAAAAGTTGAAAAAATGCTGAACCCACTTACATAAAACAAACATGTCTGAGAAAAAGAATTTTCTAAGTATCAAATAGAAATAATTTAACTGTTTTATTATCTAATTATTCTTACATTTTATATATATGTATATACATTGTACAATTTCTAATTATTATGAACAAGAGAAGTAACTTTTTATAACAGATTTCTTTTTCAAATATAATTAATTTCTTACAAAGATATACTTAAAGATTTTAATAACATATTAATGTCAAAGTACAAAAGAGTGCCTGAAAACAAAAAATACAGACAAAGCAAGTGGGATCAAATACCACAAAATGTAAGAACGTTTACAAAAAAAGTATGCATCAATGTTTAATATGTTAATGAATAATAAAATATTTCAACAAAGAATTTAAATATTAAATAGTTTGCTAAAACTTGAGTATATTAATATATGAAATATTAAACAGAGATGGTATATTTAGAACAATTCACTTTTGCCAGTTTGCAACTAAACTGTTTTCTGGCGTTATTCTGTATTAAAATTAAAGTAAATAAAAAAAATTGGTAAAAATGTTAATGAAAGGAGATTCAGTAAACATGAAAATGAAAACAGTTTGAGTTTGCAAAAAGAGCAAGGCAAAATAACGGCCTTCAAAAACCATGTAAGACAGTAGTTCATAAAAATGTATCCGCATATTTGTTGTTGCTTTATGTATAATTTAAACATTGTCCAAAGCACCTTAACAAACATGAAAATATATTCTACAAATAATACAAACCTCCAAATGTGGATAATACACCTAAATTTGATTGAAGGCGATCTTACTAAAAAAATAGAGGAGAATTGTACACTCAACAACCACACGTCTCTCATACAAAGTTAATTTTTTGTTTTTCTCTAAATAAAAGATATCGTTTTTGATATTCACACAAACCAACATAAAATAGAATTTTCAAATACTAGTTATAAAAATAAAATAGTGTTTATCAGTCCACTAACACTATACAAATTATAAACACACTTTAGAATGTTCTCTCTTGCGTCGCTTTGTTAAACGGAAAAAGTCACGAGCAAATGCCGCGCGCTCTTACATTCCCACATCTTATTTAATAATTATTTAAACCTCAGTAAACATTCTTTGTATTATTTGCTAAACCTTATTAAACACTCATTATATTTTTTACATATCTTCTTTGTCAAACTTCATTTTCTTCACAGTTGCTGGCTGACCTTCTGGCAAACGTTTTGTCACTTTATTCGTCGATTGGGGATCTAAACCAACAAAATACAAATCAATATACAATAAATTCGCCACTATTTATATAAAAAAATTTGATTTTTTCGCCTCAATACAGGGGTGATTTAAATAAAAATGCGTTAGAAAAAACCGAAAGGAACAGCCGGAAAATCAAAATTTGTACAACTTTGGATTAATTTGAACAGATGGCGTTCGTAGCTGCGCTTCAAATAAAATAACCATTAAACTCGGAAATAGCTCAACCGATTTAAATATTTTTTTTTTGTTTTGTTCGCCTCAATACAGGGTTGATTGAAATTAAAAATACATTAGGAAAAACCGAAAGGAACAGCCGGAAAATCAAAATTCGTACTTCTTTGGATTAATTTGGATAGATGGCGTTCGTAGCTGCGCTTTAAATTATATGAAAAAACATAACCACAAATTTATTCATTTTTGTTCGCCCTACAGGGTTGATTGAAATTAAAAATACATTAGGAAAACCCGAAAGGAACAGCCGGAAAATCAAAATTCGTAAAACTTTGGATAGATGGCGTTCGTAGCTACGCTTCAAATTATATGAGAAAAGATAACCACAAATTCATTAATTCAATTGTTTTAGCGAGAAATTAGTTTAAATAGTAAAGTTTGACAATTTGACCGACTGTGAAAACAATTCCGTGTCGTTTTACAGTGTTCAATGTTCATAAGGATTGATAATTGCTTATTCAAATTCAGTTCAAATTCTAATATCTACATTCTTACCTTGCAACCACCTGACTTGTGTGGCAGGTCCATATCCTTTGTCATTTTTGGCGGCGATGCGGAAAATGATGGCCGCCTTTGTCGACGTATCCAAATGTGCTGCTGACAGTGATTGATTGGACACGACACATTGATTACTTGGTCCGCAATAGACGCGCACGAACGCAAGTTGTCCAGGAGGATTGTTGGGTTTTTCTTGCTGCTGAAAAAAGTTAATGTTTTTAAAAAATTTGCCAGTTTTCAAACAATAATGTGATGATACCTTTCCGCGGACGGCTAAATAAACTGAATATTCCAGAATTTCGCCTTGATTTAAGCTAGGGGGTTCCCACGAGAGATGCGCCCCTTCAATGGATTTTGCGATCTTAATGGCCGACGGGGCCCCGGGGAATCCAGGTAAACAAGTTTTAAATGCTGAAACCTTAAAAAAGATCAATTAAAAATCAACGTACATTTTCGATATGGAAACGGCTAAATTACAAATTTTATTTAGCAATTTATGAGGTTTTTTGGGGAATTTTCGGAGAAATAAAGTATACAAATGAATTTCTGTAATTAAATAAAAACACTTAAAAAATAAGAATAAAATAAATAATTTCTTTTTAACATTGCCTAGTTTTTTAAGCCAAATCGATGGACGAGTTTTTTTGAAATTTTGAAAAAGTGAGACAAAATAACTACTTTTGTATGTATCAGAGTAGAAATTTCTGCCCTTTTAATTTTATTTAAAAAAAAAACGCGTCGATAGATGTGGCTAAAAAACTACGCCAAAGTCAAATGATGTTATATTTATATTTATTTTGAGAAAATAGTTAATAACTAACAATAATTCAAAAATCTCACAATAGAAAAAATATGCAAAGTTTGCATAACATTATTTAGTTTGTTTACTATTTAAAATAAAATTAAAAATCCTTTTGTTTGATATATAACACGGCATATTTTTGTCGAAAACAAACGAAATATAGCTAAAAATGACAATTTAAAATTTTTTAATTTTGAACCGTATTTTATTAGACTGGGCCAAAAAAATCGACTTTTTTTGTAAAGTATATCGAAAATATTGCTGGGGTGAAAAAATTATTCCAGTCCATAATATTAATATTAAGAGGTCTATTATCGCAATTTAAAGTTTCTTTTCCTGAGTTTTTGTCCCAGAACTCCCAAACCATTGATATATTTTTTAAGGAAATTGAATGCTTTACAAAAAAGGTCTAAATGAAATTTTTCCTCAGATAAACCGTTTCCTTAAAAATTGGTATAGTTTTACAATATGATATTTTATCTTTGGAATTCTGTAATTCCTGTAAAAATCAGTACCCGGGAAAAAAACCGATAAATATTCTTATGGGAAATCAAATGCTTTACAAAAAAAGTCCCTTAACATTTTTTTGACTAAATTCACTCCATCAAAAATTATTCAAGGTTAAAGTTGAAGTCAAAACTAAATTCTTGTTTTTTCATCTGTATGGATGATAATTTGATTTTTTTTCTTTATAAATGTGTATTATATAACTAATTAACGATTTCCAATAAAACAAAACAACACGATTGTTATTATTTCAATTAAATAACAGTGAAAATGAAGAAATTAGCTTCTTAAAGCGAAACAATTGGAATGTTACAATTACAACATAAATATTATCATCGATAAAAAAAGTTTCTAACTGACCAAAAAAAAAAATCTACAGCGGAAAAACAAGAATTTCGTTTTGACTTCAACTTTAACCTTGAATAACGTTTGATGGAGTGAATTTAGCCAAAAATGTTAACAGACAGACAGCATTTGATTTCCTATAAGAATACCAATCGGTTTTTTTTCGGGTACTGATTTTTACATGAATTACAAAATTTCAAAGTTAAAAGATCAAATTGTAAAACTATACCAATTTTTAAGGAAACGGTTCATCTGACGGGAAATCTTAATCAGACCTTTTTTGTAGAGTAGAAAATAATATTAATATTATGGACTCAAACTTTCACAATATTTTTCTTGTCACCCCAAACAATATTTGCGATATACTTCGATTTGATTTTTTTGGCCCAGTCCAATTTATATAACAAGCAAAAGAAATTATGAAAAATGACTTCCTCGAAAAATTGAAAATAATTATTTTTATCTCCACGCGGTCTATAATTTAAACTTTATTGTTGTCAACATTCGATAAAGAAATACCTTGTTATGGCCTAGGCCGATAAAATTTTTTATGAGGCAAGTAATTAGTTCGATTTTTTCTCGCTAGGGGTATTGTTTTGACAAATTAGTCCTTTTCTAAGAAATTAACGTACTAAACTGGTTTAATTTATTTATAATAAGCACTAATTTGTTTGTTTTACTGTTAATGTTTAATATTTTTCATTAAATTATTGTAAAATTAAATATGAATATTAAAATAAAAAGTGAGGTTAGGCAACCAAGAAAACGCACGATTCTTTTTCTTCGATTTAAATTATCTTTAAGTTTTCAGTGAAATTAAATGTTAAACATAGCTTAAACATTCCAAACTACCTATTTTTTTAATCCAAACAAATTGAAATTAGATACCTACCTATTTATTAAACAATTAATTGAATTCAATGTAATAGCAAAAATTCATTTCTACTTAAATCATGTTGCTAGGTATTGTCAAACTATTACTGCTTCTAAAAGCAATAATAATTATAATTATTGTACATTTAATCACTAAATTTTAATGTAATCTTTAGCTAATAAATAAATGAGATTCTAAAAAAGTGAGGTTAGGCCGCTTTGATGTTGAATTAAATTGACCTATATAAAGTGCTTTGAAGATAAAATGTTGTATGCCCATTCTGCCAAGAAGTGCCTTTTTGTGCTTGGCTCAGCACAAAAAGCCTTACTTCTTAACCTAATAACTATTATAAGTATAGTAAAGTCCATCATCAGTGGAAACACTGTATATTATTTAAATTGCTATTTATTTATTTAATTTTTATGAGTTTTAGGAGGTGTGGGGGCCCTGGAAACGTCAAAAATAAATACTTGAAAACATTTACCTCGCTCCAGTCTCCTCTGCCCACGGTGTTGATAGCGGCGACTCTGAACTTGTACGCCGTGCCCGGGCTCAGATTGATCCTGGTGTAGTTGGCCAGCTCCGGCAGAGAGTCGGTGGTGAGGTCGGCGGTGGTCTCGTCGTCGAGCAAAAAGTAGCTCTGCACGTCGCAACTGGTACCCTTGATGAAGCCAACGGTGTACCACGTCTCCTTAGCCGGCTGATCCGACGGTCCGTTGCTGATTTCAGTCTTCTTCGAGTCTTTCGAGTGATCGAGGGCGGCCGAGGCCAGCGCCGCCAGCGGGTCTTCGCCCTCCTCCTTTTTGATTTCGTCGACGGGCGGCGCGATCGGTTGCGCCTGCGCCGCCGGCTGCTCGTCCTTCTTCTCCTCGGCCTCGATCGCGTTGCTTTCCAAACTTTCCGGTTCGCATTTCTCCATCGGTTCGCTGCCGTCGTCTTTCGATTGCTCCTCCTCTTCCGCCGCCGCTTCCGGCTTCGGCTCGGATTTATCGTTGCTCTCGTCGACATCCATCTGTTCCTGTTCGTCAACATTATTTTCCAGTTCGTGTTTAACGGCGCCGTTCATTGCGGTCTGCGTCGAGTCGGCCTCGGCCGTCGTAGGTTTATTACTGTTTGCGTCGATGGAATCCTTACTGCCTCCGAATAGACCGCCCCTATACGAGAAGACGGGCGAACCGCCATACAAACCGGGTTTCTTGAACTTTCCGCCTCCCTTTAGTCCTACATGCGCGAACGGAGTGCCGCCGAAGAGGCCGGCAACGGTTTCGACAACGGGCACCGAAGCTTCTGATACAGAAGTTTCGGACGCTTCCTCCTCGGACGCGCTAGTCGTTTTATCCAAACTCTCGCTTTCCGATGATTTTTTCGATTGGTCCTTTTCCGGCTCGGGGTCAATCAAGCCGGCTTCGGCCGCCAAAGCTGCAAGCGCCGCGTCAGTCGTCGCCGGACCGTCGAAGCTCACTGAAGCTAACAATACAAATTAATGAACAAATTTACGCAGTTTTCTCAATCGAATTACCTATAGACGCTGTAGGTTGTTTCGGTCTCGATACGACCATCAGTTTCGGTTGTTCCGCGTTGTTAGCTGTCGTGACGGTGGATGTCATCGGCAACCGCACAATTTTACCAACCCCTTGGTTGGGCTGCACTAACGTTAGGGTTTTGTTGGCACCACTGGCCATTTGTACTGTTACTTGCTTGCCTCCAATCATCACTTGTTTCTACAGAAGATATTATTATTACAATGAAATAGAAAGTGCAAAAACAGTATGAAACGAATGATTTTAGATCGTTTCATCACAAATTGAGGTTAAATCGGTCTAAAATCATCTCTAGAGTTTGCTGTCTTTGTTTAGTTTCCCGACACACTTTTTTCTGGTACTAGACCAAACCCATCATCATGAACTTCCTCATATGCACCATGGTACAAGAAAACAAAGTATGTTCTTGCGCATCTGTTTCCACCAATCGATCAGATTGGCAGTCGCCGCCATATTGACTATTTACATTTTGATGCGAGTTGTTTTAAAGTTTTGTAAGTGTAAAAAATGTATATGTGCCAAGAGAAAAACTGTTTAAACACTGTAAAAAAAAAACAGAAAATCCAATATTTTCTTTGTATGGGCTTGAAAAAATTAAGGATAGTAAGTAGATTTATTTTAAAAACAATTAAATAGCAGTAGTTTTTTTAGAGGTACTTTCCTTTTGTATGTATACACAGATTATATAAATAAAAAAATAATTTTGGTTAATGTTTTAGGTCAATATTTTGTTTGTTTTATAGCTTGTATTTGTTCCATTTACTTCAAAGATAGTTGCTATAAGAAGGAAAATTGGATCGAAAAAACATACAAATTACATTCCCATAAAAGGTCTTTAAAAGTTGATACGGTTCCAACTTTACACCAAACAGCTTATCTAGTGTTGCCAGTGGTTGGAAAGATAAAGTACCAAATTTCCCTGAAATGTATACATGTATATATGAGAGGTATACCTCTCATTTAAATGCAATTAACAAAAACGCTTTTGGGCTTTTCGTTTTTCCCCAAAAATAAATATAGCGCGACAGCCAACAGACGAATATGAAAATAAAACGAATAAAGATAGGCGATTTTAATAACGCTATTGTAGGACAGGAAGAGGAATACTAGAAAATGACCGCGAAGAGCAAAATATTGAAAATAAATCAAAATTCAAAAATTTCATGAAAATGTATCAAAATATATTTAAAAAACAAAATTAATTTTTTTTCCGCAATTTGCAGGAAATGTGCAGAGACAAGGAAGCTAATGATCTTCAAGGACAGTCCATAACAGAAACTCAAACTGCAGCATGCTGCTGATAATGAAATGGCCTGGGATTGAAACATTCCAAAAGCATTAAAAAAACCAGCTTATACTATACCATAATATAATATTTTTCTCAAGTTTAGTTTGTTTTATTCAATACGGTGGCCTATTTAGGGTTTTATTTGCCAACTAAACCTAAATTGCAATTCAAATACAATCTGTAATAAATTAATTTTAAAAAAATATGTTGTTTACATTTTTTTTGCAATGTTAATGTTGTAACTTGAAACTTTTCTTTTCATTCTTTATGTTTGCTTGAAAACATTTGACTTATAAATGACTTTAAAACAAGATACTTTTTTCATATATTTTATCTTCACGCGGACTATATTTTAAACTTTATTGTTGTCAACATTCGATAAAGAAATACCTTGTTATGGCCTAAGCCGATAAAAAATTTTATGAGGCAAGTAATTAGTTCGATTTTTTCTCGCTAGGGGTATTGTTTTGACAAATTAATCCTTTTCTAAGAAATTAACGTACTAAACTGGTTTAATTTATTTATAATAAGCACTAATTTGTTTGTTTTACTGTTAATGTTTAATATTTTTCATTAAATTATTGTAAAATGAAAACGCACGATTCTTTTTCTACGATTTAAATTATCTTTAAGTTTTCAGTGAAATTAAATGTTAAACACAGCTTAAACATTCCAAACTACCTATTTTTTAAATAAAAATCCAAACAAATTGAAATTAGATACCTACCTATTTATTAAACAATTAATTGAATTCAATGTAATAGCAAAAATCCATTTCTACTTAAATCCTGTTGCTAGGTATTGTCAAACTATTACTGCTTCTAAAAGCAATAATAATTATTGTACATTTGATGTAATCTTTAGCTAATAAATAAATGAGATTCCAAAAAAGTGAGGTTAGGCCGCTTTAATGTTGAATTAAATTATATATTATATAAAGTGCTTTGAAGCTTAGCACAAAAAGCCTAATGACATAAATAACTATTATTTGATATTTATTAAATATTATACACTTTAAAACAATATATTTTATTTGATTGAAAACCCATATAAAATAGTATTTTTAATTAATAATATTTTCTTAAAATGTTAATATTGTGACAGATAGTTTTTTACGTGTGATCTTCAAATTATTCGACAATTTAATCTAAAAATCGACTAATTTTATAGAAATTTAGATGAATTTATTTCATAAGAGAATAATATTTAAATTCAAAGGAGATGGCGGTAAAGAACATAACTACCTTGTTTTCTAGTACGATGATATGGAGAAAATGCGAACTTACCGTATTTTTGGACAGTGTAATGGTTTTCGGCGATCCCACCACGGTCATGGGCATGGATATGGTGATCGGCTTGCCTCCCAGCTTCACGCCTTGCAGGCCGGCAATGGAAGAAGCAGTGGCGACCGGTTGCATGTTGACCATGGTAGTTTTGACGTTCTGCATGCCGATCGCTTGCGCGTTCGTCACCGTCTGCATGTTCTTCAGGCCGGCGTTGGAACTGACCACCAGCACCTGCTGGTTACCGAGCGTGGGCATCTGACCCGAAGGTCCTTTCGACAAAACGATCTTGCCGGTCGTTTTGTTCATCTGTATCATGTTCGACGGGATCGTTTTGAGCGTGGTCAACATTTTGTTGCCCTGCGTATTGCCCGGCACGATTTTGACGATGGTGTTCTTCGTCTGCTGCGGCAACACCGTGCCCGAGGTTTTGCCTTGCACGAGGTTGCCGCCCGCTTTCGGCAGCGTGGCTAACGTCACGCCGGTGCTCGTTTTCACCAAAGTCACCACCTGCTGTTGCACGCCGCTTTTTTGTATTATGTTACCGCCCTTTTGGACCAACAACTGCTTACCGGCCACTTGAGTGGGGGTTGCTTGACGTATTATTGTACCTGTTGTGCCTTGCACCCGGACTTGAGGCGCTGAAAGGAAACGACAGAATTAATCGCGTTATTTGACCGAACTTTTTATTTTTATAGAGGAGTGCCGTCTATAAAAACGCTAAATAAAAAGGTGGCAAATAGGAGATTCCATGAGACATTTTATTCAATTAATTGAATCCAAATAAAAAATTTAAAAATGTATCATGATTCTCCCAAATACGTTTAAGTATTATAAAAACAAGAAAGAAAAAAATTGCGTGTGATAGTGTGTTTAAAAAGACATTTACCAAGCTTGATTTGGGTAGCTTGTGGGACAACGTTTATTTTTTGCGTGGCTGCCGCAGCTGCAGCTAGAGCCTGTATTCCAGACATGCCAGCTGCCTGTGTGGTTTTGGGAGAGCCATCTGCTATAATCGGAGATGATGTTAACAACACCGGAGGTGCGGTCGTAACGACCTTTGCTCTATTTCCAGCTATAAACAATAACGCCATTAACGACACCGCATACACAACAACAAAACAACAAACACAGTGGGCCAGAAAATGTACATCAATTTTACTCCACCCTTTAGTTTTAAAGGATGTCCCAACTTCCACATTGAAATAAAACTAAGTTCATACGAGCTCTTAACGCATTTCGATTGCGCATGCGTAGAATGTGCGCGTACAGGTATAATTGAGGTTAAAATTATTATATGTCACATGAACCTTAATTTGGAAAGCGCGCAAAATGCTTTGTGCGCATGCCCACGCCTTTTAATATCAAATTAACTCACGAAATAATTTATTTTCCACGTCATGAGAAAATCTAAACTCAGGGATGCTTTGCGGTTTTAAAAATTCCGGAAAAATTGAGCCGGTTTTTTTTCGGAAAGGAATGAAAAAATTGTGAAATTTACAGAAAAATTGACTTTTCCATTTTTTTCATTTTATTCAAAGGGTAATGCAAAAAAATGTCAATGTTTCTGAAAAATTACAATGATTATTCCTTTAATTTTAATTCAGTAAGAATAGTCTACCGGGCCGAAAAAAAAACATATTCGGTACTGTATTAACATAACTTTCAATTTATTTGACACTTCGATTTATAAAATTATAATTTTGTAATTTAACTTTAATTAATTATTTTGTAATTGGATATTTTGAGAAAATATAATGAATTTTAGGATTTAACGAATTGTCAGTTTGACATTTGAAATTAAAATGTGCTTTAAAATATAAAAAGACTTTAATAAACCTTATTTATTCAAACTTTCCTTAATTTTATTATCGTTTACACCAACCCATCGATCTTTTAGAGTTTATAATTCATTATTTTAATCATTTAACAAACACAGTATTTAAATGTCAACAAATGTCAAATCAAGAAAAGTGTCAAAATCCTTAGCAACATGTAAACAAGGTGATAAAAAATATTGTCGCTGTGATAAAATGAGTAACCATGGAATACTGGCATTTTATTGGTTCTAATTATAATGAATTGTATTGTCAACAAAAAAATCTGGAAGAAAACGGTTTTTCCCATGTGCGGGTAATTTTTGATTATATTTTTTTCTTTTTGATCTTTTGTGGCTATACTTTTGAAAAAATGTGTTTTTGCTTCAAGTTTTGGTCGAATCACCCTTTGTTACATTGCAATATCTTCTGATACTGATTTTGGAGAAAAATCATTATTAATAAAAGTTTTGCAGAACACATGTTAAAATAAAAGGTGGAGTATAAATGCATTTTCAGGCCAATCGTGATACCACCACCAAATATGCAACACTACAGAAAATGATAAATGACATTTTGACAAAATATGTTTTACAATGAAAATTCTTACCTTTAATAATTGGGGTGACGACTTTCGGTGCGAGTTGGTTTGGTGTTATAACAGTTTTATTTTGAGCCGCTACTGATGGTGGAGATCCCAAAACTTGTGGAGCTTTGGCTGGCATTGAGTTTATTGGCCTACCTCTTAATTCTTTATCTTCTTCGGGGAGAGCCGTCGATTGTTGCAAGGGGGTTGGTTTGGGGGTGTTGGCTGCTGGAGGAGGCAAATCGTATTTCTGGATCTAAACACAACAACAAAATTTAGAAAATGAATGAAATTTAACGATGAAAAACCGTATTACTTGTAAAATGTAACATCTGACAGATGGAGATCCGGTCCAGTTTACTTCAAGGGATGAAGTTGCTGCTTTGACGAGCGAAACCCGGCTTGGCGCGGGTGGTTTATCGATTTCTAGATACCACAAATCCTTGCAACAAACTTGGTTTTTCTTCCATGCCTTCCTGTAGCCATCTCTGCCAGACCAAATGTATAATCTAGTACTGATTCCGACAGCGCAGTGTCCAGCTCTGGCGCAAGGCACATTACCTTCGGTGGCGTTTATATCGAGCTCGTCCCAGTTGAGCGTTTCAAGATTAAGACACGCCATTGTGCTGGTGCACTTCCACTCTTTTTCGTTCGATATGGTTTTGACTTCGTCGACTGGCACCCAGCCTCCGAACACAAACATTCTGTGCCCAATGAGAGTGGAGGTGTGGAGAGATCTGGGCAACGGGGTCATACCGGATATCTGAGGCTTGCTCCACGAAAGCGTTTCGGTCTCCAAGAACCAGAGATCCCCCAATCTGCACCCGCTCATGCCGCCGTATATGACGAGGAAACTTTTTCCCTTCTTCTTGTCCACATAGGCGACGCCTGTGTGCGATTCCCTGGGCGGGGGAGACGGGCCGTTCGTCAAGGTCATGTCCCATTGGATGGGCACGCTACGTATATCCAACGTGTATAGGTCGTTTAAGTATCTCGGTACATTGTTTTTCGGATCGGTGCTATCGTTTGCTAGACCACCAAACAGGTACACTTTAGTGTTAACAAGAGTAAAACTATGTCCGAGCCTTGGACAAGGGGCCGGACCTGCCTTCGGAGGCCGCGGCTTCAATTTTTTCCATTCCCATTTCGACGCCTACACATTTAAGTCAAATTTTAACATAAATCAACCTCATAAGTAAGCAATCAATTACCTGCAGCTCATACAGTTCGTTACTGTATTTGCCATATTCCACCATACCACCAAAAACTAAAAGTCTAGTTCCCTCCACTACAAAACCATATGCGGCACAGCCAGGGGGCACATCCCCCTTTGTGACAGGTACAAACCATTGATTTGTAGCTGAAACGCATATTTTATATTGTATAAACTTCATTTAGTCTAAATAATAAATTTTAATCAACATTTGTTTGTGATTTTTTTCTTTAAGTATTAATTTCATACTTTTTCTCTAGTTTGTATGCTTTTCAGAACAGAAGTTAAAAAGATTCTGGTTTTAAAATCAAACTATGCATTATAGCAATATATTTCTTTATTTTATTCAAATTAACAATAGGTACATATAATATATATTAGACTGGGCCAAAAAAATCGACAATTTTTTTTGTAAAGTATATCGAAAATATTGTTTGGGGTGACAAAAAAAAATTATGGTGAAAGTTTGAGTCCATAATATTAATATTAAGAGGTCTATTAAAATTGACTTAAGAATATTTTTTGAAGAAAATTGAATGTTCTACAAAAAAGGTTTGATTGGAATTTCCCGTCAAGTGAACCGTTTTCTTACAATCATGCCTTAAAAATTGGTATAGTTTTACAATTTGATCTTTTATATACAAAAAAGTTTATATACAAAAGTGCTCTTTTAGTTCCACCCTTACTTCTTAAGAAGTCCCATAAGTCAACTGAATGGCTTGTGCGGGTTAGGGGTAGGAACGGACCGCGGGCTTAAAGTCCCCTCCGAAGGACTAACTTTGGAATTTTGTAATTTATGTAAAAATCAGTACCCGAAAAAAAATCCGATAGATATTCTTATGGGAAATCAAATGCTCTACAAAAAAAGTCTCTCAACATTTTTGCCTAAATTCACTCCATCAAAAGTTAAGTTAAAACGAAATTCTTTTTTTTCGCTCTAGATTTTTTTTTGGGTCAGTTCAAAACTTGAATTCTTTTATCGGTGATAATCTTTATGTTATTAATAAAATTACTGAAAATTAAAAAAAAATAACACATTACAGTTTTTTGGCTTTAAGAAGTTATTTTCTTTAGAAAATATTATTTTCACTATTACTTACCTATTTAATCATTTAAATAATAATAATCATGTTATTTTTTTATTGGAAATTGTTAATTAGTTATATAATACACATTTATAAAGAAAAAAATCAAATTATCACCCATTAAAAATAAATCTACAGAGGAAAAAACAAGAATTTGACTTCAACTTTAACCTTGAATAACTTTTGATTGAGTGAATTTAGCCAAAAATGTTAAAAGGCTTTTTTTTGTAAAGCATTTGATTTCCCATAAAAATATTCATCGGTTTTTTTCTGGGTACTGATTTTTACATGAATTACAAAATTCCAAAATTAAAAGATCAAAATGTAAAACTACCAATTTTTAAGACATGATTTTAAGGAAACGGTTCATCTGACGGAAAATTTAATTTTAACCTTTCTTGTAGAGCATTTAATTTTCTTAAATAAATATTTTGAGTCAATTTTGTTAAACTCAATGGTTTGGGAGTTCTGAAACAAAAACTTGCTAAGGAAAAAAAATTAAAATTGCGATGATAGACTCTTCATATTAATATTATGGGCTCAAACTTTCAAAATATTATACTTCTCAAAAAAAAATAGCGCCTATGTACCTAGACAAAGCGCGTTTTTATATTTGAAAAATATATCCAAATCATAAGTCTAAAATTGCCATTTAAAGCGAAATTAAAAACTTAGTATAAATTTTCCTCAAGAGCAGAATTTTGGAAATATTCTAGTTTTAAACCAAGCTATACATTATAATTTTTAAAAAATATTTCAAGTCCCTATACCTAGACAAAGCGCGTCTTTTTATTTTAAAAATATAACCAAAATGAAAGTTTAAAATCGGCAATTAAAGCAAAATTAAAAACTAATTATATATTTTCTTTGCTTTAACTTTATTAGTTATCAGATTACTTCATTAATTGTGAATTTATTAATTTTTGAAATGTTTCAATTTTGAAACCAAGCTAAAAAAATGTTTGAAGGTCATCATAAAAAGTGAACATTGCATTAAAAGTATTTAATTTTATTTCCAAGTAGAAAAATTAAGCATAATCCATTAGATGGGATGAAGGAAAAGATAAAAGATTTTTTTTAGTTGTTGAATATCCCATTGCTATGTATACGCCGCCATGTTTGTTTCTGGACTAAACAAAACTCGCGGAAAATTGACATTTGACTACAAAAACAAAACTGAAAACAAATGAAAATCGCTGACTTGCTGGATTCCAATTGAGTGGAAAAATTAGTCAATTTAGTCAATTGGAAACGAAACAATAAAACATTACGCGCCATATTTTTGAGAAAGGTCTAACTTCATATCATTACCTGTATTGTAAACATGAAGTTCATCGACGATTCCTTCGTTTCCGCCACCGAAAACCACCATTAAGTCTTTAATTGCAACAGCGCGGTGCCCATGTCTCGGCCGTGGCTGGGGGCCAGCGGGATTATCCACAATTTTCCACTGTAACGCCTTACCCGCCATTACGTGATCACATTGCTTTCCTATGTACAACCACAAACGAACTGGACAGCCAGAATGAAAATTTTAAAAGTTTCTCAGATTAGTTCCAAACATTTCACACAAAAACCTCACTTCAAACTCTATTCGCTTTTAAACTTTTTATTTTCGCACTGTATATTAATACAAACTTTTTGAAAATAATATAGTAACTTCCTATGCCGACATAAGCGGCAAAACGTTACGAAAATGGTTTCAACAGTCGATAACACAACATTCTACTTTATCCAGCAACATTAACAAAACACCGCGATCTAGCCGCATAACGCCCCGAACTACCGAAGAAATCTGCCTTACCGACCCAAATTCTAAAAAAATCACCAAAAAACGTTTCATTTACCAAATTACAAAAAAAAACATATTTTATTAATAAATATCGCATTTTTTATACTTTCAACTGATGAAATTTGCTTAAAATAAATTTAAACTCCAGTGGGAAAATATTTTCTATAAACTATACATTTCTGCAATTCACTAAATAAAACGCAAAAGAGTAAATTCACCAATCAAGTACCTATAATTTTAAAACGCCTTGTTTTTTATATATTTTTTTAGTTTTTTGGCATTAGAAAACAGAATATAAACAGAATAAAATTTAAGGTTTTAAAAAGAGCGCTGGGGTTGCCGGTGTTTCTCGAGGTTGTCCGAGCACCGTGGGGAATTTCATTCGGTTGGTAGCTCCGAATAAATTTTCTTCTTGTTTATCACTAAATTCCTAACTTCTCTCTCTTTTTGTATTCACGTTCGCGTAAGGTACGTTAATGTCCATCGAAAATTCGGACAAATCTTAAAAAATCTAAATAAATATCAACCATCCATTAAAGTTTTAAGTGTTTTTGAACAAATTCAACTCCCTGCTAACCATCTACAAGTGTATTTGTGCAAATTACCTTGTTGCTGTTTAGCCAAAGACAAGTTTTTGAAGTGTGTTTTTCTCAACTTAGTTTTTTTCTTCCAGATTTTTAAAAATGGGCCGGTACGCTCGCGAACCCGACAACGCTTTAAAATCATGCAAAGCCCGTGGCTCAAACCTCAGGGTACATTTCAAAGTAAGTACTTTTAATATTTTTCGTGTAAATAATATTTTTTCGACATAACCTATAAAATGTCACAAGTTGTCGTGCTGTCTAGATTACCAATTGTTTTTTATTAAACAATTAATGCTACCAACTTCCAGCCTACTAAACAAATATGTTTACTTGTTTTAGAACACCTGTGAGACTGCCAATGCTATCAGAAAAATGCCTCTGAAGCGTGCCGTAGCATACTTGAAGAATGTTATGGGAATGAAGGAATGCGTTCCATTCAGACGTTTCAACGGAGGTGTTGGTCGTTGTTCTCAAGCCAAACAATTTGGCACCACACAAGGACGTTGGCCAAAGAAATCTGCTGAATTCCTTTTGCAGCTTTTGAGAAACGCCGAAAGCAATGCTGACTACAGTGGACTCGATGTTGACAGACTAGTTGTAGAACACATTCAAGTATGTACCTTTATCTAATATTTATGTTTTTTTTTAATTGTGCAAGAAAATGTTTTTGTGTCTGTACAATTTATGTTTTGTATTATTGTTTATTTACACAGATTATACATTATAAGGGCCTGTGTATTGTACTACTACTGAAATGTAGTTTACTATGCTGTAAAATTATTTGGCATAGCATAGTTAGTTATATTATTAAGATATCTTTTACTTTTGTTTCATAAATAAATAAGTTAAACATTTTAAACAATAATCTAATAAAATTAAAAGTAACTTTTGATAAAAGGCCTATTTTAATCCTCTCTAAAATGGTTTAATTTTATTTTGTCAACTCTAAGGAGTGTTTTTTTGAAATTTGGGACTTTCTATAGAAACTGGTTTCTATTTGAATTAATTGACCAATCATAGTAAGGCATTCTCCACAGCACACTAGATTGCAACAGATAATCCAGTGATCCTATTGGTTTATTGATTTGTATACATAATGTTAACCATAAGTAGTTGATTGTTTTGCCAACAAACTCTTTTATTTTTAGGTTAACAGAGCCGCATGTTTGAGGCGTCGTACATACCGTGCCCACGGTAGAATTAACCCCTACATGTCCTCACCCTGCCATATTGAATTATGGCTCACCGAGGGTGAATCTTCTCCAGAGTCCCCAAAGAAGGGAGGAAAGAAGAGCACTGTAGATAAATCAAAGAAAGTCAAGCCAGCAGCTTCCGCTGCCGCGCATTAAGCCGGTTTTTTATTTATCGTACACTCCTCTAAATATAAAGTTTAATTAATTTGTTTTGTTTTATTTTTTTTATGTTTGAGGTTATGTTGAGCGATGGTTTGTTGTGCGCATGCGTTATTCACTTGTTTTGATTTAAAAACAAATTATAGTTTATTAATTGGGAATTTTAGTCTTTAAAATAGGTTTTAATTATTTTTGAACAGTTTTGTCTACCTAGTTACTAAACATGGTTTCTTGGAAGAACTGTTCATAAAATAAAAACGGACTTCAAGATTTAATAAAGCGTTAAAATTGTCTTAAAAAATAAATTATTTACTTTACAAGTTATGTAAATGTTTTATCAAAAATAGTTATAAATATTGGATAAGTGTAGAATATGACATAAAGAATGTCTCAATTACTTTTTAATTGATTGAAATCAATTTTTTAAGTACACTTGAATTTTTAAGACACATCTACAATTACTGTATTTTTTTAGTTTAGTTAAAAAGCTAGTAGAAATTACTACTAAATACTTTTTCAATATAATACTGACAAACTTCTTTTTAAGCATGTAAAATAATTTAAATATTTTATGTAAGCATGCTGCAACAAGTTTATACAGGTTGTACCGCACAGCAATTCTGTGCTCATATGTTATTTTTCAAGAGTTGCCGCAATAACTTAAGTTATGACTAAAGTTATGAGCTCTTAAGGCAAATGTGCTTATTTAAGCGCCCATAGTGAGATTTGAAAGCAAAAGCCTAATGGCGCATGCGTCGAATTTGCGCGCACAAGTGGTATTGAGGTTAAAATTATTAAATGTCCCATGGACCTTAATTTTAAACCATTTTAAATTTTTATTATTTCTTTTACTAAATTAAAAAAAATAGAAATGGTATAAAATCTGTAATACTTGAATTTTTTTTAATAAAATTTGAAATCTGTTGATAAACTTCAGTGAATTAAATATTGTACCACTTTAATTTGAATTATCTTAATTTGGGGGGGCAGGAGGCTGGGGGGCACACTTAAAAAATAACTTTTTTTCGTAACTTCAATTTAAATTCTGCTTGCGCAGAACTTGTCTATATAATGTCACTATAAACAGAGCTGCAAGGTCTCAGAAAACTTAAATCGTTTTTTTGATTTAAATCGTTTTAATGACTTAAGTCATTTGGTAATAAGTCATTTCTCTAAACCTGACTTAAGACTTAAAATTTAAGTAATTTTCAAAATGATTTGTGACTTAAATATTTTTTCAAAATAGAAAAAACTTAAGTCATTAATAAAAGGCTTAAATCAGTACATACGATTTAAGTCAGATAGAAAGGATTTAAGTCAAAAAAAGAATTAAGTCTTTTTAAAAGTCGGTAAATTATTTAAGTAATTTAAAAAGATTTAAGTCTTTTTAAAAAAGATTTAAGTCTTTTTAGAAAATATTTAAGTCAGATTTTTCATATATTTTTTGTAAATTTTTAACAGCGGCATTTTCTTTTGAACTGCCAGGGGTTCACGCGGCAGCAGATCAAAAACTCCTTTAATTTCCTACCTACAATTGCTACCGCTAGTAAATAAAAAAACCGCCGCGGTAAAGTTAGCTTTTCGAAACCGTTTGACGGCTACATTAAAAAGTGTCCTGTCTAAAATGAATGAAAAAAAAAGTGGGAATTTATAATTTTGTTATTTTGTTTGCTAACATTCGTCGTATTATGCGTGCAGTTAGGTCTAATTTGTGATTATTAGTGCAAAGTGGAAACAAACGATTAACAGGTAAGGACGAATAAATATTATAAAGAAGTGTTTATATCATACAGGGTGTTTCGGTTTGTTTAAGTAAATAATTACGACAGAAAAACGTGATTGTGCGTGAATAAAATTATTCAAACGTGATTGTGCGTGAACGTGAGTAGTCTTAAATTATTACAGTCGTGAGTGGTCGTAAATCGTGAACAATCGTGAATCGGGAGTAGTCGGGAGCGGTAGTGAGCAGTCGTAAATCTTGAGCGGTCGTGAATGGAGAGTTTGGAACCTCCCATCATTACTCCCTTAAGGGAGGAATATTTTTTTTTCTAGATGGATGTTGAACCAGCTACAAAAGTTAACAAAACAACAAGTTATCAGATTTTGAACTACAGCGATTTTAAGAAAAATGCTTCAACTTTTATCTATTTTAACAGAGTTTGAATCTATTATCGTTTAAAAGTTACCCATTTATGTATATAAAAAAGTACCCTCCCTGTATGTCTACTCTACTAAAAAATGTGTTTTAAGTTTTTATTTTGTTTGTAAGTGAAAATAAATCGTTTTAAATTCTTAACTTGGTGGTTTATTATCATCTGTATTCACAATAGATTAATAATATCAGTATCATTAATACCATAAAATTATTATTAACATTTAAAAATCGTTGTATTGACTTAAGGGTTATTATTTTGATTTAAATGACAATTGTTGATTCAAGTCATTTTATTGACTTAACTCTTAGATCACGATTTAAATAAAAAATATAGACTTAAGTCATAAAAACGACTTACTAAAGGAATTAAGTCATAAGATGACTTAAATCACTTTATATTGATTTAAGAATTTGCGAAAATGACTTGACTTGAAAGAAAATGATTTAATTCAAAGACTTAATACTTAAATCATTTGAACTTTTACTTGGAATTGACTTAAGATTTAAATCATTTTGATTTTAGAATTGACTTAAGATTTAAGTCTTTTTAAAACTGACTTGTTGCAGCTCTGACTATAAACTCATAAATTTGATGTGGGTCCCATGTCTAATAACTGAGATATGGGTGTGCCCGAAATCCACCAGCCGCCACTGTTGTGATAGCAAATTTAAACCTTTTATTTTTGAAAGGTCCTTAGGAATATATCTAAGAGGGTGTTTTAGATTTTCATCGTGAAAATTTAGAAGTCAATAAAACTCGCAAAAATAAGAACAATGTATATGAACTTGTATGTTTTAAAGCTTCGTTTTCGAGATACAGGGTGCTAAAGTTGTTAAAAAATATTTCTTTTTTTCCTTTGCCGAATTTATGCTAGTGCTTTTTATACGTATATTATTTTTAGATTAGGCAATAAAAATAAAACTTTTTGTATTCGTCACGAGCGAATTTCGAATTTAATTTTTTTCTTGAAAATTAAGCAAGATAGAAAAAAATACAAGAGACAAAAAAACAGTGGTTTTTATTAAAGTATAAGTTTGATATTATATTTAGATTAAGTAATTAAAAATACAACTTTTTTGTCTACTGTATTTTTTTTATCTGGCTCAATTTTAATCGGGAAAATTTAATAGTCAATAGAACTCGCAAAAATAAGAAAAGTTTGGTTTTGAGATACAGGGTTGACTATTAAGACTATTAAATTTTCCCGATTAAAATCTGAGACACCCTGTATAATACGATATTGGGGTGATAAAATAAAAACTCAGAAATAGATAAATATAGGTTTATTAATTTATTTAATCACTGTCACTATTCACTTCGTCGTAAAGTTTGTTTTGCACGTTTTTTTCGATGCTTCTAATATCTTTGACAATCTCATAGTTGTGGTCCTGATTCTTCTTTTTCATACACAAATAAATGGACAAAACAACAACGATTAAAACAACGGTGATTATGATAAAATATTCTAATTTTTGCACTTTGCTTATATTAGGTATTAACTTAATGGGGTAGCAATATTTCTCGTTTGATGAAATATTGTATAATTTGGCATCATCATAACATTCAGTACAATCGTAATCTAGAGAGCCTTTGCAATTTTTGCAAGTGTAATGGCATGGCAAACATCTGACCCTTTCGTTGGGACTTGGGAATAATTTTTCAGGGCAGCTCTTCAAACAAAATCCTTCTATTAGGGTATATCCTTTTCTACATTCTGAATAAAAAATAAAAAAAAATAAAAAAAATGTTTGGAAACAATAAAAAAAACTAAAAACCTTAAATAAATCTGACAACAATTTCAACCAGGTAGCATGCACTTAAGCTTGGAACTTACCTATGGATGTTGATTTTGAATATTCAATTTTGGGTTATTGTAGATGGTGTAAAGTGTAAGTGGTAGAAATCACTAAATATTTTGCCACAATTTATTATTTTGTATAGATTACAAACAATTTTCATACATTTAATCATAACAACAATTTTTATAGCAATCACATTGATATGATATTAGGGAAAAGAAAGCAAACAATGAATGGATTCAATGTAACTGCTAGTTATCTAGGCCATAGATGCCTGCTTCATAAAAATTATGTACTAAATTTAAATAAATCTAAATGGCCGACAAATCACAAAGAGTTCTTTTATTAATGCAGTGTTCAAAATAAATTTGACTGGTTTGTTGTGTGAACAAAAAACACCGGCATAATAAATAGAAACACCCTGTACGGACAAACACTGACTAACTTTGTTCGCCGGATGCTAATCTAAATAATTTTGATTCCTTATAATACTGAACTTTGTGACGCCAAAGCTAAAATGGTAATACTTACATGACAGTGCATGTAAGTATCAATTTTAAATACCCAAGTCAAAATTTGTTCAATATTGTGGTCCGCGAACAAAGCTAACTAAACATTCATTCTTTGAGCCATTGTCCAAATAATGGACAAATAAAGGCATTAATTTAAGTAAATTATTCATATTAATAAATACAATAATTTGCACCCCATATATTCCTTAAAAGTAATGGTTAACATATTGTTTTAGGAACTACCTTTGAATATTAACATAAAATAAAAAGTCTTTTAAGTTTTATATACAATAAATAATCACAGTAAAAATTACCATACTAAAATTAACTAAATTTATAACCTAAACAACAAATGCTAGTGGTTGTTGTTGACCTGGTAATTGCACTTTATATCCACTTTATACTAATAAACATGTGCTATTTACTCTCATCGCATTTCTGTTATAATTACAATTTTTCCAAAATTACCTCACAATTTTATTAAATTTGGCACAGTTCAAACCAGTGTTGTTTGTTTACGCGCGACACATCTGCCTTTTAATTACTACACTAACTATAACTATTAGGTTGTGATGAACTAATTAAATAATTAATTAGGGAAGACTAATAATCTCATAAATTATGAAAATTGAGTTATTCAAAAGGAAGACACCTTATTTTTTATTTCATAAATTAAATGAGCAAGCACCATATTCAATTTACATAACTACTAAAATAATGACTAAAATGTTATACCATAACACAAATGATATGTATGAGTTAAATAAACTAAATCTTTAAATAATATTGCTCTCCCATATTACAAAGAGTCGACTTTTATTTATTTAACGTGTAAACAACGCGTATTCAAAAAATTATTGTCAAAGTCACAACACTGGTTTAGTCTATTATAAAAACGCCGTAATCTCAAAATTAATTTTTTTCAAGCCAGCTACAAAAACCGTTAGGAAAGGCATAAGGCCCAAAATTGGCAGTTTATTTCTTAATAATGTACCTACTATCCATAAAAACAAAACCGGGTTTTTATTAATATTAATTAAATAAATATGATAACAATGAACCTAATATAACTAAAGGACAGGTACATTCTCTTACAATGGCATATCCATAATTAAAATAAAAAAATCCTCTTTTTAATAAACTAAATAAGTATTTTGCGAATAACATGAATAATAGTTTGTTCCCACGATATAACTAACAGACGCCTGCGCAATAAGACTTTAGGGCGTCCCAAAGTCTGTTTAGACAGTTTGTAGGAAAAAACCTAAAACTAATAAATTGTTTTGCCCTTTTTATAATTATTGCCCCCTTAGAAAGTGAAATTTTGGATACGCCAATGTTTCTTTATACTTTTAAAATGAAGAATGTATCATTTTTGATTTAATAAACTTTTAAAAGCACATTTGAACTGCAGAGTCTATAAACGGACTTGTAAGATATATTTAAATAACTAACTAAGTATAATTTGTGCATTATATGAATTTTCTTGGTTAAATTAAAATCCCTCTGAAAATTGTTGTCAGAATTTAGTTGGTCTAGTCTTGATTTGAATTTTTTAACTGTACATAATTGATCAATCAAAGCTTTGATGGTGAAATATATGCAGTCAAATGAAAAAACTATAAGTGAGTTAACAGTAACGGTAATAATTTGATTGAAATCGAATGACGTTAGGCATAAGGTGGCTAGTGCAAGACACAAACCTAAACACATATTCCCACTCAGTTTCGCACAACTCGATTTAGTTGTGCTCTTTTCTTCCTCCTCGACCTCCAACGTATCCTTGCGATTCTGAAACATAAAAAAAAATAGTTTATTTCAGTAGTTAAGTTGAGTCCCAAATGGGCATAAACTCGCTTTCCTACAGAGGAGTCCCTTTCTATAATAGGATGTCTAATGACATTCAACATTTTGAAGGTAACAAATAAGGAAGATTTAAAAAAACCTAACGTTGATCTCAAAACTTACTTTATTTATTTCAAGTATGTGTTAGTAATAAATGTATATAGTGTATTTAAGTAATTATAATTGTATTTTTGACTACAGTTTAAGTATTGTGTATGATGATTGTGTTATTGTACATATTTTGTGATTGAATTGTAATGTATATAAATATATAGAGAGGTGTCCCTCTATAAACTATGTTCATATGTTTTTTGGGATAAATAATTATTTATTTATTTATATTTTAATTGAATGTTTATTTTTTTACCTCAGCTCCCACTTTCCAGTTGGGCGAGACCTCGTCCACGGAATTATGTGAAAATTCATCGGCAAACGTTTTTGATGTCAGTGCGGGATTCGAACCGCCGTTTTCCAAATCGTATGTTGGTTCAGTGACTGTTCCGTAAAAAGTCATGTTCCAATTGCGAAATTCGGCTAAAAAAAACATAAAGATATAATATTAAACGTAACACTAATATGTATTAAAATAAAATTAAGCATTTTTTTAATTATAGGTATACCTAATTAACTACTAAAAATACATGTTTCTACTTGAGTATCAACATTATGACACGCATTTGAGTTTCATAATATCTCATTATGATAGGTAAATAGATGTTGGATTATTTTTTACAAATTTGGCAATACGATATGTCATTATTATTAAAAACGTCAGTTAGCATAATAATAAATAACAGGAGATCAGTTTTGCGCTTTGTATTGCGCGGTTGCTTTATAAAAATTAGATAGAAACACGCTTGTGTAAAGGATTTATAATAATATATGGAAATAATTAAAAGTTGGATCAGATGATTTAAGATTAAAACAATTTTGTGCATGAAGCCATGTATGCATAGTAAAATGAAAAGGTGACATGGTTCTATAAAAATTAAGATAAATAAGTAGGAATATATAAATGATTCAAGGTATGAGTTAATTTCAGATTCTCTTAAATAAGAAAGACCCTTGATCATATTTAAAAAAAATGTAATGTGCTGTCCAAAAAGCTTTTAAGTAAGCAAATTAAACCTGAAGAAGAAGAATAAAGAACAATTTTTTAAAATTAATATTATTTTTCAGAGAAACATTTATCAGTAAATGTGAAATTATTATAAACTTTAAACAACAATACTGCTGGTAGTGAATGATTAGATATTACATGCTTATAATTTATTATTTGTGTTAAAAATTATGGTTAAGTTGACATTAGGTACTACCAACTGCAGAATAAATCCCTAAATCGCAATATAAATTATAATTCGACTTTATTTCTAACATTTTGACAAATGGTATAAAGAACTCATGACATAAGACGTCTTATCACATATTAGTTCTTACGTTGAGTGAAGAATCAACGCCATTACCTAGTTGGTTTCCAAAAAATATATACAAAAAATTGCAAAATAATATAAATATTTTTATCCGAAATCGGCAGTAAAGTAGTCAACAATCGGCAGTAAAGTAAAAGAAATCGGCCGATTTAATACGAGTATTGTATGCAACCCATTATACATTTTAAGATGTGTCTACTGCTCTAAATAATATTAAAAAAAAGCACCGTCGCGGAGGTTGATTGGACCCTTTTATAAAATGTTGTTTAATAAAAATAATATATTAATTAGATTAAAAAATCGCCGCAACAAACAGTATACGTAGACACTTCCTACATTCAAATGCCATTTGATTTGATCATCAAATGACATTTGATTTAATCATCAATATTAATTGTTAGTATTATTAAATGTGACTTCGGATAAAATGTAATATGCACCTCGGCATTTTTTATCACTCACGTGGTTATTTGCCTCGGCAAATAATTTACACATTCGTGATAAAAAAATACGATTTACTGCCTTCTAGAAACAAATTTTAAGGCGCTAATGGGGTTAGGACTTTTTTTAGAGAGAGCGCGACGTCACGATGTTATAACAGATGTGTCAAGAATTAACAATGAATCCAAGCCTACAGTGCAGACATTAATGCGTTTGTCTCTTTTTATAGTACTTCAAGTTTTATGCGCATGTCCGATATTTAAGTTGAACGAAATTCTCGGACATTTATTTATTGGCAAAAAATGAAAGGGCAGATTGACCTGATATGGCTCTCTATTTATGTAAATAGATTTTAACTGTCAAAGAATTTGGTTACGTTTATTTTTTTTTGCCTATACTTAATTCGTAAATCTTGACACGCCTATTATAACTACCAACATAAGCAGCATAGCAAACATTGTTTTTTTCAACAGTACGGTTGTCTATAATAAAAGTGGTTTCAAACTAATTTTCGACATCTTGTCCCATCCCATTACAAAATGCATTTGTAAAGAAAGTTATTTTAATGTTAGTAATCAGCCCCCAAAAATATTTATTCGTGGATTTTAGGGTGGCTGCTTGTTTTACTCGTTATATAAATACTTAAATAATCTACTATCATGCTAAACAAAGTAAAAGCCTAAAAAACTCACTAAATAATAATTTTGCACTAAGGTAGCTAACTGTGTAAATTAAAAACGTATCATGCTTGTATGTTAACAATTACCAGTGGATATTCCTTTATTAGTGGGTCTTTTCGAAGTGGTTGTTAGATCTGTACTTTTTAGTATAAAAGCGTTTCTATTGGAATTAATGTCCCGACTTTTTTCTTTGAGCTTTGGCGTTTTTTTTAACGCAGGATAAGGCTTAACGACAACGTCTCTGTGAGGCGTCATGACTGGGTAAGTGATCGTGTAATTTTTAACGAACTTAAAATATTTCACGACACTGTCCTGGTCGATTTTATGGCGACTATTGGAGACCGCGTAAAAATACGGCGACACCTCGGTTGTGGTGAATATTTTTTTATTTTTTGCGTTACTCACGGTAGAGTTAACGCTTACTTTTGATTTTTGTTTGTTATTTTGATTTTTTGCTTTATTGTTTTTCGGTTTTTTGTTTTTCTTTTTTGCCGCGGCATTTTTTGATTTTAAGAATTTTTGATTATTATCATTATTGCTAGAAAACGATTTTGTTCCGTACAAAACTAACGACCAATTTTGAAGCGTTGCTCGTCCTAAAAATTAGTTCCTTGTTAGTAACAACAATGTTTTATTAACAATACATTAATACAGAGTTTTCATCGATACAACATTGAACATTTATAATTAAAAAGTGGGTTTAAAACAGTAAAATCAAATCATAAAATTAACCACTTTTAAAACACTCTGTATAACATTGATAAAAATACGAGAAAAACCTATTTTAAGTTTTGAAACAAATATCAGTAGTAAAGGTTATACTTCTTTGTTGTAAAAAATATTTTGCATGCAAATAATTTATTTAAATATAAAGATCAAAAAAATTTGTAAATTTTGATAATTTTCCACTCGCATCAATTTTCATAGACGGCTAACTTCTCGGTGTCGAATTTTCGTTAGCTGTGCGCAAGTATAACTTCAAAAAACTGTACAAGAATATATATATTTTTAAACAAAAATAATAATAATACAATTATAAAATAGGTTTTTCTCGGCGAATAAATGCAATATTAGTAAAAATTTCGTCATGCACCAAAAGAAAAAACCCTTGACATACCCAAAAGTCTTCCATCGTTATGAATCTCCAACAGCCACTGTCCCTTGGGGTTCTCCCCCCACGAATGGACGGACATAAAAGGCCAAAAGGTAAAGCCAGACCTGGAGTTATCGTGCAATCTATTGGCCAATAGGGTCACCTTGGTGCCCATTGGTGAGGTTAACTGTATGTTCAAATCACCGCGTCGTTGCGAGTAGATCGTTAATTTTGCTTGCACATGCTCTAAAACTTCCACGCCGGGGCAATCGGACACGTCCAGCTCCAATGTCGTGCTGCTTTTAGCCGGGATCGGTCTAAAAATCCAATTTATTCGATATCAGTTCTTTATTAGCTAATTTACAGACGAATTGTTAAACAATAGATCAGAAAATAATCTCTATAGAAGCAATAAACCAATCAGAGCACCGCATTCTTCACGGCACACTAGAGGCGATGGAGAATGATGCGCTCTGATTGGTTGATTGCTTTCTATAGAGATCATTTTCTGTCAAAAGTAAAGGTGCAAATTACAAGAAACAAAATGTATAAAAATTTAATCTGTAGACAATAAGTGAGTGAGTGACTATACTTTTTCTACGACAAATACTTATTATTATCTTAAAATGATTTAAATCAAAATTTTGTATATAGCGCCATCTATGAAACAATAGGGGAATATGTGTGTCACCGTCAAATGTCACATTTTTGTATTTTATAAACACAGATTATGAAGGTTATAAATCGAAATGTATTTCTTGAAAATTGACAAATTTTCACAGTGAAAGTAAAGAAAATGTTTTATGAGCACTTTACAGTGGAGTCCGTGCCCGAATTTAAGTTATAGTTTACTGCCGGCGAAATTAAAAGGTCAGTACAATGTTCATATAAACTTTTCAAATATTGGCGTTGAGAAACTATTTAATACTTTTGTATTGAGAGAATAAAATAATTTTCACATTTAGTATTATTTTACAAGAAAGGCAATTTATTTTAACGATTGTATGACATTTGACAACTGTCAACTAACTTAAAACTAACTTCAGCCCGTGACTAAAGCGCCATAAAGCCACAACTTGTCAATGTGTATTTAAAAGGTCACTTAGTGTCATGGAAACATGTACGATAAAGGGCGTTTATTTATTTTTACGAACTATTATTTGGGGACATCCTGTATTATGTATCAAGTTTGATAAACGCCATTTTAGACACGAATTTAATTTAGGCACGAGCGAGCTTGCGAGCGAGTTGCATACTATACTTTTTCTTCGAAAAATACCAAAAAAATTATTTAAATTAAATATTTCTGTAAAGCGACATCTATGCGAAAATAAAGTAACCACCCCAATAAACATTTTTGACGTAATTTTCACCATTAACATTGCCCGTTATTAATTTTAATTACATTTAACAATTATTGATACTTTAAAATAACTTCAAAATATGATTGTTGAAAAAATATGTTATCATTTGAATTTTTTCATTACTATAATTGTAAAATATTAAAGGAACAGAATTTCTAACTTGGGAATCTACCGGCGTTAAAAATAAAATTTTTCTTAGTAAAATTTACACGTTAATCAAAATTTATCCCTTAAAAATAGACGTTATAGAAGCAGTTTTTCACAGTAAAATTGAAGAGAATGTTTTATGGACACTGCATGCAAAATTTTTAATGCTTTCTCAGTTAAATCTAGTTTACTGCACTACCATGGAGAAATTAATATAATCATATAATCTTTTCAAATATTGGCGTCAAGAAACTATTTAATACTTTTGTATTGAGATAATAAAATAAAATAATGGGAGTAAAAAAAATCAATTAAAAATCAAACAAGCTCAAAATATTTTCTGTGTTAAGTCAAATTAATTGTTGTATAAGCATATTTATAAATAAATCGATTTTAACTTGCTTTAAGAAATTTCACAATGTTTCATATGTTAAATGAAAAAATCAAAAGTGTACTTTAGGCATCAGCAGTTTTTTTTTGTTACATATAATGAGACTTCTCTTACTTGGTGCCTTGCGGGGCAGTGATCTCGCACTTGTGCTGCTCGGGCACTGTAGTCCATCTTTTGGCCAGCTTAACCATAGCATGAGCGTCCATAAGTCCATAACCAAAGCTGTGAGAGACATTTCTGCCCACGCCGTTTGTTTGCCAGTCGTTGGCGATCAAATTTTCCGGCCTCGCAGTCCTGACCACGATATGCTGCATGTCTCTCCTACAAGAAAAACGTAAAGCAGTAATTAAGGTGATCAAATGGATGTTCATACACATCGACACTTACCAGGTTAAATTTTGGTTGGCTTCCAGGGCCAAGGCGCAGATTCCGGCGGCCAAAGGCGCCGAGGCGCTGGTGCCGGTGTGGCTGCTGGTGCACGAGTGGCGCAGGTCCGTGGTGACGACTTGGCGGTCGCCCAGGGCGCCGCTGCTGTAAGTGGTGGCTAGCGTGGAACTGCACGCCTCGCTGTACCACGGCACTTGGCCTTTCTCTGTCGCGCTCGATATCGAAAGACTGTAATAATAATAGTTGAATTAGTCGAGTGCGCATGGCAGGACAGGACATGTTAACGATACAAAATTTGAATAATTTTTTTCTCTGAAAACATTTTTTGTGAACAATTGCTAAAAACCAAGATATTTTACCTGTAAATGGAGTTTGTGTAGCCATCGCAGTTACAATTGTCGTGGTCTCTTCCACCGTTGCCTGAAGCCCAAACAAATATTGAACCTTTACCACTACGGCCCTGCAAATAAAAAATAAAGGGATTCATTTCCATTTTCGCGTTTTATATGAGAAATTTGGTTTTTTAACAAAGAAATTTTAAAAACATAATTGGGGTTTTAAAATTTCCGGAAAAATTGAGCCGGCAGAAAAGAAAAGTTTTTTCCCAAAAAAACGGAAAAATTGGGAAATTTTCAGAAAAATTGACTTGCAAAAGTCAATTTTTCTGAAAATTTACAAATTTTTACGGATAATATCTGTACACTAAAAAAGTGAATTCCTGACAATATACACTATATTACGTTTACCTTTATTTTCTTAAATTAATTTAATTAAATTCAATGGGGTAGTTAAATTTTTTCTGACCTATACTTTTTATGGTTTTATTCAAGGCGTTTTGTAATTTTAAACATCTTTGTGAAATCGGAATTTCAATTAAGTTTATCGTTTTCGAGATATTTACAAAAAAAAGTCTCCTAATTACGTCACTAGGCTATTGACAACGTTGCCAGCTTTTTCTATGGTGTTTAGTTTAAGATTCTTACGATAGATGGCGCCACGTTATAATATTTTAGTTTTAAAACTACTTGATCTATAATTTTTTTAGTTGAGAAGAAGAAGAAATGATTTTTTGACGTTTCTTTTTTTCGGGTTATGTTTTTTTAAATTTAGAATATTGAAAATCAATGTTATTGTTATGTTATTTGTAATTGATATTAGATAAGTGATTTATTAATAACGGACTCCAAAGCAGAGGAATCTTGTGGAATGGTTGGTTACATTGAACATTGGAGCTTTTAAACAAATAAAGTAAGTACCTATAATTATAATCATATTTTGTCGTAAATGCATTTTATTAGTATAATGCCTAGTTCTTTATATTCTTTTAGATATATCTTGGACTGTAAAATATCAAACAGTACTATGATACCTCATATTAAGGAAGATAGGTACTTAATGAATTTGGTGACCATCTTTCACTCAACTGACAGTGACAGTATTTGTACATAACCTCTTCGGGTATTTTGTGACATAACCGAATGAAATCATTAACAAGACAACTTGACAACAGGGTAATTTTCAACCAATAGAAATCTTAGAATGTTGGTCACATGCCGAGGTTTGTGACGTCATAAAAATTTATATTTTTTGTAAATATCTCGAAAACGGTACACTCAATTGAAATTCTGATTTCACAGAAATGTTTAATATTACAAAAAGCCTTGAATAAAACCATAAAAAGTATAGGTCAGAAAAAATTTAACTACCCCATTCTATTTAGGTTTTTTCTGTAATAAAGAATTTTTTTAATTTACGCCCAAGGGGGAGGGCTTTTTCAAAGTAAATCGAATGAGATTGCTGATTTGTTCCATTTTTAGTCAGATTTTTACAAAACAGAATCGGGAAAAAATATTTTTGGGGGGTAGGGGAGTTTGATAATTCGTCAGATGACACTTCAGTGGGATTTCTACATCTATCATGAAGAACACAATTTTTAGCGTTACGAGATTTATGGACGGTCCCTTTGTATTTTTTCGTGCAATGATGTCATATTTATATATATATATACAAAATAATAACAAAGCAAAATTGTAATAAACTCATTAACTTTTGGTCCTTCAAACTGTAAATATCTAAAATAGATGAAATAAAGTTTAAAATTTCAACAAAACATTTATACTACCTCTAAAAAATAAATATTTCACATTTGACATTGTGACTATTATTTAGGCAAACTAAAGGTAATTCTAATGTTACTCTCAGCAGTAAATTTTTGCTTAAAGAGTCTCTTATTTTTAAGTTTTAATGTCGTAGCGATAGCAGTGTAGTTTCAAAGTGACACAATAAATGCACATCAAATATTGAATTAATTAAAAAGAAAGAAATTTGTTTACTTTACATGGAAAAGAAAATTAAATACTGCTAATACTTACCGAGTAAATGCCGTGACTAAAGATAACCTTCAAAACACACGCTGCTTGTTTTTAACGCGCAAAATAACAATAGCGATACCATTGCCTGCAGCGTCGCCATCTCGTGCCACAGTTATAAATTACATGGGTGTATTTTATATCAAAGCTGTTTTTATTTAGGCGGTTTGTAGCGAAGTAGACATTAAATATATTATATTATATTATATATATTCACATTATCACATTCTTTATTATTACTGTACTTATTATTATTTTATCTATTTTGCGTTCATAATGACTTCATTATAACACCGCTTTCGGTGCTGTAATGAGATGCTTTATCCCACCCAAAATTTTGATTTTATAGGTTGGCTATACTTTAAACAGCATAATATTTTGCATATTGGTTATACTATTTTTATGATTTTTCTAGTACTTTTCTGGCAATAAATTTTGTTTAACACCAAAGAAAATCATTTTATTCTTCTTTAACATTAACAGCCGCTTATTGTAAATAAGTAAATTAAGGACGTCATGGCGAATCGATTTTGACATTAACTGTCAAACCAATGACTGATACCAACTATCTAAAGTAAAATTCGACCAAATTAAATTTAAGGTATAAAATTAATTTTTTTCAAAGAATTTTTGCAAAATAGATAAAATAGCATAAAGAACTCATGTCATAAGACCTTTTGTCGCACTCGTCCATTATAAATTGTACGCGTGCGACAAAATGACATAGTTTTAGTATTTTGTTTTATACAACACCTATAGGTGTCATATTGAATGTAGAAAAAAAATATTTTTATATTTAATTGAAACATTTTCTTTTAATTTTTGTGATTTTAAGTTTTTATTTATGAATCTAGTTCTAAATTTTTTTAATAAGAAATGTTAGAGACAACTGACAAATGACAGAGAGCGTTAATAGTATAATGACCGTTAGACAAATAATAATAAACAAAACAAAACCTTTTCCGCGTTTCATAAAATTAATAAAAAACTTTCTTAACACATTATTTATCTTATTTCCAATATCAAGATGATTTCATTAGATGGTATTAGCGCACCCTCCAGAAATTCTCCCCTAAATTTTTTGCATCAGCCCTCCGACGTCTGAATTTTTGTATGTATAAAGAGAGATAGAGAGTCGAAGAGTAGGTATTTTAGGTGGGAAATGAGCAAAAATAGGGAAAAGCATAGCGTAAGTAGAGTAGATTCGTTTGTCTCAGTTACCTTAGTGACTCCCTCGATGAATGCCCTGGTGGCGAGCTCTCCGGGCCCGTCGACCGTTTTGCCGTCATCGTCCGGTCCCCATGAGGCACTATAAATATCAATATGTTGGGGATTCAGGCTAAGAGATCGAGCCTCGACTGCGTCAGTTACGTCACCGTCCAACATCCGTACGCCGCCTAACAAACAACAGATAAATTTCACTTCGATATAAATGCACGGGCCGCACAATACTTCAATGCACTTTTTTGAGGTTATAGGTACTTATTTTGGCTCGTTGAGAGTACAATTGTTGGTACAATGGTTGGTACATTGCTGGTTGCACCAGCAACACCGAGAAGTAACCGTCTAAGAAAATCGTGGCGTAAGAAATGAGTGGCTGTGCATAAGTAAGAGAGGGATGTAGATAAACTAAAACCAATGAAATATGGCCTATATAAATAAACTGGTTTAATCTATTTTAATTAATACACAAAATTATCATTTGTATCAGGATTAATAAATTCGATTTAAAAACATTATAGCAACAATTAAAGTATTTGTTACGTATATGGGACTATTGAAGAAACCTAAAAGTATTTTGCGACAGTCGCCGGTCTCTTTATATTACTCTTTCATTACTAAGTTACGACAAGTGGGTAACAACTATTGAGTTCCAAAAAGGTAACAAATATGTAACTAGCTATAAACCCTGCTACTATTTGGAACGTAGCTGCTACGTTACTAGAACGTTCCAATATCGTTGCTAGAGCGTTATAATTACTTATTTGTTTTTACTTCTATATTAACTGTCTTTGTCAAACTTATATTGGATTATACTATTCCTCCTTTTTTAAATGGAACCACTATGGACTGGTAGTTTATAACTTCCAGAATAACAATATAATGTTTAATTAGGCAGGTAAATTTATAAACCCTTTAAATTTTACTGTTGAACTTATGAATTTAGTTTTTGTAAAATAAATGGGCTTCATCAATATTTTAGTATAAACAAATTATTTATTTAATAATGTTTATAAATAAAATAAATATTAATTATTAATTTTTTTATTTAATTATTAATACCGTCTATTACCATCAAAATTAATATGTATTAAAAAGTAAACAACCATTTACAAACAATTAAAATAATTTATTATTTACATTACCACGTGGTACTGTACAATAAAAAATGGCCGATAAGAAGCATTTTCCTTTGAAGTAGTTTTCGCTACTTTAAAGTTTTTTCCACCTTAATTTACTTTACGGCAGTTTTGGTTACTACCATAAACGTTCCAAATACTAAAATAATAACTTTGTAGTTTTTAACTCATGTTCCAGTTTCGAGATTTTAACTTGCAAATGGACTAAAAATAATTATAATGTAATCTTTAGGTAGCAACCGAAAGTAACTGCTACAAATTAAATTTACTTGAAAGTTTTTTTTACTTATAACACCTTTTTTAAAGTTGCAAAGTCTTCTTGGGGGCAACCAAGTTTTACTTAAATGTCTATTACTTTATAGTAACCATTTAAGGAAAGAATTAAGTTTCTGTTACAAAATATTGCTATTTAAAAGTTAGAATTACTTTTAGGTAAAAATTAAAGTAGCTAACTAACTAATTTAAAGTTATCACCACTTTAGCAATGGTTTTTGGAACCAAAAATGCTGCTTGGGATCGTTCTGTAAGCAAATTTGCAACGAGCAATATTTCGCAGGCATTAAAACCCAATTAAACCGAATGTTACAAATTTTAGTATTGATTGAATTTTTAATTACTAACAAACAAATAAAGGGCTGCCGAAAACGCTTATTTTTGTTAAAATCAAACCTTTGTGCTGAAAAACGTTTTTATTTTGCTTACCGACTTGTGCCCCATGCGCTATTCCCAATGCACATATGCTGTTATTGCTGGTAGCAGCCACTTGACCGGCGCATCTGGTACCATGCCGATTGGAATCGGCTGTAAGCAAATTTGCAACGAGGAATATTTCGCAGGCATTAAAACCCAATTAAACCGAATTTTACAAATTTTAGTATTGATTGAATTTTTAATAACTAACAAACAAATAAAGGGCTGCCGAAAACGCTTATTTTCGTTAAAATCGAACCTTTGCGCTGAAAAACGTTTTTATTTTGCTTACCAACTTGTGCCCCATGCGCTATTCCCAATGCACATATGCTGTTATTGCTGGTAGCAGCCACTTCACCTGCGCATCTGGTACCATGCCGATTGGAATCGACCATATCGTATCGGGGGCTTGGATCTGAATCCTGGTTGTTTACATCATAGGAAGCCAAGGGATCCTAAATTTTAAATTATAGAAAAAATATTTCAAGGTCAAGGTCAATGTCAAGATCTGAGCACAATTCCGCGCATTATCGATCGGCTGCCAAATGTTTAAAAACTAGAATCGAAAAATGATAAAACTTACGTAATTTTGCACCAAATCTGGGTGATCCTTCTCCAAACCATCGTCCAAAATGGTAACAACAGCTCCCTTCCCAGTTATGCCATCATTCCAGGCTGGAATAACGTTCATATCCAAACCGTTCCCCCTGTTCTAAACGTTCCAACAACAATAAAAAAAACATTAAGAACCTGCCAAAACGAAAAACTTGTTAACCTACCAAATACCACATTTTTGGCCATAGCGGATCGTTATCGAGATATTTTAGATCTCGCTTGACGCGCTTTCTGGCCTCTTGCTGCTCGGCCCAGTGGACCCTTTCGTCATCGTCTAACCTAGCGTTAGTTTTCGAATTCGGCGTCAGAGATCGTTTTTCCACCCCGCTATGTGAAAATAAATAATAGTCTTCAAATATCTGCAAAAATGATTTATTGTTAGATACGTATACTATATTTGTGCAAAATCAAAGATTAATAGGTACAACATTTTGGAATATTTAACATTAAAAAATACTATTTTAGCGCCGAGCTCAGTGTTGGCTGCCAGCCTAAATTTATTCTACAGTGACCTGTAAATTTACAGTTACCTACACTGATTTGTCACTAATTTCATTATTGTACGGCGGTGTGTAATAATTTGAATTTTAAAAATATAAGAATGTTTTTTTCTGCTCCTATTGGTGTCGCCATCTCTGTGTTTATTATCTAACAACTTTTAGACCGATCCAACCTCACTTTCTCCCAATTAAATTATTTTTGTAAACGTAGGAAAAGTACAGTCTGAATAAATAATGCATCAAAAATTTATGTTCGTAATTTTTTTTAATCAAATTGCGTGGTTTTAACTGGAATTAATTAGCAAAATTATCACTTCGTGGTACTTATCAGTCATATCAGAAGAATACTGATTCCACTGACCCAAAACTTTTGCTTATTATTTTCAATAATAATTATTGTAAAATTGCAAAAACTAATGTCAATTAACAAACTTAACCAATACTGACTTTTGCGTTCAAATTCTAAATTATGACCTCACAAAAGAAAATTAAATAATCTTACGCTGCCTTTTTAAATAGGTATGTACCTACGTACTTTTTTAAAGAATCTATGTAAAAGTTATTTAAAAAATATTTACAAGGAAGCTATTTTATCTCTATAATGAGGTTAAAGTAGTTCAAAAAATTGATTATTAGGTCAATGTCTCAGACAAGCTAAAGCTTGCTCGTAATACTATTTGATAACGTATAACGCAAAAAAACAAATTTTATAAACATTTACATTTTTTGCAAATATATACGACTACAACTTTCATTTTACCCGGTATTATTCAACTAATTGTTTTTGTCTGTTTGCCTAATTTGATTGTAAAATTACAAACAGTTTAAATTGGGTAAATTATATATTTAAGCCGCATGAAAAAAACACTTAACTATGTTTATTATTTTATAACGTTTGCAAATAATATTTAATTTAGTAATTAGGTTAAAACTGTGTTTGGTTTAATTATTAATAGTACATTATGTATCAAGTTTTATAAAGATCATTTTAGTTATGAGTTTTATTAAGCACGAGCGAAGATGGCGAGCGAGTGTTTAATAAAAACGAGTGTCTAGAGAAGTTTTTAAAACGAGTTGCATACTATAATTTATCTACGACAAACACAAAGAAGAATTTAACCTTACTTTTTCAACATTTATAATATAGATAACTTCAGCCCGTGACTAAAACGCTATAAAGTCGATTGTCAATGTGGGAGTAGATATGTTTTAAGTTTGATAAACGCCATTTTAGTCACGAATTTTAATTAGGCACGAGCGAGATTAATTAAATGAGTGTCCAGAAAAGTTTATAAACAAATTGCATACCATGCTTTTTCTACGAAAAATACTTAAATATTTGTATAAACGGTATCTATAAAAAAAAAGAGTTACTAGCGTAACAATTTCTAACTTGATGATATAGAAACAGTTTTTCACAGTGAACGTAAAAAATGTGTGACAACTGCCAACTAATTTAAAACTAACTTCAAGCTGTGACTAAAAACATGTTGCTAACTTTAGCCCGTGACTAAAAGGCCATACAGCCACAACTTGTCAATGCGTATTTAAAAGGTCACTTAGTGTCATGGAAACATGTACGATAATGTGCGTTTTAAAGGTGGGAGTAGAAAGTTACAAACATGTACAAAATTGTTGAAATGAGGAATATATATTTTGCGTTACCTAAACGACAATTTAAAGATAAAAACTAAATCACCCTCAAAATTCTTAAAGTTAAGGACGGTGCGGTGAGTAGATAACGATTTTTTTCAGGCAATTTAATTTGATTTATGCTGCATTAAAATTTATAGCGCGCTCAATTAGAAAAGTTTATTACATTATCTTATTGATTAAAATCAAGATGCAAGTGAATTATTTTATTGCATTGGCTCAACGGTTAGCTAATAGTCAAGGTAATGTTTGTGTTTATTAAATTAAATTTAACTGTTTTTGTACGGTCACGCTAAGTTTATTTGTCAATAAGATGTTTAAACACGGTTGTAGCTTTGTTTTTTATAAATATTATCAAGTGATGTAGCAACAATTTAAAGTATACAGTTAAAAAACTATACCTACTGGACCAAGGTTAAATGGCACATGAAATATAACAAAAAAACAAATTATAGGAAAACCTATCACAGTAGGATAAAATTAAAAAATGATAGGACAAAATTCACAGGGTCCTAAATTTAAAAAAATGACAGGATAAACTCGCACAATGGCAAAAATTTTAAAAATCTAGGACAACTTCTAAAATTTCCAACATTTTTAAAATTTAGTTTCTCCCCATTCACCCTTAATATATGTATGTATTTTAACTTTAATAAGCTTTATTACACAGGGAGGAAGCGAGATATGACGCATGCTTATAGGAATTTTATTTTTTATATTTAATTGAATTGAATGCGTCACATTTTTGAATCACGCTGTATCGCTGAATACATTTTTTTATTGTAATTTTACGAATATGATTATATGTGATAAGGAACAAAAAAATAAGAAAACACTATAATCTGAGCTCGGATAAAATATCATTTCAATAAATTTTCTCCTTTTATATTAGATATTTTAGTCCAGGAAACAAAGATTGTAGAAGGATGGTAGTCGGGTTTTACTTTTTTTATGTAGAGTCAGGGGTGCTGATAATGAATCAAGAATATTCCCCAAAAATTTCTTTCCGCGTCCCCTAATTTTTTTGCTTTTTGGCTTATAACTCGCTAACCGTGCATTTTTTTAGAATTTGACCTCTAATACTTTTGAGTTTTCCTTCTACAATTTTTGTTTCCTGGACTATATTTTGTTAAAGCATTAAGTCCCCTTGAAAGTCTTGTTTGTCGATTGTATTCTGTTTGCAGATAGATATTTGCTTGTCCATTAGGTTTATTAAAGTATGTACTGTTAACTGTACGAGACCTATTTAGGTTTTTATTGCTCGGTAAACCGGGGTTTTTTAGCCGGCCAACTTAACACATACATAAAACATCGTTTTAGACCCGTTCTCGGAACAATTTCCTGACATATTTTTGCACCAATTCGGCTAATTGTAATTTTCTTTAATCGACCGTACTAACCGTTCTCGTTGTTTCTTTGCTTTGCACTTTTAACTAGGGTCAATGCGAACAATTTTCAACTTATTAATTCTTGGATCCGACTCGAACGCAACATTCTTGCAGGGATTTTAACGATTTTTAACATTTTAACATTTCCCAATCATTACAATTAATTTAACAGACCTTTCTTTGGGTGATTTTAAGACTTAATAAATTTAATCAAGTTAGAGCTAAATTAGCCCCTTAACACTACAAATAATACTGTCAAATTACAACAAAATTGGGTAAACGATATTCAAGATATTTCCAAAAAACGAATTAAAAAAAAGTATCTTGGAAGCGAAGCATTTGCGGACCCATGTCATAACTCTTTTATAATCGCTATATAACTGTTTATAGCATTTTGAATATAAATCTAATAAAAGTAAATAATTGTTTTTATTTTCTTATGGTTTTTATACTTCTGCTTCCGCATCCACTATTTCTCTTCTGCAAACAGCACTTCTTGACATTGTTGAAAAATTGTTATACTTACATATAAATGATTGGGAAACTTTAAATAAATAAAATGTGTTTACAGCTGGCATTTAGTTAAATGGCCTTGTAATTTCTTTGAAATTCAAACCATCTTTATGTTGAAAGACAGATTGAAACACGGTTATTTTCAAACAATTTTTGCAAAACAGATAATTCCGATTTAACTCTGTAAATTTTACGGTTCATTGTATTTTTTTTAAATAACCTTCCAGCGACTGCAGAACGCTTTTAAATTTATTTTGATCAAGCAATAAATCCTTTAACAAATTTTAATTGAATAAATTGCCTTTTTATGTTTAACCAGCAAAATTGTTTCCATGTCGTAATGCCTTTGCAACTAATATTTATCAAATACTCGCTATATATATATATATATACATATATATATAGAACTATGAACTTTGTGCACGTACCATATATTAAACCATTGAAATTTAACTAATTTGCGAATTTAATTTAGCAATTTAACACATTAATTATATCCAAAACGTAAGTAGTTTTAATCAATCGGAGTTTAAAATTTTTATTTTTCACATTCGCCAAGGCGAAATAATGTAACAAAAATTGACAAGGAAAAACTTTGAAAACTAAGAATTAACAATTTATTCATAGAAAAACTGATTGCTTTGGATATGACCAAGTTTGAAAACAAAGTTATAGAAACTAACTTATTGTTTCGGTTAGTTACTGAATGAAATCTACCAGAATTATGTTTTCTATATACATACAATTTAATTTTTTTTTCGCTCTTACCCTCTCAAATGTTTCTATTTAATATAAAAAAAAATCCTCACGAAATATGGGCGTCTCAGCTCAACTCTAAGAGGTCGCTGTTTTTATTTTAGTTTCCCATTTAATTAACATAGGAAAAAATAATTTTATGTTTGGAATTTTATACCTCTGTATCAAAGTAACTTATGGCAATGAAATTTTAAAAAACAGAAAATTTGATGTTAATCAAACTTTGACCTCGAATTACTCTAGAAGAAATCAATTTATCGAAAAATAATAAGAGACCTTTTTTGTAGAGCGTTACATTTTATATAAGAAACTGCAATGATCATTAGTTAGTATTTAGCAAAATCAAATTAAAATCTATTTTTAAACAATATAATTATTGAATATTATTATAATTATTATTATTATTATAATTATAATATTATTATTAAAAATTTCGAACGAGTCTACAAGGAAACCAACGATTTCAGGTTTGATGGTAATCATTACAGGGTTGTAGATGACTGGTACAGACTGTTTTTTAATGATATGATTCCGATTTCGGATGAGGAT